ATACATAAGTATATAAACCACGTGTCTGAAATAGTACAGGAGAGCAATCCTGAAACCATTTTGACGCTCCCAAACTGACCTCAAATATTTCTCTGCAAAGAGGAAGGAAATGGGAAAGCCTCTCCATTGTCTTTTTCTTACCTGTCATAAGGGTGTATGTGTGTGTGAATAGGGTGAGCCTGTGACCTGGATTCAGGAATTCAAGTATTTATCATCAACAAAAGAATGGCCGGGCTGACCGGGTAATGCAATCAGTGACCATTATCAGATACCCTGGCAGATAGGATTTCTGCTGTAGACTGCCTCTTTCTGTGATGTATGTATGATGTTTTGGGGGTGGTCTCTGGCTACAGGGTGGGCAATTTCAAAAGTCTATACAGTGGTACCTCTAGTTGCGGACTTAATCTGTTTCGTGGTGCTGTTCACACCCTGAAAAGTCCGCAAATAGAGTGCCTCTTCCGTGCATGTGCGCGGCACGATTGAGTGCTTCTGCACATGTGCGAAGCACACAGATCGCTTTTGCGCATGCGTGAAGCGCACAAATCGCTTCTGCGCATGCATGCGTGGCAAACCCAGAAGTAAACACTTTCGGGTTTGCCATGTTCGTAAGACGAAAGTCTGTAACAAGCACGGAACGTAACTAGAGGTACCACTGTATAAGGGCTTGCGCACCATTATTCTGGGTCCCTCCTGCCTCCTGCGTGTGGCGAGTGAGCACCCTGTTACAGCAGGTAATAAAGATCAGGCTTACTAGCTGCCTTGCTTCTCAATATTCTCTGGTTGGCCTCTGTTATTTCATCCTTTTGACAGGGGACCTACTTAACGACTCTATACAGACTCTTGGATACGCCATAAGAGAAAAGGAGCAGTACTTTTCTTATAACAGTAGACTACAAGTCCCATCAGGCCTGGACATTTGCCATGCTTGCTGAGGCTGATGGGAGTTGGAAGTTTGACCTCAATCGTTTCTTTTTTCCTTTCCTTTTTCTTGGCTGAGTCAGCCCAGCAGTCTTTGCGGCCCAGCCACCTCATCCTCGCTTGTGCCCAGAGCAGCTGCAGAGTGTGTCAGTCCACGGACTGTGCGTGCTGATCTATGGGGAGTGGGAGGACACAAGACCAGTTTCGGCAGCCCTCCTCATGTACTGACCCTGTGGCTGGCAGGAGGCGGCAGAAAAGGCCAGTTTCAACACTTCTGGGTAAAGGGCCTCTCTCTACTAAACAGAATGCCCACCCCCTCTCAAAGGTACCGTATTTTTTGCTCTATAAGACTCACTTTTTCCCTCCTAAAAAGTAAGGGGAAATGTGTGTGCGTCTTATGGAGCGAATGCAGGCTGCGCAGCTATCCCAGAAGCCAGAACAGCAAGAGGGATTGCTGCTTTCGCTGCGCAGTGATCCCTCTTGCTGTTCTGGCTTCTGAGATTCAGAATATATTTTTTTCTTGTTTTCCTCCTCCAAAAACTAGGTGTGTTTTATGGTCTGGTGCATCTTATAGAGCGAAAAATACGGTACTTTTGCATGTACCCAGGAATATGATCTTTTCAAGGCAACACACAAGAACATTAAAAGCAACCACAGGAAGTACTCCACGCCACCAGCGTTTTTAACTTCCCTTGATGGAGGGTTTTATTTCCGTGCCTATAGAAATGATTCTGAATAAGTCTTGTGATGCACTGGTAGCATACGCTGGCCCACCCAGGTTGCTGCTGGGTGGAAGCAATCCAAGCAATCAGATGCAGCCCCTGCAATTCTTCCTTTCATTGCTGCTCCGTAGAAGCAGGGGAACTGCGTGCTTTGCCAAGAGATAAAACTTCGGTGCTCAGTCAGGGCTGCAGGCACTGCTGCAAACTTTTTCACCTGCCAAGTACTGTAATTCTATTTTTTTTTCCTTTATGCTAATCATTTTCAAAGTATGCAAAAGAGGTACACTGTGCATACACAAATGAAGTCAAACAGACAAAAAGCAGGCAACTTCAGGCATCATGTAAATAAAATGAATACTTTCAACACAAATGCCATTATGGACAGGTATTATACCTAAGTGGCTCCCTTACATCTTATTCTCATGACACCCCCCGCCCCCCCGTAGAGTAGCTTAAGCTAAGAGGCAATGCCTGGCCTCAGGTTACCCAACAAATGTCATGGCTTAGGGGAGATTTGAACCTGGGTCTCCTCAGCCATGCTCAAGCCTACAACATACCGCCTTGTCAGCAAAAGAGTAAATACAGCCTGAATGATATGTTAGAAAGTTCACAGTGCTAAGCTGTTCTGGCTTCTGTGCAAGCCCCAAGAGATGTAATATATTATGACTACTTTCTGAGAAGAGGAATTACCGGAGAGGCGAGCTTTCTTTACTAAGTAATGGAACACACATGGGCATGAATTAACTGCCTCTAAAAAAATTAAGGCAATCTTCTCTCCCATTCTAAACATAGATAGATACATAGATAGATAGAGTGATGAGGAAGCTCTCCAGCAACGCATTTCTGAGACCAAGGTGTATGCTTGGAGGATGCATGGAGGAATAGCTTAACAAATGAAGAAACAGAAGTGGAGCGATTTGCAAGCTCAGATAAACATGGGGGCCGGGGCAAGAGTATCAGATGTGTTTTGGCTGCCTTATCAGAAACCATTAATCATAACGGCCTCTGTTCCTTAGGTAAAGCAAACTTATGAAACAGAGCAGGAAATCTGCCAGATCAACAAGCGGCAAGATAATGACTAGGTTGCAAGGCTACCGGACTCTGAGAACGGGGGAGGGAAACAGAAAAGGTGAAGGCTTATCTAGATGATCAGTTCAAAATGTGCTCCGTAATTGCAAAAGTTCCAATACAAAGGCTAACAGTGCGGTATCTAGCACACAGCAATAAAAGGAGGGATGGTTCCATGTGCTTGTTTTTAAAAGGGGCTAATTCTGTACATGATCTAGGAAAGGGAATGCCCTCCAGATATCAGGCACCAGCTCCCATCAGCCTCAGCCAGCATGGGTTTCCAAGCCTACAAACACACTTCCCCCTCTACATTTTGTTCTCATAACAGCTCAGCAAGGTAGGTTAGGCTGAGTGGGGATTTGAACCCTAGTCTCCCAGTTCCTGGGACGCGGGTGGCGCTGTGGGTTAAATCACAGAGCCTAGGACTTGCCAATCAGAAGGTCGGTGGTTCGAATCCCCATGACGGGGTGAGCTCCCATTGCTCGGTCCCTGCTCCTGCCAACCTAGCAGTTCGAAAGCACGTCAAAGTGCAAGTAGATAAATAGGTACCGCTCTGGCGGGAAGATAAACGGTGTTTCCATGCGCTGCTCTGGTTTGCCAGAAGCGGGTTAGTCATGCTGGCCACATGACCTGGAAGCTGTACGCCGGCTCCCTCGGCCAATAAAGCGAGATGAGCGCCGCAACCCCCGAGTTGGCCACGACTGGACCTAATGGTCAGGGGTCCCTTTACCTTTACCTTACCTCCCAGTTCCTAGTCTAACACTCTGATCACTACACCACACTGTAGTCCAACCGTTTGTGGAGGGAACCATATTGGCTATCTCAATCTAGAATGCAGTTCAGCCTTCCCAAGAATGACCTCTAGAATCCTCCCCTCTGCAACACACATCCTCCCCAAAGTGTCCTGCATTTCAGCAGCTCTCTGCCCTTTGGCACATAAGGACTGCTATCCAGGAAAGTGTGAAACTTTGTCCCCCTGGGTGCAATGTGCTAACTCGCTGCAGAGCTCTTTGGATCCGAGCCAAACTCTACAGAAACCTTTGCCTGGCAGCAACTCCCATCAAGGCGAAAAGACAAAAGTTCCCGAACCAAGGACATGTGGGCCACTCTTGTTAAAAGAAACAAAAAACCCCGCAAACACACTGATCAAACATCTGGTGAGGATGAGGGCTAAAATCCAGTTCTCCTCGGTGCAGTTTGTTTTATGGGGGCAACAGAAATATAGATGCACAGCCCACACTTTGCCTGAGGTCTTTAGCTCTTTTGCAAGTTCCTACTTTATAGGCTGAGCAATGGCAAAAATATCATGCCTTAGCAAAGGATTGCATATTGTTGCCCATCCACAATTTTGCAGCAACTATCCTGGAACTCAGTGACCAGTGTGGCATAACTACCACAATGCCTTTGGATACCCACTCTCTTGGCATCTACCTCGATCCACCCAATTGTAAATATATATCTGTATTTTAATAGGGTAGTGCGCTTTATTTGTAGCTGTACAGTGGATGCTCGGGCTGTGAACGTGATCCGTGTGGGAGGCACGTTCACAACCTGCAGTGTTCGCAACCCGCAGCGCCACGTCTGTGTGGGTTGCAATTTGGTGCTTCTGTGCATGCGCGAGTGCCAAAACCCGGAAGTAACCCGTTCTGGTACACATGTAGATGCAGACAGAGACACGTCCAAAACAGCATCATCTGTACACCATAAAATGTAATTAGCCCTATACCTTTTAAGAACACCTTTGTGTTTGGTAGTCATTTTAGTTACAACTTTGGTTGATAGCTGTCATTCTTTTCTTTTATTCCCCGCCCCCCCAACCCTTATATATACTGCATTTATTAATTCCTTTGGACTTTTTTAAAAGGCTGGTTGATACATACATAAAGCTATTTGTATGGGCTGTATTACATTTATATGCCACTTTTTCTTCCAAAGATCTCAAGGTGATGTACATAGTTCTCTCCTACCTCCCCTGTTATCATCGCAAGCCTGCGTGGCAGGTTAGGCTAAGGGACTGTGACTGATCCAAGGTCACCCACTGAGCTTCCCACCCCAGGTCCTAGCCCAACAGTCAAATCCTACAAATATGATAGCCAACGTGACACCAGGTGCACAGAGAAAGGAGGCTCACATGTAATTCCCCACTGCGAGTGGAAGAAAAAAGTCTGTACAGGACAACTGATTGCTGCAAAAACATGCTGTACTTCAGTCTTCATCACATCCTGTCACAACACCGACCTCTGAAACAGTTGCATAATTTGGTGCAATCTAAACAGAATGTAAACAAACAGATTTCTTCCAATTTGCCAAAAAATAATTTATTCATGTGAAAACCGATTTGGAAAGTTGACAGCGTTTCCCCAATTGACACAAAGCAGAGTGTAACAAACAGTAATACTGGAGCTGGGGGGGAGGGGGGGAGGTAAAGAGTCTAACGTTGTCAGTTAAGCAAGGGCAGTGTGTTTCGAAGCACCCCTGGAACAGCCAGGCAATAAGTCTTTGAAAAGGACTGCCTTGCAAGAGGACTAATGCAGCGTGGAGCCTAACCGCTTGTGCTGAAGCTTACAGCTATGTGGCAGAAGTGGATTGAGCACACTTATTTCCTTGGAATATAGCCCTAGCCGGGGATGCAAGGACAAGTATGCTATCTCAGCCCTAACCCACCCTGCCGCACTCCCCAAGTTGGAAGGAGCATCTTTCGAAGAGGAGAACCCTTTCTACTCTTTCGGGGTTTCCAAATTGTGTGGGGATCTGGCATGCGCACGTCAGTCTCCCCGACAGAGATATTCAGCCTTCACCACGTGTGAAGGCTGTGGGAGGGGCAACAGTGAGGGGCTGGAGGCAGTGTGGCCAAGTAGCACTGCCCCCATTTCTCCATCACATGACAGGGATCAAGTAAGGGCCTGTGTCAAAATCACTTCCCCTACAGGTTAGCGCTGCTGTCTGTCTTCACCCCTAGTAAGCCAAAACCATGTGGGCGACCATCTTGAATTTTTGAGGCGGTTCTCACACAACTTTTCCCCCCTAGCCACGCTGTGCAAAGCAGGGAGCAGAACGAAGTACTGCAGCCTTTCTCAACCTGTGGGTCCCCAGATGTTGTTGAACTACAACTCCCAGCACCCGTGGCTAGCAAGGCCAGAGCTCAGGGATGATGGGAGCTGTAGTCCAACAACATCTGGGGACCCACAGGTTGAGAACCGCTGAAGAACTGGATCTACATCAAAGACCCTGCTCTTTGTGGATCTCCTCAATCAAGCTACCGAGTATCTTTTTGGGGGGGGAGGGAGAGAAGAGAATGGCAGTGTGTGTGGTACATCCTGAAACTTGGAAAAGGTAAAATAAAAAAATGGAGGTTGCGCCAACACGGTGCCCTGCAGATGTTGCTAGACTCCCTTCCGCTCCAGCCAGCACGGCCAAGGGACAATGATGCTGACAGACACCAGCCAGCAGTGTCTGCAGGGCGCCATGTTGGCTCAAACATTGGAGCTTGTGGCTTTCCTATTAGGCCACGTCAGCGTCTTCTAAAAAGCACCTCAGGGATAAAAGCAAAAGTGGAAGCATGAAGTACCACAGACAGCCCGATGCTGCAGCCGAGTGGGAAGGAGCAAGGCCTTCCTACCTCTCACACAGCCTTTGCCAACGTGAAGCTACCCAGATGTTTTGGACTACAATCCCCTTCAGTCCCAGCCACCACAGCGCTGGCAGGGGCTGATGGGATCGGTAGTCCTAGACGTTTGGAGGTACACTCTGATTTCTCTTCAGGGCATATAAAATATTTCATACACGTGTGGCTTTTACCAGGCTGGAGAAAGCTGCTCTGATGGATAGGACGGCCGAACTAAAAGCAAAGGGGAAATAATGTTTTAAAATGTATGGGGGGGGAGAAGTCTTTTCTTTTTTTTAAGGAGACACCTAGGAATCAAGCCACCACATACTGAAGATGGTGGAACTGAGCAACGCACTGCTGGGAAGGCGTACAGAGCAGTTGAGCGCCACAAGTCAAGGAGAGGCCTTTAAGGTAGAAGTAACATGATTCAACAATGACATTCATAAATAAAAACTTTTTTTCTTTTTTAAAAAAGATATCACTGTACATTGTTTCTATATAGGCATTATTAGAAAAAGAACAGGAAACAAAAAACCCCTTCCCCCAAATTCATGCCTTAACAATTAAGTGTTTCTTCCCCTTCGGTCTCAGCAGCACACAAAGAAAACTGGGGTGAAAATTCATCGGCAAGGAGACATGCAAGTCAGCAGACAAGGAGTAAGGTTTTCTGAGGTGGGTTGAGGGTTTGACACTCCCACGCGACCCAAAGAATTTTGTGGTGCATTTTTTAGATCCAAGTTAAATAAATAATCTCTCCTTTTTGCAATCTATGCTGACCCGTTTCCCTGCCACCAAATCCAATCAAAGAACAGGTAAGGTAGCAAGCAGTGAGCTGGATCAAACCAGAGAAACCCACAGATCTATCCCATAGGTGCCCATTATCCCACGGGCATAATGAACAGAGCTTATTTGGGCAAAACTCTTAAGACACATGGGAATGGACAGCACGCTGCTTTGCTAAACAAAACTTGGGGAAGCCGCTGCTTGAAATGAGCCTGTGTACATTGACTTTTACACGCAGATGCCCTGGGTTGATGTCAACTAACAAGGCAGACACAGCACCGGATTTGGCGGCAGGTATCATCCAGAGCCTAGTGGCCTTCTACTCTCATGCCATGAACTTCCAGGGCAGACCTAGACCTTAAGCAAAAGAACATGCCAAAACCAGCTGAGCTCTCCTCTTCCCTGCTATAACATCTAGATTGATTTGCCTCAAGCCCCGGCACTGCTAAACTGAGCACTTCTCTGCTCTCATTCCAGGTGTTGGTTGCTGCTAGAAAGGCTCAGTGTGACAACATCAGGATTCAAACCTAGTTGAACTAGAGATTATGGAGAAGGGAAGAAAGTCTGCACTCTTTTCTGTCCTTGTAATGCCTTTGGTGCAGGCCCAAGGATCACTCAGATCACTCCAGGGATCGTGACTTGGATGACTCCCTAATGAGAAATTAGGTCTTTACTTCTCTCGCAGGATACTGAAAAGTATAAATCACCCCAGCTGATTGGACAAGGACAATATTAGATGATTACCCCTTCCCTTTTGATTGCTCTTAAGCCCATTCAAACTCCTAACATCCTAAATTTTAAGGACTCCGGTAAAACTTTTGATTATCACCCTCCTCCGTGAAATATTTGGCTTTGCACCTCTCCCAGAGATGCAGCCTCATTCTCGCACATCAGGCAGTTAAGAGAAGAATAAATCAAGTATGGAATGCAACTGCACTGTTAAGACACGGACAGGTTAAATTAACACAGGCAACCTGGACAGGACAAACATTCATAAATCAAAATAAAAACACAACAACCATTCTTTATACAAGAGCAGGTTAAGGATCTGGGCTGCTTCCAAAGGTTCCTGCTGTGTATTTTGTAAATACAGGGCCAGGTAGAAACCAGGAGGCAGGTGCTTGGCACAACGCGTTTACAACACACACATATACACACACACCAAAACCTGCACTGGACTGGCCCAAGCCTGATTTATAGTGTCAAGTAATGAAACAGCTTTCCCCTGACTTTGCTATTAAAAAAGCTGCAAAAAGGGGGTGTCAGTTGTAGCGATCTGGCTGCTGTCAGGTGTCCAGATGCAATTTACAAGCGACTGATAAGAGCCAGTTTATAAAGTTATCAGCATCAAATGGAGAGGCATGCCCCAGATTGTTCCATCTCAGGCTGCAGGTGGCGGTGGGGTTTTGCACATTTATATGATTCCTACGTCTGCCAATAAAATTCCCTCCACTGAGACAATTAGCATAATAGGAAGACAGCAGATTTGAACTCCTCTCTTGGATTTGCTCATTTTCTACCCGAAAGATTTATTTTGTGGAGGGCGTATTCAAAGCTGAAATCACCCACCTGCAGCCCAAAATGTTGTAGTCCGAGCAGGGGAGTGGGAGATGAGTTTTAAGATTTGATCCTGGTGATTGCCAAAACTGGCTCCAAGAACCAGAGGTAAAACTGGGGCGTGGGGAGAATGTCTCTCTGGCCAGTTCTGCAAGCCCACTATAAACATACAGACACCTCCAGGTTGCAGGTGGCTGCAGCGTATCTTCAGGTGGTATTAGGGCATTCAGACCCAAACTTCGCAGCAGCAAATTCTTTTGTGGCCATCAACCGCGGATGTAAGTGACAAAGTAAACATTAGCTGCTTGATGTCCTGAAACTCCCTTCCGCTTAGTGGTCCTTCCTTGGACAGTTCCGTTGAGTGGTGCAGAGAAGGGGGAGGTCAGCCAGCCAACCTGCGCAAACGCCTCTCTGCCCGCAGCATCTTTATTTCATTTACTATTAAAGGCATGATGAAGAGCACCGTTAAACCGATCTGCGGGAAGAAAAGGGGTTAAGGATGTTAGCATAGCTGCACACTGGTTCAACGCCATCGTGGCATATGCTCCCCATTTCACACACAGCAGTGAAAACAAGGAAGCCTCCTTGTACCAGGTCTGTCTAAATCCAGGGCTGGCCATTCTGGACTGGCAGCAGCTCTTCGGCAAAGACTTTCCCTATCACGTATGTGATCCCTTTGAACTGGCAACGCCAGGGATGGACCTGAGACTTTTGCAGATGAAGAATATACTTTGCCACTGAGCTATTCCCCGTAAGTGAAACACTCATATAGGCATGGTTCCATGGAGAGTGTGCTTGTATGGTGTGTGCATTTGTCACACCTGCATTTCATCCACTTCCCTCTTTTTCCCCAGACACCCTAAAATGTTTGCACAGCACAATTTTGTGTGCATGGACTCAAGACACCAGCCCCACAATGTTCAATGAGGCTTGTAAGCCTGTAGAAGATTTCAGCCTGAGCATGCAGTAAGGCCTTCAAACACATTCTCTGTATTTTATTGTGCTATGTCACTTAGATATTTGGGGGTGGGGGCATATAAAGCTCCCGACGAATGCAATAAATAACAGCAGCAGTGGTAGATCAATTACAGACCAAGGTTTCTAGTCAACCAATTTTCTGAGGGACAAATTTTCACATTACTGCTGCACAGGATACAACTCAAACACAAAAGGGTAGCATCCCAATTTCACATGAGGAATGTTTAGGATGAAACAACATGTGCCATGTGGGCAGGAGGCAGTGGAAGAAACCTGACCAATGACCACATTTTGAGAGCTGAGGGGCTTAAATGCCAATGAAGTCAAGTTGCCATTTCTGCTCACCTTGGGGGCTCATTCACAGAAATGACTCCACATGTGAAATGGAGGGGAAACAATCCGTGGGAGAGAACTGCACTATGGCAAAAATTATGTATAAGAATTAACTGCCAGGGTCCTGTGCGAATCAGCTAAGGAAAGGCGACTGTGTGGTTTGGTAGAACAGTCTTGAAACAGCGACTGTGGGAATCTCTCCCACCATGCCTAACTTCTCTAGATGAGAATAAGACTCTCTGCTTGTTGTTTCCTGACTTATATCAATCTGTCTTAAGTAAATTTGCATTTTCCCAATGGATTTCTGGAAAGCAATGAAGGGGCATGAATAAAAAGAACAGGTGGGGCAATCCATCATACCTGCCCCCTTTTCCCCATCCCACCCAAACACTGTCAGCCTCCACATGTATTGTTCTCATACTGGTGCTCACCTAACTCATGTGGTTGCTGTAAATTTAAAGCAGTTTGTGCGTGAAGCAGAGAAGATACGTGAAGTGTTATGTGAAGCGTATCTGAACACTTGAAAGCGCAATATAAATGTTTAGTATCTTTAATCTAAAAATCCAACGTTGCATCAGTTTTCAATTAAAAATAAAAAAACAACAACCAGGGCTCTTACCATCAGACTGAAGAAATAGAAAACCGACATCCATTCCAATTTATCGTGAATCAAAGATACCAGTGACTGAAAAGGGAAGAAAATATGAGAGCTATTAAGGCTGTCAAGGGGTGGAGAACACAAAGAGACTCTCCCCTCCTCCCCATATGTTATGTCCCTCTTGCTTTTCCTTATTCAAAACACAACCCAACACCTCCTCATGTGGCTACTCCTTGCTTCCAAAGCTGTCAGGTTTCATCTTACGAACTTTGCTGCTATCCCCCAAAGGCCTGTTGACATTATTATTTATCAATCATTTATACAGTGCCTACAATTTTGTAGGTGCTGCAGAGAGCTTTAAAAAACAGCACAGTCTCCGCCTGCAGGTTCAAAATCTAACAGACAAGATGTAGAGGGGTGGAAATGTGCCAGGAACCTTTCAAATTTGCTGTGCGGAAGGGGGGTGGAAGGAAAAACAAGCAAAATCAGGTATCAACATGCTAATCCCTAAATATAACCTTTCAAATTTGCTCTAACTTCTGAGTTACTGCTGCAATCCAGGGTTAACCAGAGGCTGTAGCAAATGGGAAGAAGAACCCCTGAAGAACCGAGGGACTCTTTCCTTCCCTATTCTCAGTATAATAAAAGACATACAACTAACAGAACTGGCAGAAAAGTTGACATGGTACAAACAGATACGTCTTCATTTAGAATCATAGAATTGGAAGGGAACCAACCCCCTGCAATGCAGGAATCTTTAGCACAACGTGGAGCTTGAACCCACAACCCTGAGATTAAGAGTCTCCATTTAGTAAGGATATAAAGCTGCCTGATATTTATTCATTCATCTCGAACAGTTTCTATCCAGCTTTTCTCTTAAAGGGAACTCAGAGGGGCTAACAGCGGGGCAGGGGAGGAGCGTCTGGCTCAGGGCCCAAATACACCCCATCCAAGAACTTAATTCGTTCTGGAGGTCTTAACCTGAAACTGTTCTCAACCTGAGGTACCACTTTAGGTAATGGGGCCTCCCGCTGCCGCCGCCACCACGTGATTTCTGTTCTCATCCTGAAGCAAAGTTCTTAACCCAAGGTACTATTTCTGGGTTAGCGGAATCTAACCTGAAGCGTCTGTAACCCGAGGTACCACTGTATCTATCTGACTCTTGGGAGCCTCTCCAGGCCCACCTCCTCTACCCAGGTCAAACCCCTCACCCGTCCCACTGGAATGTGTCCTTCAACACTGGCAATGCCTGGACAGTGGGGAGAGAGGGTGTGAGTGTGTGTGGAGACAAGTTCACTCTGCAAAAGCAACATTTGCTATTGTTGCTTTGCTTCCTTTTGCCTCTGGCCTCAACCACCACCGCCATGTGCCCCCCCCCCGGAAGGCAGTGTGGTGGTCCTCAGGCTGAAAAAGGTTCCTCACCCCTATTTTAGGCGGGCAGAACATTTTTCCTTGGCCTAGAAGCAGAGTAGAGCAGCTTCATCCCTCTTCAGAAATGAAACCAAGTGCTTATACTGAGATTCTGCCCCAAAGTATGTCTTTGACATTGCCGTGCACCCCGACACGTTTGGCGGCATGTGCGCACTGGGGTGGGCGAGTGGGAAAGGTCATGCGCCTCACATGCAGCCTTTAAGCCTCTCTCTTTTCCAAGATGTTTGACATACTCCTGCTGTTAGCTTCCCACTATGGAAGACAGCCCCGCTTGCGGAATCTTAGCTGGTTGCTATGGAGATGCATTGTCAAGAGATAACGGCAACCTCAGGTAGAGAAAGAAGCGGAGGATGCGATTCATCAGACACAAAAAGCGCCGCCCCCCCACCCGGTTCCTTCAGGAATGGGTTCAAGTTCAAAAACTGGAGAGCGGCAGAGTTAAAGAACTGGAATTCTAAAGAGGATGCTTGCCATTGTGATCTTCAGGCAAGAGAATCATCTGAGAATCCTCACGCTGCCTTGATCGGAGAGGAGAGGCGTCCGCTTCTGAAGGGAAAGGCACTCCAGAGACAGCGCAAAGCCAAGAGGGAATTTCCTTCCCCCTCCCACAGATCAGCGCTACTGATAAGTTGCTGGAATGCTCCCTGGGGCCAATTCAAAACCTACTTACAAACAAAGACGTGAACTCCGGCCCCAGCGGGCTCCTTGGCACTCCATTACGGAAACCGTAATGGTTACCTTTGCCAGAATGTTAGCTGCAGTCTCATGCCATACGGACGTTTCCCCAGTTTGCCCTGTGTTCTCTTTGGCTTGCACTTCTCTGCTCCCGTTACACAGGGCGTTAGTAACACCGTCACAGACACATCCAAGCGCCTCTGGTTTCTACATAATTTTAAGGAGTCTCTCAGGAGGGCAACACCATTAGAACCTTCCTGACTCTCAGGATCCCTCCCAATGCTACAATGCTATGATACGATGATTCTCCCTAACCACTTTCTCCATGGATAATTTTATACATCTCTCATATATCCGTCTTTCACTCACCTACTTGTCCTATACTTAAAAAAACCCTCCTAACTTTGTAACTTTTCCTTGTAGGTGGAATAGCTCCAGTCCCTTGAACTTTTGGGCTGCGCTTTTCTAGCCGTACAATATTTTTTATGAGGATCGATGCAGTGAAATGTTACCGGAAGGAAGATCTTCATGGTGGCTAGCTCTTAAAACCCTCTGGCAGCCCATTTCACCCTTTAAAACTGTGGAATATCAGAGCCGTCTGCTCTTTGATCCTTCTCAGGTAAAATTTCAACAGGTGCTTCTGAACCCTTCTGAATCTCACCTGGCCCACAGCTGCTCCAATGCTCCCAGTGCCATCCACAATCCCCGTCACAGTCGCCAGAGCCTCGCTGCTTCCTTTCACCATCTCCTGACGCCCCAGGTCTGCAGAGATGGCGGAACTGATCATATTGGAAGGGCCTCCGATGAAAAAGCCTAAGGGCCATTGAAAGAGATTAAAGAAAATAATTGAGACTACTGCAAAGGATGGGCCCAGTCTCTGTTCGGAAGCCAGAACTTTTTTCATCTGAACTTGTTAACCCTGCCATATACCCTACAAATACCCATGAAGGCACCTTTAATTGAAATGACTCAATTGAAAAGCAGGGAGTTCCAAGATTATGCAAAAATTGTGTGTTATTTTTTATGGTTCCTTCACAAATCAAAGAACCTTGCAGCCCATTAAAGAATGAAGCATTTATTACGGCATAAACTCTCACGGATTAAAGTCCCCTTCACTGCAGGCATGAACCTTTATCCCACGTTGGCAGGTTTGTGTATGCACAAATCAGCCAGGAAAGGCTGGCTTACAGGTAAGCCAATGCAATGTCTCCGTATGTGACATCCTCCAGCCTGGCCAATGGTCAAGGATGAAGAGAGCTGTGATGCAGCAACATCTGGAGAATGCCAGGTTGGCTATCCCTGCTCCAGCCCATCTGGTCCATCTCCATGAGAGGAAAGGAGAAGAGAATATGCACCACCCCCTTCTAGCTATGGCCAGGTGAGAATTGCAGTGCCCTAGAAACCTAACAAATCACACTTTTACTCCAATACAGATGGCAGGATGAGATCTGCCTTGTGTCCAGCCACAGCCCTTTCCCCTTACCTGTTATTGCCATGAGAACCGCATTGATAAGTTTGTCGTTTGGTGAACCTATAAAAAGAAAGGAATCATAGAATCACTGAATTGTAGAGTTGGAAGGGACCATGAGGATCATCTGGGCCAACCTCCTGCAATGCAGGGATCTTTTGCCCAACACGGGGCTCGGACCTGCAACCTCTGAGATTAAGAGAAGAAAGAAATGCTTCAAATTCATAACTACCCTTTGGAACGAGTCTGAAAAGATCAGGAAGGAATGAGAAGCTGATCATTAAAGCTGCTTCACCAAGGCTATCTGGGAAACTAGCTTGATCCAGCAGTGCTCTTCTTATGTCCTCATGATCAACCAAAAACTCAACCTGGCCAAGGTGATGGGACACCACATTGAATACAAGGCTAGTACAGTGGCACTTGGGTTCCTGAACGGCTTAGCTGTCAAACAAAATTGGCTCCCGAATGCTACAAACACGGAAGTAAGTGTTCTAGTTTGCAAACATTTTTCAGAAGCTGAATGTCCAACACGGCTTCTGCAGCTTCCGACTGAGTGCAGGAAGGTCCTGCAACCCATCAGAAGCTGCGCCTTGGTTTTTGAACGGTTTTGGGAGTCAAACGGACTCCCAGAACAGTCTAAGTTCAAGAACCAAGGTACCACTGTATGGGCCAGTGAACTGCTGGAATCGCATCAGTTCTTTTGATCATTAGGAAAGGGATTGAAAATGATATGCAGATATATGGAATGATCCATAGCGAACTTGGGTCCCCAAAACACCTCAAACAACTGGCTATTTTGGATGAATTCTGAAGAACAATAATTAGGAAGGACTCTGAAACAAGTACATGTTTCTGTTTTCTTTTGTTTAATTCTTTTGGATATCTCTAAGGATACAAATGTTTTGGCATCTTGTAAGTTTATTTACTTTTTCACAGCCTATTTAGAAAACAAGCAAAAAAATTATTATTTTTTTAAGGGAAAGAATTGAAATCAAAACAATCAGTATCATAGAAGTGTTATAAAAAGCTACGGGGCACCTGCACTCTGAGTACTATGCACAGTTCTGGCCTCCTCATCTCAGTAAGGATATTGTAGAGCTGAAAAAGCTACACAAAAAGGGGAACCAAAATGATCAAGGGATAAGAAAAACTGGGGCTTTTTAGTTTGGAGGGAAAAAATGGCGAGTAAGGGAGGGCATGACAGAGATGCGTGCAATTATGCATATTGCGGAGAAAGTGATCGCAGGTAAGCTTTCCTCCCTTTCTCGTAATACTAGAACTCTAAGGAAGCTGAATTTGGGAACATACAGGACAACAAGCACTCCAACGAAACGCTAACGCTACTAGTTTCTACTACCTGCACTGTCTTGAGGCAGTGGGCCTATGAATGGCACTTTGCAGGAATTCCTGGTGAAGAGAGTGCTGTAAGACACAATTCTGTACTTCCCACAGGCCTCTCGTTTGCCATGTAAGAACAGGATGCAGGACTAGATGGTTCTTTGTGCTGATTCAGCAGGACTTTTCTTATACTCTTAAAACAGCCTTTGCAGGGCTAATAGGCTGGAGCAGGGTTTCCCAAACTGGGGTCTCCAGCTGTTTTGGGAGGACAGTTCCCATAATCCCTGACCCACTGGTCCTGCTAGCTAGGGATGATGGGAGTTGTAGTGCAACAACAAGTTGGAGACCCAAGTTTGCAAACCCTGGGGCTGGAGGTTTCCCACTGCTAATTTATGCATTACAGTTTCTCAGACTGAGAATGGAAGATTTTCCACAATCGCCCATTGCATTCCTGGAGCAATTATTCCCAAATCCAGGAAACCGCTCCACAATACCTGCCTCAGCACAGTAAGCAGGAGCAATACTGCTACTTTTCACTGCCATCTAGCTGGCTTAACATTTGAAATGCATCACCACCTGCTCTTATTGGTACCATGGCATTCACTTGAGAAACATGCAAGAAAGAGGAAAGCTGATCTTTCTCTTGCCAGAAGAAGATGGCCAGTTACACAACACTCTTAAGGTGCAGAATTCTGCCCATTAAAGGGTTTGGTGTAACTCACAAGAGCAGACTGCATAATCCTATGCCTGCAATATCTGCATGCAACGAAAGACATTTTAAACAGTTTGTCTTGCAATCTGTGGGATGCAACAGATGGTCCTTGAACTAGATCCTAAAGGAGTGGGGTCAGGATGAAGATTCTATCTGTGTGGTTTCTGCAGCTGCTGTTAAAAGTTGCAAAACAATGAGGCACGGGAAGGAGCAATGGAGAACTTCTGAAACAGCTATGGGATATTAGCTCCACCCAAGGCATGATGGAGAACAGCAACAACCGGGAAAAGATAAACATGGTATTTTACAAGGACAGGAAAAAACACCACAGACAAAATAATTGCAGCACACAGGAAGAACAAGGATGTGGTTTGAATGCTTCACCTGCAGATTTATTAACCATTTAATTTGTCAATACGAATGGCAGTCGTTAATATTGCAGTTGTTGCATAAGGGATTGTTACGGTTGACTGGAGTGCAATTGAAATTAATAAAAGTTTGGAACGCAGAAATAAAGTAAATCATCAAACCATCAATTCTAGCACACAGGGGGCCATCTAAATTATATAATTTGGCATCTGAATGATTGGTATTAGTAATTGTATTATATTTTGGCATTGTTATAATGAGGCTATTATTGGATTATTGTAACTGAAAACTAATAAAAATTATTATCAGTGGGGGGGGGGGAGATTCTATTGTATATAGCATCAATCTTTTCTGGCCAAATGAAAAACTTACAGGGAGATCCGACAATGCAGCAAGAAAAGCTCCGTAAGCTAGAGTGGTAACAGTACCTGATCCCTACAAAAAAGTCTTCAAGTCTGGCTTGCTCACTGATCTGAGCCAAGGGTGGAAACTACTTCTGATGGCTACAAAGCTCTCACCTACCCCACTTTAAAGGAGGTTGATGTGACACATGGAATGCACAAATGGATGCAGATATGCCTATGTACAGACGCAACACACAATGGTGTTTCATCCATGCAGGCCACCCTGTATGCCCTTTTTCTCACTCACCCAAAAAGAAACATGCAATGCTTTTGTTTGGGGGCTTCCCCAAAGCACTTGGCTGACCATTGTTGGGACATCCAGCAAGCTCTTCTGATATACTTCATCTGAACTCAAGGCGCCCCCAAACCCTTGCCTTATTAGACATGAAGCACAGTCATAGCACATTTCAACTTGATTATGTATCATTGAAGCCATACCATGTGTTGAAGTAGAGAAGACAATGTGCAGGTTACACATGACCCCACGCTATTAAACCCCGTACCAAGCAGAGAAGTACTCACGGCTGTATCCCAAGAGAGATGCAATAGCCAAGATGAGGCTAACGGCCAACACCGGGGCTCTCTTTTGCAGCTTGTCAGAGATGAAGCCTTGGATGGTGCCACCTGCAGAAATAAAAGTGACACGGGGCCTTCTGGGTAGAAGTGCAGAAGACACTCACTGATGTGCCTTCAACTAGAATAACAGGCTATAGTTTACTACAAGCAAAATACAACACAAACGGAGGATTGGCTGTCACTGTTTAAAAGCAATGTGGCCTAGACATTGAGGCCTGACCATCCTGTACAGCTTCATGGGTCTCCTCGTTGACTCTGAATTCATGCCCAGATTCCAGATGTGGAAGAACACGTCACCCCACAGATGTTGCTGGACTCCAACTCCCCCAGTCCTAGCCAGCAGTGTCAATGGGAGATGTAACCCAACATCTTGTGAGGGGCCAAAGCTTCCCCATTCCAGTCTATCATCCCATCCCAGACCTCTGCCTCCTGAGCTCACTATCATACTAGGTCTTAATAAATATACCCTAAATGCAGCAAAACATATCATGGATAACAGGCAAATGGAAAGCAATTTAAACCACTGAGCCGGTGGAAAAATGGTGCCTGCTTTTTCCCTCCCACCCAAATCTATACTCAAGGAAGGAAAAAAGGGAGAAGGGAGCAATTTCATGTTGTTCTGCATACCTATAATCCCTCCGACATCATACCAGATCGACAGCTCATCAGCTTCCGCCTCCTTCCATCCAAAATTGTCGTAGAGGTACAAAGGCAGCCAGAAGAAAAAGGAGTAGTTCACTAGCTTCAAGCAGGCATAGGCCAAGGAATACTGAAAGAAACACAACCCAATGGAAAGCTGTTAGAACCGAAGCAACGCGAGCATAGCAAGCACACAGTAATGGGCTAGGAGGAAGGAGGCCTGGGTTCAAATGCCCAGCTCTGCCACAAGGTTCATTGGGTGGGCCTTAGGTAAAGTCTTACAGAATCACAGAGTTGGAAGGGACCCCGACGACCACCCAGTCTCAATCCCCTGCAATGCAGGAATATGCAGCTGTTCCTTACGGGGATTGAACCTGCAACCTTGGTGTTATCAGCACCATGCTCTAATCAGCTGAGCTACCTTGTGCCACATCTCTCTGCCCAACCGGCTTTGCTATTGTGAAGACAAAAAGGGAAGCCTCAAGAAAGCTGACTTTTAGAAGACATCTGAAGGCAGACCTGTTTAGGGAAGTTTTAAAAGTTTGATGTTTTATTGTGCTTTTAATATTCTGTTGGGAGCCGCCCAGGGTGGCTGGGGAAACCCAGCCAGATGGACGGGGTATGTATGTATGTATGTATGTATAAATAAATAAATAATTAAATAAATAAAAAGAAGGAATTTCTTGAAGTCTCAGAGAACCCAGATTGGAAGATGCTGGTTGCCCTCACTAAATGATTGTCCTCCAAGCAGGTTTCTTCCAGATGTTGTTGCCTTGCATCCTTGGCCCGAGGCCCATGAGTCTTGACAACATCTGGAGGGCACCAAGTCAGGGAAAGCTGCAGAGAGCCTTATGGAGTACACAGACCAGGGTGCCACGTATTCCTAACAACATCAGGAGCCCTTACCAATATAACCCCAGGTAGACAACAAGCCTGAAAAAATCCAATAGCCTTGGGCTGGCGTGTGTTGCTGCTGCTGCCACTGTTGCTCAGATCAGCTGCCTGAATGGAGTAATTCTGATCGTCGTCGTCATCGTCACTGCTACCAATCAATGGCTCACTGACATCTTCTTCAGCAGAACCATCGCCCTCTTCTCCAATGTCAGGGAGGCCTGGAAGAGCAGAAGGGGCCACAAATTAAAAAGAAAGGACAACACTATCCCCTCTCCCAGCGATTGCTCTTTCGGGTCATTTTCTCCTCCCTTCTGATCGGCTTGCTTGCTCTCCCATACCTCAGTCCTCCTCCTTTGGCTTAGAAACTCTTCTAGATGGTGTTCTGCAGAGTCGCCAGTTTCTACCCCTGGTCTTCTAGAGCACTCGAAAGTATCCTGTCTGATCCTGGCGTCGGCTCTCTCTGCTTTGAGTGTCTGGCCATTAGTTGGAAGACACAACAAATTAGTGCATTCCCTATATGGCTGCGGCTGAATGTCCCCAAAGTGCAAGTTCTGCATCGCTGACGGTGCTGCTGGTACTCAAAAAGCAGGAGATACTTTAAGTCTCTCAGCAGCAGTTCTAGCGGAGGAACAGGGAGGAAGACTCTGTGCTGTAGGCTTGCTAAGGAGCTACTTGAGTTAGTTTGCTACACATCCAATGTTAACCTGTCTCCAAATCTGCCCTGCCTCTACAACTTTCTCCGCCCTTAGCAGACACACACACGTGTGCATACATGAGTATCCCACCCCAATCTCATCATTGAACTTGGAAACTCCTAACCTTGGAAAGACTTAGCAGCTTCAGGGAAGAAGAATGTTGGGAGAATGTAAGAATAGCCTCACTCATATTTCTCCATCAGCAGCCATTCTATCTGGTTACAACGCTTTGGCTTAGAAACTCTTCTAAGATGGGTGTTCTGCAGTCACCAGTTTCTACCCCTGCAATGCAGGAATCTCAACAAATATGCATCCATGACAGAGGGCCATACAGTTGTCCTAGGTCAGGGTTTCCAAAACTTGGGTCTATTTTTGGACTAGCAGGAGCCAGTGGTCAGGGATGATGGGAAACTGTAGTCCATAAACAGCTGGGGATCCAAGTCTGGGAAACCCTGTTCTAGACACTCTTTGCAAACAGTCGTTTGATTGGAAACAAAAATCAAAAATCAAAATCAAAACAAAACAGGGCTTGCCTCCTGCTTGTTTTGAACCATTGCTACTTGCTCAAAAGTAGCTCTCCACCTGCCTCCTGCCTCTGTGCTCACACAGTTTTGCTGCTAGTGTTTTGTTCCATATTTGTGTTTTCATCTCTCTCTCTGCTGCCCTGCTTTTGCCTGGCTAACTGACTCGACTTTGTGAGAAATGGGGTATGTAAATGGTTTAAATAAATAGCTCCTGCACCCCACTGGTTCTCAGTGCCACTGCCTAAGATGCAGTTTATAATAATAGCAGGAGCTGAGCACGTGCAGAAAAAGTTTTGGAGTTTTAACAACATATTAGAGCAATGTCTAACCCACCTTTTAGGGCCGAATGGTTTCACTTGATGGTTTACAAACAGTTTAGTGCACATGACATTGTCATGAAACAAAAAAAAATAAATGCAACAAATTACATCAAAGCTATCCATTAACCAAAATCAAAACAGCAGCAACTAAAACTTTTTCCAAGTCCAAGGACAGCTTTAAAAAAAAGTCTTCAAGTTTCATTTAAAAAGCAGCAGAAATGAAGCCAGGTGGACTTCCCCAGGGCTAGAGTTCCAAAGGTGTGGGGCAAGCACTGAAAAGGCCTTGTTCCTGATGCGAACCTTGCAGTCCTTACCTGCAGGGCAGAGCAGGGCCTCTGAGGCTGATCTTAACACTCTGTCCCTGAGATAACCTGGCCTCAATTTTTTTTTAAGGGCTTTAAAGGCTAAAAAAGTGTCTTAAGTAGGATCTGGAAATGAATAGGCAGCTGTGTAACCAGTACAGAGTTGGTGGAATGTGAACTGAACCACTATCATCCACAAGCTATACGTACACTTAATGCAATAAAAGGAAATTGGGTTGCAAGTAGGAAAGTCAGAGGATGTGGTCACCTCACTGCTACTCACCTACTTCCTTGGGGGAAATCACCAGGCCAAAGAAGACAATGATTCCTCCAGCAAACTGTACTGAAGCTGTCACCAGGAAGGCATACTGAAAGAGGGGAAACAAATGCAGAGCTCTTACACATGTATTTTTAGTCAAGCCTTAAATTAAGAAAACAGCACCCCGTTTTTCAGCACTTCATGCCAGGAAAACTGATTTACAAGTTCCTTAAAAACAGCAAAAGGTTAAGAGATGTACAGAGCATGAAAAATAGCACAAATCAACACAATAGAAAAACTTTAACAGAACTACTTAGTTTGGTGTGGCCAAAAAACATGGAGAGTATTTATTTAGACTGCCTTTCAGCCCACTTTCCAATCCTATCAGATTCACAATTACCAGGTTTTAAACAATACAAGTAGAGACATGAAGTAAAATAGAAAAACAACCAAAAAAACCTAATTCTTAAGACGATTTTGAAGCTTAGGGGCCAACACCAAAAAGGCCCATTCTGTCTATAGGATCACAAGAAGGTACTTATACCCATCTCTTAGTGATTAGGAAGGTTCCTATGGAAGAAGGAACTCAAATATCCTTGACCTAGACAATTGAGGGTTTAGAAGCAAGTGGTAGCAGTATGAATATAGCTCAGGAACAAATCTGCAACAGCTGAAGTTAATAGAGAACAGTGGCATAGCTAATGCCAAATACTAGTTTAGTTGCCATGTTTTGGAGCAGGTGGTTTCCTGACAGCTTTCAACGGGAGCCTCATGTAGACTGAATTGTAGTACTCCAGATTAGAGGCTACCAGGTTATGCACCCTGATATTAAGTGCTTCTTTTCCAGGAAAATATTGATTAAAGAATCATCCAAAACTGACAGAACTTCCTTCTTGGCCACAGCTCCAATCTGGGCATCCAGGAGAAGGTCCAGAGCCAGGAATAGCCCTATGTTAAGAACATTCTCTTTGGGTTGGAGGGGACAACCCTAGGCAAAACAGACATTCCCATCACCAGAGCCACAGCTGCCCACCATGAACAACCCAACCAGTGGTTTCATGTAAATATTAAGACAAAGCTGGAGACAGCATCTCCCTTGAAAATGAGCTCAAATAGGGGGACCCATGGTTTTCAATCTTGCATTTCGAGACCAGCTCTAGTCCACATGGAAGGCAAACAGCAAGCAGCTCCACTCACTTCATAGCCATACTGCAGAACTGAAGAGGCAAGGAAAGCTCCAAAGATGTTGCCCACCGAGGCACAAGCACTCCAGAGACCAAACACAAGCCCCCTTCTGAGTGTCCAAGAAAGAAAGAAAAAATTGGTTAACTGCTGAAAATGAAGACAGAGAAGAGTCCAATTTATGAGGCACACACAGTGAAATGCTCCTCTCCACACTCCCTTAACAGAACTTGCATGCATGGTTAAGCCTTCACAGGTCTGTCTACTTCATTGGGAATACCAACATTGCTAGCAGAGAGATGCTCTGTGTGCGTCACCCAATCATTCTTGGATTCCAGGCTTCCTAGAAATACTGGCCCAACAGGTCTGTTTTCAGTGAACTGGGCACTTCACCCAATGCTGCACACCAGAGATAATGCTGCCATTTAACCCTTGTCTCTTCTTACAATGAAAACTAAGGCAGACCAAGAGCTTCTGACAAAATAAATGATTTTGTTTACACAGAAACTTGAGGAAGATTCAGAAATTACCTCAGGACTGCAACTCATGCAAACACATATAGATTATACAGTCATACCTCGGGTTACAGACGCTTCAGGTTGTGTTTTTTCAGGTTACGGATCCACCAAAACCCGGAAGTAACGGAACAGGTTACTTCTGGGTTTCAGCGGTCATGCATGAGCAGAAGCGCTAAATAGCGCTATGCGCAGAAGCGCAGAAGTGCAACCCACGCATGCGCAGATACGCCACTGCAGGTTGCGAACGTGCATCCCGCATGGATCATGTTCGCAAGCCAAGTGTCCACTGTATATGTATATATGTGTATTTATTCATTAGTATTTTTGTTAAGTTTGAAGATCTACTCCAGTGCATATCACAGGGATGGGGAACTTGTGCCCCCCCCAAGTTGTTGGACTCAAACTCCCATGAGCCCTTGCCAGCATGGCCAATGGCTGAGGATGGTGGGAACTGTAGTTCAGCAACATCTGAGAGCACCACAGGTACATTGCAAAATGCACACACAGAGGAGAGACAAGGCACAAATGAATAGGAAGTGACTGAGAAGGAACAAACATACCCAGCTTTGCCAAACCAGTTTCCCATGACAGCTACGACACAGGGCCAGCCAGTCGACTGCAGCAAGCCGTTCACAATCCACAGGAAGCAATAGAACCACTTGTTGTAGAAATGCAGCCATTCAGTGACAGTGCCAAAAACAAACACCTGGGAGGAAAGAAGGTGACAAGGTTAACAGCAAGGTGAAAGCAGTCTTGCAAATAAGCCTACAAAACTCACTGGCCCACTTGTGTTAATCACTTGTGACCTAAAAGAAAAGAAGTAGCAACACTTCTGTAAAATATTTTCCTGGTTAGGATCACCTGGAACTGATCCTTGCTCACTATAGGAGACAAAGCAAAAAGGTAAAGGTAAAGGGACCCCTGACCATTAGGTCCAGTTTGTGGCCGAATCTGGGGTTGCGGCGCTCATCTCGCTTTATTGGCCAAGGGAGCCGGCGTACAGCTTCCGGGTCATGTGGCCAGCATGACTAAGCAGCTTCTGGTGAACCAGAGCAGCACATGGAAACGCCATTTACCTTCCCACTGCAGCGGTACCTATTTATCTACTTGCACTCTGACGTGCTTTCGAACTGCTAGGTTGGCAGGAGCAGGGACCGAGCAACGGGAGCTTACCCCATCACAGGGATTCAAACCACCGACCTTCTGATCAGCAAGTCCTAGGCTCTGTGGTTTAACCCACAGTGCCACCCGCGTCCCAAGACAAAGCAAAGAGGGCACTAATTTACAAGACCGTGGGTTAAGAGAATAGACGTTTTGGGGCTGCTAAAGGACAATGGAAGGTGGAAGAAATGAAACACAGTTTAAAAGGAAGGAGGAATGTCGAGGACAAAGAGAACCACACAGGTGAGCCACACAGACCTAGCAGGTCAATATCAATCTAGGCTGCATTCAGAAGGAATGTAAACCTAATTACTAAGGCTGAAAACAAGTAATTCCAGCCAATTATTTCCGGATGCTATAATAACCCGGTGCTTCCCAATCTCTTGACTGAATTACCAACTAAGACATGAAGCATATAGACATGTGCAAGCAATGGAATTGAGATCCCAGTTGTACCAGCTTAATTTGGAAAGGCCAAAAAAGATCTCACTGCAGAGTGGGTTTGCAAAAGCCTGCATGAACAATATGCACTGCAGTCAGGTTTCATGTCTTTTCTTTACTCGCTTGGTTGTGTTTAACCAGCCGAAGCCTTGCAGTATCTGAACATGTGCAGTACTGAGGATTTTTTCATGAATCTAACAACTCCCCTTGGCCAGAAAATACAAATTTACAATACACAAAATCAAAATATGCTGAAAATCCTAGACTCTTAGTTCTCATTGCCTCAGGAATAAGTCTGACTACAGAGTTAATGAATTTTTCCATGTCAAAAACCAAGTATTGTAGGAACTGCACATCTCTTCCCAACTTGAGCTGAGATTTCCCAGCTTACCACGACTGCAGAGGAACACATGCCGAATGACAGGACCCAGCGCATATTCAGACGATCCCCAACAATACCGCTGATAAAAAGACCCTTAAAAAAAAGGAGGAAAATATTACCATTTAACAATATGATGTAGTCTTTGAACAATAATGCTTTCAACACAGTAGGCTTTAAGGTACCGCACTATTCTTTGTGGTTTGTATTCTAGAAGAGGCTATATTGTATTCTAGAATTCTATATTGTATTCTAGAGGAGTTCAAACCTCTGAAGGGCACCAAGGTAGGGAAGGCAAGAATTCATCCATCCCCTGGCTTCTGCAAAACCACACAAGCATTTGGTGGATCCAGAGCTTAATTCACTGGGAAGTATTGTAGCTGGGTGGTGGAGCACCAGCCTTATCCACAGAATGTCCCAGCATCAACCCCGGCATCTTGAGGAAGGGCAGGTGGACTCCTGTCTGGAACCATGGCAGTCTACTGTCAGTCCACATAGGCAATACTGAGTCAGATGGACCAAAGATGCCACTCGGGGTAAGGCTAGGTTCTTAAGATCCTACAAATGTACACACACCCCACACCAGACCTGAGGGGGTTGTGATCTTCCCTCTCTCTCTCTTGACAGGCTTTTAGAGTTTGATGGGGAAAAGGTTTCACTCACCACAGCGTATGAGAACAGGAAGATGGTGTCCAAAGTTCCAAGGAAGAGTGTGGCTTTCCTAGTATCGGGAAATATATGGCTATTGTTCCAGAGCTGCAGAGAGAAGCAAAAATCACCCCCAAATAGGGATCTCAAATGTGCTGATGGGATAACTTAAAAATGACCAGGGATAACCAGCACGACGCATCTTCAATGCCCCAGCCTTCATCAGAAGCACGGAAGCAATCTCAGTACTGTAACACTGACTCCAACCACTAGAGGTCAGTCCCTTTTGCACTTTAAAGATGTTAATGTTTTCATTCCTAAGGGCTCTACTGAAGAGGTCCTATACTGTCTTACTTTTCAAAGTACAAACACACCCCACCTGGAATTACCCAGAAAGGGCTGCTTTACATTTGACACTTACTCTTAACTTTTTTTTTGTTGGGGGGGACATTGACACCATGATTCTGGTGCATGTCTCCACTGAGTGTCGATTGGTTGGCAGACCCAGATCTGTGCCATGTCATGATGTTAAGCAACTTTTTACTTTGAACACAACTTTTTGAATGTAACCATCAACTCTTTGGGGACATGGGGCACATATGAAAATTGGAGACGCTATTGCAGACACTATGCATGCAAAGCAGCCATATGTATGTACACAATACAATACACACTCTCCTCCCCCCTCCATACCAGTAATTAAAATGGAAGTGGGTTGGGATCCCCCCTAGGCCTACTGTGTGGGCTGAGAGGTCCCACTAGAGAGATCAGCTTTTCTCCCCACCTGAAATCTGTAGGAAGACACACATACACATTGCAACCATTAGGCTTGGGGGGAAGCACTTGTTTCAAGATGAACTTAACCAGGGAGCATGGAAAGAGGAAGGGGCTTTTAAGGCACAAAGGAAGCTCTCTGTGGGCACATCTCTGCCCAGAGGCACCATGTTTGTGGCCATTACAAACAGAACAATGTGCAATGACAGATTATATTGCTCCTTCCAAGTGACAACTTGCAAACAGCCAAGCCATTTTCCATATGGTTTTTCTGGAGCACAAATCTCTAAAAGCGAGAGATATATTAGTCTTCTGACACTACCTGAAGGCATAAATCAAGAGTGCTGATGATTGTATTGTTACCACACACCCACACCCACAGCCTTTTGAAAGGACTAAGGGACAAGGGTATAGGTTAAGTGTGGGGCTGTGTGTACTTGCCCTGAATCAGAAAGGGAGGCAACCTGAGCTACTGCATGCCAGTGTGGTGTAATGGTTAAGAGCGGTAGACTCGTAATCTGGTGAACCGGGTTCGCTTCCCTGCTCCTCCACATGCAGCTGCTGGGTGACCTTGGGCTAGTCACACTTCTCTGAAGTCTCTCAGCCCCACTCACCTCACAGAGTGTTTGTTGTGGGGGAGGAAGGGAAAGGAGAATGTTAGCCGCTTTGAGACTCCTTTGGGTAGTGATAAAGTGGGATATCAAATCCAAACTCTTCTTCTTCTACTCAAGAATCACTGAATGCAATTGCCTTACTCCAGAGTAAGAATGCAGAAGATCGCAGCCTTATGGCAACTTGCAGACAGCCAACTTTAGTTTTATATCGAGTTAGGTATGGCCAACTTGTAAGTAAAATCTAGGCCCCCAGAGCAATTTGATCTGGTTCTTGGCAGCCCGACTCACTTCTATTCTAAGCATGCTAAAAATGTTCCCCAACCATTTCATGTGCATGGAGGAGAAAAATGTCTCCCTCCACCTTGTAAGGGGGTGATTCCACTGTGTTAATCCTCCTTTTATAGATTTTGTAATGTGGCACCCCAGCTATTCCTGAGCACTTGTTCTCCACAGCTCCGACACCATGACTGGCAGACAGTACTTGTCTGCTTCTGAGAAAGGAGCCCATTTGGGTGGCAAAATACACATCTGCCACTGTCTCACTCACAATGTGGGGGAAAGGGAGCAACCCAAGAATACAGAAGCTGGCACAAAATATATATATAGTGTTATCCTATTCAGGTTTATCTGGAGGCAAGTCCCCCCCCATTTCTATAGGATCTTCCTTAGAGCAGCGGTTCTCAACCTGTGGGTCTCCAGATGTTGTTGGACTACAACTCCCATCATCCCTAGCGAGCAAGGCCGGAGCTCAGGGATGATGGGAGTTGTAGTCCAACAACATCTGGGGACCCACAGGTTGAGAACCACTGCCTTAGAGCATTTGCTGCTGCAGCTGCTAAAGGACAATAGTCATTTACCTCTCTTGCTTCCATGAAAGGAAAATTCCAGACACTACAGAGCTGGGAGAAATCTTAGAAAGCCTAGAGTGCTGAAAAACAGAACGTCGCAGTCTCCCTTTCCCTTGCTTTTGGCGGTTTGGATGAATACATCCAACACTGGCCAAAGTCAATATTTAATGGAGTCAAGATTACCTACGTCAGAAATCTTGTGCATTCTGCTTATTGAGAAACCAGGCTGGACTCGCACAAGCAGGAGAGAGCAAGGTGTCCTGTCCCCCCAGCCATTCTTTCACATCACTGCTCCTATACAGATGTCACGTGGGACACAATGCAGTGAACTCAGCCCCATGGAAGCTTCCTCCAATAGATCACTCTCCTGCGACAACAGGATGTAGTGCTTGGATGGTACCCAAAGAAAGCACAGATGATTTGTTTTGGCTCCCACAATGGAGAAGGGAGCTTCCCCTTTCAGGTGACCAACTTTGTGAGATGAGCTACCACTTCACAAGTAATAGCTGTTGGGCCCACCCCTCCCTGGTGGACAGAAAAGCATCCCTTTTGGGGGCAACCTGCAGACCTGTAATATGAATTTTATATCCTAGGTTAGCCTTATTCAAACCTAACCCATTGGAATGGATGGATATGACTAACTTACCTCATTTGGCTGGAGGCTGGGGGAGGTGTTGTTATGGGGAAAGGGGGTCCACTGGTTGGATATGCTGACCTTGACATTGCTAAACGTCTTCCGGGAGGCATGGAGCAAAGAGTAGCTGGGGAATTTATGGGGGTGGGGAAGAGGGGAGAGAGAGAAAGAAGGAATATCAGGTTATTTTCTCATACCTACAAGAATTGCTATCAGGTTTCCTGAGAGGTGCTGCCCTTGTCACTTTCGAAGAACTTTTGGAGTTTGCCATTTTTTGTGGCAACTGGTTGTCATTTATTCTGGTGGTATCCTTACATGGGGAGCTGCCCAGGCGTTCCAATGATTTCGGATGGTGGATGTAAGATGCTCACATTAGTAGTCATAGACCTTTGTATTGCGAGGCCTCCTCCGGAGGATGTTCTGTCTGGCGGAAACCTAGTTCCTCCTCATCTAGATATCTCATTTTAGTCCAAAAGCCCAGAGAGATCTCCTTGGGGGTGGTTTTCCTTTTAGGGGGTGATATACTGCCCTCCCTTATGTGTTGTGCTTTCATAATTAAAGGCGGGTTTATCTCTGTCTTTACCTGGAGGTTATGTGGACGACAATCTGCTGAGTTATATTCCTGTGTAGGGATCATTTTGGATGAAATCTGGCCCTCCCTTGTCACTGGCAAGTGCAACATTGGTTAGAGTGGGGAAGGATTTTAAAAGCTGGTCTTGGGAAGACCGCTTTTTGTATGTACGTTGTAGAAGAACAGAACCTCCCAAAAGCCAAATCAGAAACTAAAATGAATAGAAGAGGAGTTGGGGCAGGGGACTGGGAACCTGTAGCACTCCTGCTACTGTTAAGAGTACTGCTCCCATTGACCCCAACCAGCATAGTCAGTGGTCAGGAATACAGGAGTTGTAGCCCAGCAACTTCTAGAGGGCCACTAATTTCTCACCACAGGCAATGCGGAGAACACCTGTTCTAGAATTAGAACATCCCAGCAAATATCAAGCAAGCATCTCCATCCAGAATCAGCTTCTTAACTGTCTCTCCACCTTCAACTTGCTCAACCGTCCACAAACCCCACAAAAATGGCTATCGTACAGACTCCGTTGCAACAACCTACCTGAAGAACGTGAGCAGGAACACGGCGACATGATGGTGTGTGCACTGCGACGTGAGGGTCCTGTTTGCAGGCGGCCTCCTCCGAACTCCAGGCATAGCTCTCCTTCTGGCTTCCCCAACTCCCCTCCCCAACCCCCTTTCGCCCTTTCAGGGTAGAACGTAGATTAGGTCATTTCTCTTCTCCCTTAATAATAAAAAAGAGGAAAAGCTAAGCATAGGCAACATAATCAAAATCATTTTATTACTGCAATCATCAGAGTCTTTGGACATTCCCAGAGTTGGATGGTCTGGTTTGTTTGACAATGAGAAATCAAACCTTTTGTGTTATTGGCCCATTCCGCCAATAGATATTCAACAGGCGCCTTTTGTGTCAATTTCTACTGAAAACTTTTCTGTTCTGCCAGGCCTTTGCAGGCATTTAAGAATACATTTCCCACAATGGTCTATTGCTGTTTGTTTCCAATTTCTTTTTGCATTTAACTTGCTTTTAACTTTTTGTGATTTTATTGTCTGGTTTTATGTTTCCAGTGTTATATAAACTGTTTTATAAATAGAATTAAAAAGTTTCATAGAACTCAGTGGAACTTACTTATGAGAAAACTGGCTTGGAAAATTATTATTTTCTCCCACTGATGAGTCCCTTTACACACAGGAGTGTGTCCAAATAACTTGCAAAATTTTAAGTGCATAAAGCATAATGAAAAACCGGAAAATACAATAAAAATCATGCATAAAACAGATGCAATAACATAGAATAGCAGAGAAAATAACATCAATAGACAGCAAAATCATCATAGCCCATCAAATGCCTGGAAGAAGTTTTCATCTGGCACCAAGAGAATGTTAATTGATGGTGCTACATGGATCTCACAAGGGAGAGCATTCCACAAGCAGGGAAACACAACTGTAAAGGCCCTGTCTCTTGCTGCAACCCTTAGAAACACAGAACTGTAGAGTTCGAAGGGACCCCAAGTGTCATGTAGTCCAATCTCCTGCAATGCAGGAATCTCAACTAAAGGAACCCGGAAGACAGCCTCAAATGAAGATTTAAAAATCTGGGTAGTTTCATATAGGGTGAGGCACTCTGAAAGATTAATGAACTTAGGGTCCTGTCCCACTGCTATAAGAGGCCAAATACATTTATGTATATTTGTGTGAAAGCAAGGGACTCACCAGTAATATGCCTTTCCCAAGACCTGCCACCCCGAGTCTCAAGATCCGCCCGAAAGTCCTAGTGCAGGATGGCGATATGAGACAAGGCATGGTTGGTAGCTGTGCTCTGTTTATAGAGCTCCAACCGACTTGAGATACTAGCTATTTCTACACAAGAGATGAAAACTTATTTGCCTTTGAAATCCGACGTCGAGGCTGGTTAGAGTAAAGGCTTTATACTGGATGAGTGAATTTCTTTATAGTTTATATTACTGATTATAGGAAGGACAGAGTATAAAAACTCTGAAATAAATGCAGCCACAATACCGAAGCAGAGCACACAGGAGCGCTGGCCCACGTGTCTACTGTGTTTCCAAAAGCAAGCAGATGCAACTAGCACGTCCAGGCATTCTGCTTGAATGTGTATCCCAGATAAGGATGAGTGCGCTGTCCCACTGCCATCCCCATTACATTTCAGTTCTTAGAGGCTGAAGGTTTGAAGCAGGAAGATTCAAGAACTCATGGAGGCTCCGGACAGGCAGGGCTCTAAATGATGCAGGGAATCTCCATGAATATAGGAGGCTCCCCCAATCAGAAACACCTTCTATGATCTTGAGGACAACAGAGCAGGGTGGATTTGATTTAAATTTAAATCACTAGTCAGTAAGACTTGATTTAAATCATTTTTTTAAACAGACTCAATTTTGCTGGTATAATCTTAATATTTACAACCAGATGAAGGTTTCATTTCTGGCATAATAAATTTTCAAAGACAATTTTGGTTATACTATTAGAAATACATAGATAATTATGAAATTATTGTGAGGTTTAATAAGTTAACTGTTTATATTTGGAGAACTTTTCTGCTGTACTTTATTGGAAGGAGAAAAATAATCATTTCCTTAATAACAATTTAAACAATTTCTTTAACTAAAACAATAACATTATAGCACATGTATCCATGTTTGTTAACTGATGTGGTTAAACTTAAAAAAACAAAACTTAGACTGAGTTTTAGCACACATGAAAAACTTAAAACAAATCCTTATTTCCTGATGAATAGCCTTTGGACTATAATATAACTTAAATAGAAAACTATCTTTAGAAATATTTTTCCTCCAAAAGCATTTTATTTTAAAAATCTGATTTAAATAAAAAAAATCTGATTTAAATAAAAAAAATTCCATTTAATATTTTTTTTTAAAAAATTGTTGATTTTTATCCACCCTTGTCCCCACTCTCTCTTCTGCATGTATGTTGTACTGTACACAGAAACAGAACTCCCAAATAGGGCTACATCTGTGTCTCTGGCTACAGATTACATTCACTGCTTGAGACGCAGCAGCTTCAAAACCACCCGCTGCCCTATGGCTGGAGTCTCCTAGAGAGAGACAGACAGGGAGAAAGCTGGAGGAGGCAACTGTTATTTGTCTAGGCTTATCTTATCTGTCCTTTAGTTGGCTATTTTTTCCTAGAAGTTGGGAGGGGGAGAAGGAAAATGAGCTGCTAGGAAGAGATCTTGGAGGAGATAAGCCACAGACTGCCCCTAGATCTGTGGCCCTCCAGATGTTGGATTACATCACCCTCAATGGTCAGAGATGATGGGGGTTGTAGTCCAGCAACATCTGGAAGGCCAAAGGTCAGCCAGCTCTGCCTTAGGCAAACTACTGTTCTCTCAACCTCAGTGTGCCCCCTCAAATCATTAATCCGGAAATAACACAATCATCCTACCTTACAGAGCTCTTGTTAAAGATTCACCATCTTGCCCAATATTCTCAGGGATTACTGAGGTGACATGTGCTGTTCAGGTCTGAGCTACTCTTTAGGGCTATCATGGGACAAATCCAGAGCTTCTAAGCTTCCCTTCTTCTGAGCCAAGGTCCATAAAGGAGAGAGAAAGAGCCTCAACAGATCAGGGTGGAGAAAGAAGGCTCAGCTTCTGAAGCATGGGCTAGATAGTCACCACTAATTATAACGTGAAGGTTGGCTTCACTCTGAAAGATGGGGGTGGTCCTTAGAAGAGGAGCTATGGCTCAGTGGTAAAGCATATTCCTTACATACAGAAGGTCTCAGGTTCAGTTCTTGGCATCACCAGGTAGGGCTGGGAGAGACCCCTGCCTGAGAGCTGCTGCCAGTTTGTGTAGACAATACTGAGCTAGATGGGCCAATGGTCTGATTGAGTTCGATAGCTTCCTGTGTTCCTTCTCTTGCTAGTCAACAGAGGAACCTTGCTGAAATCAGTTCTACTCCAGTAACATTGACAGAAAAACTGTAAAAGCAAAGAATACCAAGGAGTTAGGTAGGACTGATTAAAGGAGTTCCATTTTGCTTCCTACTCACTTTGGCAGCAGGACGCTGCGGGAATTAGCTAGATTTGACACAGGAGCATTTGGAAACAACCAGCTAAGAGCAGTCAAGACGCAGAAGGCCTCAGCGGCTCTGGCGATCACAAAGCACTTACTGGGTTAGGCTTGGATTTTCTCAAGCACACAAAGCTTGCAGGAGGCAAAAATTCTGCCAGGAACCAACAGCTGAAGAATATCCCCTTCATTACTTATATGGAAAGCTACTATATACTTTTCTGAGAATTGTACGGCACCAAACATTATCAAACACAGATTCACATTTGCACGACTCCACTACAGCATGTTGCTCCACAGCCCATGAAAACTGGGAAGGGTTCATAAGAGCTTGAAGGTTTTGCCTTCCATCTCATCACACACTGCCTTATTAACTTGATTAAGACATCAAATATTCATCCAGTAGATGCTCCCCTGCAACTCATTTTTCCTCCTCCCTTCCAGAGCTTGCTGTAACCATATTTCCATGTTATGGCCGCATCAAGGTTAACTGAGGCTAAAGCTAACAGGATTGCTTCCAATCCATTCAGTAAAATAATGGTTTGGTACCAGCTTGCAAACCAATGTCTCAGGCTGTCTTCACTGCAGTTAGCCCCCAATGAGGAACTTAACTATTAAATCCACAGTGTGGCATTACCTTTATTGGAAACTACCAAAAAGTTGTTTTTTTAAAAAAAAATGGTGCCATGTTCTTCATCAGATAAAATACTACACAAGACAAGGGGTGACTGTGCATGGAAAAATAACAAAAGAACAAAACTATGGTTACAGTAAGCCGAAGAAGGGAGACAGGAATTCATACAAAAGAGGGAAGTTGGCAGCAGGAAGGAACCACAAAGGCCTGCGGTGCACCTCCAATCTCCGTACTATTACTTGAACCAGATTTGTGCCAGCAAGTAGCTAATATCCCCCAAAATGTTCCTGGTCCCATCTGGGAACAAAGATCAGATTGATAAGACTGACTGGACATGTCTTAAAACACCCCAAGAATTAGCTGCCCCTTTTTGCCAGGAAAGCCTTGAGGTACTCTTGCTTCCTCGCCACCCCAAATAACAGAAAACATTCCCTTGAAATAAATGCCCAACACCAACCGAAACACTTGTAAGAAACATTCTTGGCTGGCGGGATTACAACCTGACCAGGCTTAGGCTAGAAAACCCCTTTTGTCTGTTTAATTCGAGAATAAATACAGAAATCCCAGACTTGTTTACTTTCCTCCGGCTTTTAACTCGCATGCCTCCAGAGCAGCATTCCCTCCTTAACCTTAACAACATGCCTTGCAAACCTTGTCCCGACAAGGAAATAGGACTCCACCTGCTCAAACAGCTACGTGGCAGCAGGCTGCTGTTAAAAGGCACCCAGGACAACAAGCAGCAGCAGCTTCGGGCCATTTCCCGCTGAAGCCACGGCAAGGCAGACCCGCGTGTCCCAGGGCACGTCTGAATCCGGCCTGACCCGAAAGCAGGCGTCTTGCCTGCTTGCTTTCGAATAATAATAATAATTTTTAAAAATCACATTCAAGGACAATGACTCAAGAAAGCTCGCCAACCCGGCCGTGAGCGTGGGCTTGAGCCGCCCCTGCCTCCCCCAGCCCTCGTCCCCCGACCACGCCGGGGCTCCTTCCCTTCCCTCCTCGCAGCCCCCGGGAGCCTCCACGTAAACACCGCTCACCTGCCCGCATTTCCAAGGCAACTTCCAGGAAGTCACGTGAGAGCCTCCTCTTCCGAGCCGGCGCCGCTCGCGCGCCACCTCTCCCGCTCCCTCGCCAGTTCGGGCCGCGGCCCCGCCCACCTCGCCCTCGCGGTGCACTCTGGGAGTCGTAGTCCTCCTCCTCCTCCTCCTCCCTGCTGCCCCGCGCTTCTTCAGCTCGCGAGGGCGACGGGGAGGCTGCGGCCGCCGGAGCCGGCAGCTCACCACGTTGCTTTCGATGGGCTGCGTTGTGGCGTCGTGGGATCGGGCCGCGCAGCGCCCCTGCGAGGCTGGAAAAGCCTTTGCCTGTTTCCTTCGGGGAGCAAAGCAGCGATTAACTACAAAACAACCACCACCATCTCAAACCCCGTTGAACTGAAGGGGACTGACTTCAGAGTACACGTGCATAGGATCGGGCCGTCATTTTGCCGCTGTCCAGAAGCTGGGAGGGCGAGGGCGCCTCGCCAAATCTTGCTCATTTATCTGGGAGTAAGAATAGGCATTTAACAAGAGATATATTTCCAACAAACTTTTAAAAATTCCTGTACGTTTCAATAGCTGCCTATCACTTAGAAATCCACCTAGTTGTTGTTATTGTTATTATTATTATTATTATTGATTGAATTTATTTACTGCCGTATACCCGGAGGTCTCAGGGCGGTTCACAGAATACGATAAAAATATAAAACCACAAAATACATAATCAAAATAAAAACAGCAGCCCAATAACACCCCCCCCCAATTTAAGAGCATAGGATCCTCACAACATTTAAAGTAAGTTGTCTCCATCTCTGCATCTCTACCTGTAGAATGCCTGCCTTCTGCTATGCATCTCTGAGAGGTGCAAACTTTCCAGTTGCTCAGAAATCTTTACCAATAGGAATGGAAATGGAGCCAGTGAATGGACTGTTAAAAACACACACACAAAAACCCCTCTTACTCTTGCTGCAGTTATTGTGCTAGAAGGGATTTTACCTTTTGAGATTAAACAGCTCATCCTAGGGGGATACCACTGTCCCATTCCCCCACCCCTGCAAGGCTTCTGTGCTCCTAACAGTGATATATGAAAGGCAGAATTTCAACTGGCACAGCTTTTTCCTGACATAGACATGCAGCAAAAGGAATGGCTCCAGCCTCCACCTGACAGAGCTTCAGTCCATTTTTAGATAGTGAGAACCTCAGTAGGCATCGCCCATAGGTGTATGTGCTGGCATGAGAAAAAACCCACAGAATGTGCAGAGCAAGAAGAAAAGGTGGATATCATAGTTTCTTTCTGTTGCTAGATTTGAACAATGGTTCTCTTCTGGATAACTTATTAATTATTTGACAGCTTGCTTCTCTCTTGGAGTCTAGAGACCTGTATCAGTTACTTGACTGCTGTGTGAGAAAAATTCTCAGTGCAGTTTGCAGGGGGAATATTGTTATTCTTAAATGTATAGCCAAACCAGATGCATATTTGATGTTGGTAGTAAATTAGGCTTAATAATGCAAGCAGCATCATTACCAAAGCAAGGCTCTATGGACCTGAAAGCACATGCTACTGACTACAATAGCAATTCTGACTCAACATGTATAGGATTGGACTGGTAAATTAACGAGGAAGTTAAGTTTTTTCCTTTAGGATATCAGGCCTGTGCTTTACTTCTCTGTACTTTCAACACAAGTGGCTTCTCACTTTTGATCCTGTTTGAGAAAGTTGTGCAGACTTAAACTCTTTGTGTAGTGCAATCCTGCGAATGCCCAAGGCTGCAGTCCTATGCGGGATCCACTTACCTAGGGGTAAGCTCCCCCATCCCTTGGAAAACAGTGGCACTTACCTCTTAGTGGCCAAGCGCAGAATGTTGCTGCTGGTTTCTTTATGACTGCCTGACAATGATTCACTTTTCAGCATTCATGTCATTCAGAGAAATACAACACTTCCTTTGCACTGAGCTAGGAAGTGGCTTTCATATACAGCTGTATAGGAGTGCCTCTCTGGGGGTTGGTGCTTCAAGTAAGTAGTTAAAGAAAAGCTCAAGGATTGAGTTGGGTAAGATTCATTTTATAAACAGAATAGCCTGAAGACGTTGAACTTGTAGGACTACATTTCCCATCAGGCTGCAAGCAAGCCCAGGAAAGGTGGGAGGGGAATACAAAGAGAGCTATACCTGGCCGTGCAGGTAAGAGAAAAGGGTGAATAACAGGTGAACAAAAGTTGGTGTCGAGGTTTACTACTGCTTTAAGATATTGCGGAGGGTTTTAATGTTTTACTGCATTGAGCAATGACTGTCCCTTCTGTGGTCTGAGGAAGGGAAATTTTTGCTGGAGCAAGAGTTGAAAGGAGGAATTGTGGAAAGGGGAACTGATGGTGGCTTCGATGTTACGCTCGCTGTGATAACGAGGAAGCAGTTCTGCAAGGGGGCAGGCGCTGGAAAGAAAGGTTTCTCTTTGTTACTGATAAACCTACGAAGGGAAAATACAGGAGTGTGTGGGCTGGAAAAACTGCTCTTTCTCTCTGCTGCTCATACCAGTCCTAATGACTTATAAATGCACACTTTCTACCTGTTGTCCTTGGGTGTAAAAAGATATCTGCTCACCATGAGAGAATAGCTTCTTTGTGACAGCAGTGCTGACAAGACAGTGCCTACTTGTTCTAATTTTTCTCCCAGCAAAAGCTGACCTCTCTCTTAGTACTGTGGATTATATGAATCGTGCTTTCTCAAGAGTGTCATGATAAAGAGGTTGCTTCATGCTATCGGGTGATTCATCCAGCATAGGTAGAAGTAGATCTCAGGCTTGTGTGATCTTTGTTAGTTTTTACTATAAAAAACCCCTGAGGAGAAGCAACTGTGAGGGTGCAAAATGGCGGTTTGGGGTCAGCTGGGGCAACTAGGTATAAAGTGGTGATTTAGGGGGATGAGCTACCTGCCGAGTGCATCCAATGCTCAAATTATTTGGGGGGTGGGGAGAAGTAGAAGGGCCTTTATGAAATCCACAAGCCTCAACCCTGATCACCACAACTTCTGCCCAATTCCCCGCTTGTACACAGTACCTAAGAGAGTGGGACCCCCATCTTCCCACCCCAACCCAATAATTTGAAAACTAGCTGCATTTTAAAATGTGCTAGAATGACCTGCATATAAAAGAAAAGAAAAAAAGACACGGCATTTTAGACCTTTGATTGCCATTGCTAAACAACTGGGAGACAGAAACCCTTGCAAATCCACTGCATATCACTCTGTTTTGTCCTGGCCCCAGATTTATGTAGGCACATCATGCAGAACACCCAACACCTCCAGTTCAAAAGATAACAGGCAGCAGGATTAAAGTTTACCCTGCCAATGCAGATGATGTCTGTTGTTATTATTATACCCATATTGGAGCTGTGGGCCGACAGCAAATTCACACCATCCCTTCTAAGCCCATTCAACACACGTATCAACTGTATGGATTCCCCCAAAGCATCTTGGGGAGTGTAGTTTTTGGGAAAGGCATGTGTTTTAAATGTGTGTTGAATGTGCTTTAAATGGAGAGTGTGGGTTGCCCAATGCTGCTACTCCCACTTCGCTGCAGGGCAGGGGGGAGTTAGAGTAGTGTACAACAACCCTGATGTGTAGTCCAGTGTTATGCTGGTGTTTTGCTTTTGTTCAGTAAGTGGGTAGGAAATGCTGAAAAGTTGAGCATAATTAATTAAGGGTTAGAGGGGGACATGGGAGCTAGGGAAATTAAGGTCTTCAGCCATGGATGGAAAGATGTCTGAATGAGAAACAATGGAGAAAGCAAGTTTTTTCTGATTTTGACAAAGAGGAATGGCTAAGGGGCTCAGAATGAAGCTAGCGGGGCAGGCTGCCTTCTGCTGTCCATCAGCATTTACTGCCTGAGATGATTGCCTCCCTCTGCCTAATGGCAGGGCCAGCCCTGATAGGATTGCAGGCTACATTGCCAGCTTCAGCTTTAAACCTAAAAAGGTATGATTTCCCTGTAACGCTGCTCCAGTGGCCTATACAGGCTTATTACAAAACAAGATGGGGCTGAACTGGACAGAGCCAGGCTGCCACTTGAAACCCTGTCATTACGAAAACCTGACCTGCCGGAGGTAGAATGAAAGCCCTCTAGCAAACTCCACACACTCCTTTGCCACTCAGTAGTTAGGCGAATTTTTCCATTGTCTTTAAGAGTAGCTGCAAATAACAATAACAACTAGGGACCAAAGTACCTTAAGGGCTGTCTCCTTATCAGTGGCGTAGCGTGGGGGGTGCAGGGGGGCCGGCAGCACCGGGCGCAACATCTGGGGGGGGGCGCTCGCACTCACAGCTCTCTGCCCCTGCTAAAATCCACGGGTTAGGGGGCGCAAATTACTTGCCTTGCCCCGGGTGCTGACAACCCACGCTACGCCACTGCTCCTTATGCTCTATCTTGACCAGTGAGCTCTCTGTTGAGGCACTCCAGGTGCTTCCTCACGCTCCTCTGGTTTGGTTGACCGAGCCTTTAGTGTGGCATGCCCTGTGGGACTCCCTGCCACTGGAGGTTTGGCAGCAACCATCGCTCCCTTCTTGCAGATGTCTTTTGAATAATACATTACTTCAAAAGGACTTTGCAACATGAATTTTTCCTTTTCAACCGATTGGTATTTGTTCATGTTTTTACAGATGCTTTCTGTTGATTTTATTTTCATATGCTGCATACTGCCTTGATATTTATTTATTTTTTAATGAAAGCGCAGCGTATAAATATATAAACAGATAAACAAACAGTAGGAAGAGGGAGTGCAACGATGAAATGTTGCAGTGCGAAGTACTTCCGCCAGCAGACTGACACTCTTTGGGCCCAGTATCTCTGCTGAGTGGTACAACATGATCAGGAAGAACATAAGCTCCTACTAATTAAATGGTATTTGGAGTCTGGCAGTTCTTTGCACTCATTCTTGCTCACACTATTCTAGGGCCAAGTCGTTCAGGGCTCCAGAAGATCATGGCTTTCTCCGGTTCTGACATGGATGAGGCTTTTGACTACTTGTTCAAGATCATTCTGATTGGAGACTCTAACGTGGGGAAGACGTGTGTGGTCCATCGCTTCAAGTCTGGGCAATACCACGCAAAGCAGCAAAACACTATTGGAGTGGACTTCACGGTACGTTCGCTGGAGATTGACAGCAAGAAAGTGAAGGTGAGTGGCACAGTCTCCTTTCTCCACTGGTGGGCGTGGGCAGGTGGGCATGGCTTGCCCAAAATAGCCTCACAGGCCAAACAGGAGGCTTGGTGGGTCTCAATAGACTCGTGGACCAGAGGTCCCCAGCGGTAGCTGATTGTTGCATCTTAAATGGCGTCTTCATTTCCCAAGGAGGCTGAAATAAATGGAAGTCCTGGAAATAATGAAATTCATGTTGATCAACTTAAACATCATTTAGGCTATAACCCTAGACTGCACATCAAAGTGCAAGTAGATAAACAGGTACCGCTCCAGCGGGAAGGTAAACAGTGTTTCCGTGTGCTGCTCTGGTTCACCAGAAGCGGCTTAGTCATGCTGGCCACATGACCCGGAAGCTGTACGCCAGCTCTCTTGGCCAGTAAAGCGAGATGAGCGCCGCAACCCCAGAGTCGGCCATGACTGGACCTAATGGTCAGGGGTCCCTTTACCTTTTTACCTGCTTACCTGACCTGAGAGCAAGTCCTTTTGAGCACACATGGGGCTTACTTCTGATTAGACCCACAGGATTGCACTGTGTAAATAGATTAAAGAGGTGATCAACTGGAGATTTTGATGGCAATTCTTGCAAGTTGACTATGGGCTAAATGTGTTTGTGGATAAATATGACTGCAGTCTGGAGACTGTATTTCAACTCACTGCTCTTTCTGTTCAGTAAACTTAGGTTGACTTGAAGGATCAGTCTCTGGGAGAAAGCTAATTTTATTTCCTTGTCTCTTTCCCCAACTTCCACTCTGCCTTTCAGATACAGGTGTGGGACACAGCAGGTCAAGAACGCTTCCAGACTATAACCCAGAGTTATTATCGCAGTGCCCATGGGGCTATTCTTGCCTACGATATGACCAGGAGGTCTACTTTTGAGTCAATTCCTCACTGGATTCATGAGATTGAAAAATATGGTGCTGCCAACCTGGTCCTGATGTTGATTGGTAGGTGATAAATTCTACCACCAATAGCATGAGTTTAAACTTATCTGCTTTTTCTTGGTCATTAATTTTGAAATTTATTTTTAAAGCTGAAGCAAGCATGCATAGTCCTTTTTTCTGAACTAGGAGGAGAGAACCAAGAGAAATGGATGAGCTCAGAAGGATACTACTTCTAAGGGACATGGGTGGCACGGTGGTCTAAACCACTGAGCTTCTTGGGATTGCTGATTGGAAGGTTGGTGGTTCGAATCCCCATGATGGGGTGAGCTCCCATTGCTCTGTCCCAGCTTCTTCCAAACTAGCAGTTTGAAAGCACACCAGTGCAAGTAGATTAACAGGTACCACTGCGGCAGAAAGGTAAAAGGTGTTTCCGTGCACTCTGGTTTCCGTCATGGTGTCCCATTGCACCAGAAGTGGTTTATAGTCATGCTGGCAACATGACCTGGAAAGCTCTCTGTGTACAAAAACCAGATCCCTCGGCCTGAAAGTGAGATGAGTGCCGCAACACCATAGTTGCCTTTGACTGGACTTAACCGTCGAGGGGTCCTTTACCTTTACCTACTACAATAATTTATTACTTATACCCCACCCATCTAGCTGGGTTGCCCCAGCCACTCTGGGTGGCTTCCAACATAATAAAAACACAGCAAAACGTCAAACATTAAAAACTTCCCAATACAGGGCTGCCTTTTGATGTCTTCAGAAAGTTGTGTAGTTGTTAATTTGTTTGACATCTGATGGGTGGGCGTTCCATAGGACGGGCACGACTACAAAAAAGGCCCTCTGCTTGGTTCCCTGTGACCTTACTTCTTGCAGTGAGGGAACCACCAGAAGGGCCTCAGAACTGGACCTCAGGCTGAACGATGAGGGTGGAGATGCTCCTTCAAGTAGACAGGGCTGAGGCCATTTAGGGATTTAAGGGTCAGCATAATCACTGTGCTCAAAAATGCCCTGGCAGCCAATGCAGATCTTTTATGACCAGAGATATTTGGCCCCAGTGATCACTTCTGACTTTCCCATTTGTCAGAATAGACTCAACTGACTATATTAAGGATCTAGTTATAAGTTAGGAGATAATACTTGCGAGTAGGTAAATCCCATGGAGCTAAATGGGAACCCTGCAGCACCCCACTTGTTGCTTTTTTCCAGGATGACAAGAAATCATTAATGAGTCCTATTTGGGTTCAAACCACTACAAATCCACCTAACAGTTACCTTGTTCAACTCACATTTTACCAGCTTCCTCACAAGGATATCATGGGGGACTGGCTTTGATTTGATAGCCGTAACTCAGTTTTAATCTTGTTGCAGCATGTCTCCTTTATGCCGCTTAGAGACAGCTGTGGTTGAGTGGCACGCAAATGGTTGAATAATAATAATAATAATTTATTATTTGTACCCCGTCCATCTGGCTGGGTTTCCCCAGCCACTCTGGGCGGCTTCCACAAAGACCAAAAATACACTAAGTTGTCACACATTAAAAACTTCCCTGAACAGATGTCTTCTGAATGTCAGGTAGTTGTTTATCTCTTTGACATCTGATGGGAGGGCGTTCCACAGGGCAGGCGCCACTACCGAGAAGGCCCTCTGCCTGGTTCCCTCTAGCTTTGCTTCTCGCAATGAGGGAACCACCAGAAGGCCTTCAGTGCTGGACCTCAGTGTCTGGGCAGAACGATGGGGGTGGAGACGCTCCTTCAGGTATACTGGGCCAAGGCCGTTTAGGGCTTTAAAGGTCAACACCAACACTTTGAATTGTGCTCAGAAACATACTGAAGTACATAAATAAACCATGACCCATGCTGCTTGATGTATGTATCCTAAATGTCGCTGAAACCTTCTTAATCCATTTCAAAGGGAACAAGTCGGATGAAGCAGAGAAGCGCCAAGTCCTGTTTGAAGATGCTTGCACTCTAGCGGAGAAGCATGGCATCCTTGCTGTATTGGAGACATCCGCCAAAGAGGCCCAGAATGTTGACGAAGTCTTCATACTCATGGCTAAAGAGCTGATGGCCAGGAACACCTTGCAGCTGCATGGCGAGGCTGCCTATTCAGATACCATCCATCTGGACAGCAGGCCAGTGGTTTCTAATTGGGATGATGAGAAGTCCAACTGCTCATGTTGATGAGGTGCTTCAAGGAGAAGAAGCAACCAGGGGCCTGTTTTTGTTTTAAGAATCCCCCTGCTAGCCTCATTTTGCCAGCCTGATAACATTTCAGCCAGGCAACTTCGACTTCGTGTCATTCTTCAGAAGCAGAGGCCACCCTTTGTTCTGACGGGTTGCAGTGGCTGAGACTGGCAGTGCTACCTTTTCAGCTGAAGAGAAGGAAGGTCTATTGGAAACCATTTGCTTAAGTGGACAGTTAACTACGGTATTTTTTGCCCAGTCAGGTGTCTGTTTGTTTCTACCAATGGCTGTGGAAAATAATGGTGTGTTTACTTGCCAGTAACTACAATCTCTTCTTGTATATGTTAGCTTTTAATTGGTGGTGCCATTGATAACCGTTGGCAGCCGGTGTAGTGAAATGTTAAAAGAATGGCCATGAATGGTTGCATCCCAGATGACTCCTTTACCAAGCGGCCCAGTGCTTTTGTAGCAATCTCAGAAACTTGATTAATCAAGGGCAGTTGGTCTTTTTTATCAGTTTTATTAGGATTCTCCCTGCCTCTCCTTGCCATCAATGGCTAGCCTTTATGAAGATGTTTAAGGGGGATTTTTTGTGTTCCTGTTTCCTTTCCTCACTCCGACTGATGGCAAACAATTCAAAGTAAAAAGCGTTTATATGATGTTCCCTTTTGGAAATTTGAATCGACTGAAGTTGTTACACCAGAGTTTTCCAACTACGTGTAATATTGTTTTACATCTACTACAAGTTTTATCAAAGAAATCCCTGGTTTAGCCTAGGGGGCATCTGGTCCATAGGCCTCTTTTTAGGCCTTGTGGCACATTTGGAGTTTTTAGCAAGTGCGGTGGGTGTCATTTCTCTCTCCCTCCACCCCCCCACCCCGCATAAAGAGCCAGTGGAAGAGAGCACATCTGCACACAATTCACTTTTCGTGGGATGTGGGTGAAAGTTGGATTCAGTAGAATTTGAGTCATGGAAAGCCCATAGATCTGAAAGAGGAAGTGGCAAGGAACATGACTCTTCCAACTTCCTCCTATGCACTTACTAAGGGAGAAAATGGTAATCACCCTAAGCCCCTCATGACCAAGGGGGGAGGGTTTTGTGGGTTCCACAGAAGCCACATTAGTGACCTGTGATGTAGTCTAACGTTCTCTTGCCAGGCAGTTGCCTCAAGCAAATTTGCCTCAAGCAAATCAGCCACTGCCCTTCTCATTCACTGGGCATCTGCATACAGTAATGTAGGAGGATAAAATCTAAGACAGGAGCCACAACCACATCCTGTGGCAGTGGATTCTACACAGTGATGTGTTAAATAGTACTTCCCTTTCTTTCTGTCTGTCCGGAAGCAATGGAGTCTCAACTTCATGCTGTGACCTTGAGGTCTCTTCTTAGAAGGGAGGGAAATCTCTGTCCCTTATCAGTGCATGATGTTGGCTCAGGAATAACTAAGTATATAGATAGGAGAATTCCTGGATTGCAAAATCCAAGTTTGGGGCAAGTACTCATTGGTGAGAGAACCCCAGCAGAGATTTAAAACCACAAAGCAATGCAACAACATAAGGCATGGAAATATAGGCTGTTAAGACTTTTAAAATATGCCTTTCTATGTGAGTTCCAAAATAGTTGCCTCTTCTCCCAGCATAGGAAAAGACCATGTTTAGTACGTTAAAAATGGTTTACTTACAAACTCTCCAAAGGTCAGATTCACATGCTTTTGCATACATCAGTCAGAAAGGCCGCACAGGCAGTAAAACTTAGTTTAGTTCCAAGGTGGTGAAAGTTATTATTGGTAATAATTATTGGTTTAGGAACTCAAGAGTGGCTTGAGAGAGCCATGCGGTCTGAACTGGAGAAGCCAGCTTGGACCTCACATCTTGAGTTTCTCAGGTAGACTTGTGAAGGGGAACAACCTAGGATAAGCCTGACAGGACATCTTGCTCTATGGTCTTCACCCTTTCATGCATTACTTAAGACTTAAGCATGTTGGTTAAATAAGAATGAGACTGGTTATCCCACACATGAAGGGAGCGCCACACAGAATTGCTGGAGTAGCTCAAGGACCTCCTAGCCAGCAACAGTGACAGCCACTTGTATTCACCTAATTATTTCCACATTAGCAAAGTCCCCAAATAAACAGGACAGCTAGCTCATGCTTCTGCCTCTATAGTTTATGCATGTGCATAATGCTTGGGCTACAGTGGATATAAAAATCTGTGAATTGGCCCAAAAAATTAGTTTTTACTGTTGCTGATAATTAAGTTGTAAAAAGTACTGCCAACAACAATGGGGGGGTGGGGGAGAGAGAAAAGAAATAAATGAAGCAATTGCTGTTCACCCCACTACCACTTCTCATGACCCAGTTTGTGCATACATGTGAACTGAATTGCAACCACTTTGACTGTTTTCAGCCTGAGGGTAGAGTGAGTCTTTTTAGCAATTTGTATGCTGTTCTGGGAGTGTTTTTCGGGTTAACGCCTGAAATAAGGCTGTTTCTCTCATCCTTCCAAGGCACTCTCATGCAACTACTACGAATGACCACATAATCTGAAAGGTGTACTGAGGCACAAAATGCCTATGAAAAAGGGATGCAGCATGTCAGCAGATAGCATTGTACTAATTCCAATAGTTTATACCACCATATTTATCTCTGAATACTTGTGTGTCTGAACACATGCCTCAACCTAGGGAAAACATTTTACCCGACATCTTCGTGAATCTCATTCATTTTGATAGTAGCACCTGCCTTTGAAACACAGATTAGGTCAGCATTTTCTGATTTAAGGCAGTTAGATCTCATTGACTACAACGTGACAACCTGACATTACACATTTTACTCCCAGTTCAGTGGCAAGGATTAAAGCATAGGTCTCATGCCATTACTCCAAAAAAAAAAATTTTTTTTTTGGTCTCTCTCATACAAAGCTTCTCTCTTCTCTATAACATTGCAATTAGTTGAATCTATATGCTGCTATTAAGCATGAGGGGGATGGAAATATCCAGATGACCAATTGCTACTGGTGACTCAAAACTGGATGCAGAGGTCAGGAAACACATTTCCATCCTAAATTTTGCAGGTTTTTTGCAGCCCACATTTGAGAAAACCGCTATTACGACAAAATCGAGAGCACATGGGAACGTAACTAAAATATAGGATTTCCAAAAGTTGAAAACGAATTTGCTTTTCGGTTGTTTTTTTTATTATCATTTGGGAAAAGTGCTTCTTACAAAAGGCAGCTGCAAAGTAACACAGACTTCAGCAACAGTTTCCGATTCCATTTAAAAGTGAAAGGAGACGCAATCCAAAGGACATAAGTAGCAGAACAGTTTTAAGGACAATCCAGCAGCATTAAATGTAAATGGGAAGTTAAAATTCCATTAAAGAGACAGTGGGAAGAGGAAGAAAAAGGGTAGAGGGGCTGGGAGCATCTGAAGTTTTTTCTTGGCAGAACTGGAGCCTGATTGTGTGGCTGCTTGTTTGATGGGAACAGCCAAGAGGTAATGTGGGTTCTTTTAAACAGAGAGAGAGAGAGAGAAAGAGATAGAAGTGGATAAAACTTTCCTGGATAAAACTCTTCGGTGATTGCTAATGATGATCTCAAACATGTCTAAGTGGAAGGAAATACAGGGATTCTAAGATGCTGGTGCCCTAACTGGGTATTAGGCTGGTCAGAACCCTCTTGGGCTAAGCATATCCCTGTGCCTGTGCAGCCCAAAAGGAGTGTAAAGGTGGCTGGGAAGATATAAGAGTGCTGGTGTCATTAAGGAGATGCCTATCACCAAGTTAAATGAGCTGGTTTCAAGACCACTTCCAAAAAAAAACTTGGTTGAGACCACGACTGCTTCAAAGCTCGCAGGGACTTCAGACTTCATGCGCCAAGTAAAGGGGTGGTGGTGGGGTCTAAAGTGGGTGATGGTGAAAGAGAAAAGAAGAGAGAAGCGAAAGGGTTTAATACACACATATACTAAGTTGCCCAGCCCTTGGGATACAACTCTGCATTTTATTTGTATATACATACATAGAAAGTTCTCCTTTCACACACAAAAAAACCACATTTCCCTCTCATGCCGAACAGTAAAAACCCGGAACATTCGCGCCTGGTTCTGGTTACACAGTAGTAAATAGTAATGTGCAAGTAAACAAGTGACCAAAACCACAAATGAACACGTGTACATGGGGTGGGAGTCGGGTCTGGAATGGAACTGAAGCCGGCCAAGGGAAAAGAACGAACAGACGACACCGCTGGCCCGAAATCTGAAGTAGTAAAAAATAAATGTTTCCGAAGTCCGTAATGGAAAGAGGCCATTGGCCAACTCCTGCCCATCCCTGCCCCTGCCGCACAACCGCCGCTCTCACATTTGTCTCTGGGCTCTTCAAGATGAGTGTGGAAGTCCTGTAAACACTTGAACCTTGGAACTGGGTGAATCCCCGACAGGAACACAGATATGAAGCAACAAGTCTAATCTAACTGTCTGACAGTTAAATTCCTTTTTTTTTTTTTTTACAAAAAAAAAAACCCTAACGTTTTAAAGGTTTATTACATGTCGTTTGTTTAACAGAGAAGAAAAAAACACACACTCCTGGGGTTGGGGAAGCTTTGAGGCCGGGAGAAAGGAGGGCGGGGTGGGGTTCAGGGAGAGGAGGAGACAGACCCTGGGTAAAAAGTTATTACAACAGCAGCACCTGGAATGGATAGGCCTGCCTAGGAGGAGAAAAAAACACAGGCACTGCCACAACACCACAGGAAAAAGAGCTACTGCCTGAAAACTGGAGCAGGCAGTCCAAAACTCCACAAAGAGGTGCTATAGAGCCAAGTCGTAATAGTCTTCCAGCTCATCGTGAAACAAGTCCCATTCGTCCTCTGAGTCTGTCAGGTCATCGTCGCCTCCTGCTGCCAACAGCATGAGAAGCATCTCACCCAGCTCAAAGGTCACCACCTCGTCCTCGTCGTTCTCAAAGGGATCGCTGCCCTCCCTGTCCTCGATGAACTCCCAAAACCGGTTTCTCCGTTGGGCCTGCAAGTGAAGCATAAGAGATTGCTCTCAGGTGTCTCACATTTCCCATACTCTATCTTGTAAGGCAGCGCAAAGGCACATCTCTCTCTCTCTCTCTCTCTCATATGTTCCATGTTCCTCTACCAAACACTGGGCAAAACTGGTAACATTCAGGGCACCTCTAGGCAGAGAGATTTTGGGTGCCTGGTATGCCGACTGAGCGCTACTGATCCCGCAAGCCGCAGAGGCAGACTGTTGTGCTGATCCCAGCCAGCACGCAATGGCAGTCTGAGGGACATGGGGAAGGCAATAGCTCGGTGGCAGAGTGCATGCTTTATTTGCAAATGCTCCCAAGTTCAGTCCCTGGCATCTCCAGATATGGCTCGGAAAGACGCCTGCACGAAACATGGGAGAGACGCTGGCAGTCGGTGTTGAGAATAATGGCGTTAGATAGACTCACAATATGGCTCAGGGTGAGGCAGCTTGACTGAGCAGCTTTGTACCATCTTTTCTTATTGGATGTTATTATTATTGATCATTAAAATTCTATACATCCGAGGATTAAAGGGCACTTTACAATATTCCTTGCGCCTCTTCAACATGAAATTGTTTAAGTAGTGTGGACAGTTAGACAAAGTACTCGCAGGAATGCCACCAGTTGCAACAGGCCTGCAAAACCTGTGATCCACCAAGCAGAAGGCAATAATAATAATAATAATAATAATAATAATAATAATAATAGTTATCATCACTCCAAAGGCAGCAATAAAACAGTGAACAATACACAGCAGGTTGGCTGCAATTTGGCTCGATGGATCACCAGTAGTTCAGATCTGCATAATCTATTTCTGATGGAGGAACCAACTCAGCATTTCCAACTCAGGAAGGAAGGATCTGCTCTATCTGTATACAAGTGTGATTATGTTCAAGGCAGTAGGACTACCATGTCAACACACTCCTTCTCTTCCCAAATCAGAAGGAGTTTTGCATTATTTTCTTTCCGCTGCTTTAAAATAACTCAGTTGAAGCTGCTCCCTGGGCATAGGAAATCTGAAATAGTATTTTGGTTAGGGTTAAAAAGGAGATTGCAGTAGGAAGTTGCACAAAAAACCTCTCTCCCTGCAAACTGCATCAACTCTCATCGCCACCCCATTTTACAATTTTTCATGGATGCTCATTTAGAGCAAAGGCAGGAAGCATTGGCCCTTATTCCAATTTGGCTTTGGGCTATCAAATAGCCAAGTCTGATTGGCTATGTGATGCCATTATGTGGTCTAAATGATGCCTGATTGGCTGGGATCATATCAGGAAGAAGTCCAATTTTAAAAAATAGCACCCAAGTTGCAGATTGGAAAAAGCAGCATCCATTAGTGTGCATTTGTGCGCACACACACATTAATTATTATTATTATTATTATTATTATTATTTCAACTTATACATCGCCCTATACCTAGAGGCCTCAGGGTGGTTCACAACAAGACCACAACATATAAAATCAAACAAAAAGCAGTAACCCAATAACACCCCCCACCCAAAGCCACATTCTAAAAGGGTGTTGGATGTCTATCAGATCAAAGGCCTGGTTAAAAAGGAATCTTTTTGCCTGGCACCTAAATGTGTATAATGAAGGCACCAGGCGAATCTCCCTGGGGAGAGCATTCCACAGATGGGAAGCCACTGCAGAGAAGGCCCGTTCTCGTGTTGCCACCCTCCGGACCTCTCGAGGAGGAGGCACACAAAGGAGGGCCTCAGAAGATGATCTCAGGGACCAGGTAGGTTCATATGCATATATTTGATCTTGCCTCCCCCAACCTTGCCCTTTTGATCCCCAACATTTTGTGAGTGAAAAGAAGGCGATGTCCTAATTTTCCTGCGCTTTTGCTGAACACCTTGACACACATCCTTCAACATCTTTTTTAAAACATGAATCATCAAAAGCTGTGGGACTTACTCTGTATCTACTCGAAGTTCCCACTTTCTGCCTCTGGGGCTCCTCTCGGCGGCCATCGGGATATGCGTGTTTGTAAAAACAGTTCCCTCCAAATGGGCAGCTCCCACGGCCTTCATCAAAATACCTGCATGGCTTGTTGCTGGAAAGGAAAATATCGCAACCCTTACTCACAGCATAGCCAATCAGAATTCAGTACTGCATTTGCTTTATAATCCAGGTGATTTTGTTTTCTTTTCTTTAAACAAAAGAAGAGGTATTGCTTGCCGCCAAAGCCATTTAAAACCAATTAACACATGTACACAATGGATTACATCGATGTGCATACTCAAAGGGTGTGCGCATGGGTAGGTGCATGCAGAGGAGAACATCTGTATTAGCCTGTGCTGTCATTTTAAGGCAAGGTTGTGGTTGGGTAGACAAGGGAAGAGCACGTGAGGTTGTCTGGCGCAAAAGAGTGACCAAGTAGCTTGTGTGGTCTGCATGCATCTACCAGCGGTTAGATAAAGATGCATTTCACACACAGAAAGGGGTAGGAAGGAGGTATGAGGGCTTTAGGTAACACCGTGCTTTTCTCCGTGTACGCCCTTAATGTCTGCAGTCAAACTTGGCCCGAGGCTGCAGGGCTCATACCTCATTGCCTCCTTGTATTTCTGAATGAGTTTCTGCTTCTCTTCCTTCTCCTCCACCCAGTACTCACTTGGAATGACAAAGTTAGATGTGATCCGACATTCTGGGCAGGACCTGGGGAACGAACAGACTGCACTGCAAAATTCCACATGACAGGGGCGCTATCTCCAGCTACAGACATACCATGGTATATGCCCACCTTTTAAAAGCAGTCTATCGCACCTCAGAATCTTTGCACCGCGGTTCTTTCACAACCTAAAAGCTCTCCCCACCCCCAAACCCCACCATTTCCTGAGGTTCTAAATTTTGCAGCTTGTCCGTTTCTTAAGAGCAATGGGGGGTAAAAAAAAACATTTCACACACAGACTCATTTTTCTTTAGATATAAATAAATTTATTTTTGTAACTTTGCTTTCTTGGATGTCCATATTGGTTTGGGTTTGATTTTTTCCAAGCAGACTTTAAAGAGGGATGGGTCACTGGCTCAGTAATGAACTAGAAGAGCGAAGGTTTAGGAAACATACATTTGGAACTGATCGGTCTCTTTTCACCATCTGAACCCAAATGATTTTGTATGGTAACCAATAGGACAGCATGTTGCTACCATTCAACAAAAAGAAGTTATGACTTAACATTCAAACTAAATGGATCTTGCTGACCAGTCACGAGTACCAAGGTCAGAAGAATATCCAATAAAACCCTCAATTCTGAATAACGTTACTTATGTATTAAACGCAGTCTTAGGACGAAAGAGGGGCGATGTTGCAAGTTCACACAACATACTAACATCTTCCCAAGAAACAAAGCACAACGGACATGGGGAAGTGCCTCACTTTATGATCTTGCTCTCAAATTGTTTAGCGCTCCTCCACTTGCGGATGCACTTGAGACAGTAAGTGTGATTGCAGTTGGAGAGGATCCCAAAGCGACGCTCGCTGGGGTTGGCTTTTTCATACACCACCTCCATGCAGATGCCACACACCATGTCTTTGCTACGCTGGACGGCAAAGGAGAGCTCCATGTCCTTCTCGTGAGCCTCGATGCAAGACTGCAAGGGAAAAAGGAAGGAAATGACAGACAACGTCTTCCAAATACAAGGTTAAGTTTGGAGGACCAACCTTGCCTCGTTCCCGTCAATGAGAACTCAATGCAATAAACTCTTCTGCTTGAAAACTCAAAAAATATAATATATGCATGATCTTCCAGGGATTCACATATAAAGGGTTCTCTTTACAAGGAATCCTAAGCAAGCTGTGAAAGTTATGGGAGATAAGTTTTTCTCCCTCTTATAATACTAGAAACCAGGGCTACTCAATGAAGCGAAAAATGGGAAGATTCAGGATAAACAAGATTACTTCTTCCTACAACACACAGTTAAATTCTGGAATATGCTACTGCAAGATGTTGTAACTACCACCAACCTTGATGGCTTTGAAACAGGTTCAGACAAATTAATGGAAGGTACAGGCTATTGGAGGCTAAGTTTTCCCTCCACTGCTGGAGGGAGAACGGTGCCCCTAGTGCTGGAACCTTAAAGCAAGGATGGGGAACCTGGTGCCCTCCAGATATAGTGGGAGACCCAACTATGTACAAGGCCAACAGTCATGGACAGCGGGAGTTGCAGTCCAACACTGGGAGGGTTACAAGCTTCCCATCCCTGCTTTAAAACATGCCATGGTGCCATGCATCTCCCCTCACTCACATCGTGTTCCTTGATCTACTTTCCATCTCGGCTGGAAGGTAAGAACTGCCAAGGTGTCTGGAAACCATGGGAGGATTGAATGGTTGCCTTCTTGCCTTGGGGAGACTCACAAAGAACCCAAAGACAGAAGGAAGCCTAATCTAACATTATGGTACATTCTGCTACATTTATTTTTTAAACTTTATATATTGTTTCTGAAAACTGCACATTTTAGCCATTCTCTTGGGCAAAGTCTGTTACCATTTGGCTGTTCTGAACAAGGTCCATATAGTAGCACACCCAGGCCATCAGCCAACAGTCTGGACCTGTAACAACTTGTTTGAAGGACTTGTGGGGTCAAGCAAGCTTGCAAGGGCTTAAAAGTTCTATCTTTTGTGGGGTCAGCTAGTTATTTTGTCCATTCTTCCCGCCTTACCTTTATGTGCAAAGATCTCTGTGCGGCATCAGCGGGATGGAGGACCTGCAAGCCACACATGTCACACACATCTCCATGGATATATACACAGTTTTCTCCATAGCGGCATTCTCCCACTGCGGCATAGGGACATAACTGTTTCTTCATCTCCAGGTTGGTGTGCTGTTTTTCATATTCCTCTTCAATTACCATTCTCTGCATGGGAGTTTCAGTGCAGGATGGAGCAGCTGGAAAACATCAGAATGCAGAATGCTACTCTTAAAGTTTGCATGTAATCATCTGCACAACTAAGGAAAACAACTGCAGATGGTTAAGACTCTTGCCTTGATGCTGCTTGTCCCCAACATAAAACTGCTACCATCTTGCCATTATTTTGCAGCGGAAAAGACTTAACTCAAAACTATGAAGGCCACCACAAACCAAGTACACCTCTGTTTTCAAACATAATCCGTTCTAGAAGAATGAGTTCCGAAACGTTCAAAAACCAAAAACTCAAAATGGAAGCCTCAAAACAGAAATCTCAATATGGAAACCACATTTCTGTTTCGACTTCCAAGGCGCTCTGAAAAACCAAAGCATTTGCTTCCGGGTTTAAGGCGTTTGAGTTTCGAAACATTCGTCAACTGACACGTTCGAAAGCCAAGGTACCACTATACTTCTTTTGTTACAACTCATTTTGTTGCTCTATGCAACAGGTGAAACCCTTGTAAGGGAACTCACCCCGTCTGCCAGCATGTGGCCACAAATGCTGCATGAACACAAGCTGGCATGCCAAGTTACACCTGACACATGGAGCACTGCCATGGCTAGGTGTATTTTGGTGGCTTCTACAGAATATGGGGACTGCCACTGCAAGGCCATCTTCAGAACTCAGAATCAGGTACTGGCGGACCGGCCGACAAAGCTCATTCTAGACGTTGCAGCCACCTCTTCCCAGCCATCAAATGCTGACGTGTGGCACCTCGATCACAATGATCCCTAGAAAAGTAAGGGCTGTTTCACTATGCTGATTCTGTCACATGATTGTGGCTGTTGATCCATGGCCATGTGAAAACAGGTCAGCATGAACAGGGCTGCACAACAGCACTTTCACCAGCAGCTACAAGCACAGAAATGGCTGCTGGCTCACACCATGTCTATAGTCCGGGCCACACTCATGTTTAGCTAGACAGTCATGCACAGGAGTTTAGTACTGTGCATGGTAATTTCATTTACTGGGTTAGGCACATCTGGCTGGCTGTACCCTTTTAAAAATCGTGTTATATGCTGACTTCATCAGAACTCTCTTAGAAGGAAGTCATGTACTTGGGAACAGAGTGGCAGTTACTAATCAAGCACTTGGATGGAATGGGGATTGGAGTCATTCAACAAGATCTGCAGACCAGTGGCAAGGAAAATGAGTCTTCAGCCAGCTAAAACATGGTAGATTTTAATCAGCTGCAAGACAGAGTAAGAAAACTCAGGAATCAACACAATATAAAAGGAAATTAAGAAAAGAGCCTTTTCCAAGCCTCTACTCCTTGTGACTTGAATGTGCTACTTAAGCTTGTGGCCGAGGGGCAGAGCGGCATTAGAGCACAAGGGCAGCTAACTTTTTTGGCTTGTGAACATTGTTCACCCGTGACTATTTCTCTCAGGCAGGCTTCCTCAAACTTGGCTCTCCAGATGTTTTTGGCCTACAACTCCCATGACCCCTAGCTAGCAGGACCAGTGGTCAGGGATGATGGGAATTGTAGTCTCAACACATCTGGAGGGCCGAGTTTGAGGAAGCCTAATCTTAGGATTACATTTCAGAAGTGGGTATGGCTACCCCACACTCACACACAAAGCCTGAGGAGGGGGGTTATTGCCCCCTCCCTGCTCATCAATCTGATGACTGGGAAAGGGCGATTGGCATCCCCATTATGAGAGTGGACACTGTCTACATTCTTTTTTACAGACACCACAGCACTCTGTCTACTGGATAGGACAGGGATTAGCCACCCCTTGTTGTCACCACAGGACAGTTACCCAGGAAGAAACTCCACAGCATCCACCCAATCTCCAAGTGCAAATATAGGAGGAACAGATTCAGCATTGCTACAACCCAAAAGGCCTGGGGGAATTTTGAGTGGGAATCCAAACCAGCTTCAAGTCCACCTCTGACACAAGGTATTAATAGTGTAGAACTGTTGAAAGCTGCTCTGTCTCACTAACACTCACCAACCTGTAATAGGGATATTATTAGTGAACTGCACATCTGGGCTGTTGTATATTACCCTTTCAGCCCAACCTGAAATGTGGCAGTAACAGCTTTGGAGAGCTTTACAGGGCAGTTGCATGCAGCAATATTAGCTTCAACGCAACCCTCAAACTGACTGCAATGGGTTCAATTCCTGTGGACAATACTAAAGAGTTGTTGTAAACTCTGAGAACCATCATAAACCTTTCTCTCCTGACCACAGTTCCCTCCAGCCTGCCAAATGAGGACAATAAACTGCATTTCCTTTGGATCCTGCATTAGGAGGACTATTTTTAAAATGTTTTAAATTAAACAAGTCCTGAATTAGAAAAACTCTTATCTTTGCTGCTGCCTTGAGGGTTCTTCTTCTCTCGGAGGTGGAGCTGACACAGTGGTGCCCAATCCCACATATGTTAATTTTTTGAATTTCCCTACTGATACTCATGGGCAGTTTTCATTTCATCTCCAGAGACATTTAAAAATAACTTTTCAATGCAAACCAGCAAATTACTTATCCAGACAGAAAGATTGTTCTGTGTCCTTTTTATATCTATTTGTCTCTAACCCCATCCCCCCTTTGCTCCATTTCCCTTAGAGAAGAAAAGAGGAGAGAAATCAAGTGAAGGGCAAATGATGGAAAGAAAGTCCTAGCTAAGAACTTTGATAGTTGCTGCAAAAAGTGTAGCAGCACAATGGAAGTTGTCAAGCTCTCTGTTATTTGTAGAATGCTTAGGAAAAACACGACCACATAAATCAATACATTGGGCTCATAGGTCTTGCAAATGGACCTGGAAGTTGAGATGATCCCATTTTATAGATACTGGATAGCTACTAGAGCCTTGCAGCTAGTATTTTGCCAGATAAATTCCCTACAGCGTGATCACACACTTCCTCAGCCTGATTGCATCCATGTTTACTTGGAAGTAAGCGTCAATGACTTCAGTGGACTCTGCTCCCAGGTGACTAGCTGTGCCTCTCCAGGGTTTCAGACAGGGGACATTTGCAGCCCTGCCTGGAGATGCCAGGGTTTGAACCCGGACCTCCTGCAAGCAAGGAAGATGCTCTACCACTAAACTATGGCTCTTCTCCACTCACTATAAGGCAGTTTCCTATGTTCCGAGCATAAAAGATTAATGTTCACATCAATATAGTTCTTTACTGAAATACTACTCTTAATGAGACAATAAGAACATGAAGCATCAGTGCTGACGACTGACGTTTATCACTATTGTAGTAAGTCCACTTACCACGGCCACAGTATGGCTGCCCAGGGACAAACTCCACAGCATTCACCCAATCTTCAGCCCTAGCTCCGGCGGCTGCCAGGTCTTTGTCTTCAACTTCAGTTTCACCAGTGCTCACTTCAAGTGTTCCAGGGGACGGGCTCACATCTGTGGAAGCTGAAGGGTAGGTTTTTATAGCTGGACTCACAGTAGTCACTTCTTCCCTTTTCAATGGCTTGGTATGTTCGTATCTGGTAAGGAAAGTCAGAATTTTACTTTCCTCCTGAGGAAGAATTATGACATACATAGACATTGCACTAAATGTGGACCTTTTCCTAAGAAATTGCTGGCAACAGGAGCGTGATATGGAATGGAAAGTGATTCTGCTGCTATACATGAGGAACTTGTGGCTGAAAATTTTTGCCATGCAGAGCCCACAGCATCTTTGTCAAGTGTGTGCCTATCTGTTAAGCTTGAGAAGGTTAAGTATTTTGTACCTCTGGCACAAGCATGAGATCCAAGGTCCCTTTCAAACAAAACAAGGTTGCAGAAAGTTTGTCTGCTTCCCTGTTCCGAATAGCTTCATTTTAAGCACACTTACAAATGTAACTTGTTACCAAATGGCTGACAACCAACTCACCTTTCATATGTGTATCCCATCGTTCAGCCAAAGAGCACAGGGTGGCAAACATGGGATCATCACATTTTATCATCACAACTTGCCCACAGCAGCCTGTCAGCTTCATAGCTGGTCTGGGCGGAGAGCTTTTGAACCAAAGTCTTCCTGGCCCAAGGCTATTCTATTTGCTACACCACACCGGTACTCTAATCTCACTAAAATAATATTCCCGCCTGCATTCGCTCCATAAGACGCACACACATTTCCCCTTACTTTTTAGGAGGGGAAAAGTGTGTCTTATAGAGCGAAAAATACGGTACCTTCCATGCATCAGAGCCCTATTTTTTTTAACCTTCATGTGCCCCAATATGTATGGATTTCATTCACCTTACAGAACATAATATTTTGTATGATCCCCTTCCCACACCTTTCACATACAGACCAATTAGCTCATACAGACAAGTGGCTCATAGCTTGCCATGAACAAGTATATTGCTGCTGTAGTCTGAGCAACAAACCACAATCCTTGGCTTAGTGTTACATCTGAACTGAGGATCATGGTATGTTTTGTCCCAAACAAACTATGACCTGAAGCCACACCACAATTTCCAGTTCCGACGTAATGCTAAGCTAAGGACTGTGGCTTGTTGCTCCTGCTGAAGGAGGAGCAAAGAGGGAGTGATAAACTTATTCATGCTGAGCCATGAGCACGGTGATTATTACATCCACAACGGTGTTTGACAACTGTAGAAAGGAGAGTGTCCAAGATGTGAGTGCCCCACGGGTGATCACATCCATTGGATTGAGACCTCCCCAATCATATAAGAGACAGGGAGGGAAGTCACTGAGGGTAATGGTCACGAAGAAATGGAATTGGCTGTTAGTTCAAGGCTAAAACATTCAGCAGCATTTCTATACCTGCAACGATCTCCGTAAGCACAGCATCCTCGCTGAAAATACCTGCACACCATGGCAGACTGACTAGTGTAGAGATCATGGGAGTAACGGCAGTTGTCTCCCTCCTTGCAAACGCCATGCATGAAATACCTGAAAGACAGAGCATTGCAAATATGGCTCAAGCAAAAACATCAACATCCTGTAAGAGTTCTAAAGGCATTTCATTCTGCTTGATGCAAATAAATAATAAACCAATGCTGAATAATCCTCTTAAAAGTTCTAAAGCATCATACTAATACTAGTACTAATAGCCATTAATAAACTCGTCCTTTTCTTCCATCAATTTATATAATCCCATTTTAAATCCATCTAAACCAATGACCATCACTACATTTTGTGACTGCAAATTCCACAAATACACATCATGTGAATAAGTATTTTCTTTTTTCTATCCTGAACCTGCTGCCTTTAAATTTCACTGGATAATTTCCTCCCCCAACTTTGTAAAGTAAAATAAAAAAAGAGTTAACACGTTAAGATACCAGACATGGAAAAGATGGCAGAGAAGGACGATCAAAATGATCAAGCCACAACACCAATGAGCAGCAGCCATCATGGCAAATGGGCAGTCCCTGAAAATATTAAATTATGCAATTTCTCTACTGTGTAAGGAGAGATACCTTTCTCCCTCTTCCATAATTCTAGAACTCGAGACCATTCAACAAAATTGATGAGCCGTAGATTAAGCACTATTTATAGAATTCATTGCCACAAGATTTGGTAATAGCCGCTGACACAGACGGTCTTGAAATGAGATTAGACAAATTAATGGAGAAGAACAGACCCACCAGCAACTACTGGCTATGGCAACCTAAAAGTCTCTGTGTTCAATGAATTCCTAACCAGTAGCTTGGGGGCAACTGTGGGGGGAGACTGTTGCCTTTATGACCTGAATATGGACTTCCTGGAAGCATCTAGTTGGCTACTGTTGGAAACAAGGAGCTGAACTATATAGGTTGTTGGTCTGACCTGGCAGGGCTCATCTTATATTCTTATTTTAACATCTTATTCATCTCTGGAAAAGGCCACTTTTAACGTTTTAATTTTCTTTGCCAGTTAAGTGCAGAGATCCCAGTTGTCTTCAGACAAAAAAATGTGAAAGAGGATGCAAACAGGGTGTTATCTGTTCTCTTTTTTTGCACTGCTCCACAGTGCTGGGAAGAACCTGGACTATTTAAGCAAAGGGTGCAACTGGAGCACTAATTCACTTACTATCCCAATCTCAAACGCATACAGTCCCAGTTCCAGTTTGCAACCAAAACTGCCTTTGTGGATGACCTACACCAGGGGAGAGCTGTTGGTTCTGGTGTGCCCCTTAGCGGCTTTCAGTTTATTGTCTTGATGCCAAGAAAGCAGTGGAAGTTTTGGACCATTGTTTGAGTGCAGTAGCATATTTTTTTACGTGGGCTAAAAAAATGAAATTTAATCCAGACAAGACAAATGTGCCATCAGTCAGCAGGAGAACAGAACCTGGAGTACTGAACAGTCCTGTTCTGGACAGGGTTGCACTCCCCTTGAAAGACCAAGTTTGCAACTTGGAAATGTTCCTGGATGCTCTGGTGGTGCCTGTGAAGGAGTGTTTTGTACAACTTCGGGTAATTCCCTGGAATAAAGCAGACAGAGGTGGAATCTACACACATGTTAAAAAAGTTGTGAAAATGCTTTTTTGAAAAATCATTTTGAAAAATGCATTGATTTTGCTGAAGCTCACAATTGTGTCCCAATTGCATACTGCACTTTACAACACATTCAAAGCGTTTTATTTACAGCTGTATAGCTGAGCCCCTGGTCACAGTACCACAAGTCCTGGCCACATCCAGACAAATCACTGTAACATGCTTCTCTGCAAAATGTTTGCAAATTTAGCTTGTGCAAACTGTGGCAACCAGACTAATTTCTGGAGCCTGCTTCGCTGATCATACTCCTACAGTGCCTTTTAATTCTGCCCAAGCTTTTGGGTAGGTTCTAGAACCCTACTTTTATGCTGATCTGTTTTATCATTCTCTTGATTTTACTGCATGAAACTGATTTTAGTCATCTGTTGTTGTTTATAAACATTTCTGCAAGCTGCACTGAGTTTATTTTATAAAGAAGGTTTAATTTTTTAAAAAAATAGCAAGAAAAAGAAGAAGAAGCACTTAAAGGGGCGGTGGCATTCTAAGCATGTTGACTTAAAGGGAAGTTCTGTGGAAATGAAACAGGACTCATGTTTTAATCAGGGCTGCAAGCTTTGATTGGTTTACTGAATGATTAAGCTACCTAAAGCTTTAGCTCCCCCCTTCACCAACCTGGTGCCCTCCCCCAAAAGCTGTTAGACTCCAGCTCCCATCAGCTCCAGTCACAGCATGGCCAATGAAAAGAGCTTTAGCCTAAAACATCTGAAGAGCACCAAGTTGGTGAAGGCTGTTTTAGTTGATTAATGGTGGCACCATATTTTAATTTGGGGCTATAAATTAAGAACACATTTGCTTACTATTGAAGCCATTTTGATTCTAGCATATTATTGTAACAGGAAACAAAAAAAGATGTTGAAGTTGTGTTTTCCAGCTAAAATGAATTAACAGCTTTTGTTTATTAAATGCTAAGTTGTGCCTTCAACTGCTTTCAGCATTTCATACCCTCGTTGTTGTTTTTTTTGCAATGCATTTTCTTAAACTCAAATCCATTGCCACTGGATGAAAAACAATTTAACTAAAAACACTACTACTGTAACACTAGAATGAAAGCTTCAAGTACAAGAGTGAGTTCTTTGTCAGAAGAAGTCTAGCCTGAAGCAAAAAATAAAATAAAATAAAAATAAAAATGATACCAATCATTAAAGGAAAGGAAAATAATGTTCTCCTAATGAAAATCATGCTATCGGCACCCAATGACCCCAAAAGCTTTATCCCTCTAAAAATAGAAGAAAAACAGAAGATTTGCTCATTTCAGCCAGTAAGCGTTTCATGAATTAAAGCCTTTCTGTCATCATACGATCTTAAGAGTAGAGTCTGACATGCTGAATATTCCTCAGACATCTTCTAGTAATTTTAGAATCAAAGTAAATTAGACTTTAAAAATACAAACATTTCTTCAAATACACCCAATGCCCCAATGTTACAAGTCCTAGACCTTTACCCCTCTTGCACCACCTGGTTTTATTTTACACTATTAATCTGGCTCTCAATAGAGCATGAGGAATGCTGCTATGTGATAAACTTGAAAAATGAACTTGACGTCTCCTATGTGCCCTAGACTGGGTTTAGATATCGGTTTAACTGAATTGGAAGCATCAGTCAGCTTGGCCAGCCTTAGACTATAATGGTTACATAGACTTTCTACTCAGAGTAGACAGACTGAAATTAATGTACTCAGGTTACAGTAGATCCATTAATGGACATGACTGAGTACGCCTAATACTAGATACAACCCTAAGCCTTCCAAGTTTGAACTACATCACCATTAATGGTGCCAAAAGCAGCAGGGGTGCCCCACAAATACCTACTGTGATAGAGGAAAATCAATAAATCAATTTTAAAAATAGCATTTGCCAACCCAGTGCCCTCCAGATGTTTAAAAGACAACTCCCATTGGCATAGGACTGATAGGATCTGTCATCCAAAACATGTGGAGGGCACAAGGTCGGCAAATGCTGATCTAGCAGCATATGACCTACACCTTCCTTTTTGTGTGGAAAAGAGCTGTTCACACACAGAGAGAAAAAGAACCAGACCACTTTAGTCCAGAGGTGAATGTATCTCACGTGTACTCAAGACAAAATATTTTTCTGTAGGAATCTCTTTTGGAAGCTCGTCCTTACACATGCCCAAACTGCTACTTTCAAATTTGGAAATGCAGTCCTAAATTTAGTAAGCTTCTAACGCGTGCGCGCGCGCACACACACACACACGTGAAACAGAACTGCCACCGCCACCCCACTAGAATACAGATGCAAGTTCAATTTATGTAGAGAAAGGGGGGGGGGAGCAGAACACACAAAATACTGCTCCTGGACCTGACCATGAAATGCAGTTCAGTGTAACAAGTGCTTAGCAATAGATAAAAAGGTAAAGGTAAAGGGACCCCTGACCGTTAGGTCCAGTCGTGGATGACTCTGGGGTTGCGGCGCTCATCTCGCTTTATTGGCCGAGGGAGCCTGTGTACAGCTTCCGGGTCATGTGGCCAGCATGACTAAGCCGCTGCTGGCGAACCAGAGCAGCGCTGGAGCGGTACTTATTTATCTACTTGCACTTTGACGTGCTTTCGAACTGCTAGGTTGGCAGGAACAGGGACCGAGCAACGGGAGCTCACCCCGTCGCAGGGATTCAAACCGCCAACCTTCTGATCAGCAAGTCCTAGGCTCTGCGGTTTAACCCACAGCGCCACCCACGTCCCATAGCAATAGATAAAGGGCCAAAAAAATCTTAATTTAATGAGAATGCTCATGTGGTCTGAACTAGTGGAGTGTCTGACAAAGAATGAGAGCTTGGGGTGAAGACGCTGACCCATTGCGTGGGAGTTGTGAATAAGGAAATTCCATGCTAGGGTTCATTAAAACTGCTGATATCATAATGCCATTGTACAAATTTATGGTGCGACCACATTTGGAATACATACTGTGTACAATTCTGGCCACCTCATCTCACAAAAACATATTGTTAAGTTGGAAAGGTTCAAAAAGCTCAAGCAAAATAAATGATCAAGGGGATGGAGCAACTTCCCAATGGAGACAGGCTGCAGTATTTGGGGCTTTGAAGTTTAGAGAAAATGTGAATAAGAGACAATAAGATAGAAGTGTATAGAATCGCGAATGGCACATAGAAAGTGGATAGAGAAAAGGTTTTTTCTCCTTCTCCCATAAAACTAGAACTCAGGGACATCCCATGAAGCAGAATGCTGCAAGATTCAGGACAGATGAAAGAAAGTTCTTCTTCACTCAGTACATAGTTAACAACTGAATTCACTTCCACAGACACAGTAATTGCCACCATTTGGGATGCCTTTAAAAGACAATTAGATAATGCATGGAAGATAAGGCTATCAATGGCTAATAGTCACAATGGCTATGCTCTAACTCCACAGTTGGAAGCTGTATGCTTCTGAACACCAGTTTCTGGAAACTGCATCAAGGGAGCATGCTCTTGTTCTTGGGTCCGGCTGGTGGGATTCCCACGGGCACCTGACTGGCCACCAAAAGAACAGGATGCTGGACTAGATGGGTCATTGGCCTGATCCAACAGGCACTTCTTATGGTCTTAAAAGAGCCATGGAAGCGCATTGTGCGGTACTGCAAGGAGGGTTAATCATTTATAACTGTTTGTAAATTGGACAGCATCTCGTTTCCCAAATATAAAAAGGCATCATTCATTTCACAATGGAGCTGGAGCCGTAGTAGTCATTCTTTTATAGAGCACCTGGATCTATCTCACATTCTAGAAGGTAAATTGAAGCCCTAAACCCATACAAACAGCCAGATGCCTTACTTAAGAGTACATTTTGGCATCAGTAAGAAACGTGTTAGTGCTTGAAGTAGCAGGTGTGAGAAACACCGATACAGTGTGCAACTCAATATTAAAATACCTCTATAGCTTTTTCTAAATTTAGGTACTTCAATACCACCTTCATATATACTGGAGTACCCTGGTATCCTATTAAGCACAGTACATACAACTCCCCACTTGAGTGCAGCACTAGGAACCCAGTGGGTAGCTCACAAGGACATCCTCTTCGGGCTGCGGGAAGGGTCTCCTTGCGAGCTGCAGGCTGCTCAGCTGACATGCGGGAAAGCAGCAGTGGTAGCGGCTGCTGCTGTGCTACCCTGCATGTCAGTTGTGCAGCAGGGAGACTGAGCAGCCTCAACAAAGCCCTGTTGTACCTCCGGCTTGCAAGTAGACCCTCCCTGAAGAATGTCCTCTTCAGGCTCTGAGGAGGGTCTCCTTACAAGCCACAAGGACTCTCCAGGGTTCTCCTCACTTATGTGCATTTCACTTATGCATACAGGGGCCCAGAATGTAACCCCCGTGTAAGTGGGAAGTTGCCTGTACTGCAATTTGGCACCAATTTATATCAGGAATAAACAACACAAAGACCGACCACCTAGGTCAACAATATCACTATCAAATTCATTATTGAATCTCTTAAAACTGTGTCGTCTATGCAATACCATATAATCTGCACGATTTTCACTTCAACACCCCCATGCAAAATTTGATCATGTATTCAGAAAAGATGCTTTCAGCCAGCTGGGTAAATCCAATTCAATTTAGTAATAACCTGGAATGAACCCATAATATAGCCAAGCCTGAAGTTTTTAGCAATTTCATAGTTTGGAACATCCTCAGCCTAAGGCTGTATACCCTAATTAACCTGTCTCTCATCCTCTCTGTATTTGCTTAACCCATTCTGTTCATTATGTGAAGTCGTTTTTCCAAAGTAAATAAATAGCACACATTCTGCCTGATATTCTCTTTTTAAAATTGGCAGGTTTGAAGAGTTTACGAGTGATATCAAGTGGATTCTACAGTACCCACACCCTTTAATTAGCTGTTGCTATTTTAGATAACATGACTGTCACTCAACTGTTCACTCTTCAGAATTAAGAAAAGCACAAATGACTGAGAATATCTTTGCTATGAGGCCCCAGAAGAGGAAAGACTGCATTGTTACCTACTCTAAAGAACTGTGCCCCATTTGCTCTGCAACAAACAACACTATGGGCTTTTGTTCACGGGTCATAAATAGAATGCATAAATAGAAGAGAGGACTATGAAGTTTTCTGAACTACATATTTCAGCAGCAGGATGATCTTTTATTTCTATGCATCACTGATGAAAGGTGTTTGGAGCAGGTACAAGATCAATTAAAGCCTTGCATCTTCTGTGACAGTCTGCATACAATCATAATACTGTTTACTATTTTTTCAAATTAAGGAGACACTTCCATATCATCATCTTACATGGATGCTAATTTCCAGATGGCCTTCCTATAATAATTATTTTATTTTAAATATGTATATACCACCCATGCAACAAAGTCCTCTGGATGGACAAAAGCACACTGATTGTTGTTATTCGCTAGTTGTGGACGTAAACCACCAGAGCAGCAGTTCAAAAGCATAATTATATTAACAGATAGACTGACACCCTCTAACTTACATAAATATGTAGCAAGAACGTATACAGTGGTACCTCGGGTTAAGTATTTAATTGGTTCTGGAGGTCCGTTCTTAATCTGAAACTGTTTTTAACCTGAAGCACCACTTTAGCTAATGGGGCCTCCTGCTGCTGCCGTGCCGCTGCTGCACGATTTCTGTTCTCATTCTGAAGCAAAGTTCTTAACCCGAGGTACTACTTCTGGGTTAGTGGAGTCTGTAACCTGAAGCGTCTGTAACCTGAAGCGTCTGTAACCCGAGGTACCACTGTATTAACTAGAAATTGTTTCCTATCCACTTTTCTACCCTGCTCTCCAAAGTTCTGCACTTCCCAGGCAATCTCTTGTCTCTGTTCCCTTATGTTCTCAGACGCTACAGGTTACATCTCTCAAACTGCCCTAGATTTCCTGCAACAAGAAGATAATCATAAAAACTTCCAATAAGCCCTAATATAGCGAGGAAAACAATAACTGGGTAATTCTTAGGTTTGACTGAGAACAATCTGACCGATAGGTAGGCAAGAAGGAAGTCCAAGTTACATTGGTCCAAGAATGATCTAAAGGACTGCAAATGAAAGGACCCAGGGAAAGAAAGCCATTTTCAAATAATGAGGACTCAATCTTGTTCCCTTCTATAGGGAACAAAAGATGAGATCTCATACTTCACTGACTGGAAGATGGTGCAGTGGGTACTAAATACACCCACTTTGGGAGATGGCAACTACATTCATGCCTCCTGTGCACCTGTAGGCATTTTCTTAGATAACTTGAGGACAACTGTGAACCTCAGGAACTTGCACTGCATGAAAATAATTTAAGATATAGGTATGGTGTTATGATACATCTCCAACAACAAAATATTATGATTCAATTGCAAATAATTAAGGGAAACACGACAGGCTCAGTATCTGTTGTTTTTCTTTGTACTCTACTTAAAGAAGAGAAGAAGAGTTTGGATTTGATATCCCGCTTTATCACTACCCGAAAGAGTCTCAAAGCGGCTAACATTCTCCTTTCCCTTCCTCCCCCACAACAAACACTCTGTGAGGTGAGTGAGGCTGAGAGACTTCAGAGAAGTGTGACTAGCCCAAGGTCACCCAGCAGCTGCATGTGGAGGAGCGGAGATGCGAACCCGGTTCCCCAGATTATGAGTCTACTGCTCTTAACCACTACACCACACTGGCTATGATCGATTTTTTTAATCTAGCCCTTGAAAACTTGGAAGCCATCAGCGTTGTCCTGTCACACATTTCACTACATCATACACAGTGCTCATTACCCAAAGATGTCAATGTGTTTTACAAGCTCCATGTACCTCTTAGGGTACCTCTTTGTTTATACAGATGGATTAATGGTATCTGTCCACATTTCCCCACTGCTTTCCCCCTCTATTTTAGATTGTATAATCCTTGGGGAACAAAGACCTATTTCAATTGCCTACACAACTCTATAAAGGTGCAATGTGAGGCCACACACAAACACACACAAACAATTAGGTATGTCCAAGATTACACAGATACCTCTTTGGATAACCAAAACCTGAACGCTAGACTTAATTCAAGGACTGAAAGTACCAAAGCCATTTCTACTGTCCCACACATTTATTTCTAAGCATGCCACTTAAATAATTATATCTACAGCTATCACTATTATAACTACAGTACTCTTCCATTTGCAAAAGAGAACAGACCAGGATAGAGTAGTTTCAAGGTAAAGGAAGAGCTGGAACTCAGAAAGCACTCAACATTACCTTGGAACAGAACTGAGAATAATGCTAAAATTCAAGTTCTACAAATTTACAGAAGCCACTCAAGTTCAAAACTCACAAAATTCATTGTTTTGAGAATTATTTATGTTAGGACCTGTAAAGTGACCAGAAACAAAACGAAGACCTCTGGACAAGAACTATGCCACTTCTATGTGTTCACTACAGCATCTGGCACAGAACACAGCATTAAGAATTAAAACAGTGATCTCACTTACTTGATCTGATTAGAGATGGTCAACTTGAATCCCTCCCAAATGGGATGGGAAAATTTTATCCAGCTTCACTCATGAGAAAACTGTTTCCAAAACACATGAACAAGAAAAATATCCTGTACTAATAAAACACATGGGGTTTGTATGCAATGCCCCATGTTTGCCCAAACGTGTGTGCTTCCTACTTATTTACAATGCCCTATATTTATTCTAAAACTTGCTATCCCAACAAGGTGCCTACACAAATTGTGGGGCTACAATTAGCATCATCCCTGACCATTAATTATGCTGGCTTGGGCTGAAGGGAGTTGCAATCAAACAACCTCTGAAATGTCCAATGTTGGGGAAGGCTGTTCTAATGTCTCAGCAGCTGTAAAAGGGGCTCAGGGCCTATGCAACGAAATACACTTCCATCCCAGACCACTGCTGAGGAATTAAATAACCGAATCTAGCAAAGAATTACAGTAGATCAAACCAGAAGCCATGCAGTGTAGCCCTAATTAAGTTTACTTCAAAGCAACTCCCTAGTAAAGGACTACAATCTAAGTTTGTTTCAGCCTAGGACTTCAAACACTGCTGCCAGAGAATCCTTTTCATTTTGCTCCCACATACACATCTTAAGTTATCAGTCTGCAGTTAAGCAGGACTCAGAAGGCTTACGTGTACATACAGATCAGTGCCACCTTTAGTCACAGGCGAGCATCACCGAGGGGAACAAGCAAGTGAAGTGAACCCGGGGAGCAGAAATGGTTGCGTTGGGTGTTAATTGGGAAGCACACGGAGGAATACATTGCTGTCATCATATGGGGGGGGGGGCAGAGAGAGAGAGATCTGCGTCTAGGAAAATGAAAACTAATAGTACTTAGGATGGATGAGGAGCGAGTAGTAAACAAAGGATCCAGGCAGCATTTTACAAAGGGCGCATGGAGGACTAGCGGCGGAGGAGCCGGGAAAAAACCCAAAACCCAAACATCTCGGAGGACACGTGACAAGAAACCTACCCGGCTTCTCAAAAAAGAAGATAAGAGACAGACGGGGGCAGTGGGCAACAATGGTGACATACCGACACACACACACACACACCACCATCACACCGACCCCCGTTTCTGCTTCGGAAGAAGGAAGGACCCTGGCCAGGATCGGGGCGCGCTTGTTCTGCCAGTGGAGGATAAAGGACCCGAGGGTGGCAGGGGGGGCTCGAAGGTCCGAGGAGCACGAGCGGGGCTCCGAGGGCGGTTGGGGACGGGAGGGGGGGGGGGGCACTGGCGCCATCACCCGCCACTGCCTCTGCACGTTACCTGCAGGCGACTTGCTTAGTCCAACCGCCGCTGCTTCCCCCTCCGGCTCCGGCCGGCGGCGGCTGAGGCTCGGCTGTGGGGAGGCTGGGGGCCGTGGCGGTGGCGGCGGAGATGGTGGCAGCGGCGGCGGCGGCGGAGGGGCTGGGGGCCGCGACAGCCGTTGCTCCAGCTGCCGCGGCTGTCGCTGCCGCTGCTCCGCCACCACCGGGGGCCACCGCAGCCTCCGCCATTACTGTTTACCCCACACAGCGACGGCCCCGCCGGAACTTCCGGGAGCTCATCCTTCCGGCCTGCTGGACAGGAGGGCGGGGCAAAAGCTGATGGACGGAGGAGGAGGAGGGGAGGGAGGAGAAAGGAATAGGGATGGGCGTGGCTTACCTTACCCCTCCCTCCCCCGCTTCGATTTGGGAGAAGAGGACAAGCGGGCCGACAGAGAAAGGGAGAGAATGGGGTGGGAGGGGGAAGCACGAGGTCGGGAGCGAAGGTTCTGATTGGTGTAGCCGTTCGTGAGGCCGCGCCCACTGGGTTAGACGGACGTGGGAGAGTTGTGACGCCAGATGCGGAGGCGGGGCTTGGGCGGGGGAACCACCTGCAAACGGGCTTTGGGCTTCACTTCGCGCGAGCGGCGCTTGGCGACGGAGGGCTAGGGAGTGTTGGGCGCCTTTTCTCTGTCGCAGCTCCATGGGGAGCTCGCTCGGTTACGGGGGAGAAGCTTTGGGGTCTCAAAGCCCAAATACACACCGGGAACATGGACGAGTCTTTTTGTGGTATCCTAAAGACGAACATAAGAACCCACTTAAGTTAGAGGCCTAAAGCGTTCTCTTCAGCTTCCAATTGTTGCTATCACAATACATTTCTTGAATTATTTTTTTTTATTTCAGATTTGTATGCTTGCTCGATTGTAATAAAACCTCAAAGCGGTTTACACAAAACAATAAATTATCGGGGAAAAGCTTAGGAACCGCTATATAAAACATTAAAAGAAATTTAAAAATCACCTCTAAGCTGAAAACCAGATTGCAATGCATGTTGACATTGTCCGGATACGCTTGTCTAAACATAGGTGTTTTGAGCAGGCACCCGAAATGGTACGGTGAAAGCACCTCCCTGACACCTACAGATGGTGAGTTCCAAAGTGTGGAACAAAGGTGGCATTCTGTAACAATGCCGTTTCCTCAGACTGAAGCAGTCAGCGGGTAAGAAGATAATGCAAGTAATCTGGTCCCAAACTGTTAAGGGCTTTGCATACTACCGGTAATAGTCGTGTGGGAAATCTCACATCCTAACACAGTGTGTGTTATCCAAGTGGGACTATACAAATAGAGACCAAATCTAAATGCAAAAGTACCTGGGAGGGTGATCTGATGGCCAAGAAAGATGGAGGCAAGAATTGCCCTGGCAATGTATCCTCAAACAAAGAACTTGAAGCTATTTCGTTACATTTTGTTGCTGTTTTCATACATTGCTCATGTACACTTATCAGCGGCTACATTCCTAGTCTATCAGGGTTCCTTTGAAGTAGACTCTGTTCCATGGCCTTGAGAGCAGCTCCTCCTGCTTATCTTCAGCCTCCCTTCCCATCCTTCTCGCAACTATCAGGTCGCATAAACATTAGGCATTCCACATGTCCGCCTGTGGCCTTGCTCAGATTGCGAGCTACATAGTTTCACATCATTTCTTCACTATAGTAATGCCTAGAACTTGGCCTGGTAGCAAATCAGCAACCAATGCAGGACTCTCACCAGAGATATTATATGTTAACAGGGTTAAAAGCTGATTTACATGCAAGTATATAGAGAAGGTTTGGGGGAACAGAGTCTTTCTGTGTAAAGTTTTAATGTGCACAGAATAACGCACAATCACCATTCACATCAGTGATAATGGAAGATTAAACAACCAACCTAGCTTTACTATACAACTGAACATCTATAGTGGGAGAAGAAAGCATTTTCACATTTAATGCCAAATTGATAGACTCAAACTTCTTAGTAAAATTCTTGCTTGCTTTTTTTTTTAATTTTAAAACTATAATTTTACTTTTTTGTTTTCAAACATAAAATATACACCACCACTATAGCAAACTTATTTACAGTAAGAGGTCAGATACAAAACAAAAGCTAGGTCAAGATTATGTAAGCAGTACATTGTTTGGTCATATTTTCAGTAAAAACGGTTCTTTTATTTTCATTAAAGAAGTTTCCTGGCAGTATAGAAAATTAACCTAAAGCATTGTCCCATTAGAGGCCATGCATGTTTAGCGGACACAATGCATTTTCATTATATGTTATATGTTTAATAAGGCAAAACCAAGTTGTTTTAATGCATTCTTAGAACATGGATTATGTAATGGTCCTTATTTGTTTTGTTTTATTTTTAATACTTTTGCAGGTAGCACTATTCCATCATGTTGACACCAGATTTTTCTAGTGTCTTGCAATGGTTTGGTGGGCAGCTTCCAAGAAGAATCTCAAGAAATATTTATGTAACTTTTCTTCCCCATTTCCATTGAAAATAGAAAGAAGAGCCTTTTGTGGTATTTATCTTATTTTTCTGTTTTATTTTTCATCTTTTAATAAGCTGTATAAGCCTCTAGGCAATGCACATCACTAATTAAAAAAATCCCAAGATCTAAAAAGACATCAATACAGTGGTACCTCGGGTTAAGTACTTAATTCGTTCCAGAGGTCCGTTCTTAATTTGAAACTGTTCTTAACCTGAAGCACCACTTTAGCTAATGGGAACTCCTGCTGCTGCCGTGCTGCCGGAGCACGATTTCTGTTCTCATCCTGAAGCAAAGTTCTTAACCCGAGGTAATATTTCTGGGTTAGCGGAGTCTGTAACCTGAAGCGTATGTAACCTGAAACGTATGTAACCCAAGGTACCACTGTAAACAGATAATTCATACTAATAACTAAGCCAAGCTGCAAAAATAAATAAATAAAAGATTCGCAGCAGTAATGATCACAAGTCAGTAATTTCTTTGGTCTCTTTGTTGAAAAATGGCAACTTTCAGTTCAGCAGCAGAGTGTCCTGGGGTACCACAATGTTCTGTCCCTGGTTTCTGAATGTTGCCATTTTTTAATATATTTGTGCCCACTTATTCTTTCTCACACCGACCTGCTGTATAAGAAACACAGTAATGAGTGAGGCGAACAGCATAACAACAACAACAACAACAACAACAACAAAACCACAGGTGAGTGATCCTTACATATATTTTCAAATACATGTTCATTTCAGTAACCCTTTACATGTTTAGGTGTGCTTAATGTGTGAGGAGATTCATCATTCACTCCATGGCTCCTCCATGTGTTGTCATCATTTGTTAGTATTTCACTTATCAGGCTCTATCACAATCAAAACTGGGCAATCTGCGGCCTTGTTCACTCCAAGGAACTGTTACTGTAACATTGGAGTCTTAATTTTCTGTTGTAATACAGAATGTATTGACAATGGAGGGCAGCAATCCAGCGTGGCTGATTAATGTTAAAACGTACCCCACCTTTTTAAAGTTGCACAGCTAGGAAGAGAAGTATAACAACAGGAGAGTATAACTGGAGACCTACAAACATTTGCAGATGTGAATTGTGTGTAAAATGGCTTCTGTCAATCCACTCCTCCCACTGTCACACTTATTCATTCACATCCATATAAGTACATCTACACTATTTGCATACAAAAGTTAATTCAAAGGTTACTCTCACCATTTAACACATACACACAGCCTAACAACTGAACAGTGCTTTGATGGCACAGCTTTCTACCTATTCTGAATTGCGACCCTTGAACACAACACAGCCCCATCTGTCCCTGAGACTTAGGCATGCACAGTTTGTTTGTTTTTTCATGAAACAAAACTGAGGAGTTCATAAACATTGCATAACAGCTCAGCAGCTGAGCAACGTTTAGGGGAAAGGGGCTCATTTCAATCAGAGCTAGTACAGCTGATAGCTATGGCAGTTTCAAAGAGTGCAGCCTGTGTTAATCTCAGATTCCACCCCCTCCCCTTTTGTCAAATTTACCTGATTTTGGGTGGCAAATGGCAAAACCAGTATTTTCCTGCTGTATTGCATGTTTTGTGCTCTTGCCTAAAACCACCATAGGAACTCTGAAATACTATCCAAAACTGGCTTTGACTTCTCCAGAGATACATGAAATCGACGGTGCTGAGCATGGAAAAGCACCAAAAGTCATGGAGATCACAGATGTTTCCTCCAATTTGACAACAGCCTTCCATTTCCCCAAGGCAGAGAGTGGTTCCAGAATGCCAGCTGCTTTATCCTGTTAATGATAAATGGACTTGCTTGGCGTGGAGTCCATGGCTGGAATGCAGGACAGCTGGAGCCAAGATCAGTCTGTTGCAATTCCCAACAGGCTCATCTTCTTGCAGCGCTGGTCATATGGAAAGTTCAGCCAGCATATGGTGGAAACAAGGAGCGCTCGTAGAGGTAAGGAACCAGACACATTGCCACCTTCTTCTGCTGTCAAAGGCCAATGCTAATTAAATACCAGATTGCTAAGAGGGTGGGAAGAATCAGAGGTGCAGCTGGGTGAAACCTGAAATAAAAATGAGGGTCCTATCATGAAGAATGCAGGGTTTGCTCAGGAGAGTAGCGTAAGATAATTTTTAAAAATACATTGGTGACTCTTGCTTAGTTTCAACAAAGTGTAGACAGTTTTTAAAAGGACTCATAGTGAAACCAAACTGCATTTGCCTGAAAGGTAAACTTAGTTGATATTTAGTTTTTAGTATTTCACATCAGGGTGGCTAGCACACAAAATTTCCTGTGTGCAATGCCAGCAACAATTTGTATGCCTTTAAAATGATATACGTAAATAGTATACTTGGTGCTGAGCTAACTAGGCTGAGCAGTATAAACCTCACCATGTAACTCAGTCCTTAACTCGAATGGAGAAATCACTCTAATTTTGGATAAATTGTTCTAGGAACTCTAATTCTAGTGATCCTGTAATGCAAGGCCAAGAGCACTAAATTGTGTGGTTGGTCCTGGACTAGTTACCTGAATATTTAGCTTGTGTCTTTTGTAATTCTATTATAGTTAGAAATTTAGGAAGCTGCCTTATACTCTGTCAGACCACTAACTGGCAGCAGCTCTTGAGGATTCTAGCTAGGAACCTCTCCCAGGCCTCCTATGAGATGCTGAGGGTAGGACCAGAGACCTTCTGCATGCCAGGCAGATGTTCTTCCCGTGAGCTTCCATTTGGGCTGGAAAACTTTGAAAAAGGAAGTTTGAGGTTTAATCTTAGGTTCTCTGTTTCATTTCCATTCTCCCTTAGTTTCTCTTTTATCATGAATATTATGCAGTTTTATAAATTGATGGGTTGATTTGTGGTCTTTGACTACACATTCGAAGCCACTTTTGAGGGGCATGATGTGATGATACAACGAAATAAATGCCTAAATAAATGATAAGGAAGGGACCGGCTTGCAAGTCAATGAAAGTCTGAGAACACACACAAACTTTGCTCCTTTCAGACCCACTTTTTGACAGCGTTGGTCTTCATTCAGCGTTGGTCTCTTCAATCAAAGAATGATTTTGAAACCTGCCTTTACCTCGGGAGGCCGTGTGGCTTCTGTGGCTTGTCGTGTTCTCCAAATAAGAAGATACTTGAACAGTGAGTGTTTCTTGAAGAGATTGCATTCTCTTTTTTATGCCACCCTTGTGTGCGGTATTAAGGCTGGTTCATGCATACATGTACATCACCTGATAGCTCATTATCAGTCAGGGTTCCTTCAGACTGCCATTATTTTGCAGGGTGGATTCAAGTGCACACCGGAGCATTTAATTTGTGCATTTGTAGTGGATTGATGCTCTCTGTCACCCTAGTTCAGAGGCAGTGTTAGGGTAGCGCGACTAGTTTGGCCGCATGGAGCACCGCACTGCAGGGAGCACCACAAAGGTGCTGCAGAACGGAGCACGAGAAGGGGAAGCATACGCCAAATTTTAGTGTTGCACAGGGTGCTGCTTGAATTTGAGAGCCCAAAGTCTGCCACTGTCCTAATGCAACAAATCTGCTTTCAAAACCCAGGCTTTTTGTAGTTCAGAATACACATCATGAGTAGTTGTATAGTCAGGTATTTTTAAATCTACTGCACTGGAGGGGGTTTGGATGAGACCACAGTGCCCCTCTGTCCCCCTCTGTTTGGCTGTGCTGGGCTCTGCCAGTGGAGTGGCTCTGCTGCCTCAGAAGCCCCAACTGCACCCGCACAAAACTGTTAGAATTCCTGATCTATGATTGCGGTGATAGGATTGTTGTCTTTCACATGAGGGTATATGTTTTGACTCCAAGGAGTGGGAAGTGGTGGAGACAGGATGTTTGTGTTACTGTGTTTCATGAAGTGGGACTATTGTCCTTTGTCCTTTGTCTCTTTGCTGTCTGATACTAGAGAGAGAGGGAACCATGTTGCAGTGCTCTGTGTGTGTTTATATGTAAATAAAGTAGATTAGCCAAAATGCTGAGTTGCTGAGCTCTGTTACACAAAGCTGTGAAGACTTTGTAGATCCCTAAGTGTGCTGGTGTCGGTTGGCATTGGTCGCTGTGATGTTTGGGCTGAAGAAAGCTTATGAAGCTCCCGAACGATCGACCAGGAGGGAGGGAACATGCCAGTCGGGCATGTGTCTCTGCCAGGGTCCTACTCGAGTGTAGGCTGAACTCCTGACAAAAACAACACATTGGCAGCAGCTGCCACTGAGGTTTTCCACAGGTGGTAGCTGGTACACGTGTCCCCCCCATGGGGCATTTCAGGAGTGGGAGGAGGGCAGGGGTTGGATCTCAGCTATCGAAGGACCCACTGGATCCCAAGCTATTGGCAATTTATAGCAATGGTCCCAATCTAGAGTTTTCTGCTATGGCAGCCTTGAGCAGCTGTAGTAAAAGTACAAAATTTTCCACTCCTCCCCCACCTTGCCTTCTGTTTTGGACGGCACAAGCGGTGGGGGCTACAGATGTGGCAGTGGTTCCCACATTCCATTAAGCCCAGCTGCTGTTCACCAGAGTTTGGATTGCACCCTTAATGGCCTTACAGGGGCTCCCTCTTTAAGTGATCGTGTGTGTCACTTGACTTACATTTCAAAATGCAAGCAAAGCCCTGCTATGTTTGGAGCCCTTCTGCTCTTTGAGGCCCTGGACTCCTGCCCCAAAGTCCTGCCCTGATTGTAACACTTTCCCATTAGATATTGACAGTGTTTATATTTTCTTATAGGCAGCGACTTCTGCATCCATCCTTTGGTGAGGGAGGCCCTGGACAGCAGGAGGCCTGTTGTTGCCTTGGAGAGCACTATCATTACACACGGCATGCCGTATCCCCAGAATCTGAGGTAGGCAGAGACTATAATTTTCTTGCACAGCGAAAGCTGCAAGCTGGACTAGGCCAGAGACTCATTGCTTGTTGATCTGCAGCTAAACTGAACTTATGAACTGCCTTCATTGAAAAGGACTATTTCTGGGGTCACCAGGTCAGGGGCATTGCTAGGTATTTAAAGGACTTGGGGCAGAGGCCCCTGACACAAATCTACATAGAATTTGCATATGCTAATTTATGTAGACAACCCTGGGAAGTTGAGGTGGTGGCTGAGTGGCAGGGGTCTTCACCAGTAATGCATTTTGCATAGTACCCAGCCACTGGGTGAGTAGCTTTTGGGGGAAATTTTAAGAAAATGGAAGTGGCAGAAAATATGGGACCCACCGCAAGAGCCCTCCCCGCCCCCTGGGCCACCCCGTAGCAATGCTGAGGTCATCAGGAAAAATGACAGCTCTGTCAATTACATTGGACCTTCAATGGCTGCTTCAAAAGTTCTAGCTATTGCCTGAAGTTGCAGTCACGAAGTAATAAACATACACATGCAGGGTAGCACCCACTTAAGCCTGCTTCATATTCCTATAACCATACATTTTTGATGGTAGTGAAGCTTGAGAAGCCTATCTAGGGCAGTCTTTGCACAGCAAATGAACAGATGGCACAGCCTCTTTAGGATTAAGGTACCACTGCAGATTGCAAGTGAGGAAATTGCATGCTTGAAGTTCGTTGCAATTAGAAAAGCAGCGCATCAGGGAATGTGTACAATCTGAGGAAGGGTACACCAAATGATTTCTCTCTATGCAGATTGCCATTCAGAATAGATAAAACCAGGGCATATTTTTCAGCCGGAGCTCACCAGAACTCAGTCCCGGCACCTCTCAGGTGGGCGCCATTGCTGTTATAAGAGAACAGGGGAGGGGGTCATGGTGAGTTCTGGCACCTCTTTTTCTAGAAAAATAGCACAGGTCAATAACCTTGACATACTAGAGAATAGGTTTTATGTTGGCTAAAGGCAGGGCTGTTAAGACAGTGGGGATCCCAGATTGCCACCTACATTTTTGAGCAGGGATTGGGGAACCTGTGGCACTCTAGATGTTGTTGGACTCCAACTCCCATCAGCCTCAGTCAGCATTGCAGAATGGTCAGAGGCGATGGAAACTGTACTCCCAACAACACCTGAAAGGCCAAGGGTTCCCCATATCTGATTTATCCCTGTGCTGACAATCTGGCCATAAACTGATAACGCAAGAACCTCATTGCCATTAAAACTAACCCAAGATTTGTTAGGCATCAGATTATGTAGCCACAGGGGAAGGAAATGAAATATAAATGAGGGTGTGGTAAGGGATTGGGTGATGGAGTACAGTTTTTAATACCATGGCAACTTATTTTGCCTTCTTTTTCTTTTGCGTTGCTCGCAATGCACCAGCATGGCCAGAGAGGTAGAAGAAATAATAAGAGCAAATGGGTCTGTGCCAGCAACTATCGGTGTTTTAAGTGGTCGCATCCACGTGGGCCTCCAGAATGAACAGCTTGAGACTTTGGCCAAGGGCAAAAATGCAATAAAGGTGTCTCGGAGAGATCTTCCCTACGTTCTCAGTCAGGTATTGGATTGAATTCTCAGGGTGTGTGTGTGTGTTTTCTTTTATGTTCCCCTGGTTCAAATCTCTGTAGAGCACACCTAATCTCTGAACATAACATAAGAACACGAGAAGAGCCTGCTGGATCAGTAGGACTGGAACCACAGCAAAGCAGTGCCACCTACCCCTAACTCAGACAACCACTCCAGAAGGATATAGTGCTTGATAGTATTGAAAGCTGCTGAGAGGTCGAGGAGAATTGACAGATATATTTCCCCTGAATCTCTCCCAGCAGAGGACATCATGCAGGGTGACCAAAGCAGTTACTTGCGAGCCAGATGGGGTGACCTAGTAAGCTTAATTAGGTCCAGGTTCTCCATCCCTGTATCTTACAGTTCTTATGACCAGTAGCCATGGATAGCCTTGTCTCCATTAATTTGCCTAGTCTCCTTTTCGAGCCACCCAGGTTGGCTTACATTGCTGTATTTTGCCCAGTGGTGGAACGATGTGAGAGGGTTGGAATCTAAGCACTCCTTGCTGAGGGTCTTGTGCAATCTAGATTATGACTGGCTGTTCCACACAGGGCTTGTCTGGTGGTACAACTGTGGCTGGAACCATGATTGTGGCACACAAAGCAAAGATCCCTGTATTTGTGACGGGAGGAATTGGAGGGGTTCACCGTGGAGGAGAGAAGAGTAAGAGAATTAATTTTATAACTAGAAATTAAATTCCAAATGCTGTTTTAATTTTATAACCAGAGGTTAAATGCTAAATGCTGTGTATGTGTGTGTGAGAGAGAGAGAATTCTAGGCTTATAACCACCTACCATTTTATGGATCTGCTCTAGGAATGGAAAACTTGGGGCCTTTCAGATAATTTTGCATGCTAATTCCCATAAGCTCAGCCTACAAGGATGATGGGAGTTATAGTCCAGCAGCATCTGCAGGGCACCACATGGGCTACATCTGAGTTAATGGCATTTCTCCACATTCTTCCCTCCCTACCCTGCTTCCTCTCTGTTCTAGAGGTGAGAACCAGGACACCCTCCCCAATTCATATACAGCACAGTCTCAAAACTGATCCATCCCACACACCTTGCAGTTGCTACTTAGAAACACATCGAGGTAAACACATTCACTCGTTTAGCGCTACAATCCTATACACACTTGCCATGGGGTACACTCAGTGTTTTTTTCCCATAAAAATGTTTAGGGGTACTCTCATTTTGACTCAAGAAAATCACCATTTTATAGTTCAGACTGGGAAAAATAAATACAGTAAATGGACAAAAGTACAAAGATTCACAAAATGTTTAAGGGTGTGTGTACTCCTGCGTTCCCCCAGAAAAAAGCAGTGGGTACACTTCACTGAAACCAACACGACTTATTTTGGAGTAGCCATGTATAGGATTAATCCAGGGCCAGCCAACTCATGAGGTGGGCTGAGGCAGCCACCTCAGGCAGCATAAGCCCACGAGGCAGTGCCTCTGCAGGCATGCTGCCCACCCCACCCCACCCCTCTGCCACCGATGGAGAAGCAGCAGTGCCGAGATCTCACCGAAATACCACAAAATCTCTTGAATTCTCATTTGGTCCATGAGATCTCGCCACTGCCATTTTGTGGATGCTGCCAAACAACCCAGGTAAGGGAGGCTTCAGCAGGGATGGTGGCAGCAAAAGGGCAGGGTGGCACTTTCCTGTTTCACCTCTGGTGGCAACATGGAATGCACCACTCTTGGATTCTTCTGCTGAAGCTGCATCTTGTTTGACCCTCAGACCGTAGAAAGCCACAGCCAATTAGAGTGGATGGTAGTGGCAAGATGAGCCAATGGTCTGACTCATTATAAGTCGACTTCATATGTTACTTTAATACAGAATTATGATGGTTCCCACCCTACCAGTTTGCCCATTTTGGTGGCTATGAAATTTGGCAGGGCAACTGTCTTTTCAGTCTTTTCTCCCTATCCTTTTCAGCTTTGGATGTGAGTGCGGACCTGACAGAATTAGGCCGTACTCCAGTTGCCGTGATTTCGGCAGGTGTGAAGTCTATACTGTATATTGGCAGAACATTGGAATATCTGGTAAGGAGCCACAAATGCAGTGCAGAGGGAAGGAACAAGAGACAGGAGGCTGGTTAATCTGGCCTTTCTCAGTTCTGTCGTTCCAGCTTCACGTAGAATTTACTCCCATATTTCAATGGATAGTTGTACTGTCATGGCTGTCCTGCTCAGAACTCTGATATTCTGAAGTAGGGATAGTGGAGAATTTGATAAAGTTCACATTTAAAGGCAAGCCTCTGTAATTTATACTTTCCAAAGCGATGTGCAAACCAAAACACAGCCAGCTTTCAGAATTTTCACTTCTCCGAATTTTGCAATGCGGTTCTCTGGCCAAGTATTGTGTACAAATAAGCATATACTGGGGCAAAGTATGCATATGCTAGTGAAAATAACCTACAAAAATGTTAGGGAACATTGCTTTGCAAAAAATTCTATATTAGGCAAAATTGCATGTGAATGTAATTTGCACTAAAATGCTTAGTAACTTTTATGAGAACTTTAAAAAGTGCAAACTTATGTGGAAAACTGATCTTAACATTGGGAAAAGGAGAAATTGAAACTGACAGATATGCCTATCCCTCTTTTGAGCGTAGTGGAGGTGAAGGAGGCAAATTATTTGTTTTTATGAATGTTTCTATGCAAGCAAAGTATTAATCAAATTGATTTGAAACCGGCCTAAGTTCCTAACACAGAAACTTTCTCACCTAATTTATTTTAAAAGTAGTTGGGTGGCTTGTGCACTCACAGTGGGCTGCAATGAATACTTCCATGAGCCACAGGCAGCCCACATGCATTATAGAGATTATAGCAATTAAAATGTATATATTTTGAGGTTGTAGACACAGTTCAAAGACAAAACAAGAAAGAGATTTGCATCTAGTTCATGAGATCGGATTCTATCAAGTCCATGGAGCTGGAGGAAAGGGCATGTATTTTATCCTTTTGTGTGAGAGTGGTAAGGGTTTCCTGTTTGGGGAGGGGCTGTACCTCAGTGATACAGCTTGTGTCATGGGTGCAAAAGTCCCTAAGCCCAGACATCTCCAGGCAACAGGGCCCTCAGCTAGTCAATCTAAGAAAGACACCTGCCCATTGCAGCAGACAGTGAAGAGCTAGCTGGACCAATGGTCTGACCTGGGATCATGGAAATGTCATTTGATTCTGTAGAGTGGTAAGTGATTTTGTCCATAACCCAGAAAGATGGCTTTTGCTTTCATATCACATACAGTATTTTCACTTTGCCCCCGCTCTTCACCTCTGCAGGAGACTCAAGGTGTCTGTGTGGCCACCTTTGGAGACTCCAGAGAGTTCCCAGCCTTCTTCTGCCATCAGAGCGGCTTCCAGGCCCCATATCATGTGCAGAACGAGGAGGATGCTGCACAGCTGATTGGTGAGCTGCCTGTGGAACAATGCGCTTTTTGAGAATGGAGTGTTTGAGTTCAAACCAATGAGTTTCTCAGTTTCCCTGAGGCTGCAGTTCATTGCCCACATAGTGGGGAACAAAGCCCATTGTAGTTGGCTTTACTTTTGAGGAAATGCGCATGGGATCAGGACAAATCTGTCCCACATGCCCCTTTCCATCCTTGGATATCTTCTCTTGTTTTCAGTATCCTGTTCTTAACAGCAGGGCTGGTGTTGAGGCTTGGAAGGTGCAGCAGCCCTGGCAGCTTCTCACACCCCACGTGACAAGAGCCCCCCTTGGACCCAGGGCTTTTTTTCTGCTGAAAGAAGCTCAACAACTTAGGGTTGTCTGTCCAAAAAAGGTGGGGGTTCCTGCACCTCTTATTCTAGGAAAAAAGCACTGCCTGGACCTACTGAAGTTAGTGTTGGGTGGCCACCTTGTTTCAATCTGCTCTTTAGAGTGAATATGCCTGTTTCACTGTCTTGGCTCTGCGCGTGGATTGGAATGTAACGTAAGCGAAATAATTATTATCTATAATTATTTATTTTTAAAACATTCTGTTGTGACTTGGAGCTGCTAAGTAGCAGGATGCTGCACTGGTAAAATCTTTTTCAGAATGGTCCAGGAAGTGACTGTATGTCATAACGTGCCACCTGTTTCCAGGGAAATTGTACAGAAAAAAAGGATGGCTGCCCCCACGTATCTATGCACTCACTGGGGCTGATGGGAGTTGTAGTCCAAAACGTCTGGACGGCACCAAATTAGTGACGGCTGCATTAAACTTTGTTGGGTGCAAAGCAATTGACACCAGAGGCTACTGGGATGAAGAAACAAATTGCAAGCACAGGCATATACATCTATAAGCGATGAAATTTGTGATGCCACCTTTGCCACCTGTTTCAGCAGAGAAACACAGTTAATGACCTTTCTTCCTCAGCCAGGTCCCTAAATTTGCAGTTGGGCAGTGGAGTGCTGATTGCAGTGCCCTGCCCTGAGGATCAAGCTGCTTCAGGACAGCTTATTGAAGAAGCAATCCAGCAGGCTTTGAGAGAGGCTCGGTAAGCTGCTGCTGCTGAAATCCCATAACTTTTCATAACACAAATGTTCTGGGTTTGTTTTGTTTGTCTTCCATAGCCCTGCTAGAGCAGTGTTTCCCAACCTTGGGTCTTCAACTGTTTTTGGACTACAACTCCCATCATCCCTAGCTAGCAAGACCAGTGGTCAGGGATGATGGGAATTGTAGTCCGAAAACAGCTGGAGACCCAAGCTTGGGAAACACTGTGCTAGAGCACCAGCCAGAGGGGGGCGGGCAGTTGTCCACAGATCCCTGCGGCTTCTTACACCCAACCTCCAGCCAGTGGGTGCCCTCTAGGGGCAGGTTTTCTCCAGTCAAGTTCCTCCACTTAAAAGCCTGAGCTGAGCTCACCTTGGATAATCAATGCATATATTTATTAAGTTTGTAGCATAGATAGGGCTACCTGATGCATTTTCCCCTTTTTATGGATATAAAGATGATTTATTTGTGCTCTTCTCATATACAAATATAAAATTACTGGTTCTCATCCAGATTGCTCTTCTTACATTTGCAGGGAAAAAGGGATTACAGGAAAGGAGCTTACACCCTTCTTGCTGCAGAAGCTAAACAAGTTATCTAGTGGGGAGTCACTTAGATCCAGTATCCTTTCCTGAAAATGCTCGCTTCTTACTTCCCCTCCTCAAAATCCAATTACATAATTCCCCCCCCCCCCCATGTTCTCCATACTTTCTGGGAATCTTACACTGCCCCAGAGCAACATTACATTGGCAGCATTTTGGGAAATTAAAATAGAGGGGGATCTTTGCACCAATTTCTTACACCTACTTTTCTTTTAGTTCTTGGGTTCTTCTGCTTTTATTTTCCTTTCATCATACCCTTCCCCATATCAGATATTGCCTTGATCAAGAACAACGCCAAGGTGGGCAGCTGCATAGCTGTGGCCCTGAACAAGATTCAAAGAGCCCAGGGCTGGGGAGACGACATGGCTCAAAATGAAAATGTATCTCCTGTACCAAAACCGGTGAGTGGCCTGCTCCGTAAGGGTTGCCACTCTCTCAGAAAGAAACAGCTTGGCTGCTACAGCTCATTTGCACATCGCCTTAACTTTGCGGTCTTGGCCTCGGGCTCCTCCAGGCAATGTGATGACTGAGCATTCATCCGGATTTTTTTGCACAAGGCTTACCTGGTGGTTAGACTATGTTAAATGAGGGTCTTTAGGTCAGCCACCACTTTTGCCTTCTCTAAGACTAGCAGTGCTTCCCTGCAAAATATTTTTTCTCAAATGGAGATAATCTCAGTGTAGGTAAAACAACACAAAAAGTCACAAATGTGGAGCTGAAATGACGAGATCTTAAAAGTCATCTAGTCAAACTCCTCGCTGATGCCAGTTTATGATGTATGTACACCAATCGTGTATGAAAACAGAATGTCTCTTTTGTCACAATGATGCTTGCTTGGAAATGCAAATATTGCAATCATCGAACAAGAAGAGCAAAGAGGCATGCCTCAAGGAAGTGCTTTTAAAAGCAGTAACTTTTAGGAATGCCTAATGCATTTTCAACCACAGGCCATCCACAGGGGCACTAACACAAACTAACACATCCTTTTTAAAATGGATACTCAAAAATAACCTTCAGCAAACATGCTGAGTTGTTTATCAGCTGTCTGATGTTGCATTGAATGTTGGACAGTGAGAGTTTTTAAAAATGCAATTTGACAATCATTTTCTACTTTCTCTCTGGAGGTTGTTTATTTACAATTTGCATTAGGGCTTTGCATTTATTTACTTTTTTCAATACATACTTTGTTTTACTGCTCCTAAGGAAAACCTTTTGGTTGAAATGCACTGGCCATTTTTCTGCGGACAAGGTTGATTTATTTGCTCCCACTGCCTTTCAGGGAACCCTCTCAAGGTGGCCTATGGAAGACTTTTAAAATGCAACATAATGTGAGGCACATATAGATAACAAGGTGCCCCCATGTTATGGACTACAACTCCCACCAACCTTTACCGTTGGTCATGTTGGCTGAGGCTGATGGAAGTTGTAGTCCACAATATATACAACAGATGCCACCACATTGTCTGTCCTTGCTGTGAATTTACTACTTTCAAGCATCTGCTTGAAACATGCCTCCTCCTTCTCTTGTCTGATAACTGCACACCAAGCTTTCATTAATATGAGGGGCATATCTAGATCAGCTCCTGCGCAACTTCTGATCCACCAAGCCAAGTGTTGATCATTATTAGCCCACCAAGGACTCAATAACCCTCCTTTGTTTCTACTGCCTCGGTGGCACTGCAGAAACTGTGGTTGTCTTCTGCTTTGAGCAGGACTGGGGAGACTGTGGCCCTCCAGATGGTGTTAGACCCCAACACCCCTAAGAACCAATCCCCATGGTTAAAGGTCAGAGTTGATGGAAACTGGTGTTCAATGATGTCCGGACAGCTGCAGGTTCCTCAGCCTTGGCTTTGTGGGCATGTCCTGAAAGAAGGGCTCTGGAAGAGACCTCTACTGATGGCTTCTCCCTCCCTCTGACCCACCCACCTCTTGCTTTCCTTTCAGGTGGTCATTGGTGGCATCAACGTCGATTTCATAGCCAAGGCAAGAGATGCAACAATAGTGGTAATTGCACCTAGCAATATTTAAGCTGCATTTTCCTTATCCTAACCTGTTGCTGTAAAGCTCATCGGATGCAAGGAGCTCACATGTCACCTTTCCAGACTATTAGGAGGTATAAGGACTGGCAGTCTGGAGGCAAGCAGGTACTACCCAGGCAGGTAACCAAGCCTAAAAGGCGTTAGGCAAGCAAACAGGTGTATAGGTGGTTAGAAATGGGCTGATCTGGCAGATAGAAATGGGCCGTCTGAGGATTTATACCAGGCATAGGCAAACTCAGCCCTCCAGATGTTTTGAGACTACAATTCCCATCATCCCTGACCACTGGTCCTGTTAGCTAGGGATGATGGGAGTTGTAGTCCCAAAAAATCTGGAGGGCCGAGTTTGCCTATGCCTGATTTATACAGATGTTGATGATGTTGATGTTAAGGCTGAATTTGTGTCATCAGAGAAATGAAGGTGGGGGGAAGCAGTCTTCAGGGTGCAATAGAAAAGCCCTAGCTCACTACTTTTCCCAGGTATGTCTGTCTGCCCCACGTGAACAGCTCATTAATTCATTTATTTAACAAGATTTATAACCCACCTAATCAACAAAAACCTCTAAGTGGTTTACATAAAACAATATGAAATATCCATAAGAAGCATACCATTAAAATATAACTTTAGAAACAGGTAGATCTAAGATTTATTGAAATATAAGTAAAACCAGCAGTTTTGGAACACATGCCTAACAAGTTGGTGTTTGGGAATATGTACTTGAGTGACACGTTGCTTAGACTAACCTTCACCAATCTGGTGCCCTCCAGTTGTTTTGGACTACATGGCCATGTTGGTGAGGACTGATGGGAATTGTAGTCCAAAACATCTGGAGGGCACCAGATTGGTGAAGGCTGGATTAGACTGGGAAACTGGTTCAGAGGCAAAGGGTTTACAGGATCAGGCAAAAGCCTATTGGTCCCTTTTTCCCACCTGATTTGTGCTAAGCTGCAATACCACCCTTTGGCCACATGTAGCAGTGTCACTGTAATGCAGTAGTTTGTCGGGCAATTTACCACAGTGGTGCAGAGAGTAAGCTACTTGTTTCCTGCTGCCAGAGATGCCAGCACCCTACAGGATGAAAGAAGGGAGCGTTCTTCCATAGGCAGGTAGCAGCAGCGGCAGCTTAACAGTGCCTTGTGGTGCCTAGGTGTGGTACAACTTGCCTCCCAGCCACTTCTTATGGGTCACAGGTGTTGCTATGATAAAAATGATGGTTGTCATCATCGTACACATGGACCCATGAGCTAAGAGAAATAAAAACGTTCCATAATAAGTGATGAAAACTCTGCGGAGTGCGGAAAAAGAAGAGGGTTTAAAGCTGATAAATAGAGTTGTTCACCTTATGACATGTAGTGGAACATTTGATGCCAAGTGACACACCTCTTTGGTAAAAGTGAGCAGAGTTCCCTAGCCAGAATGTCTGGCCACCTTTCTGATTAGCTGACAAGTGGATGAAGACAGAAATGGAAGAGTGTGATGGTTGTTTAATTAACAATTAACTAAGAAAACACTTCTTAATCCTTGGAGACAGAGAAGAAAAGTACAAACCATGATGAATGTTGGCCTAGTGGATGATTGGATTTTATAGATTTTCCATTTCTAGAAGAAATATGGGAACCTCGGCAGATGACAGAAATAAGTTTAGTGTAAGGAATGGCTGTAGCCTAGCTCATTTTGTATGGGGAATGACCATAGGTGATTGTCAGAGCACCTGCCTTGCATGCAGAAGTTTTGAGGCTCAATCCCTAGTGTCTTCTTATCGGGCTGGGAAAAGCTCCTTCCTGAAATCCTTAAGAGGTGCTGCCAGTCAGAGTAGACAATGCTAACTAGATGGATCAATAGTCTAAACTTGGCAGCTTCCTGTGTTCCAGTCCCATGAGATCACATAAAGTGGAATAGTCTCCAGAGAACTTGGGTTTAACTGGAGCCAGTGTTGACAGCAGTAGCATTACGGTATCATCTGGGAAAATCAAGGCATATCTAATTTTTGCCCTGTTCTGTTGATTTCTCTGCATTTGCAGGGTGGAGGACAGACAAATCCATCAATAGTGAGACAGTCGTTTGGTGGTGTGGGGAGAAATCTAGCAGGTAATTCATTCTAATTTTGCTCTCTGCAGGGAGATACTGGGTCCAGCATATTGCTATGCTCAGCTTCCACATCATTGAGCTAGGAAGTTCCAGGGTCTCAACTCTCCCCAGGCTTGTTGGGAAGGAGGTCATTGGATGGGCTTGTTTGGTGCTTTTTTGATATTTGCTTTTTATTTACAAATAGACAGGTTGAGCATACATGGAGATCTAATGTGGGAACAGTCCATTGCTCCCAGATCTCTAGGGAGACAGCCGGCACCCCAAAACACTCTCTTATGGCACTTCCACATGACCTGTTTATTGAACATTCGTCCTCATTTGTTTGCAGGGAGATTAGACAATGTTGGATATTTAATGAGGATCCATTCTGATTTGTTTGTGGGGAGGTTTGAAGATGTTGCATCAAACGAAGTGTTATCCCACACTTCACAGGGTGTGTTCTTTATTGCAAAAGGTCCAATCTTTTGGGGAAGTGGATTTGTTGCGCAAGACCTCCCAACCAACAACATTTGTGCAACTTGAATCTGTCAGTATGCACTTGAATCCCACCAAAACATAATGAGTTTGAGAGTGTTACGTCTCTCTTAGTCCCTATCTCAAACTGCAACCTCTCCTCACATGCAGACCTAGATTGCATCATCCTCAGCAAGGAGTGGGGAAAGGGCATCTCTCAGGTATTTCCTAGCTGTTCAAAAGACAGATTATTGATCCTGAGCTAGATGGATAGTTTGGCCTGGTAAAAGGCACTTTCCTATTTAAATTAAAAAGAGTTCAGTAGATATTTCACTGACTGATGACCCCAGAATGCTTCTACCTTGACTTTCAGATTCTAGGGTTGTTGGCAGATAATCCAGCTTTGTTCCATTTCTCTTCCATTTTCAGATTGCTTAAGTCGTCTTGGGAAGACCCCGTTCTTTATCTCTGTCATGGGGAAGGATGAGCATTCAGAGTCCGTCCTACGCTACTGCAAGCATATGGTAGCTCACAGCTTATGGTTATTCTAAACTAATCTGCAGCAGGGTGGCTGTTTTTCATACTGCAGATCACAAAATTTCATCATTCCAGTCCCAGGGACCCACTCTCTGCTTACTATGAGATTCCTTGTGGGAGCTCTTCATTTTAGGGACACAGGAAGCTGCCTCACTCAGAGGTGAGGTCCATATATAATTGTTGTTGTTGTTTAGTCATTTAGTCGTGTCCGACTCTTCGTGACCCCATGGACCAGAGCACGCCAGGCACTCCAGTCTTCCACTGCCTCCCGCAGTTTGGTCAAACTCATGCTGGTAGCTTCGAGAACAGTATCCAACCATCTTGTCCTCTGTCGTCCCCTTCTCCTTGTGCCCTCCATCTTTCCCAACATCAGGGTCTTTTCCAGGAAGTCGTCTCTTCTCATGAGGTAGCCAAAGTATTGGAGCCTCAGCTTCAGGATCTGTCCTTCCAGTGAGCACTCAGGGCTGATTTCCTTAAGAATGGATAGGTTTGATCTTCTTGCAGTCCATGGGACTCTCAAGAGTCTCCTCCAGCACCATAATTCAAAAGCATCAATTTTTCAGCGGTCAGCCTTCTTTATGGTCCAGCTCTCACTTCCATACATCACTACTGGGAAAACCATAGCTTTAACTATACAGATCTTTGCTGGCAAGGTGATGTATCTGCTTTTTAAGATGCTGTCTAGGTTTGTCATTGCTTTTCTCCCAAGACCATAAATAATAATAATAATAATAATAATAATAATAATTAATGTTATTAATTATACCCCACCCATCTGGCTGGATTTCCCTAGCCACTCTGTGCGGCTCAGTATTGTCTGCACTGACTGGGAGAAGCTCTCTAGGGCGTCTAAGTCTTAACTGGAGATGCCAGGGATTGAAGCAGGGACCTTCTGCAGGCAAATCAGATGCTCTGCCACTGAGCTACAGCCTTTCCATAATAGGGAAGTTAGAGGAGGGGAATCTCAGATCCACTTGACCCTCCAAACTCTCCCCAGACTACATCTGCCTCGCTCCAGGTCACAGCCCTGAGTAAGCAAGGCCTGGCTGGAATGTGTCTTTGAACACTGATAATGGCTCTTCCTTGTCTGGACGGAGGACCAAAAGGGGCTTGTACATAGAAAGCAGCCTACTGTACAAAAGGTGTCAATTTTACATTCCTTTTTCTGCCCACTGTTGTGTCAGTCTCCACCCACCACTGGAATGGGACCCTCAGAAGGATGTCCAGAAGGGAATGCGGCTCTCTGGCCTAGAATGATTCATCGCCCCTTTTTTAAGCTAAAGAGAATGTGAAATTGAGGCAGCAGAAATGAGCCGGGAAAAGGCCTGCATGCTCCAGGGCCATGGATATCAGTTAGACCCAGGTGCATCTGGGATGTGCCTACCTGTCCCAGTCTGCGCCTATGTGATGCTTCCTGGATTAACATTTGCTTCGTGGTGTTATTCCAGGTCTCCTTGAACTGGAGGCCAGATTCATCATGCATATGAGGAAGCACATTCACTAGCTGGGCAGGCACCGGTGCACATTTTGCTCCGAATGAGCTGCAGAGAACAGAACACTAAATTTGTCTTTCTCCCCTTACCTTGAGGACATGAGAGGTGTCTTGCAGCTGGAAGGGCACAACACAGCCACCTATTGTTCCGTATTCACAGGCAGCGGAGAGCTCTCCCTGGGCTTGGGAGACATGGACATCCACCAGCAGATCACAGAGCAATACGTAAGACCCTTCTACAGCATGAAATCTCAGTGCCACTTTTCTGCTTATGGTGCCCTCTGCTTTCCTAAGGGGCAGAGGATATTTTCTCAGGGTACCTAGGAGGGAAACAAAGGGGAAATCCGGAACTGGGTAATTCTGGAAGGCGGCACTGTGATGGAGTGCTGAAAGCCACCTTTCTGCCACTGCCGCCTCCACCCACAACTCCTTCCAGACTCTGTGTTTCTAGGACGTGCCGAGCTGTAGAAACACAGATAAACACAGCCTCCTTGGTGGCCGAGGCGTATTTTTGGGACACTTAATGGAAGGGGTGATTAGGAGTGATTCAGGTGCAACCCCACCCTTTCCCCCTATTAATAAAAAAAGCCTGTTTGGGAAAAAACCTCAAGTCTGCACTTAACAGCTGATACTGTTTGGTTAAGAAGGTATGAATGCCTGCCAGTAATCCACTTATCAACAAGACCCTTAAAAGACTGGAGCTTAGCTCCTGGAAAGGAAAAAGTGGTCATTGTTCCCACCCTCTCTCCACCTTTTTCCGATCCCCATTTCATTATTAAAGGAAGGAAAAAAGGAGGCACAGCTATTAAACGATATATGATTCCCTTGGATTCACACAGAATAACACGGCAACAAAAGCGCCTCAGAATTTCTGCTGGCTTCTACCTGTTGATGGATGCTGATTGCAATGTCGCCTTCAGTGAATGCAAGAGACTGCTGGAGCAGGAGTGGGGAGCCTGCTGGACTACAGATCCCATCAGCCTGAGCCAGTGGAGCCAGGGATGATAGGAATGGCAAGCCAGCAACCTCTGTATGATCAGATGTTTCCCACCCCTGACTAGGATGCTGGGCAAAACATTAGGCTAGGTCTACACTAGTTAACTCATATAGCAGGATTGGGACTGCAATCCTATGCCTACTTACCAAGGAGTATATCCCATTGAAACCAACAGACCTTCTAAGTAACCATATGATTCTACTGCTTGTTGTAAAATAATGTGAATGCCTTGGATTTGTTGGATCCTGTTCATGTCTGTTGAGAACTAAGCCTCTTGGTTTCAGTGGGGAAGGCATCTGCCTAGACCAGGCTTCCTCAACCTCGGCCCTCCAGATGTTTTGAGACTACAATTCCTGTCATCCCTGACCACTGGTCCTGCTAGCTAGGGATCATGGGAGTTGTAGGCCAAAAACATCTGGAGGGCCGAGGTTGAGGAAGCTTGGCCTAGACCTTGGAGACCTCCTTCTGAGGCTCCGCCAGATGACCTGGTCATGGAGCATCCTGAATTGCTTGTGCAAAGATGGCTCAATTTCTGCTCCTTACTAAGCATCCTGATGTGTTTGCTGTCTCATCACCATCACACATTTTTATAGTGTTTTCCTATCACTTTCCTATCCACAAAAAGTTCATTTAAGTCCTAGCTCCAGTCCCAAAGCTTCTTACGTGTGAGTAAGAAAGTAAGCTTTTTTTTCAAGGCTTACAATGGCATACCTCAGGCTACAGGTACAGATCATCTTGAGGCACAGCTGTAGAGTTCAAGAATGACATCAGGGTTCTGAGACCAGGACTAAAGCTATGGAGATGACTCAGCAGCTGGTCCCACCCCTCCCACCAGAATTTGAAGCTGAGTCGTGGCAACACTCACTTGTGGGACTCACTTTCCTTGGAGTCTGGTGCACTTGGAGCTGCGTGCTTCTGCAAGGGACCTGGGTCTGTTGCTGACGGTGGATCTGCAGCAAAGTGATGTCACTGGGAGCAACCAGAAGACCCTGGCCAAGTGGAATATGCCCAGCCACAGAATTTCCTTCTTTTACTTTAGGAAAAGAGGAACATCTCATTCCTGGAATAAACATGGATTTCCAATTGCCAATATTGTCTCTGTCTCTCATGCAATTTCCTCCAGGTGTCCACGTTCAAGGAGACTCTCTGCTCGGCCCCACTTGTGTGCATTGATGGGAATGTGCCCGTGTCCACTATTCAGTATGTCTGTCAGATTGCCAGGGAACATCACCTAGCAGGTAAGAAGGGACACTCACAAAGCACAGGCTAAAATGCATTGTGTTAACAGAGCATAGGAAGTGGCCTTATAGAGAGTCTGACCTTTTTTCTATCTACCTCAGTATTGTCCACACTAACTGGCATTGGCTCTCGAGTTTCAAGCAGGGGCCTCCCTCAGCCCTGTGTGGCAACACTGTGGATATTACTGTCAGGAGCTCGGCCTACACTCGAGTAGGACCCTGGCAGAGACACATGCCCAACTGGCATGTTCTCTCCCTCCTGGTCAGTCGTTTATTTACATATAAACACACACGGAGCACTGCAACATGGCTCCCTCTCTCTCTAGCATCAGACAGCAAAGAGAAAAAGAACAAAGGACAATAGTCCCTCTTCACGGAACACAGTAACAGAAACATCCTGTCTCCGTAACTTCCCACTCTGTGGAGTCAAAACATACACCATCATGTGATAGACAAAAATCCCATGACTGCAATCATGGAGCAGGAATTCCAACAATTACCTGGGACCTTCTGCATGCAAAGCAGCTGCTCTACCACTGAGCTATGTCCCTTTCCACCTTCTCCTAGTAAGGGAATGTTCCCAGCATCATCTCACTCTGGTTTATTTTGCTGCTTATTTCCAAACCGCAGGAAAACTATTATGCTCAAAGCCCTGTGTTCTGAGAGAGGGTGGCATATAAATAGAATCTTGATGACAATGATATATATTTTTCCTTTGCATTTAGCTCTTGTACAGTAAATCAACATTTTAAGAATGCAATGTGATGAAATCTCAAGTGAATATGAACCATTGTATTTGAATAGTGACATCTTTGAATGTCAGTGGTGGGCTCATCAGGGCTTCCTTTTGTGCTGTGTTTCTAGACACAGGTCTGGACTTTAAAGCTCTATGTCCAAGCTGGTTTTGTGTGTGTGTCCTGGTGCTTTTCTCAGCAACCAACCAGATTTATAGCATTGGTACTGCCCTGGACATTTTAATAGAAAGACAATGTTTGTAAACTAGACAGATGCATCATTGAATATATATGATTCATGTTTGTTGGGTCAGATCGACTAACCCCATTTGATGCTCTTCTGAAGTGTGTTACGAGCCGACAGATGTGGACAAGGCTTCTAAGCCATTCCTTTCAGAAAGCTGGAGAGCCCTGGCCTGCATATCTCCCAATCTACGGGAACTAAGAGCAATCAACCGGACCCTGGGACATCCTGTTTCGGCAGGTGAGGCACTTTTGAGAGTGGAGGCCAGGAATTTTTTGTGTGTCCCCCCCCCCACACACCATCAAAGCTAGTAATATACTGCATTTGCTTTATATACTGAGTCAGACTGTGGCCAAACTATCTTAGTATTGTTTGTCCCAGGTTGAGAACCTGTGTGCTCCAGGCCACACCTGCCATCAGCCCCGATCATTGGCTATGCTGGCTGGGGATGATGGGAATTGTAGTCCATTAGCACTGTGGATTAAACCACAGAGCCTAGGACTTGCCGATCAGAAGGTCGGCGGTTCAGATCCCCGCAACGGGGTGAGCTCCCATTGCTCAGTCCCTGCTCCTGCCAACCTAGCAGTTCGAAAGCACGTCAAAGTGCAAGTAGATAAATAGGTACCGCTCTGGCGGGAAGGTAAACGGCATTTCCGTGCGCTGCTCTGGTTCGCCAGAAGTGGCTTAGTCATGCTGGCCACATGACCCGGAAGCTGTATGCTGGCTCCCTCTGCCAGTACAGCGAGATGAGCACCGCAGCCCCAGAGTCGGCCATGACTGCACCTAATGGTCAGGGGTCCCTTTACCTTTAACACCTGGAGGGCTACAGGTTCTCCATTATTGATGTAGAACCATGCAGCCTTGCAAACACATCCGTCACTGGATCTTCCTCTGTCCACCACCACCAGCTGACTTTTCCTACCATGACCCTATTTAGGAAAAAGGTTCCCCACTTGTAGCGCAGAATGACAAGACAATGACGGCAATTTTATGTATAAAAATACTTGTTTGCCGCCATTTCGTAAAATATATCAAAGCAGTTTACAGCAAAACTCTGTGACACAATGGCTCAGTGCATCTGGCTGTTAACCAGGAGGTTGGTGATTCGAGCCCAGCCAGGGATAGCTGTGGGCAGGATTCCTGCATTGCAGGGGGTTGGACTGGATGACTCTAGGGGTCCCAACCCTATGGGTGGCATTGATGCTCTGTGACTAATTTCCCTCCACTCTTAAAGATATGCCATCTACATTGGAAGAAGCTGTCAAAACCTCTCTGACCCTGGCCCGGCCCTTACTGGGAGAGTTGCACTGCGTAGTTGTGACACTTGGCCAACATGGCGTCCTGGTTTGCAGCCGGAACATGAATGGGAGGCTCTCTCTTCGCCCAGGAACTTTCAACAAGGTAGGAGCACAAGGCAGGAAACGTGAAGGGATAAAAACAGTGAAGGCAGGAGGCGTGAACTAGAGGTAAAAGGTGCTTGGCAGGCAGGGAAGTATAAAGAAAAGGGATGTCTGACGCAAAATTCTACATCAAGTACCATTTCCCAGAGTTCCTTGGGAGGAAATCTTGACAGTTAAGCATTAAAAATCTAGGGATATTTTGGCAACTTAAGCTGATGTGCAGCTTGCGGATTTAACATATAGAATAAGAACAAGAAGAACATACGTTTAGAGAAGTTTGGAAAATGTTTATTGAATATATGGGGGAAATTGTGTACACTTGAAAGCGTTGGCAGCATTAAGATAAATTCAGCAGTGTAAATAAGTTTTGATGCGATGTAATAATGGAGTACTGAATGATTTAGTATATGTAAAATACGTAGGGATTTATGATTGGCAAAATGAACCATGGCAAGAGGAGGAGGGAAGTCATTGGTATTTTAAGGATGATTAAATGAGTATTCTAAATTGTAACACAGAAAATTTAATAAGAATTCTATCTATCTATCTAGGGATAATGTCAGTGTAGGCAGAAATTTGACCCTGGGAGACGGAATTCAAATATTGCAGAAAAATGGAAGCTATCAAAAATGTTGTCCCATCCTCACTTTGGTTTTTGAGTTTTCAGTAGATTGTGTAGGCAAAGGGAAGTTTTTTATCTGTCTTTCATAACACTAGAACTCATGGACGTCCCATGAAGCTGAATGTGGGAAAATTCAGGACAGATAAAAGTATGGACTTCTTCACACAGTGCATAGTTAAAACTATGGAGTTTGCTTCCAGACAAGGCAGTGATGGCCACCAACTAGGATGGCTTTAAGGGAGAATAAGACAAAGGCTATCACCGGTTACCATACCAACCCACCGCAATGCTGTGCCTCCACTGCTGGTCAGAGTATGCCTCTGAAGACCAGCTGCTGGGAGTCACAAGTTGGAAAGAGCGCTGCTGTACTTGGGTCCTGCTGTCAGGCTTCCCACAGGCATCTGGCCTGGTTGCTGTGAGAACAGGATTCTGGACTAGAAGGACCACTGGCCTGATCTGGCAGGACTCAACCTTTGCGAACATGAGGACCAGTAACTTGTTTCAAAAGAAATTGATAACCTGAGATTTTCAGAGTAGTCAATATTGCTGTTATGGACCAGTTTCAGTCCAACAAAGCATTCATGAAGCAGAGTACATGTGTATACCCCTTAAAAAACAAACAAATCCAGAAATCCCACTGTTCAGCTATTTGGTGAAGGGAATTTTTCAATCTTATTATTTCAATACTTTTTAGAACTGTTGTACTGACTCTGCTGTCAAGTTGATGATTTTATTCTGGACAAGTTTTCATCTTTGTTTTATGGTTTTAATTGTTGACTTGTAAACCCCCGGAGAACTTTTGTTATTGTGTGGTACCCATCGAAATGTGGGGGGTGGGGGTGGAACTTAGCACATATTTGCAAATAGATTTCTGGATGTCCATTTGCAAATATGGCATTTGAGAATGAAAATTTTTTGGGTTATCATGCCTAAAATAGAAATTAGCTTCACTTGTGGAGGTACTCCTGACCTGATCCCTGGGGTAATAACTGCTTACTAGTATGACACAACCCTTTATCGAGCAGAGCTTATTACCCGCTCTACTACTGTTACATTTCTATCTCTATAGCTCTAGGAAGTGTACATTTGTACCATGGAAGTTGAACGGGATCCGTTCCGGAAATCCATTCGACTTCCAAAATGTTCAGAAACCAAAGCGAAGCTTCTGGTTGTCTGCAGGAGCTTCCTGCAGCCAATCGGAAGCCGTGGAAGCCCCATCGGATGTTCGGCTTCCAAAAATAGTTCACAAACTGGAACGGTCAGTTCCGGGTTTGCGGCATTCAGGAGCCAAAATGTTCAAGAGCTCAGCTGTTCGAAAACCAAGGTATGACTGAACTTAGTTCTCATCTCCATTTTACCATCAAAACCATAGCTGTCAACTTTCAGATTTGAAAATAAGGGATCAGCAGCCTCGAAAATAAGGGATCAGCAGCCTCACCTGTCCCAGGGACAGTCTACAGGATATCTAACAATCCGGGATAGCAGTGGGAAGCAGCGGGAAATGGCACTGGAATAAGGGAATTTCCTGCAAAAAAAGGGAAGGTTGACAGCTATGATCAAAACCCTATGAGGTTGCATTGGCTGAGCAACTGTGAATGGCCCAAGGCCAGCCAGTGAGCTTCATGACCCAGATGGAGATTTGAACCCTGGACTCCCATGTCCTGGTCCCACACGCTAACCTCTTCACCGCACTGGCTTCTCCTGAAATGAATGAGAAGTTCCCTTCTCGTGCCAACTCCATGCGTAGTTCAGTTGGGTTTCTGGCTCCCCACCTCTAGGGTCTTTTCTACCTCTAGCATTCACCTGACAGTGTATAAAAGGAGCTGGAATTCGTCTTACAGTTCTCCAGGTTCAGGGTGTCTCCCCCATTCTCTCTCCTATCTCACCTTGCAGGCCACTGCTGCAGATGAGCTGTGTGCTGTTCACTACCCAGCGATCCCTGTCCCCACGGAGGAGATAGTCAATGTCTCTGGAGCAGGTGACAGGTATGTTGCCAGCTGCCCAGAGAGGTTCCTGCCACAGCATCAGGCTCCTCCACCTTCCTCTCCTTGGCCCCTGCCCCCCTGGTTGCTGTGACAACATAACAGTGCCAGCATGTACGCGGCATTGCTAAGGAATCGCTAGTCCAAATATTTATCCGGAGGTGGTGAGAGAAACGGGAAGGTTTATTGTGAGCTGTCATTTTCCTGAGCCTTTATATGAAAGAGAGAGAAATGGAGGCAATTAAGTCTCAACAAGACATTGACATCTTTGCTCCACGTGCCTCCAGACGCCGCAATTGTAAAAAGCACCTGGAGCCTCTTAGTGGGGCAGCCGGGCTTTGCTGAAATGGGAGCCTTCAAGACCTTGACGTCTCAAAAGGTTCTCCATCAACTACTCATGGTGGTGCCAGCACCACAGTCATCCTCTGATGCCAGGGAAATGTGGGTCTGGGAGAGGGACAAGGGGTATATACTGGGGTGCAGGATGAGAACACTAAAATAAAACCACCATAAACGGTGAAATTCAGTTGCTGAAGAACTTAGTCTTTTTCCTTCGGTAAGCTGAGTTGGCCTCTTCTCTCTTCAGCTTAATGGCTGGAATCCTCGCTGGGCTGCTTGCTGGAGAAGACATGGATGATTGTGTCCGGATGGGCCTCTTGTCCGCCAGCTTCTCCCTCCGTTCATATGAGCCAGTTTCACCAGACATCAATGCCACCAGCGTGAATGTGGCGAGGCTCAAGGCTCAGCAGTGGCCTGTGGCAAAGCGCTGGAAGTTGACTTAAGAGTCGGGCAGCCCCTTCTGCACCCTGAAATGGGCAGATGCACCAACATCTCTCTCTCCTACCTGGGCCTGCTTTTGAACTGAATCAGGTGGGCTCCCTGATTGCATCAGGAGAAGAGGAAGGGAGGCTGGCTGGCTGGGTCTCTCCATCTTCCCTTTACCTCTTCACCATTCTTTATTGCTAGGCCCAGTGCTTTTTTTCTAAAAGAATGTTTACTCTCATTTCGACTCAAGAAAATCACCATTTTATAGTTCAAATTGGGAAAAAGAAAGTGGACAAAACTACAAAGATTCCCAAAATGTTTAGGGGTATGTGTACCGCTGCGTACCCCCAGAAAAAAAAAGAACTGGCTAGGCCTATGACCTAAAAGTTTAAAAAATGGAAACCCTGCACCAAGAAAAGTTGAATTATGCAACCTGTCCCCTATGAAGAATTATTGGAAATAAAAAAACTTTTTTTTAACAGATGGTGCAATGTTAGTAGTAGAAGATGCAAGAAGCTCATTTTGAAACTGAATGTAACGATTTTAATTTTACTTTGATTTAAATTTTACCTTCAAGCCAAAAGGCGGCATTTAGCCTGGTTACACAGTCAAGACACTGCTACCTCTATCCTGTTACGTGACTCTGATTTATGTATGTGGGAGGTGGGCTCAAATGTGTTTTAACTCATTTAAGCGGTGGTGGACTTTGGGCTCCCAAATTTCAGCAGCACCCTGTGTGACGCTAAAATCCCCCCATCTCTCATGCTCCATTCTACAACATTGGTGTGGAGACCCCTATGGTGCGGCACCCAGTGTGGCGGCCTAACGGGTTGCCCTCCAACTCTGTACTTTATCATAGATATGCAGCAACTTGCTTTGACCTATGACTCCCATCCACCCTAGGAATGGGACCATCAGTCAAGGATGGTGGGGGATGCAGTCCACAACATTTGGAACGTACCACATTGGCCACCCTTGCCTTAGGCTGTTTTCTGCAAGTGATGGTTTGAACCAATTTTCTCAAAGGTGGGGTGTGCCAACCAAATTGCATTCCTGGACTAGGCGCTCTTGTGGTGTCACAGAGGCTGCTGGCAACAGCAGTGTGGCAAAAGGGACCCTAGTGTGGGCATTGCCCCAAGTTACATGTCACGGTGGTGACTCAAGAGAGCAATAGGCATGTAGTGTCTCTGCTCCAATGCTTGCAGGTGGGGGAGGATTTGTTCAGCAGCATACAAGATGGCTCAAAGGAAACGTCCCACAAAAAGGCCGTTGTGGTTTTCCTCTCCAAGGTACTGCACCAGGCACAGTGGTAGGCTAAAACTCCAGGCCAGCCTCCTTCAGGGGGGCTGAAACTTCTGCCACCAAGCTTAGATCAGAGCTCGATTTAGGGTAGTACCTGTGATCTGAAGATGCTTCACAGCCAACATTCCTATCCAGCAGAACAAAATGAGTTGTTAAATGCCAAGGAGGGGTGACAAACAGGTCTGATCAATACATCTAAAATAAGGCATTGAGTGCAAGAAAGTACCTTTAATCTGTAAGGTAAAGGTAAAGGACCCCTGGACGGTTAAGTCCAGTCAAAGGCGACTATGGGGTTGCGGCGCTCATCTCACTTTCAGGCCGAGGGAACTGGAGTTTGTCCACAGACAGCTTTAATCTGTGCACACAGGTGACACACTTTTGCCCAGCCTAGGAAATCTTTTTTTTTTAACCAGCACAGCTCACTCAGTACCTTGCAGCACCTGCTTAGCTAAAATAATAAAAATCAAATTGTTCCATGACCACAATGGGGAAAGGTGGCATTGAGCGGGAAGGACATGCTTGCGTTTTACAAAGGAGTTGGGTGTTGCTGCTGAGGGGTGGGGGCGTAAAGAGGGAGGGAGGATTTTCCAAGCAGGAGGCGCGAGCTAGAATTTCAGTATCACAAAAAGGGGGGGAAAGGGGGTGGGGTGGGGGTTAAGCTGGCAATCCAGATGCATAAAAGGGCTCCCACTCTTCACACAGAGACATCACCCACATGCATGTGTGGCTGGTTTTAATCTCTCAGGCAAGCTCCAAGGCAACAGCAGCCCTTTGCCCAGAGAGCCGGGAGAGAAAACCCAGGCAGGAAGAGAGGATGAGGGTTTCCGCAGTGGCTACCTTTGCGGTGCTTTCCGTTCAGTTTTGCACCCTGGCTCAAGTCCGTGGGAAATGGGCTGGGAAAGGGCTGGTGGACCCAGCAGGGGCTGGAGGGGCCAAGAAACCTCTCCACGTGCCCCGTGAAGGAGACAGAGAGGCGGAAGCCCAAAGGCTGCCTTCTGCCAGGTTGCGGAAGATGGAGGCAGGAGCTGGAGCAGGTGGCAGAGCCCACAGCAGAGCGGCAAGCAAACCCCAACCGGGACATGTCAAACAGAAGGCCAGCAGCAAGAAGCAGGTTCCCCAGCTGTCCCCTCCGAGAAGTATGAGCCCAGGACTTCAGAACTACTTGAAAGGACATGGGAAATTTAACACGGATACGGTGAGTAAAAGCCCTCCTTATGGCAGTGGGGGCTAGGGCCCTCCAGATATTGCTGAACTACGACTCCCATTAGGACAAGCAAGCATTGTGGATGGTCAGGGATGGTGGGCATTGTAGTCCAGCAAGAGCTAGAGAGCCACACGTTCTCCAACCCTGCCTTAGAGGTACAGAGAAAGCAGCCTTGAACCAAATCAGAGCACTGGGTCCGTCTGACGGGAAGTGGTTTCCAGTTCTATCTTGAGATGCCAGGGACTGAACTTGAGGCCTTCTATATGCAGATAATAAATGAATAAATATATTGTTGGTTTTTGCATTCTGCACCACCCAGAGGCTTTTGAACCATTAAGTGGTTCATAAAGACTTTTAAACAGACAGACAGACATCTCCAGGATCAAAGACAGTCTGTGTCTAAATTTCTGGGAATCACAGGCAGGCAGTGTGCGAAGATAGTGCTGGATGCAGCAGGCCAAGCTCTTCTTAATGCCTTTAGCAATGGTGCCTAAAGGGATTCTCTTTCCTTTCCTTCTCAGTATTCCTGTCCTGGGATTCAGTCAAAGGCCTGCAGAAAACCCTCAGACTGCGATGGCTGCCTGGGCCTCTATACCTGCAAACTGCCAAGAGGGAAGTGCGACCTGAAAGCAGTTTCCCGTGAAACAGGTAATACGTAAAACACAGCAGAAAGCCTAAGACACAGGTGAAAGGGAGGGACTGGCTTCTGTTGGACACACTGAAATAAATCTCCTTTGTGTGAAAGTTCCCAATAAAAGGTCAAGCTCTTATTGTGGAGCTAATTCTGTATCTGGGGCTGCACCACTTTCAGTGTTTCTGTGTACAAGGGAAGTGTGTCATGTATTTTGAATCCTCCCTGCAAAAATAAAATAGAAAACTAAATAGCAGGGGGAAGGGTTCTAGCCAAGCATTCTCCTCCTTAAAATGTTGCTTTCTATATGCGGAGGGGACGCAGGTGGCGCTGTGGGTTAAACCACAGAGCCTAGGGCTTGCCGATCGGAAGGTCGGCGGTTCGAATCCCCGTGATGGGGTGAGCTCCCATCGCTCGGTCCCTGCTCCTGCCAACCTAGCAGTTCGAAAGCATGTCAAAGTGCAAGTAGATAAATAGGTACCGCTCCGGCGGGAAGGTAAACGGTGTTTCCATGCGCTGCTCTGGTTCGCCAGAAGCGGCTTAGTCATGCTGGCCAATGGCCTGGAAGCTGTACGCCGGCTCCCTCAGCCAATAAAGCGAGATGAGCGCCGCAACCCCAGAGTCGGTCACGACTGGACCTAATGGTCAGGGGTCCCTTTACCTTTATATGCAGAGGGTACATATGTTTTAAATATACAGAGGAGCATTTCATCATCTGAGCCTACCTGTGGTGATATGAGTCTAGAGACTAGCTTATCAGTCACAGGAAGAGATGCGGTTCTCAAATGACGTTTTTGAAACAAGGACACCATGTGGCATCATCCACTGTTAGCCATCAGGAGGCACTGCAGCCACAAAATAAGGAAACAACAGATTTAGGGTGTATACACCCACAATCTGCACATCTCCCTCCATGCCTCACAAACCTTTTAAACCACAGCATTGACATTGTTGCTACAAGGTCTGGCATTGGGCCCCATTGTACTAGAAATGAATGAAATGGGAAATGACAAGGTAGCATTACTGAGCCATACGGAAAGGTAGTACGGGGGACAGGTATTGGAACGTAGGGCAGTAGAATCCTTGCAGGTTACTCCGTTCAAGTCACACTCAGCTACAAAACAGATTGTGCTGACTACCTACTATGTAGATGTAACCTGAATGTTAAGGAGGCAAACTTTGGATCTGTCATTGCACTTAATATCTCCACCACCAAGATTCAAGTATTAAGCCAGTTGTGATTTCCTTCTGAATGCATTCAGATACCTCACTTACAAAACTTCCTCTGTGTTCTTTGATAACACAGGTCTAACCTTTCGGCTCATTTGTGTGTGCTTTTTTAAAAAAAATTAAAGGTAGTAGTACATTGATAAATGGATATTTTATTTAATGGATACCTCAGATAATCGATGTCTGCTTGTAGGAAGATATTGAGGTTGGCGTCTCATCAAGGAAAGTTCCCCTGATGATTTGTCTGTCTGCTCTCTCCCACAGGTGGTTTCTTCCAGAATATCCAGAACAGATAAAAGACACCGAGTTCCTGTCAGACTTTTAAAAAAGGAGCTGCCAACAAACCCCAACAGGTGTTCATGCTTCTAAAGCTGTACAATTTGGGGGAGGGAGAGAGAGAGAATTTTAAAAAATCTGATTTTAAGTGGCATTCTGTTCAAACGTTGCAAGTTACGTTTGCTCACATTATCTAAACTGATACTATCTCTTAATAAAGAAGGACTTTCAGTTTATTTTGACTGTTTTGATTTCACTTTTCTGTCTTCTCATTTCCTGGAGAAACCTAAGAACTATGGCTGCTGCTGCTGCAACTTGTCTCAGGGTCCAAGTCTACTCTGGCACAAGGGCACCAGTTGTGATCTTGCAGCTAGGCAGAAAACCTTGATATGTTCGAACTTTGGCAACAGGGTGCAGGATCCTAAGTTTAGGCTACAACATGCAAGTCAGCACTGGCCTCTGTCCCAGAGCCCAGGTGTAAAAGGAAAAGGCACAAGGTGTGCATGGACCTATGCAAGCTTTAAAAAAGTCCTGGGGAATGGACCCTGAGAAGACAAACGGCTTGCAAAACATACAGGTTTCCCTACTGACACGGTGTGTCCCTAGGGAGGGACCATGGCTCACTGATAAGAGTCACCTGAATGCAGCAGGTCCCAGAGTCATTCCCTGGTATATCCACTTCAAAGGATTAAGTAGCAGGTAATAGGAGAGACCTTTTGCTGGCTGAGATGATGGAGAGCTTCTGCCAGTCACAGTAAACAATACAGGGCTAGATGGGCAAGTAGTCTGAGCGGGCAGAAGGCAAACTCCCAGTGTTCCTACGGCCAACTTTCATTCTCAGCACTGACAACAGACAGAAGGGCTGGGGGGGGGGGGGAAACAACCTTTCGTTTTGAATCCGCCGTGAGCCGGAGAATAAAATAGGAGCTTCCTTTCGATACAAAGTCGAGACGTGCTCTGGGGGGAGACGTCAGGAAGCAAACCTCTGCCACATCTTATTTGTGTGAGAAATATGGAAGCTAACGAAAATGGAGCCTTTCGGTGAATTTTTGACAAAACCTCTGCCAACACAAAACAGCAGAGGTGGCTCCTCAAGCACCTTGAGTGAGATTTTAGGTCCCAAATTTACTGTTGTAGGAAGCTGCTTTATATAAAGTTGGACCATTGGTCCATCTAGCTCCGTATGGTCTACATTGATTGGCAGCAGCTCTCCATGCAGGAGATATTCCCAGCCCTACCTGGAGATGCCAGGAATTGAACCCGAGGCCCTCTGTGGGCAAAGGAACTGAGCTTCAGGTGTGTGTCCCCCCCCAATTGTTTGAATTCCCTCCCAGGGTACCTTTACTATTTCCACGGCCAGTACTCCCCCATCCCCATTGTTAAGCACAGGTGTGACATAAGGTTCTGGCCTACTGATGAGTTTTCAGTAGGACATCTTCCACCCAACAGAGTAACTGGAGGGGCCTGTCCATAAAAGTAGAAGACATAATGGAAAAGGTTCATCGCTCGGTGAGTGCATGAACAAATCACCACAGGTTTCAAATCATTGATGCAATTTTTGTGCCACCACAAATGCAGTACTTTTCAGCAGAGTGGCTTTACACACTCAGCACTCACTAAGCCAGAGCTTTCCATATGGGTGTCACACTTTTTAGAAAGCAACATTTCACGACACGGTATTTCAGTTTTACTAGCAAAATGGAGGTTAAACTAACCCCTTTCCAGCCCCCCACTCCGGGGAGGAGCACAGGGAGCATTCGCGTGACACACTTACACACTGCAGCTGACACACTAATGTGTCATGACACACAGTTTGGAAAGCTCTGCACTAAGCATAGGCAAGCTTAGAGAAATCAAGTGATGTGCAAGCCTGTGTTGCAAGATCCACATGAGAAAGCAACTGATTTACACTTTTTTGGCCACCAGGGGGCCTAAGACCCCATAACAACAACATCAATATTATTCTGATAACAGTTCCCAACCTTATCTCTTTGGACCAGCCCGGGCTGTTGTTGTTTTAATATATGGATGTTGCAGAACATTGCCACTGATGCAATCATAGTGCATTAATGGCTTTATACTGAACAGTCTACACATCACTCCACTTATGATGCTTCCCCCACTTTCCCCACATTATTGCCACCTGGAGGGGCCACTTTTGCCGTACAAAGAAAACTGCAGAACATTTGCGATATGAAGAGTTGCATTTCAGCAGGCAACTATGGAACATGAGATCTGTGGAACTGCCCTGAGATCTGCAAAGAAAGGGCGGTATACATATTTAATAAATAATAACAATAACAAGCTCTGTCCTGAAACGTTTGCAGGGGCAGACTGAACTGAAAGCAGGATTGCGTAAAACAACCCCAAGTACCATCACAAGCTCAAATAGTCCTGAACGCACCATGAAAAGGACACCTGGAGGCTCCCCCTTCCATGCAAAACTGTTTGGAGCGGAGAGAAATGGAAGAGGAAAAGAACAAAGTCAGGTCAAACCCACAAAACACTTACTTGTGAATGGTAAGAATGACTGGACACGTTTTCTTTAACATCACTCACTTTTAATTACATCACATCAGCCTCTCAGCTTACTCCGAGAAAGGATGCCCACTAGGAGGGACGGCAAATCTTCCATCCCATAGTGGTTGCTGGAGTGGGTATCAAATTCTCAGCAGCTTCAGTAGTTCCCCTGCCTCACCTTCCCTCTAACTGCCTCCTGCTTCGCCCCCCTTTTTATCATGTGGTCCCCGTCAGTATCTCAGAGTCCAGGTTAATGCAGCTTCCATCCAGCAACCTCCTTGCTGCCATTTGAGAGAGGAGCCCGGGGCAAGTGTCATTGGCTAATACTCTTCTTAACCTCAATATAAATAAAAAACAACATTTCAAAATGTTTAATAGCTAAAAAATAGGGGAAAAAAACAAACCCCAAACCACCGTGAAATCTGCAAAGCGCCAATGGAGAGAGTCTCGAGAATGCTTTGTCCAGTGCATGTTCTTGGTAGAAGCTGAGAGTCCCCTCCCAGCAGCCTCTTCGTCTGTGTCTCCCTTAGCGCCATTCTAGGAGGCCAGAGGCCAGCTCTTCATCTAAGCACAACTCCCGGACACCCTGCTTCCTGGGTTGGGCTTTCCCCTCCTTGGGAGCAGGCGAAATGGGAATGGGGGAAAAACTGGTCCATTTTCTGTCTGCTGAACTGTGAAAGAAATCACTTCTCCCTGCAACAGTGGCATTCTAAGGTCTCATTTCTTGTGGAGAAATTTCATTCTGCTACCTGGAAGGGATTGATGGGGGGGAGGCAAAAACAAACAAAGAAAGATATAGAAACCATGTGATTTTGGCACAATGGGATTGGATTAAAGTCTCCCGTCTCCAGAAAACAGATAAAAACTAACCAGTGCACAACGTCACCACATTTTCCCACCTGCATTCTACACGGCCTAGTATTTATAAACAAGTACAATGCCTAGGCTCCTCACTATACACACCATAAAGTTTGCAAAATGGCACGTTGCAAAGTTTACACAACATAGCAATGACATAAATCCCATCCAAAGACGGCTGATGACATTTATGGAGCCACAACGCAGATGGTAAAACATACGAAAAGTAGCAGCGTGCTTTGCTTACAAGTTAACTGCGTTTCCCCAGCAGCTGGGGATTTTGCTTTAAAAGCCCAATATTCCCAGCAATGGAAGCAATACCTGACACAAGAAGCTCTCAATTACATAAATTGTTCCTTTATACCTGCAAAACGAGGCAATTTTGCCAGGCACGGGAAGAGACCCTTTCAAGCCTTTGCAACACTGCCCTATGAGAAGAAGCAGCTCCCTCTTCTACAGAACTATAAAAGAGGCAATAGCCTTCAAACTGGAAGGACAGCCATCCCTGATTTACATCTACTAATACCTGTAATCCCTCATCCCCAGTTAAAACATACCCAAAACGCATTTCCTCACATTCATCCCGTTATCACTCCCCTCCACAGTAAACCTGGTCTCACCCATCAGAAATTACATTTAGAATGCAGTGTCCTTGGGGTAAGGACCTGCCTTATTTCTTTTATTACTGTGCATAACATAAATACAGCAGTGATGGTGCTTATATTGCAAATAAACCCACACGCATTGTGATTTGACTTTAGGACATGCGATGGGATATAAAAGCACACTGTAATACAAAGCAGCAGCCAGGATCTCTTACCTAACCCTTTCAGGAATTTATTGACTCCACTCTGCTCTCCACTGGGAAGGGTTTCTAGGTACTCTTGGGCACGTACCTCAAACAAACCTACAAAGGGGTGGAAAACAGAATGCAGAAAGGAAGAAAAACCTGGTGAGTTCCAGTTGCAGGTGCTGTGGGATGTAACATCACAAAAGCAGTTGAATACAACATTTCCTGTTTGCCCAGAGTGGACACACAGGGGAATGTTGCTCCAGTCAGGAGGACTTCCTGTCACACCTGGTCTGGAGCATCCTCCCCCTGTATGTGACCAGGTAGATGGGCGTGACCCTGGCAGACCCCATAAAGGGGCCAGTCATGCAGCCATCTTACTCTTCTCTATCTCACTCTCTTTTGCTACTGCTCTTTTGCTGTGTGCTTGCTCTCAGCCAGCAGCACATGGGCTCATCCCTCACAAGAGGATGAACCCACACTTTTCTCTGTAACTAGAAGGTAAAGCCTGCCTTCAGGATCATACTGTGAACTGAATGTAAGTAAACCTTATCATTACTTTCTAAAAGAAGACTGCTGTGTCATTGTTGCTTTTAAAAGGGAACAAAAGGGGATTTACCGAGAACAATTCAATCTGGACAAGCCAGACTGGATTGCTTAACTCAAATGGTTCTAACGAATCTATCAACTAGCTTTCTGCTATGTGCAAGCACCGCTACTAGCTAACTAGCGTGAGTGAGGAAGGATAATATTTAATCAATATATCCTCTCCGGTTTGAATCCCTGTGACAGGGTGAGCTCCCATTGTTCAGTCCCAGCTCCTGCCAACCTAGCAGTTCGAAAGCATGTCAAAGTGCAAGTAGATAAATAGGTACCACTCCAGCGGGAAGGTAAACGGCATTTCCGTGCACTGCTCTGGTTAAGCCAGAAGCAGCTTAGTCATGCTGGCCACATTACCTGGAAAAACTGTCTGCGGATAAATGTTGGCTCCCTTGGCCAGTAAAGCGAGATGAGCACCACAACCCCAGAGCCGTCCGCAACTGGACTTAACTGTCCTTTACCTTTACACTATCCTCGGCATTCCCACAGATGCCACCTGAACAGCTCTTATGTGATGAAAGGGCCAAAGCAGAAAAAAAAACCCTGATGAAAAACACGCTTAATTAATCGCACGCCCCTTTCACCGTCCTCCTGCTCTCTCACCTTTAGCACCCTGTTTCCGCAACTCTCGCTCCTGAATGAAGCCTCCAAACATTTGTGTCTCCATGAAGACCTCCAAGAAACGCCGGAGGCTCTTGGAAGAGACCGACTTCCGGAAGGCCTCCCGCTGCAGGGTCCTCTCTTCCCTCTCGGAGGGAGTCAGGAAGAGGGAGTAGTGCCCCACAATCTCCACAAAGAAGCGGACGAACGCTTCCGACACCACTTCGTTCAAGGGGCTGGACTCTGGATGGGGGAGGCAAAAGGAGCAGGGAAAACATTGGTTAGCAGGAGACCTGGCCTTAACCTGCTCTCTTCCAGTCCCTTCCTTAGAACTCGCCGGGGTGTAGATTTGGGATGGGAGGACCGTAGCTCTGTAGCAGAACACCTGGTCTGCACACAGGAAGACCCGAGTTCAATTCCTGGCATCTCCAGGAAGGTTTGGGAAAGGCTTCAGCCTGGAACCCTGCAAAGTTGCAGTCAGTGTTGTGGACACAGAAACTTGGAAGCTGCTAGATTTAGAGTCAGACCATTGTTCCATCTGGATTAGTACTGTCCACTCCAACTGGCAGCAGCTCTTTGGAATTCCGGACAGGGTCTCTCCCAGCCCTACCTAGAGTTGCTGGGGATTGAACCTAGGACAGGTACTCTCCCAGAGCTGTGCATCTTCCCCAACACCGAGCCAGATGAACAAATTTTCTGACTTGACATAAGGAAGGTTTCATACGCAGGTTCAGCCACATGGTTAAGCCCATCCTTGTGGAAGCCCCATGCAGAGGGGCTATGAAGTGGACATCATGAAATATTTGGTATATTCCAGTCATCTCATATAAAAAAAGGATACCAGGCTCTGAACTGTCCACTCTCTCACAATGACAATAGAAATAAATAAATGTACAACCTACCCAAGTGATGCTGACACCATACACTACACAAACACTACACAGAATATAGAACAAAGGAAGGCTACCCTACCATCTCTCTCCTCTCTCTTTACCCCCAACTGCATGATGTCAATGACGATAATGTCTCATACAGTATGTAAACAAACTGTGAAAATGACTATGAATCAAAAATGGAGATGCCTTGTTTATTTGTTTGTTTTGTAACACAAGAAAATCTTAAATAAAAGCTATTTTTTTTAAAAAAAGGAGGATACTGAGAGTTGGGAAAGGCTAATTTTTTTTTTTGCCTTTTTAATTTTTGGAAGGGAATGACACGGTAGAGGTTTATAGAAGCTCAGTGTGATTTTCCCCGGTGAAAAATAAAAAGGTGAGAGGTTTTAAACCTTACCTTGCTTGCCGTTGGGAGCGCCCTCTTCCTTGTCACTTGCCAGCTCGTTCCTTTGCTCCAGGATGTGTTCGAGCGCTGCTTGCAACTTCCGAGGTAAAATAGAGTCCTCATCTTCCATCTTAAAAAGAGAGAGGGCATGTTCTTAGGCACAGGGTGAGACCAAACTGCACACTCTGGGATAAAAGGTAAAGGTAAAGGGACCCCTGACTGTTAGGTCCAGTCGCGGATGACTCTGGGGTTGCGGCGCTCATCTCGCTTTACTGGCTGAGGAAACCAGAGTTTGTCTGCAGACAGTTTTTCCGGGTCATGTGACCAGCATGACTAAGCCGCTTCTGGCAAAACCAGAGCAGCGCACGGAAACGCAGTTTACCTTCCCGCCTCAGCGGTACCTATTTATCTACTTGCACTTTGTGCTTTCAAACTGCTAGGTGGGCAGGAGCTGGAACCGAGCAACGGGAGCTCACCCCGTTGCGGGGATTCGAACCGCCGACCTTCTGATCGGCAAGCCCAAGAGGCTCTGTGGTTTAACCCACAGTGCCACCCGCGTCCCACACTCTGGATAAACACTCTAAAAGCAAGCTTGGCCAGCCGGTGACCCTCCAGATGTTATTAGACCTCAACTCTCAAGACAGCATGGCCAATAGTCAAGGTAGCACACCAGCACCTGGAGGGTTAAAGGCTAGACCCATCTAAAGGATCCACTTTTAAACCCTTGCAAATGGTCATTGCACACTGGAAGGTGGTGGTGTGGCAGCTGCTTCAGAGAGCTGTAGCGGAAACTTTGCAATGGTGCTGTCAAATCTGCCAAAGCCGAGAAGAACTAGCACACAGTACAGTCTTGGCATGGAGCAACGACTGAGATGGCCCGTATGCGATGGTCATAATGTACACACCTGGCAGCCACAGATACTGGAAGGAGGAGAAGTCTGCTGCCACACAGGGAGACAACAGAAAGTGGCACCAAAAGGTGAAGATGTTGGGCCTTGCAAGAGACCGCTCTTGCACTCACTGCGTTAAGTATAGTTCATGGTCTGCACGCTGAGCAGATCTTGCTGCTGTGTGTCTTTGAAACAGAGACCTCATACGTACAAAGCGTGCACTGCACCTCTGAGGTACGTATTGCCCCTAAAGAATGATGTAGGCATGGACGTCCCAAAGCATTGGACTTAGGAAGCAAAAGTGTGTTTTGCCTGAATCCAAGGTGGGATGCCTACTGACACAACCACCATCTCCTTTTGATTTTGCAGAGAGTTGGAGTTCTCCTCATCCACAGCATTCCTTCATCGCAGTCACCTTTCCTGTATCTTCACTTTTGTACTAATACTGAAGCAGAACTTGAGAGAATGTCACCTCTGCAGACATACACTTATTTGTGAAAACCGGGGCAGGGAGAGAATCTTTCGTGCATTTTTTTGCTGCTTATGATATATCCACTTACCCTCCTTTGACCCCTGGTTAATAGGGTTTCAGAAGTTTCAAAAACCTGCAGAACCCTTTGACTAGAGGACGGAGGAAGACGTGAAGAAACATATGCACAAACACCATGGAAATCAAAGCCTCTTGCAAATGATTTCCAACTCTCTCAATGACCATTTGTCTTCAGGCTCCATTTACCATCACCCTCTTCAGTGCTACTTTTCTAGTGCTACTGGTCCCTTGTTCTCTTATAATGGCAATGGCGCCTGTCTCAGTGCCAGAAATCCAGTGAGTTATGGCTGAAAAAAGCGCTGCTGAGCATCCAGCAACGAAACAGAGCAGACTTCCTTGTTCTTATTCTTTCCTGTTCCTCTCTCCCACAGATAGAACCAGTGTGGGGAACATTTGGCTCGCCAGAAGTTGCACTCAGGCCAATGATCATGCTTGCTAGGGCTGATGGGAGCTGTAGTTTAGCAACATCTAGAGGGCCAAAGGTTCCCCACACCAGAGATTAAATGGACATGACTGGAAGCAAGTTGTTCTTACCTGCCTGAGAAACCGGTTATTCACAAGGTCAACCACAAGGACCTGCTTGGACAGAAATACACAGAAAGAAAAAGGGGAGAAGAACATTACTGGGAATGGTCATCAACCTCCTTGGGAAAATGGCGGCCTTGTATACAGCTTTTTTGAGGTGGGGGGGAAAGGCCCTGCCTTATTTATCTGAAGCCTTTTTACTCTTCTCTTCGGCCCAGAAAGGCTCCCAAAGGCCTTGCCCTACCCCAATTCCACCAGGCCTCAAAGAGATATGAAAACCAACCCAATCCCAGGGTGGTTTTTATGACTTTTACCACAAACCACAGAATGACAACTTTAAACATAGGGAAGCTGTTCCTCTTGAGTCTCTTGCACACACTTTCCCCTCCTTTCCCTGACTGAGAAACCACACAAGTTATTCCACACAACAGGGAAGAAGCAGCTAATTGGGTGGGGAATCAGAGATAGGAGAATGCTCTTATCTAGCACTTTTAAAAAAGAGAGATATTCAATGCAAGTATGGTACCAGCAACTTACAGCCTGGAGGAGAACCCCTTGGACTTTAAAACAAAGATATTTTGGTGCTTGGAGGTAAAAAATACAACCCCAAATGCTAAGGATGAGACAATTAAGCCAAAATAGATTCAAGTGTTACTGGGTTTGTAGATTTCCTGGTCTTATTCTGGCAACTCTTCTTTGTGGATCTCATTGTAGGGCTGCCTTTGAATAGATTAGTGTTATTGCCCTGCCCATGTGGGGCTTGAACCCAGTACTGTGGCTGAAGTGCCCCACCCCAGTCTCTTCCCACTGGCTGTTGGGGGCTGCTCCATCCCGTCCTTGCGTTTGCCATCACCAAAAGCCATGGGGATGGTGAAGGAGAATAGGGCCTCTTCTCTTCTGTCCCACACACCCAATCTCCAGCTCAGATGCTCTCTACATCTAAGTTAGAGGTAATGAATTCTAGATATCATATCATCCCTAAGCCCACCTGCCCTGCATCATCTTCCATGCGGACGTACCATGGTTAAAACAGAAACCACAGGGGCACTCTCAATGCCATGTGCTGTTAATAAGCAACTGCTGAGGAAAGATGCCAGCAAGTGTTTCACATCGCAGCCAGTTGGCCCTTTCTCCAGCCTAGCAAGATCTGCCATGAATAAACCCTGGCCCCAAAGCCTTTCGTCCTCACACTCCCAAAACCTGTGTCCTGTGAGGACGGTGCTCTGTTGAACCCAGCACTCTTGCATCAAACAATATCCATTCTGCCGCCCTCCCTTTCCCATACTCTGGCCTCACCTCTTCTACGGGCAGCTCCTTGAGGCGGGACAGTGAGCTGGAGAGCAGGCCGATCAGAAAGGGGGTTGGCGAGCACACGATGTCAATCATCGAAGGGGGAAGCACAGGGATGTAGGTGTGCTGCCACGTGAAGGGGTAGAGAAGGGCCACCATGGCATGGCAGCATTTCGACAAGGTGCTAGGAGGAGGAAACAGATGCAAGGGTCAGTCTGAAACTCTCAGGGCCCCTTTGAGATAAGAGACGTAAATTAATAGGTGGTAACTGAGAAGGCCGGAGGAGGGGGGGAGACAGCTGGCTGCACGCATTGACACCTGGCCAGGTTTTATCCTGGGACCATGCCAGGCTTCCCAAGAACCTAAGGTTAAAAGGAGAAATCAAATTAATAGTCCTCACGACTGCAAGGAGACAAACTAGAATCTATCCCCTGCAGATGATTGAAGTGCCTAGAGACAGTCAGTCAGGTTGTGTATCCACAGCAGTGACCGCAGGAGGAATGACTGCTGGGAGGAGCACAGAGAGAAGAAACGCCATGGTACATCTGCAACAGCACAACGGAACTCCTTCCTCTGCCCCAGCTGCAACAAAACATGTCGCTCCTGCCTCAGTCTCTACAGCCCCAGCTGGCGCTGAAACCTTCCAACAGTTTGACCTCACCCCTAAAGGTGCACTCCAACACTGTCTCCAGAGACAGATGGAGGCCAACCATCTACTAAATGAACAAAGTGAACATTTAGCTATGAGCTAAAACAGGGGTGAGGAGCCACAGGCCTGGAGGTCTGAAGCTCAAATGTAGGTAATATGTGTTCCCTAAGCCAAGGGTGGGGGCCCTTTTAAGCCCAGCAGGCCAGACTCATCTCCTGACACCCAGACAAAGTTCTACATAATGACACCAGACATACTTTTCAGAGTGCTATTTTGCCTCTGAAGAACTAACAGCCACCTGACTAGGCAAGACTACAGAAATGTTCAATGTTCAAAGTGAACATTTAGTAGTTCAAGGTCAGGCAGGTACATAGGAGCATTGTTGAGGTCATTCTTCTCCCCCCTACCACCTCCATCCAAGTTTTTAGATCTGATGATTCTGTCAGCATCGCCCTTGAGCCAGTGCCACCAACTGGACTCATCCACTTCAGCCCCGACTGGGCTAGGCGAGCTGGGTAGCACTTCCAGAGACCACCTTCTGGACAGGAACAGGTCAAAGTGCTGTGGACTCACAGCTTAGAGTTGTGAGCACCGGATTCACTTCCACAAGAAGACAGTCGTCGCACAGCAGAGTATAGCAGAGTCTAGAAACAACTAGGAGAGCAGCTCTGTAGAATATCTTCTTTATTCTATCTACAACTATTATACAACTATATACAGAGCTAAATAGGTCTAAGCATAAATGAATGCTGCACTGCACTGAGTGTCTGCAGCTGCTCTTAGCAGCAACCTTATCTCTACACACGATCTCTAACACTCAGTCTCTCTCTCTCTCTCTCTCCGACACTGACTGACTGACTGACTCTGGTGCTGGAGCAGAATAAGTAGAGAGCAGAACACGCCTCCTCCTCTCTGGAGAATCAGCAGACTCCTCAGGAGATTCTTGGATATGGGAGGGGTGAAATCTCCTCAGATTCCTCCTCCATCACCTACAGGTCTTCTCTCCCTTACTTCAGGAGGCATACAAATTTGCAAGAATATTTTTGGTAAACCGATATTTTTGTGTGTGTAAATTTACCTTGCATGGTTTCTTTTGAACTCAAGAGACTGCTTCTCTTTAGATTGTGCAGATTGCATCTGCAGTACAGTTTGCCACATGTCCCCAACCCTGTCAAAGATATGAGCTGATGTGAGCTGCTTCCTTCACTTTGAGTGGCCACAGTTTAGCCTGGAGCTCTCTCTCAAAAACGTGTTGTGGGGCTCGCATAGTTCTTGCACATGCTTCCCTCCATACAGACACAGCCAGCGCATGGACTCCTGGAGTCAGGGGATTAATGGAGAGTCTCTCTTTTCACACTGTGGCCTCTTAAATATGGGAAGGCGTGGAACAGTCCCAGAATTCCTCTTTTTTTCCTGCTAGCTAAGCAATCTGCTAGAAAAGCCAAGCATATACCTCTGCTGAGGTCATCTCTGCATGGGAAGACGGCACCAGAAAGGAATAAAAAGAGAGAGGAAACCAAAGAGCGGACATACAGCTCAGGGCATAGTCAGACAGCAGGCTCTTCTCAGCTACCCTCATGCCTTCATGAGTGAGGGACCTGATAATTCAATCGGTCCATTACCTGCACCTACATGAGGACTCTGCCACTCCCATCAAGTGATAATCGCTAGTTCACATGGAAAAGCAGGATCAGCACAGACATTACAGCAGTCGTGGTGTAAAACAGACTTGGGGGACTCGCGGCCCTCCAGATATTATTGGACTACAACTCCCATCATCCCTGGTCATTGGCTGTGCTGGCCAGGCCAACTGGAGTCCAACAAAATTCTGGAGGACCACAGGTCCCCCATCCCTTAGATCAGCCTTTCTCAACCTTGGGTCCCCAGGTGTTCTTGAACTACAACTCCCAATAATTCCTAAGGCACTGGCCATGCTGGCTAGGAATGATGGGAGTCGTAGTCCCAACAACATGTAGGAACCCAAGGTTGAGAAAGGCTGCCTTAGAGAGCAACAAACATGGAGGAGCTTGCTGTTTCATTCATTGGCTTGGAATGCCCAGGCATTTGGGAAGCTCAAGTCTGGAAGAAAAGATGTCATTGTGGTCCTATGAGCTAAAACAGGGGTGAGGAGCCACAGGCCTGGAGGTCTGAAGCTCAAATGTAGGTAAAATGTGGTTCCCTAAGCCAAGGGTGGGGGCCCTTTTAAGCCCAGCAGGCCAGACTCATCTCCCGACACCCAGACAAAGTTCTACATAATGACACCAGACATACTTTTCAGAGTGCTATTTTGCCTCTGAAGAACTAACAGCCACCTGACTAGGCAAGACTACAGAAGATGTGTAACCAATCTCCCCTGAGTTTGGCTTAGCCGAAACTCAGCCTTGTGGGCTGGTATGGGCATGTGCCCACATGTGTGCGCTTTCCCTTTGCACTGCGCTCCCCCCCCCCAAAAAAAAACTTTCAGGCTCTCTCACGCTTCTTGCCTTCCTACCAAGAGGGAGATAATACAGGATACCCATATCTGATCACACACCTACCTGCGGCTCGTAACAAACGATTGGGAAATGGAGGGGAAATAAAATGATGTAAATGCATGTGTATGTGTGCATGCGTGGAATTTGGGCGAAGGACGATGTTGCTTTCCAATAACGAGAAACGGATGCAACTACAAATGCCTCGCTGGCAGATGTAGATTTTCAAGGAAGATTCTTCCACAGAGCCTTCACTTCTGCGGCATTAAGTAGAATCAAGCAACGCTGTTTTCACACGAAAACAAAAGCCAAGCAGCACACACCACCCTCAGAGGCAGGTAAAGGCCACTGGTAACTCATCAGCTATGTAGGACTGCAAACTCCTTTGAGCAGCTGGGGGAGGGCTGGTATGTTACTAAGCCATGCACATCACGTCATTGGGTTTTATGAGCCAAATCTTGAATGGGAGAGAGGGAGGGAGGGAGGGAGACCGTGCAGCCTGAAGGAATCATATGGCCAGGAAACCACTCACAGCTGGCTTGAGTTAAGCACCAGGAGGGAATATACACTGAGCAAGAGGAGAAGGGGAAGTGTGTGTGTGTGTGTGTGTGTGTGTGTGTGTGTGTGTGTAAAAATACCCCAGGCCTGGCAACAGCTTCTGCAGTTTTACAAGGGAAATGGAAAGGATGCTTGCTGAGTATGAACTTATTTTTTAAAAAAACCAAAACAGGACTGTTTATATTTAGTACACATGCTGAGTTGCAAGAAATTCCGGCTTCCCAGGAATCTTTCAAGTTCTCTTGCTTTTGTTTTTTAAAGGTTTCTAGTCCTCATGGCTGAAGATTAAATTGTTGAGAAGACACGGCAGGCACTCCAGGGTTTTGTAATCACACTGGCATAATTTGGGTACTCCACACATAGGGAAACAGACTTGTGCCCAATTGGCAGCAGTAAGGAAATGCTTGACCTGTCGCCCCTGAGCCTGGCTTCCCTAGGTGGGAAATCCTTTCCGGCCCAAGGGCTGGATGGAGCAATAAATGCAATTGTGTCTTTCTGCAGTAGGCACACCCACACGCAACCTAGTCTTATCCTGAAGCCAGGCCAGCAAATTTCATCAGAGTTTGAGGACACATTCCAGATAAGGCAAACACCCGAACGGACTATGAAGCTGGGGCAGTGAAGAGTGTGGCCTGGACTGAAGAGTTTCTTGGGCCATATTTGGTCCATGGTTCCTGACTCCCGCCCTTGATGGTTGCCTGGGCTACTTGCTGCTAAATTCAGCCTTGCGGATGAAGGAGAAATAGTGCTTTGACAGAATGAGTCCCTCAGGGCACTTCTGAGTACAATTCTGCGCCACTGAATCCTACAGAGATAGTGAGAGGCCAGGCAGAACGGGTTTTCTTCAAACCACCATGGCAATCAAAGAGGGATTGGGGAGGGAGAAGAAGAGGCTTACTCTCTCCACTCAACTGACTGTCATTTTGTTTTATTTTTGCAGGTGCCCACTTGCTCACTAGGAAACCTCTTCTGGGGGTCTGGCAGTAGGCATTGGCCTGTATCCCGAATAACTTTCCCTTCCTCTCCTCTCCAGCCCCTGAGGATCTGCTCCAGAGGATGTTCTGGTTGCTGCATGAGGCAGGAGGGGAGATGAGGAACGTCCCCCTGTGCAAGCCGGAATCTGTTGCATGAGTGGGATAGGTACAACCCACTGTACGGACCATGCTAAGAGGAAACAAAGCCGTAAAACTTCTGAATGTAACAGTTGCATTTGAAACCTTTTTTTTTTTTTTAAAGTACAGTCATACCTCTGAAGTCGAATGGAATCCGCTCTGGAAGTCCATTCAACTTCCAAAATGTTCAGAAACCAAGGTGCCGCTTCCAATTGGCTGCAGGAAGCTCCTGCAGCCAATCAGAACCTGTGGAACCCATGTCGGATGTTTGGGTTCCAAAGAATGTTTGCAAACTGAAACAGTCACTTCCGGGTTTGCGGTGTTCAGGAGCCAAAACCTTCAACTTGCAAGCTGCTCAGGATCCAAGGTACGACTGTACTTTTATAATCCCCTGTATTTTGCAAAGATGTTAGCTGAGCTGACCACTGAAACGGGACACAATTTTTTAAATAAAACCAAACAGGTTCACTTGGCTTTTTCTTTCAGCCCCAAAGTAAGATTCACTGAGGACATCATCCCGCTTGCCACTCTGACGCCTTTACTGATTATTTGATTATTATCCTCCTTCCTTGGAGGTTTTCAAGCAGAGGTTGGACAGCCATCTCTCCTGGATGCATAAGCTGAGATTCCTGCATTGCAGGGGGTTGGACTAGATGACCATTAGGGTCCCCCCCTGTTGGCTGTGTGATCTGCACCATCCTATTCGTGTCTTCTAAGAAGGAAGTCCCACTGAATTCAGTGGGGCTTACTTCTAGGGAAGTGGATATAGGGTAGCAGCCAAAGAGAAGGGGGGGGAAAAGAACTACCTTGGCCTCCACAATTTATTTCAGTCACAAATTATTGGAATCTTTCCATGCTCAGAGCTTGTGCATCATTTGTAAATCTAACAGAAAGATTAATTTAATAGACTGGATTGGCTTTTTTTAAAAATTAAGTTATTTTCCCGAGTTGAAAAGGGATGTTTACTATAGTTACTATGGTAAGGGAGAGGGGGAGGGGCAAAGGATCAAGACTTTCTTTCCTTTTCTGCTGGCAAGGTTTCTGGAGTGACAGATCTTTACAGAAAAGGATAGAAAAGGGGGAAAGAAAAACAGCGTTTGGCAGGAGGCCCTCAGACAGCCAATTTTTGCAGCAGTGGAGAGATGTAACAAATCACACAAGCGCACACCCCCCTTTGCATTGTCCACACACGAGATATGTGCAGATACACAAATGATTCACGCACTGAGGGCATCAACTGTGGAGGAGCGTGATAAATACGATCTATCATATGCCTTTCTTCACCTGCACAGGCTCATTAAATAACCTCTGCTGAATTACATCTAGCATTCCAAACCTCTGAGCAACTTCAAGCAGCTGCCTTAGCTTAAAGAGAGAGACAGAGAGAAAAGTAAAACAAGAAACTTGCTGCACAGAGATCTTAAATTTCTTTCTTCAGAAATGTAAAACAACCCCCTCTTTCCCAAATCATCATTATCTGCGAATTTGTTACTTATGTGCCATCCTTCTATCAAATTATCAGGGCCCTCAATAAACTATACAGTTTTAAACACAATAAAACAAGTACATAAAAATAAGCTGAATGCAGCAAATCTATAAAAACAAAAATTAATATACACGGCAGAATAAAATAGATCATCTTTAAAAAAAAGTTAATTGGGGGGGGGCATTGATTTTGGCTGGTGCCAGAAATCAGTCAAACCTTTCTAGCGACTGAGATTAAGTGGGCTGCAGTCAGTGGAAGCTTATGCCATAATAAAGATGTTAGCCTTTAAGGCATCTTTGGAAGACACCTGAAGGCAGCCCTGGATAGGGACGTTTTTAATGTATGATGTTTTATTATGCTTTTATATTTGTTGGAAGCCGTCCAGAGTGGCTAGGGCAACCCAGTCAGATGAGGGGTGTGTGTGTTACAAATAATAATAAAAATATTGTAACAACAACAACAAGCCACAAGACTGTCCATCCCCTCCACTCTGGGAAGAGCATTTCAAAGCTGGAGTCCCACCACTAAGTACGTAATGACTCCAATAACCACTATCGCCACACCTGAGATGGTGGGGCATATTTGAAGAAGGTCCTTGGATGATCAAGAATCATTTCACACCTTACAAGCCTGACTCCAGAACAAACATACATTACATTGGTAGAAAAACAGCAGGGCTGAAAAGGATATGATGTTCTCCTCATGGGAGCAAACAAATTTCTGATGAGATTGTACTTCTGGCTGTAGAAAGTGGTGACTCTGATGACACTTTCCTACTAGACCACACTAATTCTGATGTCCACCACTTCAATGATCTGCATTGGTGTTTTTTTCTGCCCCTCCTTCCATCACTCTGTTTTATATTGTTTTCATTTCTATGCCCCACACCCCTGCTGCCAGCTTGCTCAACTTCTCTTCCTCCAAACTCTCCGCACCTGCATGGAATTAGACTGAGGGTCAGGTACTTCAATGATACAACAGTAAATTGAGTACATGGATAACCTCTTGATGGTTTCTGGTGAATTTCTGAGCATAACTGAAAGTGCCGATTTCAACTTTTTAAAGTCTTCGCTATCTTGGCCGTCATCTCTCAGAAAGTTGCCTAGTCATTAAATTCCTAGTCTGAGGACTTTATTCAAGCCTTCCTGCCTCTGGAAGTAAGGCAGGTAGGTGGTGAGCACAACAGGGCCTTCTCAGTGGTGGCACCCTGCATTTAGATTCATTGCCCAGGCAGGTTCAGAGGCCAATGTCCTGGCTTCCTTTTTGGCTCCAACCAGGTGAAAATCTTTTTTTCCAGCCATGGGCTTAGGAGATCTATTAGTTTTACTACTTATTTTGTTTAATGCTTGCATATTTTTTTTTACTATTCTGATCCTTGTGTTAATATTGTTTACCCATGTAATATATAATTTAATTTACTCTTTATGTATTGTAAATGTTTTTCAATCCTTCTGAAAGATGTTCCAAAAGCTGTGCCTGAAGGATGGCTAATACATACCTTAAAGTCAAATTCATGTCCCCAAGTTTGTGAAATTTAATTTACGTAGAGAGGAGGTGGGATATTTTCTTGGATGCAAAAATAATCATCCCATTTTGGGAAACAAATATAAGGCACTATCCTGTCTACAGTTAAGCATGACCCTTCCCCACCAAGTCCACCATCCCATTGTGTTTTGTGCTGGATTGTATCCATGTAGTTCAAGACCGAAAAAACCACTTCAAAAAGTCATACATTCACATTTTTGCAAACATTTGATGGTGTGAGATGGACAGCAGGCAGGCAAGAAGAAAGAAGCAGAAGGGGGCAGTAACGTGGCTGGGCCATAGAGACAAATTCTCATTCAGAACATCTGAGCTTCTAACATTTTTTTCCACATAAAAAAGCAAGCTTTTTGCTGGTATCCATGAGGACTAGGAACCTCTCCCCTAATGTTCAAAGCAAAGATTCTCAGGATTCCAGGTCATATTGCATGCAGATGTACTCTGTCATTCTCTGCTGTATTTTCCCATAGCTTGCCTGAATGTTGTTCTTGTCCACCTTAAAAACAACCCACCCAAACCTGACGGATGAGTGAATTTTTGGCTCCCCTTATGGCAGAGACCTCTACAGCTTTTCCCTTCCTTCTCTCAGCCCCATGGATGCAGCAGGACTTTCTGGGAATTGTGAAAACAGACAGGCTGTTGAAAGCTGATCTTGAGCTTATAAGCGTCATTACTCATCTGTTAAGTTTTGCCTTGCTGGCTTGAAGAGAGAACTCAACTCCCTCCATCCTCAAGTGTTTAAGAAATGGCCATGTGCCAAGCACCAGCTGAAGAAAATCTTAAAGAAATCTGCCTCCCCTTTCTCCCCCCTGTTAAGTGTGGGCGGAAAAAGTTTTGCTTGGATCGCTTGCGGACAATAAACTAACAGCCACCTAAGCTAGTGGTAAGAATGCTAAGAATTGGATTGCCACATTAGACCAAGGTCCATCAAATTCAGCGAATCTTCTCAAGTAGTGGCTAGCTTTGAAAAGCTCACAAATAGGGCGTGAAAGGCGTGATATCAGATGCTACACATCCCCAGGTTCTGGTACTTAGGGGTGTTACAACACTGGAGACTTTTAAAATATGAAATTTTCTGTTAGTTGTTATGTTGAATAGCTGCTGACATTCCTATTCTCCTCAAATCTGTCTTAATACTTTAAAAAAACCCCACACATTTAATTTTTGTTAAAGCCATATAAGACTTCACACATAACCACTGACAGTGTAATCTCAATTATCTCTCAACCATGATGCAGTACAGACACCACTAAGATAACATTTCAGTGATAAATAAGGGTTGGGGATGTGTCTGCCTGCAAGGGGAAAGCAATCTTGCTCCACACCCATCCATAGAAAGCTCGGCCAAGATGCCCCCCACACCCATGCAGGTTATGCACAGCTGTGGGTGAACTGAAAGGCTTCCCGACAATTAAAAAAAAAATTATATTTATGCAACGTATTGTCCTCTGAACAACCAGAAAAGCAAAATCCCTGAGATAGTCCCTGAAATGGACTAGAAACCAGTAAGTCGGGGGTGGAAACCTTTTTCTGCCTAAGGTCTCCATTACCTCATAGGCAACCGACTGGGGTGGGGGTGGGGGTGGATGGAGAGGACATCTGTGGTGGGCGGGACCTGAGGTTAAAGTGGGAGGAGCAACAGCTATAATGCCTAACCTTTCTAAGGTAGGGTACATTCCAGCCACGCAAGAAGCCACAGGTTCCTACACACATCTCTCTCTCGGAGCGAGCCAGCAGTAAATGACACCGTGCCATTTATTAACAACAACAACAACAACAACAATTGTACAGTGGTACCTCGGGTTACAGATGCTTCAGGTTACAGACTCCGCTAACCCAGAAATAGTACCTCAGGTTAAGTACTTTGCTTCAGGATGAGAACAGAAATTGTGCTCTGGAGGCGCGGTGGTGGCGGGAGGCCCCATTAGTTAAAGTGGTACCTCAGGTTAAGAACAGTTTCAAGTTAAGAACAGGCCTCCAGAACAAATTAAGTTCTTAACCTGAGGTACCACTGTATACCGCCCTATACCTGCAGGTCTCAGGGCAGTTCACAGGATAAAACCACAATATAAAATCACAAAATACATAATCAAAATAAAAGCAAGAACAACCCAATAACCCCCTCCACACACACCCATTTTAAAAGGGCATTGAATGTCAGTCAACCAAAGGCCTGGTTAAAGAGGAACGTTTTTGCCTGGCCACTTGAGGTGATTAGCAAAGACAGTATCTGCACAGACGTGGCTGAGAATCATGAACACAACAACTCATCCCCAGTACGTCTTGCCTCTGAGAAGCAGTTGCCGAGGCTGAAGGTCTCCGTCTCCCCACAGCTGCCTAAGTCCTTCTCCTCTCCAGGGGTTTCCCCGAGAAATCGGAGACTGCATCCATGCGTCACCTCTCCTCCTTCCTTTTCATGCCTCTTCTGGTTCTGGGAGACCAGGGGGGAGGGGAGCTTGTTGCAGCAGGAGGGGGAGACACCTGTGACTCTTCCCCAGCCTGACTCATCTCTGCCTCTTGGCCTCCCTCCTGCTTCAGCTTCAGCCTCTGGACTTCTCTCTGCTACAGACTCCCAGCTCACTGCCCCTCCAGCTTCCAACTCCTCCTCTTCCCAGTCTTCTCCTTCTGACCACTCACTGTTGTCCTACCACCACTCCCCTGCCTCTGAGCCGCCTTCTCCGGGTGGATCCCCAGCCGGTTCCTCCCACCACTCCTCCGCATCCAACCAGCCCATAACACCAGGCAAGTGATTGGCAGCATCACAGTTCAAGGACACATTCCTGACAAGCAAAGGCACTCAAAGAAAGGCGCGGGGTAAAGGCTGATAAAAGGTGGAGCCTGGAGGGAGAGGGCCCCAGCTGGTCCCCAATCCTGAGGTTTCCTACTCCTGCAATGAGCACACTTAGTGGAGGTGGTGTGGAAATATCTGCTTGTACAGAAAGGCCGCCTGAAATAAGGAAGCAGTGGCTGGTAGTGGAGAGGAGTCAGCATGTGGACCCAGCTTGAGTTGGAGCCGACGGAAAGGAAATATGCACTCCGGAAATCTGAGCTGCAGAGGTATTGTTTTGCAGCTTCGTTTCTCCCTCTTATGTCCGGAAAGATGGGAGTAAGCTGGCACTCTTGATATCTAGGCCACATTGGAATACTGGGTTCAAGAACGGAGATGTGAGAATGAATGAATGGGCATCAGAAAGGGAGAACCCAAGCAGAACAGATAGTAAATTTTCTAGGCACAGAAAAAAAGCAGCAAAAGCCTGTTACCTGAGTTTGTCTGCTATAAATATCACCCTCCTCTCTAGCAGCAGGGAAGCAAAGACTCTGCTTAAGTGCCGGATGCTGAGCGAGGAGAACAGGGACTCAAAGTCAACATGCTCGAGCCTCGAGTCAAGTGGTCGGCGCAGCTCTATTACCTGAAAAGGATAAAGAATGCAGCTAATGCAGAGTCTGTTTTGTGCATAAATAGTCCCAGGTTCAACCCCCAACATCTCCAGGTCCTCTCTCTGAAACACTGGAGGTCTGCTGCCAATCAGTGCAAACCATACTGAGCTTTGGTGGACCAATGGTCTGGCCTGGTATAAAGGCAGCTTCCTATGATGGCAAAAGTCTGGTGCCTAAAATCTCACCCGAGGTACTTAAGGAGCCATCTCTGCCTGTTAACATTGACTTCTCTTTGAACTACCACTCTACTTGCTGTCTCACTCTGGTTTTGAGCTTACTTCTGTCCCGGAGCCAGGTAGGAAGTTCTTGATGCTGATGGTTCGGCCCAGAGCTGGAAAAGGAGCCTCCATGACGCTTCTCATAAGGGGCTGTACCAAAGCAGGGGAAATCCCACGCCTTTTCTCAACCTCATCCAAGATCTAAAAAGGCAGAAAAGCTGGTAAGTATAACATCTTCTACAAAAGACATGTCCGTTTCATAAGTTTGTCCTCTCCTCTTACTGAGTTCTCACTTCTCTTCCAGTTTTTCCTCTCTCTTTAGGATCCAACAAGACATTCTTTCTTTTAAAAAAATCTAACTTTGGGAGATTCTAATCCAATGATTTCTTGTTTGGTTTTTGTTTGTTTTTTTAAAGAGGAATAGAGGGGAGAGGATTCATAACATATTTCAAGAGCTGTTTCTTAGATATACTTAAGAATTAAACCACAAAAAAGCTGGTGGATCTTAAGAACTTTGGAAAAAGTCCTAACTTCATACCTGCTAATAACTACAGCAAGGTTATCCACATAAGACTTAACAGACATACAGTGGCACCTTGGTTCTCGAATGGCTTAGTTGTCGAACAACTTGGAACCCAAACACTGCAAACCTGGAAGTAAGTGTTCCAGTTTGTAAACTTTTTTCGGAAGCCGAAGTGTTACACTTCGGATTTGAGTGCCACACTTCCTTTCCGAGTGCAACACTGAGGTCTGTCTGTGTTTGCTATTTATTTTAGGGGTTGTTTTTAAAAGTCTGGAACGGATTAATCCATTTTGCATTACTTTCTATGGGAAAGTAATGCCTTGGTTTTGTAACGCTTTGGTTTTGGAACAGACTTCCGGAATGGATTAAGTTTGAGAACCAAGGTACCACTGTACTTGTTTCTTTGCGAATTGAAGTCCAGGACCACTGGGCTATCGAGAGAGATAATCTAGATAAACGTCCTCATGGAATCAGAACACAGGTGAGGGCAAGTCTCTATTCTCCACCCTGCTCTAAATGATGTCCCACAAGCATAAACCATCATCTTCATCCAGTGCCCCCTTTATGTATAGCCCACATCGTCCATCTCCTTCTCAATCTACCTTAGAAAAGAGGTTGAAACATCCAAGACGGCTCACAATGCAGTAAACTTCAGGAAGTCGCTTCCCTTTCCCACTGGGCTTTCAAGAGAGACAGAAAAAAAACAACACCCACACAGATGCACAGTAGTTAACAAGGAGAAACAAGGCGGTGTTCAGCACAGAAGTCAGCTTCCCCCAAACTAATTCCCCTTCCGAAAGCTTGAAAGTATGAAAAAAACATTATTCACGTTTTCTAGAAATCTCATTACTTCTCCAACTAAATGATACTCAATACTGAGAGTTCATAGCATCTTAAAGATATGTGGTTACTTGGGTCTGGTTGCAAAAAGGAAACTGTGGTACTGTGGTGAAATACTGAAAGCTATAATAATAACAATAATAAAAGTGTGAGATAAACATATGAACAGTTTGTTCTGGACATTTCCTTATCATCACCAACACTAGATTTATAGCACAGTATCAAGCAGCAGGAGCAATTGGTGGTTTTGATACTTGGCTGGAACACAGTGTGTCTAGCTTAACCTAGGACGGAACAATTACAATGGGTTGTATCCAACCAAGTTCTTCTCAAGAGCTGACTCACTGAATTTAATGGACCTAAATTAGTCATGTCTATTAGTGCCAATGGCTGTACTCAAGAGTATGACTAACAATGAACAGGACCCTGTGTTTAATCGGTTCAAGGAATCTGATGGCTTTGCTCACCTCCCCCCCCCCAATAATCCAAAATTAGGGTGCAATTCAAACTCTTTTTGCATCAGGTTTCACAGCAGCTCTGGGGGTGGGGAGAAGCTGTGATATGATTGTGTCGGGCTGGATTGCAGCAGCAGCAGCAGCAACAACTGAAGGCTGGTACAGCAATCTGCTTCCTCCTCTTGCCTTCTAATCTGGCTGGTGTGCATGGCAGGGGCATGGGTGCGAGTGTTGCCCTGCTGCTCCATTAAAGCCATTGGGCAGAGGTTGAGGTGAGGATTGAACCTTGGAAGCTGATTCCAAGAAAGAAAGAAAAATTACATATTCCATGCACCACTGATAAATCTGGAAAAATGGTTTCTGTTTTCTCAAAAAGGATTACACCCTAAAATATGTAGCAGATCAATTTCATTTTAGATTAAAAAGGAGGCAGATTCCAGGTACATTTGGCGGTAGTGTAAACTTACAGAAAGTTTTTTTAAAACTATGGTAATTTTAATAAAGGATGTTACTGGGTGTAAACTTCTGTGTGATCCAGAAGGATTTCTTTTGAGAGTCTTTGAAAATGCAGTCAGTGAAGTAACACTGGCTTGTTTCAAACTAAACACTGCCAAGTTTGTTTGGGCTTGGATGCCACGATGAGCTGTGGCTAACCAAAAGTAGAAACAAGAGCTTCCCAACTCCTCCTTGCTGCACCAGAAAAGGAGAGGGCGGGGGGGGGATAAAGTAAAAAGGTAAAGGACCCCTGGCCAGTTAAGTCCAGTCAAAGGCGACTATGGGGTGCAGCACTCATCTCACTTCAGTCCGAGGGAGCTGGCGTGTGGCCAGCATGACTAAATGGCTTCTGGCGCAACGGGACACCATGACAAAAACCAGAGCGCACGGAAACACCGTTTACCTTCCTGCCGTAGTGGTACCTATTTATCTACTCACACTGGTGTGTTTTCAAACTGCTAGGTTGGCAGAAGCTAGGACAGAGCAACGGGAGCTCAGCCCGTTGCGGAGATTCAAACCTCCAACCTTCTAATCGGCAAGCCCAAGGGGCTCAGTGGTTTAGACCACAGCGCCACCTGTGTCCCTAGCGTTAGCCTGAGGGAAGGTGGGGCTTGTCCCCCTCAAAATAAAGTTTGGCCTATTTTTACATCTAAACACAGCCATTCTGCGGGCAGATTTGTTCAGTTACCTTTTTCACTTTGGAAAAGAGGTGAGTGTTGACAGCACAGAAGGGTTGCTACCTTTTTTGATACCATGCTGTTTTTAGAAGGATTTTCTTTTTATTATTCTTAAAGATAGTTACCAGTAGCCTTCTGCAGTATCCAAACCTTCGACTGCCATCTTCACTAGTCAAGACAAATGAGAAAGTCTCACTGAAAGGACAGAGATAAATAGATGATAAAAATGACTTCTGCCTTGACAAGGCTTTCTTTTACACATACTTTAGTAGGAGAGTTGGGAAACCTTTGGCCCTCCAGATGTTGCCAAACTACAACTCCCATCATTCTTAGCCATGCTTTCTGAAACTGCCCTTCAGATTGCTAGAAGGGAGCTCTATGTTTGAATGCTAAGTTGGTAGAGGGAGTGTACTGGGATATCTTGTCTTTCTTACAAGTCGGTTAGGTCAACATAAACAGGACCCAGCTTATCTTCACAACAACCCTATGAAGTAGGTGAGGCTGAAAGATCGAGACCGGCTCATAGACACCCAGCAATCATCATGGATGAGTGGAGGATATTAGCCTGCATCTCCAAGCCTGAAACTGTCACCCTGAGATGGGGAACTCATGGCCATGCAGAGGTTATTGGTCTCCACCTCCCATCAACCCCCAGCCAGCATGGCCAATAGCAAGGGATGATGGGAGTCGTAGTCTGGTGGCAACTTCTAGAGGGCCACAAGTTCCCCATCCCTGCTCCAACCACTACACAACTCAGGGGATAAAGGTTCCAGGTTGGCCATCTCTACCACGCCCACCTGCAAGCTTCCTAAAGGTTGGCCACTTGGTTGTGCTAGATTAGGTGGTCTTCTAACCTGAATCTGGGGCAAGACAATTGTTTTGGTTTTCTCTCCTTGGCCTTACATAAAGTGACCTTGCTTCTCCAGCTGGTTTCTTCTGTTTGAGCCTCACTGTTCCGCACTGGGCAGCACTATTTTGGATGATGGGAAGGTGCTATTAGTGGGAGAGAGAGAGAGGAAAGAAAAAGAATCTATGATGCAACTTGCCTGCTAAACTGGCAGACGGGTGTCCAGTCTTTAGCGTCAGGGAAGCAAAACTGAGGGATGGCTTTTAGTTGGTCCTCTGCTTCCCTCATGAATTTGAAGGAACGTTCAAGCTAGTGGAAAAAGAAGAGAGATTAGTTTCAGATTAGTGAAGAAGAGAGTGAAACAGCTTGAACAACTGTCCTCTCTACCCAGCTCTGAGATGAAACAAAGAGGTGATGGCAGAGACTGAGCTTCTGCCTGGACAGCTGCTTATCCAGTTTACCTGACCTTTGTGTATTTTCCCCTCCAGCTGCCAACCAAAGCTTATGGAGTCTTCCATGCAGTCAGCTTCAAAATGCATCAAGTTCCTTGGTGCCATCCCTACCACACCATCAGAGGTAATGCTAACATTTTAAAAGCCATACCTTCACAGTTAGGGTGCTTGGTGATCTAAGAACAGAGGGACCTGCCTTACACCAGGTAAAGACTGTTGGTCCTCTGTGTCCAGTGCCGTTTTCTCTAAGAAGTACCAGCTTTCTAAAGGCCTCAGTCAGAGGACTTTCCCATCACCTGCTACCTTGTTCTCTTTAACTGGAGACAAAGGATTGAAACAAGGACCCAGGGCCAGATTTAGGTTTGATGGGGCCCTAAGTACTGAAGGCAGTGGGGCCCTTTATATGTCCAGCTGTCCTTTGTCAACAACAAATTGCCACTGTTTTTTTGTGTTGCATATATGCTAGATGGTAATTTATGGACCTAATAAGTATCTAAAGCCATTTGCACATAACAAAATATGTATTTTATCAAAGTAATTGTTGAACTTATCTTATATTTTGGAAATGTACATCCACTTTTTTTCCTTTAAATGTTTTTGGGGGCCCCAAGAGAGTGGGGCCCTAAGCTACTGTATAGCTTGTTTAGCTTATACGTAAATCTGGCACTGCAAGGACCCCTTACATGCGAAGTATGTGTGGCTCTATTGGATCATCCCCTCTTTGGATATTTCCAACCGTATCTCTGAAGCAAGTACTTCCCACCCCAGGAAAAAGAAAATCCTTGTGGTTTCTCTGTCCAGCTACCAACTTGAGGTGGCCAAAGTCTGCAAGAGCACCTTCACTCACACGGCCCACCTTTAATGGAAACTGCTGGGTGACTTCAGGGACATACGGGGCACAAGCCTGCTTCTTGTGCAACGAGACCACTACGAAGTACTCAAAGAGTTGCCTTTCTTGGTACTCGATGAGATCCCGCTCCAAGGTTTGGTATCTGGGGGCTTGTTTCAGGCGAGACTTCACATGAACCAGGCGCTGGCTGTGAGCTATACAAAGACAGGCAAAGGAAGTCAGGTGTGTGTCACTGTTTTGCATACTTAGTATTCCCATAATGCTTTGCAGTCCCCTCCACCCCTTTTCTCAATGTATTCTCCATCATCTAAAGGGTTTGGTATTACTTCATGCCATGATGAGGACACAAAAATGTCCAAACTATGCCACAGAACTGTAAAGCGACATTATATGGTGGGCAAAGATGAAATGTAATATTAGAAGTCATTGTACATTGAACTTTGTCGTACAACGGGAGAGGGGGAGAGAGAAAGAGAGAGAGCAAAGTGACATACAGTCGGACGAGTCAAAGCATGTCAGGAGTTGAGCATGTATATATTTAACTGCATAATTCAAGATCATTTTCTGAAAAGAAAAATATAAAAGGCTAGAAATATTTTCTGTGTTGGTTTAATGGTACCATTAATTAAAAAAAAAATTGGTTGGATTCAAACTATGTTCATTGCAGTTAGTTGTTAATATTGCAATCAATGGGCCTTAATTACAACTTACTTTTCACATTGATTTCAGTGGGCCCTACATGCAAGTCGCTTAGCTTGACCCAACCCATTAAGTCTAAAAATTATTAAATAAAACAGGCATATTAAACACCCCCACCCAAATGTGATTTTCCCACGCTCCGATCCTTTGGCAGCCCCTCTCCCACTTCATTATATGTGTGCGTGCACACAGAAAAGACAATTAAGTCCAAATCCAAAATATTAAGGTAGAACCTTATTTCCACCTTATCAAGGTTGTAAACCTGAATGCATGCACTCAGGAGGGAGTAGAACCCAGGGAACATTCTAAGACTTATTTCTCAGTAGACCTGCACAGGGATGCACTACACATGAGTTACAAAGATAATGAGCTTCTCTGCAAACTGTGATTCTGGAGAGCAGCACTGGCTGTGTAACTCTCAGAAAGCTAGGTAAATTGCATGTTCATTTTTATCGTATCTGAATGTCTATGCAAGCACAAAAAGAAATCTTGGTGCCTTAGGGAAAGAAAGAGTCTTGGGTGTAAATCATTCCTCAAACCCTAACTTCCATTGCAAAAATCTCTCTCCCTTTTGCTCACACTCCTGTTTTCTTACCTTTAAGCTTCTCTTCAGTGTCGCTGTCCGATTCGCTATTCTCATCTGTAACTAGCAGAAAATAGAGAGGAAGAGAATAAAGATCTTCTACACTTTACAAACAAAAATAGTAACTGCCTCCTAAATCAAAATACAAATGTCCTTCAAGTCATTCATTTCCCTGAATTTTGTGGTGCAGCCCTCCCTCCAACCAAAAAATTTGTACAAAACTGTGTAATATTAAAGTGTGCATAAAGATGCACATAGAAGTGAAAATAACATACAGAAAAGCACATTGGGAGAAATGGCTTGCAAAAAAAGGTGTATGCTAGGCAGTAACTGCACACAAAAATGTATATAATGAGAAGGACTTCCTTAAAACAAATAAATCAAAAACTGATGCAGAAAAGTGCAGACCTAAAGTTACAATTAGAAAACTGAGAAACTGAAGGTGTGTTTGAGTGTTTGCCAGAACAGGCATACACTCAAAGTGGGGGGGGGGGGCTGGGACACTCCCACAAGCCCTGACCCCAACATCCTCACATGCATCACACCCCTTATTAGTTCCCGACCATCCCAGTGATGAGTGGAGAAGATCCACAGGGAGCTTCCACTTGCATTCATTTGAACACACGCCAATGCCTTTAGCACTCACAAGCTTTGCTTATCCCCAATGCGCATGGGTACTTATGTGCAGGCTGCCCCTGCCCACAGATACAGAGCTGGCAGGCTCAGTGCATTAATGCACCTTGAGAAATAAGACAGATTTGCCCAGCCCTTTCAGCTATTTAATATTAGAAATAATGCAGGCAGTGGGGGGTGGGGGGGTGAGAAACAAGAACAAAACCACAATGAACCCCCAAACACAGTTCAAACAAACACCCCAAAGCCTCTCTGTCCCTTCCCTACAAACTTCCTCTTTACCTCTTCCTGAGCTGCTCTCTGTGGACTGTGACAACCTCTTGACTCGCTTCTTCCCTCTTCGCGCTTCATAGATGGCATTGATTTTTAACACCAGCTGCTTAACATAGAGAAGAAAAGTCAGCGTTTTCTCCATCCACAAGTCAAGATAACTGAAAATCCTTCCTGCTTCTTTCCTCACAGTTATTTTCCTTTGGCCCTTTCTAGCCGTCTGCTCCAAGTATTCTTTCTCTTGGTGAAAATCTTCCACAATTCTGTATTTTTTATTTTATTTTTTTTTAAAAAAGTAGTGCGCAAGTTAAGCAAATCTTAGAAAAACATTTAATCCACACAGCTAATTTGTAACATACCTTTAATCTGTAAATTTGGGATGTGAAACTGACTCTCTCCGGTTTGGTGGAGGCAGGCTTACCAGGTGCATTTAACATGTATATTTTACCTTCCTGCACATATTATTTAATGTACATTTAACCTGTATAACTAATTTGGAATGTGCTATTACTTTGGAGGTAATTTTCTTCCAATTTAGACTTAAAGTAATGGATCAAGGGCCTTCTTTATACATCACAAACTTTGATTCTTACCTTAGGTCTGGTATGGGGAACTTGTGGCTCTCCAGATGTTGCCTGAGAAGAATTTCCAACATCCCTGACCATTGGCCTTGCTGTCTGGAGTTGATATGAATTGGAGCCTACCAACATCTGGAGAGCCACCAGTTCTCCACCTTCTGGCTTAGGCACATCAGTCATACATCCTTTCACAAGACTGGCTCAACCCAAAGCAGGGAGGGGGAACATGTGATCCATTTTACATCCACAACAGGTAGTTATTTCAATAGCAGTCAACTTAAATTTACTTCATCTCACAATGATCCATAAAGTTTTTGGCCTGGCCCATACGGAGTGAACAGAAATTAAAATTCCAAGCCCTTCAGCATATGCTGTTAAGATTGATGACATCATATCCATATGCTTATTCTCAGTCTTCACTATCTGCCTGCCCCTCCCCTAAAAAAACAACAACCGAGAGAGAGAGAGATTATCTGTGGAGGTTACCTTAGGAATTTTTCTCCTCCTCTTGCCATTTTGAGTATCACCCAAGGAGAAGAAAGTATCGTCAGGGCTACTAGGGGTGGAAGGGGGACTGATTCTGGAAGGAGAACATGTCCCGTCTCGGTTTGATTTCCGTATGTCTAATAGCTTGAAACTCCGCCGTTCCGAATTCTGCCGAAAGAAGATGGGTTTGGAGAGCAGCTGCAGAGGCCAGACAGGAACAGGGGAAAAACAGGCGGCAGCATTTAATCGGAGATGCAGCATTTCTCCACGGCAAAAGTAACTCTCACCCCAAGCGGGCAAAGCAGAAACGTTAGTTATAATACTTCTTGGCAGATTATCTCTGGCCTAATAAATTTCAGCAGTTATTTTGATTTTCACAGGAAGGCCCAGCAAGATAATAGAAGAGACTCTGATTCTGCATTGTGACAAACTCACAGCGGAGCCTCGTCCTCATAGGAGAAAGAACTCTTTTTGCTTGTGCAACGCAGGCTGGCAAGCCTTGTAGCAGCAGCAACAAAAAAAGCCAGCAAAACCAAGCAACCAAAGTCATTTGTATGGGAGAATGAAAGAGCTACTGTACCACATCGGACCAAAAGTAACACGGGCCAGTAGTCTGTCAGGCTGTGGCCATTTAACAATTGCTTCAGAGAAATGTTTAAGCAGCCCTGAAGTTGCATATTTAGGGATTGCTACATTCCCTAACCCTGTCATTTAGCGATTGATTCTACCCAGTAATAATAGAGTGGTCTGGCACCTGTTTGTGGGTCTTCTGATGTTCAAGTCCTGGGTTTCGACATGGGAAACCCAAATGGGAATCCTGGCTTAGCCATGAAACTTACTCAGCGACCTTTGGAACTGTTGAAAGGTTGGTGTGAGCATAAATAAGCTCTCTGTGTACTGGTAACTGCTCCAGAAATTATTCCTTTCCATTCTCAAAACCCCAAAACCCGAGGGAACAGCAAGCCTCATCTTAATCTGGGGAACAGCAGCGGGGAAGAATTATTATAAGATGACAGCCAAACCGGAAAAAACCCTCAATGAATGCGATGGGTACTTAACTTGGTTTCTTTGTTAATGAAAGCAAACAAACAAAAGACTACTTTTTCAACATTTTGGGGAAATAGCAATACCTTTTTGCAATAACAAGATTGTTTTGCAATCCAATGGGTGGCATTTCCAGGCTAAAGAAAGGCAGGTCTTTGAAAACATTTTGTATGGAATCATCTCTTCCCACTCCTTTGAACCGCATATCCATATATGTAACAATTAATAGTACCAGTATTGCAAAGCCTCTTTTTACAAGCTTGCAACAGAGATGGGCTCTCAATTTCTCACCACTTCTCCCTCCTGGCTGTGCCTTCAGCCTCATCTTTAGTACAAGAGGATTCCCATCCCCCACCCCTTCAGTTAAAACACTTTGGAAAAGACTGTACGTGTCCGCGGCACTCTGTGCAGCACCTAGCACACTTTAACAACATCAAACTATGTTGCAAGGCATCCGGCAACCCGCACCTCTCTATTTTGACTCATCCAGGGTCCAGTTTCTAAATCTGATCCATGTGCCTGGGGTCTGGAGCTCCTTGAGTTAATGACACTGAGCTAGATGCCATGGTCAGTTTCCTCAGCAGCTCACCCCCCACCCCAAGCCTGCAACTGGCAGTGAGCTCAACAGAGTCTCTTCTCCAGACTTAACAAAACCAGAGACTGTGATTGCCAGCTTATTCTCAAAGAGAAACAGATTGCCTCTCCTCATGCAGCTAGGAAGGTCTGCATTTCCCTGTTCAACTCCTATATATCACCCACAGGACAGGTAGGAATTAGGACACGTCCCAACACAGAGTTTGCTCCCTAGATGACAACAACTTATTACGATGTGCTCCAAGACACTCCACCCAGGTGTGTCCTGTGTGCCCATATTTCCTGGACTCCCAGAAAAGTCAGTGCAATAGCACAGCTGCAGCAGAGCATGACTCTCTTGCTACTTAACAGTTCAAGGGCAGCTCCCAAGTGCCCTTATGCTGTCTGTACCAATGGAAGGTTTCCCACATTTTTGCTCTACTGTCGGTCACTTTACTACTTTATGGCAAGGGCGGCCAGGCTTCAGCTTTGTGAAAACTACTTCTGCTTTTGTTTTTATAAGAAGCCGGAGATCCGCCAACCAGAGCCAGGAGCAAAAGACAGGCGCATAAAATTTTGAAATTATGAGCTCGGGAATTTGCTCTGAGTCCCAGAAGTGACCTTTGCTCACAGTCCTTCCACACAAAAATGATGACCCTCCCTTTTGGTATTTCAGCATGATAAAGGAAGGGGTAATTTGTGTCATTGCTATGGTTAAACAATGAGGTTGCAGAAATTCTCGCTTATCTGCTATAAGTCACACCCTGGTATCTACCAGTAGAACCCAATTCACCTTCTGCCCACTCCTCTTTTATGCCCACTATTTTGCCAATTGTTTCCCCAGTAGTGATGTTTTCCCAGTAGTGATGTATGGAAGTGAGAGCTGGACCATAAAGAAGGCTGATCGCCGAAGAATTGATGCTTTTGAATTATGGTGCTGGAGGAGACTCTTGAAAGTCCCATGGACTGCAAGAAGATCAAACTCTCTCCATTCTTAAGGAAATCAGCCCTGAGTGCTCACTGGAAGGACAGATCCTGAAGCTGAGGCTCCAGTACTTTGGCCACCTCATGAGAAGAGAAGACTCCCTGGAAAAGACCCTGATGTTGGGAAAGATGGAGGGCACAAGGAGAAGAGGATGACAGAGGAAGAGATGGTTGGACAGTGTTCTCGAAGCTACCAGCATGAGTTTGACCAAACTGCGGGAGGCAGTGGAAGACAGGAGTGCCTGGCGTGCTCTGGTCCATGGGGTCACGAAGAGTCGGACACGACTAAACGACTAAACAACAACAATATTTTGCCAATAGTTAAAAAAGAGAAAGAAAACAACCACCACCAATAACAACCCCAGGCTGTTGGTGAAGCAGGGTAGAAAAATTAAAGATGGCAGTGTCACAGGAGTAAGAATTGAGACAGCAATAGAATTAGAATGCAGAAATAGGATGATACCCACCAAAAGGGGCAAAAAAGGAGCAAACAACCCACAGCTTTGTAACAAAGTGCTTAGAAGCCTAGAGACCTCAGATCGATGCTAGGCAGCTTGTAGCCAAAGAGAAATGCCGACAGGTTTAAAAAAAGGAGGGGTGTTGTGTCCCATTTTCCTAGCACCATTCCTTCCCAACCACATTAACACAGTCTCTTATATGATCTTGTAGTGTTCTTGCATGCCTTTGGCTGTGGGCTGCTAAGGGCTGCCAATTAAACCCCACAGTGAGAGGGAATCCAGAATGCACCATCCCAGAACCCATCAGGATTCAAGAGACATGGAATTCTCTCTCTCTTAACATCACAGAACTCATTGGGCATGAAGTAAACTACACCAGGGAGTTAATCCAAGACAGGAAACCACATCAGAGGGTGAATCGGTAATCTTGTTCCCTGCAGGGCATCCATTTTCTCACCACTCTGCCTTCACAATGCCAGCCAAAACATATAACTTTGGGGCACTGGGTTTTCAAGTCACACTGGTTAAACCAGGATACCTTTGTGGGTGTGCCAGGGACCGAAGATGAAGGAGACGCTTGGAAGTTCAGGACACATTTCTTCCCCAAGCAGCGGCTATTTGTCTCAATATCTTCATAGGGGTTCTCTTTTGCTGGTGGATCTGGAATAGGAAGCCAGAGGCAGCAGATAATCAGCACACAACACTGTGAGCCTTTCAGCAGCTCAAGGAGAACTTGGGTGCTGCCTTTACCAGATCAGCGCTTTTAAGATCGAGGTCCAGCTAGTCTTTTCCCACCCACTACGGGCAACCGGAAGATTTATCGTTGGACGGTTTAGCATGTTGCAAAGTATGTGAAGCTTCTCCCCCGCCATTGCTTAAACTCTATGCATGGAAAATCTTCACCTGCTGAATTTATGTATGTTGAGCAACTGTACAAACAACCTGGAAGCACTGAAGTCCAGTGCTTCAATATACTATGGCCACAATCCAACACACAGAGTCAAGTGTGCTTAAGTCTATTAATCTCCACTCCTCTGCCTTGGATTGTGGCCGGTACTTCAAATGCAAGACAAACATGAACAATTCACTCAAACCCCATTAACTACTCCGCAACAGCATCAGATCTAGTGTATCACTTTTGGATCATCTTTTAGCTGGGGAGTAACATAAACATCCAACATAATCTATGCCGTGTGTGTGAGTGCATATACCCTTTTAGATATGTTATGTACATGCAATGTTATAATTGTCAGTATATATTCTTCTGCTCTTACTACTTTTCTATTACTAGTCGAAATATAGTGCCCGTGTTGTAATCTTGTAATGTACATGATTTCTGCTGGCAAGGCAATTCTGAGCATCAACAGGAACCCCGTCTCGTCCCCCCGCCCCCCAACACACACACCCCACTCATTACACACACAACAACTACTTCTAACAGAACACTGCCCTAAATTCTGGCTGCTCTAAAATAGACTTTAACATAAAGTTAGGAGATCAAATGAACTGAGATTTAACTAAAAGGTAAAGGTACCCCTGCCCGTACGGGCCAGTCGTGTCCGACTCTAGGGTTGTGCGCTCATCTCACTTAAGAGGCCGGGAGCCAGCGCTGTCCACAGACACTTCCAGGTCACGTGGCCAGCGTGACGAAGCTGCTCTGGCGAGCCAGCACCAGCGCAGCACACGGAAACGCCGTTTACCTTCCCGCTATAAAGCGGTACCTATTTATCTACTTACACTTAAGAGTGCTTTCGAACTGCTAGGTGGGCAGGAGCTGGGACCGAAAGATGGGAGCTCACCCCGCCGCGGGGATTCGAACTGCCGACCATACGATCGGCAAGTACTAGGCACTGAGGTTTTACCCACAGCGCCATGCGCGTCCCTGAGATTTAACTACTTAGGTCTTAAATATCAGGCTGCCCATCACTCAAAGTTGGCCATCACCTGCCTCTGCTACCCAAATGCCTACCTAAAATATCTTCATAGACATTTTCCTCTGATAAAGTGCGCGTTAGGGCCAGCTTGGTCTGGGCATACCAATCTACCCGGCCATTCTCGGAAGAGGACTGCAACAAATCTTCAAACTCATAGGACTTCCTGTGGCATTTGTGGGGTAGAGAGAGAAGCACAGCTTTTAATAAGTTGACATATGAAATACTATTTACAGGTTTAGTCAGCAGGGTAGGAACTGCATCTTCACACATTTGTCTCATGTTAAACCATGACTGTAAAGGTTCCCCGCCCCCCAGATACTGTAGATCTAATTTCTGTGATCTTAAATTGTTATAAACTGTTTTCAACATTGTGTTTTAACTGTTGTAACCTGTCCTAGGATGAAGGGTGGGTTGATAGTTATGAGCCACCCATGATCCCCACATCTCTCCATTCTTATATCCTGGCACATCTTTCCTCCTTGAGCTCCACCACTCAAAGATCTCTTGTTCACCCAAAAGATTCTGCTCCTTCTCCCTTGTTCTTCTATGCACTTGGAACTGCCTCTCAGAACACCTGCATGATGCCACCTCTTTCCATTCCTTCAAGTCACTTCCCCAAATCTAAATGTGTCTTGAAGCCTTTGGTACATTAGTCTGCATACTCAATGAAATACATCCACTTGGTTTGTCTATTTACTCTGCCTCCATTTCTTCCCAGTTGCCTCCTAGGTGTATTTAGACTGCTAACTTCTCAGGGAAGGGACCCATCTTCTTGGTACTTTAGTGAAATGACATGTATGTTGATGGGCAAGCTAACATAAAACGAACATAGGTCAATTTGATGCACTTGAGTCTGCTCCGTGCTTTAGCTGTGATGCAGGCCAATACTGGATCAGGAAAGGTCAGGGAGGAGCTTGCATCTCTTTACAAAAACCTGCTTAACTGTTGGAGAGCCATGGAGTTAAATGGTTCCTTACTTCTAGGAGTGGCCTAGTTTAGAGGCCCTCAACCCTTCTGCGCTGAAGGCAAAATTACAGATTGCACCATCGACCATCATGTTAACTATAGCCCTTTTGTTGCACATAATAGGTAATAGAATATAATCACAGAATTTGAAAGGACCACGAGGATCATCTGGTTCAACCCCCTGCAATGCCCAATGTGGGGCTCAAATCCAGGGCCCTGAGATTAAGTCTCAGGCTCTACTGACTGAGTTACCCACTATAAATAGCCCTTCCCTTGCCAACTGCTTTCCTCCCCCGTCCCACACTGGAAATCACCCCCTCCCCCAATGAACTGGTTTCAGCAGGATCTGTGTCTCCAAGTTACACTGGGGTCTGGGGTTTAGGTGGTAGGAGCAAGGAGGGAGCAGCTAGAAAAGCAAGGGTTATGCAACACATCTCCAGCCTCAAGGGGGTTAAGTTCAAATATAGGCTGGATCTCAGATAGGCAGAGAGAGGCCTCTGCACAGTTCTGCTAAGACAGGTGTAGGATTCTTTTGGTCCTAGATGTTGCTGAATTACAACTCCCATCAGCCCCAGCAAGTGTGGCCAAGGGCCAGGGAAGATCACAGCTGCAGCTCAGCAACCTCTAGATGAGCAAAGGTTTCCCATACCTGGCCTAAATCCTTGGGCAGCCTCTGCCAGTCAAGATACACAATGCCAGGCTAAATAGTCACCTTGGGTTTGGGGGCATTGGACTAACCCTGTTGCCCTCCAGATCTTGTTGGAATGAAACTCCTCTTGTTGCTGACTATTGGGGCTGGTGGAAGCTGGGAGTCCAAGAACATCTGGAGGGTCACAGATCAACCACCGCTGCTTGAGAAGTTCATATGCATGAAACTTCAAAGAGGGAAAAACGCACTGAGTCCTCTCTTTCCATCAGTTTACAAACAAAAGCAGAGTGTGTGCCACTCAATCCCTTGCCAAACTCTCCCTCAAAGCAAACTAGCGATTCACCATATAAACTGGTTCTCCAATTTATGCTCTATTTCCCTCCCCCTCTCTCCCCCATGTAGGTTTTCTTGCACACAGTGAAATCTAGCAGAAAATCAGTCTTGGCACGCAGCAAGCCAATTCTGATCGGAATTGAACCCCAAGCTTTTTGGCTGCATTGAGCCACATCAAAATGCTGACCATTATCAAATGAGGAAAACACATACCTGGCCAACAGTTTGAAAGGAATCAACACATATTGGATGTAGGACTTATATGAAGAATTCCATATTCAGCAGTTTAAAACAAAAAGTAGGAATGATACCTGTGATCCGTGTTCGCCTTATGCTTCCCATTCCTCAGTCTTCTGCTGACGGCCGAAGGAGGGGGTGAAGAAGGGAGGGGAGGAGGTGGAATAGAAGGCAGAGGGGGCAAATTTCGCTTATTCCTAACTGGCGGAATCCATCCCTCCTCGCCCTCGTGCTTGAAAGTCCGCCGAGGCTTGGGCAGCGGATTGATAAAAGGCTTCTTATCAAGCAATCCTGGCTCTGTGTAGACATTTTCCTCATTCCCGGGCTTGCATTTTGCACGGGACACTTTCACCTCTTCCAGAGTCCCAAAGATAGGCTCACCAGCTTCGGAGTCCCAGCTGAGAAGCCGTTTCCCGAGCTCCGTCCGGCTTTCCTGGCCTTCAGAGGGACTCTGCCCCTCGTCCGCCTTCTCTTGCAGGCAGTGCGGGGAATAGTAAGTACCTGGCAACTGGGGCTGCAGCTCTGCCGATGCTCCTCCCTTCAAGGCCTGCTCCAGCTTCTTGACCTGACTCAGGACAGACACGTTCTCCTTCTGGACCTCTTTCTTCCCTTCCTTCAACTCGGTGCTCCTGCCAGTGTTGGATGCGGGTTCATCTTCCTTCAGCTTCATGTCTGCTTTCCTCTCCCCAACACATTTCAGCACCCCGATTCTCCTCTCGTTCTCTTTGCTTGCGCCTTTGCATTCCAGCTGCCAGTTTACAAGCCTCTTGGCGTCCACGTCCCTCACCGCTGCATTTTCCCTGGTCATCTTCTCCACCGCGCCCAAAAACGAACTGAGCTCCTCTTTAACTCCTTGCTCTTCCTCCTTCCACGCCAAGGCAGGAGACAGAGCTTCCTTCTTGCCTTCCCACTCCGAAATCTTGTCCTTGATGCTCGAAGGCTTGCTTTTCAAACTTGCTTTCCCAACAGCCCGCAGGCTTGGAGCACCTCCCAGTTGCTTCCTTATAATCTTGCTGCTTTCTCGGATGTTTAGTTCTACAGAAGGGTCGCCAATGATCATCTTGGGACTGAGCATGTTCTGCTGAATGCAGTCCAGCCTCGGATCCAACATCAAGTTCTCCAGCGCCTTCAGTGTGCTCTCTACCACAGGAGATGGCTCTGCTTTCTGTACCAGTTTGGGCGTGATGGTAACAGTCTCTGAGCACTTCCTCTTTGAAGGCCTGCACCAAAGTTCTGCCTTTGTGGTTGTATTATTTAGACTTTTAAACCTGCTCCTATGAAATGAGGGTAGAAAAATTGGCAGAGGAACTTTACCTCCACATTCCTCACTCTCTGTTTGGTCATAGTATAACTCTTAACCTTCCTGAAATCTTCATAGGTTTGCTCTCCTCTCTCTGCCTTTACTTTTCCCTTGAAAGACTTGTACTTCTGTACCCCCACCCCCTTTCCTCACTAAAACAACCTTCATCGACCAGGCATCCTCCAAATGTTTTGGACAACAACTCCCATTAGCCCAAGCCAGCACAGCTGTGCTGCCTGAAGCTGATGAGGGTTGCAAAAGTACAAAACATCTGGAGAGTGCCAGGCTGCAGTAAATCCAGCTGCATCTTTACCTCACTCATCAAAAAATCTTAATCATCCAATTTCATTCTGCATCTCCCTCCCATCTCTGCACTAATGTGAGCCTGTGTTTTGAGACTTTAAGTGGGTTCTTCAGATCAACAGAATCCCATTTTGTGTAGCGCATGTTCCACAAGCTTGCTAAAAAAAAAGGTATTGCTATAGCAGTACACTGTGTGCAGCTAGCTTAAGGGGTAAAGGTAAAGGTAAAGGGACCCCTGACCATTGGGTCCAGTCATGGCCGACTCTGGAGTTGCGGCGCTCATCTCGCTTTACTGGCCGAGGGAGCCGGCGTACAGCTTCCGGGTCATGTGGCCAGCATGACTAAGCTGCTTCTGGCGAACCAGAGCAGCACGGAAACGACGTTTACCTTTCTGCCAGAGTGGTACCTATTTATCTACTTGCACTTCCTTTCGAACTGCTAGGTTGGGAGGAGCAGGGACCGAGCAACAGGAGCTCACCCCGTCGCGGGGATTCAAACCACGGACCTTCCGATCGGCAAGGCCCTAGGCTCTGTGGTTTAGCCCACAGTGCCACCCGCATCCCTAGCTTAAGGGGTACAGCAGGCCATATACACATTATGAACCAGCTGCTTCCTCTCTCCCAGCTATTCCTGCCATGTATTTTACCTATAAAAAACCTTACTACCCAACTTTTCATCTCCATAGTGGCATCTCCAGGGCTATTTACAGTGACAATAAGACAATAAACATGGGGAGCAGCCACCATCACTGACAGATACTAAAATTAACCTCTACCCACTTTATAAACAGAAGTCAAGTCAACAGAACATGTCACCGAAAAGTGCATGTAATTAAAAAAACCAAAACATTTGACATCTAGCACACCTACGAAGGAGGGATGCAGCAAAGCAGAAGGGCCAAAGCTCAGTGGTAGGACATTCGCTTTGCAAGGAAAAGATCTCTGGTCCAATCACCAGCATCTGTAGATACAACAACCTGCCGTGACAATTGCAGAAGTGGCTATGCAAAGTTTTTCATGTTCTACCCCAGTTCAAAACTTCGCCCTGAGTTTTCTTCATGCAAAGCAGATGTGTTACCACTGAGCTAAGTGCAGAGGTCTTACTCCCAGCTACGTGTATTTAGGCTCACACTGCTTGTCTCCAGTTCAGAAAAGCTGGGAAGTGAGGGGCAACTACTCAAACTGTTCTCATTTCAGAAGCACAATTTAGAACCAAAGAGATGTCGTCATTTCTTTCCTTACACTCCTTAGAAGTCACTTTGAAAGGGACGTTAAAAATTACCCACCTCTCAATAGCGTTGCAAACACTGGTCTTAGGCTTGATGCTCACGCCGGCGACTGTGTTCGCTGTCATTGTGTCAGCACATGGCATGGCTGCAGTCTACCTAGGAGGAGGAAAAAAATCAGAAAAACACATCAAGTACAGTCATAATGGGTCTATGGACTGCAATAAAGTTGTGTGTGTGTGTGTAAATAAAAAAACAAACAATACAGCGTCATGCATTCCAAATTCTAGCATAATAGGACAATGGATTCTTACTCTGGTCCTTATTGCTAACATAAAAAAATTATTTGATTTTTTTAATACCATGAAGAAATATCATTTTGGGTCACTATTTCCATGAGGGCTAAATATCACACCTGTAGTCCAATAGCACACATTATAAGTCTCTCCAGTGTTTGGGCAATGTCAGTCTGGCTGCAATGAACAAGTGGCCAGTAAATAGTTTAGCTTTTATTTTTTATTTCAGTGCTTTTAGCTTACTCGGACAAAGGGAAGCAAATGTTTCAGTAAATGGAAAGCCAGATGATGATCCCAGTCAAAGCCACTAAATGAACAAGCTTTTGTTGAAAAACTTTAAAATAAGCTAAATTTAAAAGATAGAAGTAGTTGTAGCACTAAAGCAACAACGCAATTCTTCCAGGGATAAATCCAGAACTCCTTACCTGGAGGAGTCTACATATTCTTCACATGCTGCCAACATTTGCATAGCTTGCCTTGCCAAGTAAACCCATTAAAATACCGTAGACTCAAGGAATACTATCTGTCCAAGCGGTAGTATGCATTCAAACCACAGCAATGCTTTGACATCCTTCGACATCCAAATGTCACTCTCAACATAAATATAGCTCCTGAAGCCTTTCTGCTTTGATGGCTGAAAGTGGGACACAAGTGCATTTTAGTGACTGAGTCAGGAGGGGATGGGAAAAGCTGCAGGGCTCACATTTAACTTTAGTCGGTTGCCCCAAATTTTTCTTTGATTGGAAGTAGTGCAGAGAGTGAGCACACAGATTTAAAAACCCACCGAATTTTTAAAATGCCTTTAAAAAAAAAAATCATACAAAATGCTATGAGCACTGTTGGATTAGGGCCAGGGAAGCAAAATAAAAGTCCAGATGTTTGCTTCCACTTAAAAACCGTAAGCAGGAGAAGTACAGTCATACCTTGGGTTGAAGTAGCTTCGGGATAAGTATTTTCAGGTTGCATGCTGCGGCGACCCGGAAGTAACAGAGCACGTTACTTCCGGGTTTCACCGCTCACGCATGCGCAGATGGTCAAAATGACATCACGTGCATGAGCAGAAATGGCGAATCGCGACCCGCGCACACGCAGACGCGAGTTGCGTTCGCTTCTGGATGCGAACAGGGCTCCGGAACGGATCCTGTTCGCATCCAGAGGTACCACTGTAAAATAATTGGTTACATTTCTATTCGTCTTTCCTCCAAGGAGCTCAAGATGACACACGTGGTTCTCTTCTTCTCACCCACTTTATCACCACAACATCCCTGCAAGGGAGATTTGGCTGAGAGCGAGTGACTAGCCCGATAGCAACATAGCGTGCTTAATGGCAAAGGTTTTGAATCCGGGTCTCTCCCATCCTGGTGCAACCCTCTAACCGTTATGCCACACTTGCTCATATGGACACCGTAAGAGGAAGGCACAGGTCCCCAAGCCATTGAAAGTAACATTTAAAAACTCTTAAAACAGCAGGCGTAGCTGCGGCATTGCCTGCCTCTAATTGCAATGCAAACCGTAACCATTTGGTGCTCAAGGCTTTGGTGCAAATGCGCTCCACTCCATAGAGCTGAAGCAAACCAATTCTCTACCCCACTCCAGGTATACAAAAAGATTGTGCTTTGGAAGTGCAGCGCCACAAGTGGGAGGACAGCCCTCTGGTGACCTGCTGCCAACTAGGAGGAATTAACACACATTTAATCACACAGCAGACTGATCAGGCAGAAAGGCTCCTAATGAGCCAAACACATTCCCAGGGCAACAGAACATCAGCCACAGGGCTGTTCAGGCCAAGAATGAATAAGAAGGATCTTCTAATGAAGGGCTGCTCAGGTCACTGTTCATTTTTCTTTCCAAAGCAATTTCAGATAAGGTTTTTTTTTTGGGGGGGGGGGTCCTGCAGGTGAGTGTGCTTCTGTACTATATTCAATGCAATTGTGGGGAAAGGAGAATTTACTTGCTTTCAAAAGTAGCTCTGGGCCTTTAAGAAGCCCCTCTCCTCTCTCCCACCCCCTGATCTCTCATTACGTCTTAAGACAGCATTATACAAAGCCAGTGAGCTAAAGAAAAAAGAAAAAAAGCTTTCCATGGTGGGGGGGGGGAGCGCATTGTCTCTTACACAATACTTCTTGAAGAAGAGAAAGAAAGAAAAAAAATAACCCAAAGCCTCTGGCGTCTGTCCACTTTGGAAATTTGTTAGAAGCAACCCTGCCATGGACAGAGCCTGGCAGGAAAAAAAGAAGTATAGTTAGCAGTTCTTCTCACTTATGTGTATACAACAGAAATAGCAGCTTCATTTATGGGAGTCCAAGATTTGGAATGGGGGTTGGGGAAGAGGATAAGAAGAAAATGAAATTTATGGGATGTAGCTCAGTTGGTTATGCGGTCTAAACCACTGAGCCTCTTGAGCTTGCCTATCAGAAGGTCGGTGGTTCGAATCCCTGTGACGGGGTAAGCTCCTGTTGCTCTGTCCCAGCTCCTGCCAACCAAGCCGTTCGAAAGTATGCCAGTGCAAGTAGATAAATAGGTACTGCTGTAGCGGGAAGGTAAACGGCGTTTCCACATGCTCTGGTTTCCGTCATGGTGTTCTGTCGCACCAGAAGCAGTTTAGTCATGCTGGACACATGACCCGGAAAGCTGTCTGTGGACAAACACCAGCTCCCTTGGCCTGAAAGCGAGATCAGTACTACCAGTGGCGGACGAAGTGGGGGGGGCGGTGCATCCTGAGTGCCATCGGGGGGTGCCATCATGGTCGCCCCCACCCCGGGACGCTTGGCACTCGCCACTCGGACACTCGCCGCTCATGCCCCAGAACGCTCGCAGCTTGACACTCGCCACGCCCCCCCCGCAGGTGACATGCCCCACCCCCTGGGATGCATGCCAGCCATGCCCCCGGATGTACGCCATTCCCAGTGTTTCGCCACTGAGCACCGCAACCCCATAGTCGCCTTTGACTGGACTTAACCATCCAGGGGTCATTTACCTTTACACTGACTGTCAGCAGTTCTCTAGGTTTCACGCAGCAGACATTCCCAACCCTATCTGGAAATGCCAGGGATTGAATCTGGGACTTCTGAATGCAAAGCAGGTGCTCTACCACTGGGCTATGACACTGGGCACCAGATCAACGTAACAAAAACTTAACACTTGTGTGGTGTATTTTCAAGCATTCAGCATGTTTCATGTGCGTTGTCTTGTTGTAATCTTTACAACAACCCTGCAAGGCAAGTTAATATTATTATCTCCCAGTGCAACAAATGGAGGTGGCTAAGGCTGAGAGGGGAATGGTATGCCTAAAGCCACCTAGGGATCACACACTAGAGCTCTGAATCAGGGACTTCCTAATTTACAGCTCAGTTTCTCCGGCCACTATATTAGCCCAATCAAGCAAAGGAGGATCAGAGCAGATTATTCTCACCCATTCAAAGGCCCAGTCTACTTGGAACCTCTGCTGCCTAGATGCACTGAAAGAAAGAGGAAGAGACTGTCTGACGGTAAGAGCTATTTGACCGTGGAACAGACTACTTTGGAAGATGGTGGGCTCTCCTTCATGGGAAGCTTTTAAACAGAGGTTGGATGGCCATCCGTCAGGGGTTCTTCAGCTGTAGTTTCTGCATTGCAGGGGGCTGGTCCAGATGGCTCTTGGGATACATTCCAACTCTACAATTCTGTGATTCTACATAAGGTACAACAAGCACCTGGGACATAGCAACACCCATGGAGCAGTCTGCAAAAAATGAATGACCACGTCAGGGACACACCATCTCCAAACTGAAAGAGGAAGCTTTCAGTTTTGTTCAATTTCTGTCATGATGCCCCAGAAACTCCTCTGTGCATGTAAGTGGTGTATGATTCACTTCCTTGTGGAGTGAACCCAGTTGGAGAGGATATAAGAATGAAGCTACTACACCTGAGGGACCGATGACATGGTTCTCTCCCCACCACCATCTGACCCATCTTCAAACAGTTGACAGTCTGCTGGGAGAAAGGCAGGGCCCACAATATTTCTTCATTCACACCCCATATACTCTCCAACAGTATGAGAGCACACTACAGGTTAGCAGCTCCCAAACTGCTTTGTTCCAATGTGTGAAAAAGGATCATCAATGGGATGGAGCGTTTTAACATTACGTTTTAGAAATGCAAGGAAAATTATGAGAAAACGTTTCTTGTTAGTATGAAGTGTGATGGGACTTCATGTTCCATCATTGTAATGGGGAGTGACTGCCCATTCCCCCACTAGATACTCTTCATTAACTTCTCCATCTCTGCCGTCTCTAAAACAAGCTTCTCCAACAGGATGTCCTCCAGATGTTTTGGACTACCACTCATCCTTAACTACCTGCCAGGCTGGGAATTGTGGTCCAAAGCATCCAGAGGGCACCAGGTTGGGGAAGGCAGCTCTAAAACCTTAACCAATGAGATAAGGTATTTGCTATGCACAAGGCATAATTTCCACCAGCTCTTTAGCACTGGACCTAGCACCATTTTGAGAGCGCATGTGCCTCTAGTGTTTTTGGAAAGAGTATAAGCTCCGAAACAAGACCAAGGGCCTTCAAGTAACAAATCTTCCGAAGGAGACTGAGGGTTTGGCATGGCGGGGAAAGAAGGAGAACTCTGGCCAGGGCAGAAGGAGAAAGGCAGAGACACCCATCATCTTGGGGAGATCTAGAAACAGCAGGAGCGGAGTTTGGCCTTGTGGTTAACTTTTATGGGCCATAAATTGGCAATGGGAGAGGGCAGGATGTCAAGTCCCGGCTGGAGGCCCTCACCATTACAATGACCTTAGGAATGCCCAAAGCATTCTTGGGAGGGATGTGGAAGGGGACAAAGCAGCCATCTGATACTGTCACACAACTGTCCAGAAGGGGATGGGAGGAAGAGGGCAGGAGAAGAAACGAGATCGCTTATCTATAGGGTGGATGGTAGAAAGGATGAAGAAGAAAAAATCGGCTCAACTCTCTCTCACATGCACACAAGGCTACAGATTCCCAGGGCCATGTGATCTGGAGCTTCCTCTTGCCAGGCCAAGTTAGACCCTGCTGTGACCCTTCTCTTCCACACATTAGTTCCTGCCCGTTTCTGTGCTTCCGAAGAGGCGTTTGTTTACTGTCCTATCATAGGCATGCAGGAAGTGGCCTTGAAATGAGCTGTAATCATCTTTCACCAGCAGCCGCTCTTTGGCTCCTTTTCTAATTTCAGTTCCCCCTTCCTTCCTTTCTTCCTATCCCGACATACGCAACACACACACACACACACCACCCCCGCAATCCACAGGAGCCACTGAAAAAAGAAAGTCAAACCACACAGGGTTTTCCCCTAATCGGGAGGCTATGTCAAAAAGAAGCTCTAAGACTCCAAGGTTAGATCTGCACCAGAAACACTTGCAACAGGTTGCTATCAAGATGGACAACTGGACTTTTGGGGAACCAGGACAGGCCAAGTGAATGCCTGCACTTCATTAGGCAGGAATCTGTGTACATCAAATTGCACCAAGGTTGTCAGAAATCAAATGTGGCTCGATATTGGAGGAAGAGCTCTCTCTTCTTCTATTTGTGCAAAGTAATCCAAAGTAACGCAAAGTAACACTGGGAACAATTCAAAGGAAATTCTGTGTGGATTCTGCACTTAAATTTTCAATGAAGCCAGTGCAGTTACATTTTCTGAACTTAAGTTCATATAAGGATTCCCCACCCCAAAGTTAATAGGACAGGGAAGTAGAGGCAGAAATTCATAATGAAAGGAACACACCCGTATAATATGCAAAAGTTCAAATATGAAGCAGATTTTCAGAAATGAAACCACACTCTTACAAGCTGTACGTCTTCCAACCTCAAATTACAGCAGCTTATTCTTTTATTCTAGATGGTCTGATCTAAATGGTCAACACAGTATTCACTGCAAAAATTTTCCTCTCCTCCTCCATATTTATACTAATAAATACTGTTCTCCATACGTGGTCATGCATTTCACATGCACACAATAATCCTTATAAAAAATGATCAGTTAGACAAGCCAGTAGTGTGTGACTGAGCTAAAGAAAGAAATGAGTCACTAGATAAATAGTAGTAAAGACACCTGGAGAAACTAAGATTGCAGGTTTTAAGTTTTCCCCATCTTACAAAACAGAGGTTTTTACTGGTGTCATAGTTACAGCAGCACAGCATACTGACGGTTAGTTGGGAATGCAAATAGTTTTACTCAACAAATAGAGAGGTAAGAATACCAAGATGTTAGGGTATATCTTCAAAGTATAACCAAAATGTTACTGAAACTGAATGTGAATTATATGAATGGAGCATTCTGCTATTCATGTGTCTGTCATTCAGTACCTTTGTTAAAGGTGTGCATGTTCTCCTCAGGAATAAAACCATTGAACACAGTGCGACCTACTTCTAAGTAAATATGCAAAAGATTGTTTTGCAGTTTGATTGCTCTTGTAAAAACGGTTAGATTGGTGGCCTGATTCAGTGTAGGGAAGCTATTGTAGACATGCCTTGGTGTTCACTGAGAGCATCCTCCTAGCAGTTCCTTTACTGCACCATTAACTATTTCCAAGCATTGCCATTAAAATTAATATCCAGGTAAGGTCTTGCTTAGAAATAGTTTGTTTTCATTAATGGTAGAATCATCTCTTTCCATTAGGCGCTATCTCTGCAACATTTTATAAAACTATGTCCATTTCCCCAGCTGTCCTCCCCACCCAAAAAATAAATGCTCCAAACCACTATTTCTGTATCTCCCCACAATCTTGCATTTTTTGGATGGAGGGGCAGCAGCTACAGCCATACTTAGCATGTTAGATAAAGCCATGATGCAATAGAGATTGTATAATGGCATTAAGGTTTATCCTTATTCTCTTACCCAATTCCTTGTTTGAATTTTTCCTGTTTTACAGCTGCACTATGCAGCCTCTCAATTAAACCTTCCAAGAACTCTTGTGTGTGAAATATAACCAATTTATTCACCTTTAGATTACATTAGAGCCATTTATTTGGGAATTTTCAAAATCCAACATAGAAGACCCCACACACCTTCAAAAAGATGGCATCGTTCCTAGTTTTACTCCTTGTTAAGTATCAAATTGATGCCACTCACTTGTTAAGAAAATGGCATCCTCTTCCTCAGTCATAAGTGGATGTGTGTTTAGATTTCTAACCACAGCCACGGGCTTAGATAATACATTATTTAGGTTTGAGCCACTTCAAAATGCTTAAAGAAAGACACCCTGTGTCACCGTTTAGGATTCCTAGAGGGAATTTAAACAAAGCAAAACAAAACAAAGCTTCAAGGTTATCAGACTACGCAAAACACAAAAAGTGACATTCGAGACAACAATAAGTTTATATGTAGAAGACGGATGTGCAGAAGACAAAACGCTAACAGGAAAACCAGGAGTGGTGCTCAGCTCTCATCTGGTAGCCCTAAACTCCTTCCACCCCATCCTTTTCTCTATTTACAGCATTTCCTGTGGCAAGGAAGCAGAGACACAAAAGCCCTGCTATGGCCGGTGTGCAGAAGCTGGGTCGCCCATTCTTCCACACAGGTCAGAAAGATTCATTTCCTCCGGGATCTCAGCAAAAAAGAAGCTTGACCTCCATTGTATAGAATCAGAAAAGATGGAGAGGAAGTTCCCCAAATAAGCAAATAATGTTCTAGCAAACTAGTGGCAGGATTTAGGGTTGGGGGCGAAAGAAAATACACAGCATCTGTTCAACTAACGTATGTGTGTAAAGGTTGGAACTTGCTGATGAGGTGCTACATCAAAGTTCCAAAGTTTCTGGGTTCCAATTCACATCGGCCCCAACAAGAATGGGCAATAGTCAGAGATGATGGGAGCTGGGAGTCTGTGGCATCTGGAGGGCACCATGTTGGCAGCAGGGATAGCCAAGTACAGTGGTACCTCGGGTTAAGTACTTAATTCGTTCCGGAGGTCTATTCTTAACCTGAAACTGTTCTTAACCTGAAGCACCACTTTAGCTAATGGGGCTTCCAGCTGCCGCTGCACCGCCGGAGCACGATTTCTGTTCTCATCCTGAAGCAAAGTTCTTAACCCGAGGTATTATTTCTGGGTTAGCGGAGTCTGTAACCTGAAGCGTATGTAACCCGAGGTACCACTGTACATATGGAGGAGAGAGAAATACCCAAACCCTTATTTATCCAGTTCTATTAAGGTGATGCTCTGTAAAGAGTGACATATATCACAGTCAAATATAATATAGTGGTACCTCGGATTAAGTACTTAATTCGTTCCGGAGGTCCGTTCTTAACCTGAAACTGTTCTTAACCTGAAGCACCACTTTAGCTAATGGGGCTTCCAGCTGCCGCTGCACCGCCGGAGCACGATTTCTGTTCTCATCCTGAAGCAAAGTTCTTAACCTGAGGTACTATTTCTCGGTTAGCAGAGTCTGTAACCTGAAGCGTAGGTAAACTGAAGCGTATGTAACCCGAGGTACCACTGTATTTCAAAAGGGTACAACATGTGAATGCAGTGCATATATGACTCCCATTTCTTTATGAACTAAATACAAAGCCTAGTGAAGAATGGATCGCACCATATAAATCAGTGTAGTGGGAACTCGAAAGCCATCCAATTCCCTGAATCCAGGCAGAATCTCCAGAACACGAACATAGAATTATTTCAGGTAGGAACATCAGCCTCCCTGAAACCCACCTCTTCCATGAGGTCTTTGCCTTGGTCTTAGTTCACATCCCATGGTAAACAAAGCTAAGCACAGAGCTGCCTTTGCGGCACATTAATCTCTAATCCTGGTTATCTTGTCCATTCTTGCCCTCTCTCTGCTGCTTTGTTAACCTTGTCTTGCCCCCCTTCCTACTTTCCCCTCCTCAACCCTCTCTTTCTCTGTTGAAATTTAGATTGTAAGGTAGATCCCCAGGGCAGTGGATTGTCTTTTGCTACTCTTATAAGGTACCAATGTACTGATGGAACTAGATAGACAAATGCAGCGCCCATAACTCTGTTGTACAGCACATATTTGTATATACAGGCAACAACCAATTGATACGCGTCCAACTGAAGCAAGACTGCGCATGCGGCGATCATGCCAAAACTAGAAGTGACTTTATAAATGGCAAAAACAGCCCTAAGAGAGTCCAGAAAGGGCAAAAAAGACACAAAAGCAGCACCTAACAATCCTACAAGCCTTTGCAAATGCAATCCCAGGAGTCCTTGTACTGACTGTTGAGGCCTGTGGAGAGTTGGGAGTTTGAGCAAGGAGGTTTGGAGGGAGTGGCTGTGGTGGGGTTTGGCATCTGGTATGTGCTGCTGGTTTTAAAAGGGTTTTTTAAAGGGTTTCAGGTGGTTTAGAGGGTGTTTGCAGGCTTTTCCAATGGTGTTTCAAATATGCGAGATTGTACATAAACTTGTGGTGCCTTGGAACGTAACCCCTGTGCAAATGGGGAGTTGTCTGTTCAGTCCCTAGCATTCTCACTTAAAAATTAGTTTAGGAAAAGACGTCTGCCTGAGATATTTGTAATCTGCACTGCTCATCCTAGAAGATGCTTTCATGCTAAGACCAATAGTCAGATTCGGCATACGGTAGCTTTGTATGTTCACACACAAAAAACCCCAAATCAATATGATAGTGTGGTCAAAGGAGAAAACTGTAAGAAAGGAGCACCTCATACAAAACTTTATTCATATATGGGTACGTAGTGACATTTGAGAGTATGGTTTGAGAATTCAACAGTCATACAGAGAGAACCAACTGGGAAATCTACTAAGATAAAGAACACCTGCTGGCATAGTAAGAGCCTGCAATTATAAATTCAAACTCCATTACTAGAGATATCTAAAAGATAATGGAGAAAGTCAGGAATAAGCTAGATCTAGGTTTGCCATCTCTTGCTGCACTTTTTTATAACGTGAAGACAGAGGTAAGAGAGCTCATGATTTTAAGACGAAACGAAAAAGCTAACGTCATTATCAGAAGGCAAAGGGGCACTTTTAAAGGTCTGCCTTTTTTGTTCACCCCTGCAACATCGCAGCTGAACCGAGGTTGCTTTGGAAATGAGAAGCAGCACTGGTGCATGCGCATGCATTCAGATACGGGGAGTGTGTCGGCATTGTGCTATAGCTGCCTCTAGTCACAGTCGGCCATCTGCTACTACGGCCAAAGGGAGCACGTTCCCCGCTTTGCTTTTCCAAAGGAATGTAGCTCTGAGAAGCACCATTCCTCCTGAACTAGGGAGGGAAATTTGAGAGTGCCGAGTCTTGCCAGGGGAAAGGAAGTGTGGGGGAGGGAGCACACTGTGATACCGCAGTTAACTGGGTCATTGTACTGATGGCCAATAAGACAAAAGCAAAACACAGCAGCCTAAAAAGAGCGTGCTAGAGGAGGAAAGCAAGAGTGAGAGAGGTCTTTCCTCCTCCTTTCACGCATCTCTCTCTTTTAGCCTCCCCCATGCATATGCACACAGTGTCATAGATTCACAGCGCTATTCTCCAAAACCAAACCAATATAAGGAACTGAAGAGGCAAAGCCCTTGAAATTTGCAAATGCAACTTTTGGAAGCCAAGAACGGTATGGCCTGGAGAGAAAGAGGTTTTTGGTTTTCTTTAAGCCTTTGAAATGTATGTTTTAAAACACCACAGTGAGGGGAACAGGAAGGTCCTACATCTGGTATGCTATTTTTCAGAAGCCTCTTATTTTCCACCTTTGCAGATCTGCAGGGATATTTCTGTACTTCCAAGATATCGCAGCATCCAAAAAAGAAAGTGCTTTGACCATCCCATGACGATCAGGACTGAGGTCTATTTCACATGTCATGGATCTATCAAACTATGGCTTACAAGCCTGCTAGCTTCCAGAGAGGGGCCCGCACCCACTCTACTCCTCCCTGGACCTTTTCACTCAGAACGGCGCTGCTGCTAAGATGAGGCTTGGGATCGTGTGCTGTTTGAAGCCGGAATCACGGTTTAACAGCATCCCTTCTCCTTTACAAGGATCTGTAACCACAGGACAAACCTTGGCCACAGATTAGAGTTTAGGAGGAGACCTTAACCACAATTGCAGCTTTGGACAGCAAGTGAAGCCAAGCTGCACTGTGCTTTAAAGGAGCGGGGAAGGAACAAAGGGGTGTGTGAGCTCCTCTCTGGGAGCTGTAGAACATTTGCATGGCTCCAGTAAGTCATTCTTTGGCTTACTGCTATGAGTGTGAAGTCATTAACGTGGCTAATGTTTTGCCATTAGGGCATGTCTGCTTGTATCTGCCATACCCCACCCAACAAATTCCAGGAGGCTTCATAAGGGAGCTGCCAATGGAAGAATTGCAAGGCAGTTCTTCACTTTTGAGTTTAGATAAAAGGATGTGTGTGCATTGTTTGTTAACCATTGACATTAGCTTTACTTAGGGATATTAACTGAACTATTGGCAAGCTTTATGCTCAATAATTTTCTTCGATCTGTTTTAAATGAATTATTACTTGCTGATGGGTGTCATAGTTTATATTATAGTGACAATACAATACAATACAATGAATACAGTATTTCGTTGTCATCCATCCTTCACCAGCTGGTATCAGGGCAGGTTATAACAATTTCAAATTCAGAATTAAAAACAGTTTTAATGTTTTATATCCACGAGATTAGGGTGGATCCTGAAAACACAATATCTCAGGTGCCAAAGCCCATGGTAAAGAGCCAAAAGCTCTACGTTGAAGAAGCCAGACACCCCTCTATGGGGAGGGAATTCCACAACTTGGGGACTGACACAGGTAATTCCTTCTCCTAGGCCACGCCACCACCACCAATGGACTTCTGAGGGAGGTGGAACTACCAAGAGGGTCCCCTCTGCTGAACTTAACACCTGGGGTGGTCTGATATGTTGGTGCATTTAGACTGTTGTTTTTGCAAACTGGTGTGAGTACAACTCTGTAGAAAATGCAGTAAATAAATAAACCTATGACTATCATGGAAAGACAAACACCACTATCCTAAATGTGTGTGTGTGTGTGTGTGTGTGTGTGTGTGTAGGTATTAGTAGATACTTGTTTGTTTTAAAGAGAAAAAATGTGATTATACTTGAGTGGGAAATCGCTCAACACCTCTGTACAAAGTTCTTTCCTTTCTAAAAGTTATACAGTGGTACCTCGGTTTAAGAACAGTCCGGTTTAAGAACGATTTGGTTTACAAACTCTGTAAAACCGGAAATAGTGTCCTGGTTTGAGAACTTTACCTCGGTCTAAGAACAGAATCCGCACGGTGGAAGGGCACCAGCGGCGGGAGGCCTCATTAGGGAAAGTACGCCTCGGTTTAAGAACGGTTTCTGTTTAAGAACGGACTTCCGGAATGGATTAAGTTCGTAAACCAAGGTACCACTGTACTTGGAAACTTGGGGAAAGGTGGCGATCAGTATTTAAGAGAAAGAGATTCCCACACATAAAATAAAATTACAGGAACATAAGAGCAACCCTGTTGGACCCAGGCAGTGGCCCATCTAATCCTGCCAACAGGATGCCCATGGTAAGCCTGCAAGCAGGGCCTGAGGACAAGAGCACTCTCCACCCCACCCTCCTGTGGTTTCCAGCAACTGGTACTCAGAAGCAACACTGCCTCCAACTCTGGAGATAGAACAAAGCCAATTGTGAGCAAGGTATCAAGGGACAGAGAGTGGGGCAGGGGGTAAGCGCAATATGCAAAACAGAGCCTCTGCATCCAGGAATGTAAAGAATTTAGAATCCCACAAATATTAACTTCCCCAAATATCTACAGACACTTAAAAATGGAACTGAGCATATGTCAGAGAGAATAACTAAGACCTATCTATTTAGGAAACTGCTGCTGGTCTCCCATTCCTAATCAGTACATTCCCTCCAGCCAATAATACAGAAAGAATACATATCCATGAAAACAAATAGAAACCAGGAAAGAAAACCAAAAAATGAACCGCTTTGCTATCACATGCAACATTTTTATTATTATTTTATTTTAAAAAAACATTACTAAAGTGTTTAAAAATGCAAACAAATAAAATCAACAAATTTACCGTATTTTTCGCTCTATAAGACGCACCAGACCACAAGACGCACCTAGTTTTTGGAGGATGAAAACAAGAAAAAAAATATTCTGAATCTCAGAAGCCGGAACAGCAAGAGGGATTGCTGCGCAGTGAAAGCAGCAATCCCTCTTGCTGTTCTGGCTTCTGGGATAGCTGCGCAGCATGCATTCGCACCACAAGACGCACACACATTTCCCCTTACTTTTTAGGAGGGAAAAAGTGAGTCTTATAGAGCAAAAAATACGGTATTTCAATGGCCCAAGTATCTTATGAGCAACCAAGCCAGCTGAATATGCTCGGGAAGAGACAAGAGAACAAAGGTTTTCTCTTCCTCACTGGTGATTCCCCCCGCCCCCATCCGAGGACAGATTAAAGGTCAGATAATACTTAAGGCACACAGACTTATCCATTCGCTCACCCAATCATTTTACTAAATTTATGCCCAACCTTTTCTCCAAGGAGCTATTTAAGTTAGTGCACATAGTCCCTTGCTCTAATTTTATCCTCACACAGCCCTGCGTGGTAAGGTAGGCTGAGACAGTGACTGTCCCAACAACACTTGGCAAGCTTCATAGCCATGTCCAGGTCTCCCTGGCCTAAGTTCAACACTTGAACCACAAAGGTAGCTAAGACCACATCTCAATGATATTTCAGGAGGTGATCTGCCATTTTGCTAAGAGGCTGTGACAGGTCCCATCAGCACACAGCCCAATACTCAAGAGGAAATGTGGACTCTTGTTTTAAAGTATTATGTATGTGTGTCCACCATCAGTCTCATGCTATTTTCCCCGATTTAAGTCATCCTCTCCATTTAGGGGGGAAAGATGCAGGCTTTCATTGGTTTATAATGATCATTGAATATGGGAGTGTTTGGATTCATCTCAATTTTAAGAGGATGGTTCCCTTTCAGGATACCCCACCCTCCATAGAAAGGAAAATTCCAACAAATGAGCAGGAATTCCTCCGGCTAGGAACTGGAACATTTCTAGCACCTTATAAAGTAATGTTTGGCTGAGGCTGGCTATTAAAGAACCTGCTAAGAAACACCAGTATTGTCCCATGAAGTTTGCATCATTCTGCTCCCTAAATGAAAAAAAAACACAACCTGGATTTTGTTCACTTTTTTTAAAAAAAAAAGGAGGAGGAATCCCAAGAGGCTGATTACCCAGAGGACTTCCACCCTTCCTGCTTTGTTATATTGTGTATATACAGAGGCGTGCACTGCATACTCCTCTCTTGGCTGCTACAAAACTATTGCTTGGCGAGAAACCAGCTAAACATCTGCAAAGGAGAGGGAGGGTCTACTCTCCTCTTCTCTTCCAGAACAACTTTAGCGCTTATACCTTGGTACGAGCTTCGTATCCCCTAACACAGAAGCCACACCCTAGGCCTACGCAACCATCCTGTTATGCTCATCCTCACCACCCACAATTCCTGCCCAGCTGAAAGCCTTTTCAAGTCATCAGAATGTAATTGCAACCATTTCACTTATTAAGGCTGGGTGTTTAGTCTTCATCCACCCTGCTGAACATGTAACAAAGCCTTGTCTTCAACTTTGACTCCTCACTCACCATATCAAGTCCGCTGCCAAGTCATATTACCCTCTCTTTACAAAAATACGAACACTCTCGGCAAAACATCAAGTTCACACCCATATCGCCTCTCACCTGGACTGGAATAGCCTCTTCTTTCATTGTCTCACCTCAATCCAGCGTTCTGTTTACCCTACTCCATTTCCAGTTCCATCCTCTGTTAACTCCTGTATGTTGAATTTGAAATGGTATACAGCTCAGGGCATGGAACTTTGCAAAGCGCCATCATCACATATTAATGGTATTAAGTATTCCTCCTGCCATATGCATTTTACTTCTTCGTCAGAAATTGCATTCATGTGCCAATCTGATTTATTAATGGACTAGATTTTCTTAATTGGATGGTACCATTTGGATAATAACATCACAGCTTACCTATTTTGTGTGTCCCGCTATATACTACTAAACATGAACACAACATTCTGATTACTCTCCTTCCCGCAGAAAAGGAAAATAAAGAAAGGGAAAGGAAAGGAAAACCACTATAAGTGGGTCGTGAGGGTCGAATCCTTTTCATTGCCCATTGATTTCTGTACCCCTAAATTATGCTCCTACTTGCCAACCCACACCTCCACCTTGGGTTTTTAGACATTTGCTTACTATAAACAAAAATAACAGTCTTTGTCAGGGGTTTGCTAGAAGCATGCAACGTGTCTTTGTATGTTAAATGTTTTGTTAGGTCCTTAGAAATGTCTTTCAAGCTAGCTCAAAACCGCAGCTGGTGCCCTTTCCACCTCTCTTGGCACTCATTATTTGCCCTTAAGCCAAACTCCAGACTGGCTTTGCATGTAGACTACAAATATTTGCAACAGCTTATGGCACTTTTGCCCCATCAGGCAACATCAAGCCTATCAGGGAAAGACAGACACCTTGGATGAAAATGAAAAAAGCATCTCTCTTTTTTAAAAAATACAACCACACAGCAATATCACAGGAGTGTGTTACTGCGATACATTAAGGATAATCAGCAGATTTAAACTGGATTTCTTTTCAAGAGATGTGTTCTTTTCCCTTTAAATTTTAATCTTAATTGCTAGTTGGGTGCCTCTTGCAGAGTTCAAAGGCTACTCAACAAGTCAGTTACAACTAACACCTGAACTCTCGCCAGACCTCCGGGCTTTGATCTAGCAGCTCAATTTTTGCAAAGCTTGTCCTAATTGCAAACATTATTGCTTAGGGAGTGTAACCAACAGCTGCATCTGCACAGGCACCCTGTAGCTCCCAGCAACATCCCTCAACTGCTAGCCAGGGCCAGGGGAGTAAGGAACAGGCCACTATTCATGTCCTTACTGACCACAGCTGCCAAGTGACACCTGAAAAAGGACAAGGTGGTGTTTGCCCTGTGCGGACGCTGACATAAATAATTACAACAGGCTGCTCAAACAGACGTGCCCAGGTGGGAGCACCTGCACTGGTCAAAACGGAGGCACTGGCTGGGAATTTCAACGGCCACTATGCTGCTGCTGCTTGCTAAACAATAACTTTAGATGATACCACCAGAAAGAAAAAGAACAGAGGATGATGCTGCTCAAAACCAGAAGTGGATGAGCCCTAATAGGAGCAACTTCCCTCCTAAAGAGGTGCTATGGACCTGCCAGCACTCTCTTATTCCAACATGCTATCAGGCTGATGTAATCATTGCTATATGCAAGCCTATTCATCCTCAGTCCTGGCAGAGGAGCAGCGCAATTATCGCTCTTGCCTGAGCTGCTTGCAGTAATGCAGTTTGTCAGCCAAGATTGTAGGAAGGAAATGGGGAGGTTAACTCTGATGATTTCATGGCTTTGTAAATGCAGTTCATTAAAAAGGCGCACAACTGAGAAGATAAGGAATATACGCCTAAGCCAGGCCAATGCTTCATCTGGCCCAGCGCTATCAATCCTAACTAACCTTGGCTTCAGACATGCATTAGTTGCAGGAAAGCATGATCTCATGGAACTCACAAAATCTTTGACAGATGGAGGGCTGGTTCACAGACATGTATGCTCCAGTTGTCCCTATTTACCAAAGGCAGTCACAACATCCTGAATCTTGTACCTGGTAAATCTGTCCCCATTTTTGCCTTTGGAGGGGCATGTTAAAATTCTGTTAGTTGAGCTAGATTGTTCATTCCTTAGAGGTCCAGCTCCTGAAGAGAAATCTTGGACCCAGATCCACCTTATCCCTAGTGTGCATACCTGCAGATACATGCACATGTATGCTAAGGCACCATGTAGTGCACAGCCTGCGATTTCACATGGCAACAAAGATCATCTTGAACTGTTAGTCAAAGGCAATTATGCTTTCCTAGTACAGTCGTACCTTGGTTGTCAAATGGAATCTGTTCCAGAAGTCCGTTCCACTTCTGAAAACGTTCGAAAACCAAGGCGCGGCTTCTGGTTGGCTGCAGTAGCTTCCTGCACTCAGTCAGAAGCTGTGGAAGCCATGTTGGACGTTCGGGTTCTAAAGAACATTCACAAACCAGAACACGCACTTCCAGGTTTGCAGTGTTCAGGAGCCAAAACGTTCGAGTCGCAAGGCGTTCGAGAACCAAGGTATGACTGTATATGTCAGAGGTCAGCAAACTTTTTCAGCAGGGGCAGGTCCACTGTCCCTCAGACCTTGTGGGGGGCCGGACTATATTTGTTTTTTGGGGGGGAATGAATGAATTCCTATGCCCCACAAATAACCCAGAGATGCATTTTAAATAAAAGCATACATTCTACTCATGTAAAAACATGCTGATTCCCGGGCCGTCCACGGGCCAGATTTAGAAGGCGATTGGGCCGGATCCGGCCCCCGGGCCTTAGTTTGCCTACCCATGGTATATGTCTCTAACCAAAAGAACAGGCACTGTCATAGCTTATCACTTGTAGAGTAAATAAACCATTCATCATGATGGGAACTAGCCTAGCCTTCCCCTCTTTTCTCCTCTGGTGTGACTGTGATGAGGTGACCAGGAGCCTTTGCTTCCCATTTTGATTAAACACAGTTTAGTGATACATCGGAGCCCTAAACTGTGATGAAATCCTAACCGCTGTTTGCTGAAACAAGCCAGCTTCATCAATCACATATTAAAGTTGACTTGTTTCAAACAAACCATAGTTAAGATTATCCACATTTTGGGGAGCTCATACAAATATGAGAAGCTGCAGTCAAACAAAAAAGGAAGCAAACCTTTTGAACTGCTCCTCTCAGCCATGCTGGAAGTGGAGAAGGAGGGGGGCGGAAATGTGCAGGCCTGGGGAATTGAGGCTGGCTGGGCTTATTCCCATTGCAATAAACCATGGCTGAATCATGACTTAAGAACACAGTCATAGGAGCTGCATGTTTCCTGCTCCATCAATTAGATTCTGGGTTTGGAAGGATTAATGCTCCATCTTCCAAAAGTAGCCCACTTAGAATTACCCACGTCTGAGTGCTCTAGGACCTAGAGCATTCCCAGCATAAACTACAGTACAGATTCAAAGCTCAGCCTGGCCAGATATTCACTTGCTTTTTGTTTTTCCACCGCCTCATCCCCATTTTCTCTTGTTGTGGGCCTCTTTCCTCACACCCACTCTCCTCCTGTCATGTGAGCAGAGTTTCCAGCATGGTTGGCCGGTAGCCAATGCACAAGAAGAGAGAAGAAATCATTCGGGAAAAGCAATTTTCTGCTCCTTTCCATCACATAAACGTCACCCCCTCCCCTCTCCCCAGCTTGCAAGACTATTGCAGAGCAAGAACTTTTACAGCTGTTTGGATAGCCTGGAAATCTCTTGCTCCAAGCAAAGCAGTAGTGAGCTCAGCCCTTCAGTGTCTGGTGAACAAAGCAACATGTTCGCTGCATCACCACTTCCTTTTCTCAGGCCTATCCAATCAGTCCCAAGTCGTTCCCCCACAGTGGCGCACAAATCTCATGCATCTGTTCGCATCAACCCCACTCCTGCCTTATGCACCCACAAGTAGAGATGGCACAACGTTCCACTGTGGCCACATTTCACCTTACTGGGCCTCAGCAGAATCTGCGCACCTTCCAGGAATCTTCCACACTACGACCCTGACTGTCCTTATTCCAAGACCAAGCTGCATGAAGAACAGTCACTTGTCAATCAAGTCGCCCATTGATACAACTGCAGCTGAACTGGATTTCCTGGGACTGTGCCATCGCAGTGGCTGAAAGACTGCAATCACTGGAGCTGCCATCAGAAAGTTGCATCTATTGTCTATGCAGATCTCCGTTGGCATGATATTGTTCACCATTATCAGGACACATATCACATGAACCATCTTCCCCGCTCCAGAAGCTCTTCCACAGAAAATAAATAGCCTATGCACTGAGCCCCACACATATCTCCCAATCAATCCTATCGCTTAAATTCACAAATACATTTGCAGAGGAGTCAACTGCAGCTGGTTCCACTTCACTCTCTTTTAATTTCTAAGCTGCAACCAAGCTATGACATGAAAAGCCTAAACTGGCTATTTATAATGTTGGAGTGTGTGTGTGTATGTGTGTGTGCGCGCACGCATGGAGGAAAGGTTGTCATTTTCATTCCTTATTTTTCACTTTTCAAAAAAAAGTGTTGAAGAGCATTCACAATCACTGTCTCTTTTTTAGAGAGAGTATATGCTAACCTGTGTCTTGAGCTATGTCAAGAGGCTTTTTGAAGCTTATTCTATAAGCGTCCGCGGTCTAGCTCTCGGCATCATTTATGAAATAGAGCTTCTGAAACACCACTTGAGTTTGTACTTCAAGTGACAGGGACACCTAAGTCAAGTTTACTTAATTAAGTTCACCGTAGTTCGCTTTAGCCTGAAACTTGCATGAGCAAGCAAAAGGAAGAAGAGGGTTTATTTTGATTTATTTGCTCTCCTTGGTTCCTTCTTATCTGAGCCAAGGACAATGGGATAGTCGTAATGGTTAAGGCATAACCCTCTTCTTTTCAGCACCCTGTTCTCAGAGTGGCCAACCAGATGCCTGTGGGAAACCTGCAAGCAGGACCTGAGTACAGTGGTACCTCGGGTTAAGTACTTAATTCGTTCCAGAGGTCCGTTCTTAACCTGAAGCACCACTTTAGCTAATGGGGCCTCCTCCTGCTGCTGCGCCGCCAGAGCACGATTTCTGTTCTCATCCTGAAGCAAAGTTCTTACCAGAGGTACTATTTCTGGGTTAACCGAGTCTGTAATCTGAAGCGTATGTAACCTGAGGTACCACTGTACAAGAACACTCTCTCCTCTGTTTCCAGCAACTGGTATTCAGATGCGTTACTGCCTCCAACTGTGGAGGCAGAGAGCAGCCATCATGGCTAGTAGCCTTTGATAGCCCTCTCCTCCAGGAATTTGTCTAACTCTCTTTGAAAGCCATCTTCTTAGGTTGAGGGTTATCACTGCCTCACGGAGGAGCAAGTTCCATAGTTTATCTACGTGCTGCATGAGGTTGGACTTGGTTTTTTCTGTCCTGGCTCTTCCAACATTCAGCTTCACTGCATGCCCGTGAGTTCCATGAGAGATGGAGAAAAACTTTACTCTACCCACTTTCTCCATGCCATGCAAAAATTGTTAAACTTCTATCACTTCTTCTACTTGCTGTAACCTTTTTTCATTGCTCTATCGCCTTGATTGCGTGAGTTGCCCTTTTCTGACCTTACAATATCCTTTTTGAGGTGAGTACCTTGCTGGTGTAACTCTACAATGGAAACTAATAAAGGGGAAAGAGGGTGGGAGCCAGATCAGTGTTTGTAGGCGACTAATCAGTTGCTCAGTCTCCCTCTGCTTAGCCTTTGTTCACAACCACATTTCCCAATAGGAAAATTTCATTGCTAGCGGCTGAAGTGGTTGTCTACATGCATTTTGGCAAGCTCCCACATGCTGGGTGGGTGAGGCTTCGGAGAGGCAGAAACTCAGCTCTCAAAAGTAAATCGATGGGGAGAGATGTAGTGTGTGCAAGGAAAAATTCCATTCAGAGGAGTAATAGTCTAACACACAATTTCCTCCTACCTTTAGCACTCTTTGGAACCCGTTGCTCCTCTTAGATTCTGATCAGTCAGTGGAAATCCAGGCAATAGGAGATGGAACGTTTTTCACTCAAGTGAGTATACACAGGGAACTTAATCAGGAAATACTTGTTTTTCTTGCTATGAGATTGATCTTCACACCTGTATCTTGGTCTGAAGCTGAAATGGGGGAAGGCTGCTATCTAATATTGTTTCTTGTTTTTGAAAATCTAAAGAGATAAACAACTACCTGACGTTTAGAAGACATCTGAAGGCAGCCCTGTTTAGGGAAGTTTTTACGGAATGATGTTTTAATGTATTTTTAATCTCTGTTGGAAGCTGCCCAGAGTGGCTGGGGAGGCCCAGCCAGATAGGCGGGGTACAAATGATAAATCATTATTATATTATTATTACAAAGCACAAAACTGTACTCTACTACACCAGAGAAGGAGGAACATGGAAGGGTCATGACTCAGTGGTAGAAATTCATTTCATTTAAAATCACAACATGTTTAAGCCTGGCACCCAAAGACAACAGAACAGCACTGGTGCCAGATGAATGTTATTGAGGAAGGAATTCTGCAACAAGTGGGGAACCACCAATGAGAAAGAGTCCTACTTCTGAGTAAACATGCACAAGCTTCTGCTGTAAGGCTGCAATCCTGTGAACACTTACTTGGGAACAACTCACAAAGTAATGTAACACGCTACAAAACTTCTGTCCAGTCCAATTACAGGAGATACAAATAGATAAAATGAGTGCCAATATAGGTGCAGGAATATGCCAGCTTTCAGATTTCAGACCTGTACAGCACAATCCAATGTGTGTTTCCTCAGAAGTAAGCTTAATTGTATTTGATGGAGTGTACATCTATTTCACAACGCAGTCTTTGACACTGAAAATTGAATACTTTTGCAGTCACCTAAGCAAGTCTATTAAAGTCTTTATAAATAATAAAATTATCTCCCTTCCTTTGAAACCAGCACAGAAATGGAATACAATGTATGTATCTTCTGTATATTTTTATCATCAATAGCCAAAGGTTTTAAACAAAAGCTCAAGTAATAAACGCAAAGTAGTAAATAAGCAATAAGGGTTGGCAGGTCCTGAAAAAGTAGCCAGTTCCACGCCAACTTGCAATTGTGTTACTCCATCAGTTGTTAAATTCCTTGGCGGTTCAAGGAAAGCAGCCACAAAGTTTTACTAGGACAATAAAAACAAAACCCGTCCTAAGCACACTCAGTAACCCTCACACAGCAAAAGAGCCACATGGACTTACCGCAGGAGTATAAACAAAGATTTGTTAACCTGTCATTGGCCAGTACCAAAGTGTAGCACTTTTTTGTGGTTTATCACCCTGGCACAAACTTTCAAGGTATATCTATAGCACACTAGAGACTTAAACTGCTTCAAAGAGTCAATCCGTCTCCCAAGGGAACCCTGGGAACTGGAATTCTGTTGATCTCTAACAGAAAGTTTCAGTATGCTCACCAAATAAGAACCAGGATTCTTGGGGAGGGAAAAGGAGACAGTACAAGTTACCATAGATAAACAAGTTTGTAGTCTCTCTCTCTCTCTTTCTCTCTCTCTCTCTCTCTCTCTCTCTCTCTCCAGTGTCTTAGCAAACCTATCCACCACCATTCCATCCTGTAAATCAGGAGTGAGGCATCTCAGTCCCAGGGGCCAAATGCAGCTTCCAGGCCTCTATCTGGCCCTCAGGAATCTCTACAGGCCGTCTGAAGGCCAGACCACCCGCTGGCCCTGCTCTGCACCTGCAAATGCTTTGGGATTTGGCTGGAGCGCATCCTGAAAGTATGATGATACCATTTGCTTTAAAGTTAATTTTCTCTTACTTACAGAGATCGCACATTGAACCAAGAGTAAAACTTGTTAGGTATTTTGCACTAATACTGACTGGAAAAAATCACTGCCCTCTCCATTTTTTCTTAGCAAAGTGGTCTAGATGTCACACTGGAAAAGCCAAAACGCCACCCACAAATTGGCAGAGAGGAATTGCTACATCGCCGCAAGCAGCTGGGTCTTGCCCAGGGCAGTGTGCTCCTTCAACGGACCTTGCCAAACAAGGGAACAGGCAACCATGAATAAAAGCTTTGGTCTCTGAAAAATACAGTGCCAGATCTTAGGCCACCAAGGAAGCATCACAGAAGGTTTGTTCAATCAATCGCTTCCACGGGGCACTTTCTGCAACAGATTGCAAGGGAGGCAAGGTGCGGTGAGGGTTCGGCTACCATAATCAGTTCACTCCTTTTGTTGTAGATGCCTCCACAGTTTATATGTGAATGGGAAAGACATATTAATAAAAGGAGCATGGCTCTGCCCAGTCGTATCTTGTTTAACTCTTAATACCCACAGAAAAAGTACAGGGAATGATTTAAGCGTCTGTGATGCCATTAAAGAAAAGCAGATTTTATCCTGGTAAGTGCCTAGACAGGAGGCAGTCCTTCCTCACCATGGAGTTTCTAAAACAAGCAATGCCAATGTGATGTCTTCCAGATGCTGTTGGACTTCAACTACCAACATCCCCAACCAGCATGGCCAAAGGTAGAAATATATAGAGGACAAGATTCATGGGAGCTGCAGCCCCACAACATCTGGAGAATGTAATAGCGGCCACCCTCCTGCTGCAAAAGCATTGCAGCAAACTAGTGATGCTACATAAAAGAATGTTTCTGACTATCCATTGCACCACATAAAATAAAGGCTCAACGATGGCTGGAAGCACACCCAACTTTATCCTGGCACCTGTCTTCCCTAGGCCTACTAACATGTGGGCAGTTTCACCAGGGTTACAAGCAAGGAGTTGATGCTGGACCAACACATCAGTGTCAAAAGCATGACAATAGCAACTCTCCTGGGTTCTTAATCCGCCCAAGCCAATGCAAGGACAAGGCAGCTAGTTAATGGCCATCATTTAAAGGGCACCATTAGCTGAGAAGGTTATTGGGCTTACCAACTGCAACCAAATTCCAAGTGCCACGGAAAGTATTTCATAGTATATACCCCATGTTGAAACAACTATTGCAGGTTATTCAGAACGCACACACAGAGGAGTTTCTTCTTTTTCCTTCAATTTGTACAGCACATGGATATTTTAAAAAGTAATAGTAACTAAGTTCAGTCACACCCATCAATTATCTAGTGCCACCAATGAGAAGCAATGTTCATTTCCAGCTTGCCAAAAAGCACCAAGCATGTATGTTAAGATTAAGGGAATATGATATTGTGTTGACTTTGGATTGAAGTTATACTATGAGAAGGATGAAAATCAGCCACTACTACAGCCCTCAGCTCCGAGAGACCCCCTGCCCCACCCGAAAACAAAATTATTACTACTTTCCCTCTCTATAATTTGGGCAGAAAAAAATGTGTCTGTCTCAGTTGTTCCACTTTGGAATCTGGTGCTGGAAATTTAAAGCTTCTCAAAAAAATATGGAACATTTCATAGCTACATCCAAGACGAAGCTCTGTTGTGATGCACCACCGTCGCAATTTTCTAGACAATGGAAATGTGCCATTTGCTACTATATACATGCGTAATTTTTTTTAAAAAAAATCTGGAGTGGGTAAAATACTTTACAGCCATACAATCCCACTCCCCTCTATGGTGGTCAATTGATCCCATACTATGGTTGGATCTAAAGGCCAGAGATTACTCTAAACACCGAGTCACTTGGGGGCAGAAGATCCAAGGTATGCCTCCATGGTGAAAAATAAATTGTATAATTTATTTTAAAAATGAACAAAATGATATATTGCTGCCTTTTAAAACAATACAGCACAAAACCTGCTTGAGGCAGGTTACCTCACATTGTCCAATGGTAGGAATGGCCATGGATGAACTTGGAGACTAAACAATCCATTTGTGTAAAATTAGAGCACTGTTCACTGAACTACAGCAGGTTCTGGTGACATTGTCTATTTGTGTGGGGGAGGAATGGGGGGGGGAGAGATTGGATGGATGGGCCCTACGTAAGGAAGTAAAAATGGCATTGTACAAACTGTTCATCAATCCCAGGGTGTAACTTTGCTTTCCAAGTGAATTGAGAAATTTGGGGGTTATTACACAACCATTCCATTTTTTAAAACCTAGTGAATTCCACTTGAGTTTTTTTTCCTGTGCCCCCCCATTTTTTTTACAATTTTTTTTTAAAACAAGAAGTTATCTCTATTTTTATAGCAGGCTTGTGAAGACCTTTGCCAAGCCTCTCTCTTTTTAACAAGATGAAGGGAGAGAAGATGGATTATTTCCATGCTAGGATTTACTCATCACTTCAGTTTACCTTCCATGAAAGAGAAAAAAACCTTACAGAACAGTGTGATATGAAACACCTAATTGGACTCAATTCTCTGATTGGGTTTAAAAGTTAATAAAACTAAAGCACACTGCAGTAAGATTGAACAGACCTGGAATCAGCTGGGCTGAACCCCTTTATCTGCTGCTCCTGAAAACGGAAAGGCAAACTCAGCAGCTTTTATGCCAGAAAGTTTTATCTGCATTCCTAAGAGCACCGAAAATGTGGGCGAAAAGGGAGGAGGGTTTCCCCACGCCCACTGGTGTGACCCACACAATTCCTTTTAGCCAAGCTTGTGGATTTGGTAAGGAGACTTTCCCTTCTTTGATGGGGGCTGGGGGTGGGAATCCAACAAGATTCTGTGGCATTTTGAAACCCGTGCTTTTGAGGTAGCCATTTCCATGACGATTCACAACTTTTCGCAATAAGTCACCCTTTCTCCACTGTGGAAACGTCTCCCGCCTTCAAGCGAGTCAGAATACCCCCAGATCTCCATAAATCCCAATGGATAACCCTGCAGATCAGTTCCAGACGATCCCGCCACTAGGAATTCACGCACAGATTTCCATAGGGCAACCCGACCTGCTCTCCTCCTTTTCGATCCTCCTCTTCTAAGCCAAAAGCCGAGAGACCATTAGTCAAGTACGGGCAGCAGCGGTGCAGTTAGGCACTACTTTAAAAAAAATGAACTCTGGCTTTAAGAATATTCGCAAAAAGGGGTGTTCGTCAGATGCTCACATGCATTTCTTCACGTACTGTACTGTAGTTCCCCATGCGGTCCGCCAGCCCAGCTACGGAGAGTGGGGAGCAGTGCCTTCCTGCTGGTCACCTCCCCACCGCAGCCAAAAGCGACCCGGTCATTTTGCACAAGCAGATCCCTTCCCCGCAAACTTTGAAGGGATCCCAAGACAGAGCCTTCCCCAACCTCCCCCTCCCACCACAAGCTGTAGGATTTGGCACATGAAGCCAGACCCCCCCCCCCGAAAAAAATAAGAAACCATCCGCGAGGCAGAACCGCCCCCCCCCCGCCTGCCTACCTTGCTCAATGGCAGTAGCCGGCCTGTCCCCCCATCTGCCTTCTGTTCTCATCTTGGGAAACTCCAGCCTGGCGACTCCAGCAGCAACAGCAACAGCAGCAGCGACCGAAGCAGCCTCTGCTTGCATAGTTCCCTTTGCTCGGCTCTGCTCGCCCCCGCCGTAGTTCCTCCCTTTTGTTAACAGAGCCCCCTCACGGATTTTCAAAGGATTTCCCTCTCTCTTTGCAACCCCGTCTGCTCCATTAGAAGGATCAGCTTCTTCCACGGCGAAATCTTCCCAAGTTTCCCTTTCCCTCCTCTTGCTGTCGCTGCTGCAATTCTCTCCCCCCTCAAAAAAAATCCATCAGCTGCTTTTCTCCCCGCCCCCCATCCCGACCACTTCTTTTCCTGACTTTATGGCGCTCTCTCTCTCTTCCTTCCCCCTCCAGAGCCTAATACCACCCCCTTTCTTTCCCCCTCCCCCTCTTTTCTTTTCTCCTCCTCCTGTGTCTTTCTTCCCACCCTTCCCTAGCCTGACCCATCCTGACTCTTTCCCAGTGAGCTAATCTGCAGCTGGCTGAAGAGCAGGCCGCATTGCCATGGCAACCCAAAATACTCGAGGATTTACGGGGTGGGGAGGGCCGCAAACAGGACCTGCTTGGGGACAACATTTGGGGGTCAGGGTGTGGTGGGGAACTACGGAAGGGGACTATCCGTTTCAGTTCCTCCACTTCTGCCATAAAAAAAAAATCATAAAAAACAATTTATTATTAATATTATTATCACGTTTCAAGTGCATCCAAAGCCAAAGTTGTTTTGCAAAGTTGCTCAGAGGACTTTTATCAAAATTAACGTTTCCCCTCCTGCTAAACATCTGTTCCGGAGAACACTTATTCTCAGATTAGTTACCTTGAAAATGATGTAGCCACATATATAGCTGTATACACACCCACACCCACACACACACAGGCATAAGAGGAGTGAAATAATTCATTTATTCAGGAACTGTTTGTGTATGGCATAAAGACTGTGGCTCCACAGAAATGGAAGTATGCCCAGATTTCTTGGGGTGGGGGTGGGGAGATGAGGGGCACCGCGCCCTGGAGATATTGGGGAATTGCGCCGGTGGTTTACTGGGAAGAGATCTTAAAAGCGGTGCACTCTTGATATATTCCAGGTCCCTTCCTGGATAAACATATCAGATTGCCATTTGCCAAACTGTAATTTATCACAAGGTACATATAACCATTTGGAAAGCTGGTGGTGATATCCTGCCAAGCAGCGAGACGGCATCCCCATATTTTTGATTAGTTAAAAAACGCTACAATTAATTTGGTTCCATTACAAAATGCGTTAAGTGGTTTTCTCACTGTCTCTGGCAGCACAGACACCATGCATTTAAAACACATTTGCCACCCATCCCGCAAAGAATCCTGGGAACTGTAGCTAGTAAAAGCGGTTGGAAATTGTAGCTCTGTGCAGGATAAACTACAGTTCTAAGGATGGGGGGGGGGGCTTTAAATACACAACATCTCATCTCTCTCGCATACTCCATCTCTCTGGTTATAATTTCCACTAGGGTATTCATCTATAAAATCATTTACATGCCACCTTTGCGGTCATAGCCTACCTAAGGCAACCGTTGTTGTTGTTGTTTAGTCGTGTCCGACCCCATGGACCAGAGCACGCCAGGCACTTCTGTCTTCCACTGTCTCCTGCAGTTTGGTCAGACTCATGTTTGTAGCTTTGAGGACACAGTCCAACCATCTCGTCCTCTGTCGTCTCCTTCTCCTTGTGCCCTCAATCTTTCCCAACATCAGGGTCTTTTCCAGGGAGTTTTCTCTTCTCATGAGGTGGCCAAAGTACTGGAGCCTCAGCTTCAGGATCTGTCCTTCCAGTGAGCACTCAGGGCTGATTTCCTTAAGAATGGAGAGGTTTGATCTTCTTGCAGTCCATGGGACTTTCAAGAGTCTCCTCCAGCACCATAATTCAAAAGCATCAATTCTTCGGCGATCAGCCTTCTTTATGGTCCAGCTCTCACTTCCATATATCACTACTGGGAAAACCATGGCTTTAACTATACGGACCTTTGTTGGCAAGGTGATGGCTCTGCTTTTTAAGATGCTGTCTAGGTTTACCATTGCCTTTCTCTCAAGGAGCAGGCGTCTTTTAATTTTGTGACTGCTGTCACCATCTGCAGTGATCATGGAGCCCAAGAAAGTAAAATCTCTCACTGCCTCCATTTCTTCCCCTTCTATTTGCCAGGAGGTGATGGGCCCAGTGGCCATGATCTTCAATTTTTTTGATGTTGAGCTTCAGACCATATTTTGCGCTCTCCTCTTTCACCCTCATTAAAAGGTTCTTTAATTCCTCCTCGCTTTCTGCCATCAAGGTTGTGTCATCTGCATATCTGAGGTTGTTGATATTTCTTCCGGCGATCTTAATTCCGGCTTGGGATTCATCCAGCCCAGCCTTTCACATGATGAATTCTGCATATAAGTTAAATAAGCAGGGAGACAATATACAGCCTTGCCGTACTCCTTTCCCAATTTTGAACCAATCAGTTGTTCCATATCCAGTTCTAACTGTAGCTTCTTGTCCCACATAGAGATTTCTCAGGAGACAGATGAGGTGATCAGGCACTCCCATTTCTTTAAGAACTTGCCATAGTTTGCCGTGGTCAACACAGTCAAAGGCTTTTGCATAGTCAATGAAGCAGAAGTAGATGTCTTTCTGGAACTCTCTAGCTTTCTCCATAATCCATCGCATGTTTGCAATTTGATCTCTGGTTCCTCTGCCTCTTCTAAATCCAGCTTGCACTTCTGGGAGTTCTCGGTCCACATACTGCTTAAGCCTGCCTTGTAGAATTTTAAGCATAACCTTGCTAGCGTGTGAAATGAGTGCAATTGTGCGTACAACGTCATAAAAACTAACATAAAACATAAAAAGGCAACCATACAATGTCATAAAAACTAACATTGCAACGGGCAGCCATGTTGGCCTAACCTGGGGATAGAGCAGATGCAAAAGGTCCCAGGTGTCTGCAGGTAGGGCTGAGACAAACTCCTGCTTGAAACCACTACTGCCAGCCCATGTCAACAATACTAAGTTCAATGGGCCAATGACAGCTTTCTAGGTTCCTATTGCAGTCAAGGAGATGGGGGGGGGGGAGTGTCTTTTTAGTACCTTGAAGTCTTAAATCTATTATGGCACAACTTTTCAGGAAATGAAATTATTCAAGAACCAGTAGGGTAACTTTTTCACCTCCAAGCACCCTCTGTTGCCAACCTGAACAAATGAACTTCAAAAGGGATTGGCACTGACATAAAAACCCCACATATATACCAAGCTGACAAAACAACAAGATAGTGTGCAAGTTGACCACCCGCCCTTTGCCCTCTGCCCTCTTCCCCTACCTTTGGATATCATATTGTTTTACATTTTTCATTGAACATAACCAAAAGACTATATAATCTCATTGGGAGAGAGAGATTGCACGTTCTTTGTAGTTCATGGAAATCTTTTAATACAAATTATTTAAAAAATAAATAAAAAGGGAGACTCCAATATGAAAGTGCCAAATTACAGCTTATCAGTAAATTCAATTCTGAAACCTGTAGAATGAATTGTACTGTTTCCTGCCTCATTGATTAAGTTTTATTAATTAGTTAACCAATTAACTAATTTTAGCAATGTTAAAGGTGTTTTTCTTCTCACCAAATATTGCTGCTGATTGTCCTTTTAAAATCACTATCTCATACTGTATTTTTTGCTTTGCGTTTCCATGTGATCTCACTGTTTATATATATTTCTCTCTCTCTCTATGCTCATGTGTAGCTGTTTCCTGACACCTGGGAGTGGTACTTAATAAAGTGGATGCTAATCTAGAAAAGCTCTTGCCATAATAAATTTGTCAAATCTTTAAAGTGTCACAACACGCATTTTAATTTTTTTCCTGCATTTGGTTATGTGTTCTTTACCACGTATTTGTGGATTCAGAAGAAGGAATTGTTTGACATTCTGAGCAGTCACGGAGTATACGTTTGAATACAATTTCATGGACAGCATAGATTCATCCATTTTTCACGTCAGCACCTGTTTAATGGATTCCTTCCCCACCCCTCACTTCAGTTTCCCTTAATTAGCACAATTCATTCACATGCACATACCACCCCTTTACCAGAGACTTATTTCTAATTGATCAGAAATACAAGCAGTGCTCTTCTGCATTTCTTCTGCATTCCTCCCTTCCCTAAATCAAGGCTTCTGGTATGGAAACAATTGGCTAGGAGTGACGCTGTCCTAAACTGATCTTCACAAACTGAAGATAAAGCACCAATGCTGTTACTATACTTCTGTTGGGGCTTAATGACATATCAAACCCTACATAAGGTTCTATGATCGCCATCTACTGGAACTAGTCACAACTCCAGGATACTGTACTTCTATTAATACAGGGTGCTTTCAGCCTATCACTCTTCTGCATGAGAGATTCTAGCTTATAGTAGAACTTTAGGCTTATGCCATTAAAGTAGTTTAATGGGCTTTATTGCCCTTTGCACAGCTATGGGGAGCCTTTGACTCTCCAGTCGTTGCTGAACACACTCCCGTCATCCCTGTCCAGAGTTAAAAATAGGGGAACACCAGACCTCAGCGCAACCTGAAATCAGCTTTGCATCTGGCAGAATCTAACACCATCCTATACATGTCTACTCAGAAGTGAAGTATTTAAGTCTATGTAAGTGGGAACAGGATTTCAGCCTAAGACTGCATTTCGTTTTAAGAATGTTGGAAACTGCAAGCTTTGGGATTTAACATCATGCCTGTTTTGATCTCACTCTCCTATGCATTTGTCTTCGCCATGGCTAAATTATTCCTGGTTAAATGTGTTCAGGATTGCAACTGAAATCTCTGAGTAGGGAAGGAATATATATATATTGTCTCCAAACACACAAGCACATAGGCATTGCACAATGCATAGTGTGCCATTGTAAACACAGCTGCCAGGTATTTTCTACCCTATTGATAACCAGTGGTAAGATTATTCTACTTTTCTAGCATACTTTAAAAGAAAATCTTCCTGGTTTTTCCATCAGTGGAGGACAGAAGTATTACAGAAGAAAGGCAGAACAGAGTTTTCAATAACAATGTGTAACAGTTGGGGGTGGGGCCAGAGTCAATGGCAGTCGGGCAATTTGGATCCTGGACCTCAAATAGACCCTCAAATTTAGACACTTCTTGATTTTTTTGACGTTTGATTAGTTCTGCAACTTGTTTTTATGTAAAGGTAAAGGGATCCCTGACCATTAGGTCCAGTCGTGGCCGACTCTGGGGTTGCGGCGCTCATCTCGCTTTATTGGCCGAGGGAGCCTGTGTATAGCTTCCGGGTCATGTGGCCAGCATGACTAAGCCGCTTCTGGCGAACCAGAACAGTGCACGGAAACGCCGTTTACCTTCCCACCGGAGCGTTACCTATTTATCTACTTGCACTTTGACGTGCTTTTGAACTGCTAGGTTGGCAGGAGCCGGGACCAAGCAACAAGAACTCCTCGCCCCCCACCTTTGGTAAGCGTCTAAAAATTATTTCACTGAGCAACCCAGAGGAATTCCCATTTTTGGCACAGGATACATTTCTGGTGGATTGTGTCCATCATGTTGCTGGAAGATGATGGCATTTCTCCATGCCTATATGAATCCAAGCTCTGTGTAGCAGCATTCTAGACCTATTTTATAGAGCAGTGTCCAAGAGACCCAAACATCACAAACAAAGACCCCATTGTTTCTGACAATACGGAGTATAGTTTTCACCCCCAGGGCCTTTGTGCTTTACAAAAGGAGCATCAACTAGCCTTTGACAAAACACAGAAACAAGTTCTTTGGGAAAGCCTGTTCTTTTTCTGTATTTTGCTGGCAGAGATAAGCACAAGAAAGAAGACAGCCTCTATTACACTAACTGTAGGTGATGGCTGTAAATCAGCAGCATTCGTGGAGAGTCATTTCTCATTTTTAATACTGTACCTTATATGCTTATTAAAGGCCACTTTTCTTTCCTCCCCTGGAACACTCCCAGAATCTGCTCTGGAGCTCCACAGCTGTTTAGTTTTTTTCAATGTGAAACTAGCATTTCAGCTCTCTCTCTGATTAGCTTTTTTGGTGGTTTTGTGTGTGGGGGGGTTAATGATTGGAGTGATAGCCAAATAGAATAGGCCTATTAAAATAAATGAATTTAAATTACTAAGTCTATCAATTCAACAGGTCAACTCTGAATACAACTAAGGCAGTGTAAATACGAGACAATATAGAAATATATATTGCAATAGAGAAACATAGAAATAAAATAGAGAAAATAAATGACCGCTGAACCCTGTAGAGGAAACAAAATATATTGTGCATTGAACTTGTCATCTTGCTGCTGATCTTTTTCCAATTCCCAATATTTTTAATCAGGAAATGGTCTGGTCATAATGTAAATAAATAATTTTGGGCACCAGCAAGATTCTATTCCAGAACAAGGTAACTGAGATTTAGCTTGAATCTTAGAATTGAAAGGGTCCCTGAGGATCATCCAGTCAACCCCCTGTGATGCAGGAATATGCAGCTCTCCCTTACGGGGTTCAAACCTGCAACCTTGGCGCTATCAGCACCATGCTCTAACTAACTGAGCTATCTAGCTTGATTTAAGTTATTGCACCTCCAGTTCATTCCATGCAATTAGTTTTCAGAGGTTCCCTGCTTCTAGGTAGCGGCAGCTGCACCAATCCATTAGTGGCAATTATCAGCATGGGGGCTTCATAAAGCACAGGGCCCAGGCTGCTACACTGATTCTCCCACGGCCGGCAGGACTGGGCTGGGGCTAGTGAGGGACCCGTCTGAGTTCCTTGGCCCACTGCCAGTGACCCACCTGGCTCATTGCTGGAACCTGCCCTGAATGATTGCCGCTGGGAAACATTACGAAATTATGTTGAACAACTGGCATCTCAGTTTTGACTCGCAGGAGCCAGAAAAGTTCTTCTCTTGTCTGAGACATTCAGGATTTTCTGCAGCCTTGAAGCTATCGTCCCTTCAAAAAACTGTGGCTGTTTTGCAGCCTTTGAAACTACAAGTCTTATCAGCTCCAGGCTGCAAGGGCAGCAGGTGTGTTGTCCCTACAGTGGGATGTGGGTGGGTGGGAAGGCCCCAAGCTAAGATACTTTTTTCATTAAAAAGGTAAAGGGACCCCTGACCATGAGGTCCAGTCGTTGCCGACTCTGGGGTTGCGGCGCTCATCTCGCTTTAGTGGACGAGGGAACCGCCATACATCTTCCGGGTCATGTGGCCAGCATGACTAAGCCGCTTCTGGCTAACCAGAGCAGCGCATGGAAACGCCGTTTATCTTCCCCCCGGAGCAGTACCTATTTATCTACTTGCACTTTGAGGTGCTTTCGAACTGCTAGGTTGGCAGGAGCAGGGACCGAGCAACGACCGCCGACCTTCTGATCGGCAAGCCCTAGGCTCTGTGGTTTAACCCACAGCGCCACCCATGTCCCACTTTTTTCATTAGAGGGGGGCAAATTAACCCTGGAGGTCTAACTGATCGCAACAATTCAGCACCTGGAAACAAAACCAGCCCTACAATTCAAAAGGCTACATATGCTTCCATCTAGTGGCCATACCGTCTATTGTACAACACCGTTTTTTAAAGCAGTCGTTTACACTGACTGACAGTAGTACTTTTCGGGTGTTGAAGGCAAGGTGCCAAAACCAGATCCCAATTCTCCCTGTAGAAAGAGATTTGGCTCCGTGGGCAGCAGCGGCTGATTCTAGATACTTCCAGGCTTGAGTGACAAAGGAAATTCATAACGTCAACAAGGAGTTTCAAAGCCTTGCATCACACCAGAGAACGCCCTGCAAACAGAAGAGCTGGAAGCAAGGGCATCTGAAACGGACAAAAAAGCTCATCCTAAGCTTCGGTTGCTGAAACTTACAACCATCCCGTGGGGCCAATTTGAATAAAATTTGGGGGGGGGGGCAGGAAAGTCACGTGTCCCATAATCGATCACATGACACGGTGCACACACCATTTGAATGGCAATGTTCATCATCTTTGGTGGTGGTGGGGGCAGACCCCTCAAATATTTTATTGGGATGGGGGGCAAAGGGACTTCGCCCCCCTTGGAATTGGCGCCTATGCAACCATCATAGAACGCATTTTGCTAACAAGGAGAGATCCCCCCCCCCCGCCCAGTGGCCGATACCGTATTCCGTCGCACGTACAGTCTGTGAAGGTTGTAGTCGCACCATTCAAATGAAAACAGTATTTTAAATAATTCCATACACAGCCTGTGGAAGCACGCGACAGCTGGCTAGGACAGAAGGCGTATACAAGAGTCATAAATCAGGGTAACTACATTAGAATGAAAAACCGATTAAACGAAAGTTTATGCAAGGCTCTTTGGCCATTCGCCACAGCAACAATTGGCGATGATACAACCTTCCTAGTTTGCTGTGCTAATATGAAATGCCGGCAGTGGAAAACTGCGATCTCGGTTGGGGCCTAAGCAGTAAGACTCCAACTTACTGGAAAACTCTAGTTCTAAGCGGACATGCATATGATCAGGTGCACTGCTTTTATTTTAAAACGAGAGACATTCCTTTCTTCCAGAATGCCGCTGCTTTTTCCCCTCATCGCGTTGCTTCTGCTGGGATTTACTGTGGCCGCCTCCCAAGCTCTGGCCAGCTTCATCTGCGCTGTATCTTTAAGAGGCGGAGTCTCCGCCCCGCAACTCTGCCTTTGCGGAAGTCCCTGGAACTAGAACGCTGTGTATCATTTTGGTTCTATCCGCTCCCACGCGAGGCAAAGCCGGTCGAAGAGCACGTGGAAGTTCTACGGATGGAGCCTTCGATCCGCCCGCTGTGGGTCCAGCTCAGATTCACAGATGCGATTTGATGCTGAGTATTTCCACCTCCTCTTTCTGCTCTTCACAACACCGACGAGGAGCAGCGGTTAAATGAGCAGGTTCCCGCGGAAGAAAACCAAGCGCACAAAAAGGGAGGCTAACTCGTGATGAGTGAAATCCAGACGAACCCGTGGCAACTCGGGTCTTCGTTGGTCACGCCCCGGTAGTGGATCTAATGACCTCTGCATCTCCAGATCTCTTTAACCCTGCATGAAGTTCGGGCTGATGGATTCCAGGATCGCTGATGGGTGAAGGGCCGTGGGATGATGACGCCACCACGCCCGCTCATGCCTGGGATTAAATGATGTAAAAGCAGATTTTCAGGTGCTGAAATGTTTAGGGAGTAGGCGGGAGTCTCCCTTTGTTTTGCGACGAAGCAACCGCCTCTGTTTCAAGATTGCCGATTGCCTGTTTGTAAACTCGTTCTGCAGTCTATTCTCAAATGCTTTCCAAAGTGGGGGCCGGGAACATAAGCAGCGCTCCCTCCAGGCATCTCCCTCCTGCTCCTTGATGTCTCCAGGACTATGACTACATGGTACTGCTATTCCACTGTCCGGATTTTCCTTTCTAATGCCAGAATCCTCACTGTGAGAAGCTCTCTGTGTACAGGAAGGACATGGGGTAGGGGGCCTCGTCTCTGGTTCTTCGCTGGCGAGGCTCCAAGCTGCTTTCCATGCAAAGCCTTGGTAAAGACCTCTCTGGTGTGCTGGGGGGCTGCAGGATTACCTTGGGGTGCAAGATGCGAAGGGGCACCCAATGGAGGAGCCCAAATAAAAGGAGATGCCTGTCTCAACAAAGGGGGTCTTTCTCCAGCTGGTTTCCTCCAGCGTTTAGGACTAGCCTTTTCCCTCGTGATCCGAGCCTGCGTCCTCCTGCTGAAGTTCGGGCCTTTGATTTGGCTTTACCCCTTGAGCTACGTCTCCCCGGGTTTTGCATCGCTCTGGCTCCACCTTCTGCTCAAGGCGACGGAGTCTTCTGGCCCCACCTACATCAAACTGGGGCAGTGGGCGAGCACAAGGAGGGACCTCTTCTCCGAAGAGTTCTGCGCCAAGTTCTCCAAGCTCCACATCAAGGTGGTCCCTCACCCTTGGGGCTACACCCAACGTTCTTTGGAGAAATATCTGGGGGAAGGCTGGGAAAAGGTCTTCACCTTCGACAGCCAGGAACCCATTGGGTCTGGCTGCATCGCCCAGGTGTACAAAGCTTACGTGGACATCTCCGCTCTTGGACAGCCGGTGCTGAAGGAACTCTCCAAGGGCACTGTGGTGGAGTCTGCTCTGGAAGCCTGGCAGGTGTCTGGTCTTAAGGGAGTCCTCGGGTGGCTTTGGAAGAGGAAGGATGGAAGCATTTCTGAAGGAGGTGGTGTCCGTCGGTTGCTTCCCAATGGTGGCTTTGATGGACACGTCAAGCAGAATTCTGTTTCTGGATACCTGGACACAGCTTTATCCTGTCCCAATGGCCTTGTTCCAGTAGCCATTAAAGTAAGACCACAATTCTGTGCTTCCTTAGCTCGGAGTTAGTCCTATTACACTTAGTATGACTGGTTTCTGACTTAGATATCATAGGGCTGGAAGGGGACCCTGAGGATCATCTTGGTTCAATTCCCTGCAATGCAGGAATAGGCAGATGTCCCTTATGGGGACTGAACCTGCAAAGTTGGCATTTTGGCACCATGCTCTACCCAACTAAGCTATCCATTTGACTTAACAGATACTAAAATCATTTCATATTCTTGGAAGGAAAAGGTCCAAAATGGTGGTGGTGATTAGGAAGAGGCTGACAAGATGGATTTACCTCAAGGACCGCCTCTCCCCTTATGAACTGACCCAGACACTGCAATCATAATCTGAGGCCCTTCTTTGTGTGAGAGGTCTGGAGGGTGGCGACATTAAAACAGGCCTCTTTTGCAGTGGTTCCCCGTTTGTGGAATGCTCTCCCCAGGGAGGCTAGCCTAGTGCCTTCATTATATATCTTTAGCCGCCAGGCAAAACATTCCTCTTCTCCTAAGCCTTTGGATAATTCAATTTATGGCCTTTTAAACTGTGGGTGGGTGGTAGTAGGTGTTACTGTGTTTGTTATTATGATATGTATTTTTTTGTTTTTATATTGTAAGCTACCCTGTGACCCTTGAAGGGCTGTATATAGATAATTATAATATATAATATAATAATATAATATATAATATGCTACCTAAGTCGGACCATTGGTCGGTATTGTCAACACTGACTGGCAGTAACCCTCCAGGATTTAAGGGAGGAATCTGTCTCAGACCTACCTGGAGATGGCAGAGATCAAACATGGGACCTTCTGTGCTCTACTGAGCTTTGGCCTTTCTCAAGCAGCAGCTGGATTCCCCACTGGTGGCAGCCAATGGCAGCTTATAAATATGAGGTGCATGATCCACTGGCAAGTTCCCCCTTGCTCTTGTGAATCTTCTGTTCAGTTCAGTCTGGTCATCTTATCCCTATAAAACAGGGGTGTGGAACTTGGGGTCCTCCAGATGTTGTTGCACTCCAACTCCCATCAGCCCCAGCCAGCACGGCCAATAGTTAGGGGTGATGGGAGCTGTAGTCTAGCAACATCTGGAGGGCCACAGGTTACCCATCCTGACTGGCTTGACGACAGTGCATGCAATAAGGAATTATTCAGCTACCTTTTGTCGTTTGCCTAGGTGCTGCACCCCGGATTAGCTGACCAGGTTCAAATGGACCTGTTTCTGATGAAGACTGGTAGTCGACTCCTTGAGCTTCTCCCGGGGGTCAAGTGGCTCAGCCTGACGGAGATTGTGGAGGAGTTTGAGAAACTAATGATTCAGCAGGTGGGAAGAACTTTGGTTTGGGGTCTGCTTGATCAGTGGAGGCTGGTTCATGGGGCTCTGCACCTAAACTTCTGCCTACCCTCAGCCAGCTCCCACTTGCCTGACTTCTTACTGGCCCTGCCTTGTTAGCTTCCTCCTCCTCCATCCCTGTGTTGTCCTTGTACAACTCAGCAGGGAAGAGGATGGGCACAAAACTAGAAATAGTTGGCTTTGCCTGGGCCCTCACTCCCTGTCTTCGGCCCCAACGGGCAGCACTGCTCTTGATTCTCTGCAGTTTGTTTCTTTAGATTGACTTGCGCTGTGAAGCAAGGAACCTGGAACGCTTCCGTCTTAACTTCCAGGGTGTGGATTATGTGAAGTTCCCAGTTCCTCTTCGCCCTTTTGTGACGAGAAACATCCTCGTGGAAACATATGAGGTGAGAATGTGGAATGTGCAGGGCAGGGAGAGCTGGCTTACCTTTTGTCCAGACAGCTGCAGGAGAGCAGGAGGTTTCTTTGGCCTAGCAAGCAGACCCCTTTGTGAGCAGCTGGGCTGCTTAATAAAGTTGACACCCTCGCAGCAGTTTGGGTGTGAAAAAGGGGAAAACATGCACAGATCAGTGTCACTTCTGCTGATCATCACTCTTGACAAATGTTCTGGCCTCAGAAGGCTACAAAACCCTAATAACATTTCTATGTTGTGCAGGACTAGCATGAGGATAGGATGTCTCCAGCCCTCAGGGGCTGAGACTTTGCAGCCTCAAAAATTCATGAATGACAGTAGGAGGAGAAAGCTTGATCACGTCAGGTGGTCAGCAATAGAAGAAGAAGAGTTTGGATTTGATATCCCGCCTTTCACTCCCTTTTTAAGGAGTCTCAAAGCGGCTAACATTCTCCTTTCCCTTCCTCCCCCACAACAAACACTCTGTGAGGTGAGTGAGGCTGAGAGACTTCAGAGAAGTGTAACTGGCCCAAGGTCACCCAGCAGCTGCATGTGGAGGAGCGGAGACGCGAACCCGGTTCCCCAGATTACGAGACTACCGCTCTTAACCACTACACCACACTGGCTCTTCCCCTTTGATCTCCTTCCCCCCTTAAAAAGTATCCCCATTGTCCTCCAAAAGGCTTATTAATGTGCCCCTGACAAGCTCAAAGGGCTTTCCTGATTTAGGTTCTTTCTGCTTCAGGAGAGCACGCCCATAGCCCAGTACCTGCAGACTGAGGCCACAAAGGAGCTGCGCTGCAAAATAGCTCAGATGGGTATGGACATGATTCTAAAGATGGTAAGAGGCCTCTGTTGGTTGGTTTGCAATTTAGGATTGGCTTGCCTCTGCAGTCAGCCTGCAAGGCAAAGAATCTGTTGTATGAATTTTCAAGTTTTTGATCAGAAAGCCCCTCAGTTACACGAGCCCAAATGACAACACCCAGTCAGAAGAAAGGGGCTTTTTGGCAACCCTGAAGGTGGTGGAAGTAAAAAAATAAACATAACCTTTACTAGGAAAAGCCTAAGGAGTGAGGGAACCCCAAAACAGTTCAAGAAATGCTGCTGGCATGTTGTGTGGTGAGTAGACCTAGAAAACTGGGTGGGATAAATGGAATGGAGGATTGTAGAGGAGTGAATAGCTGAACTGCAAACAGAAGCATTCCACGCAGCAACATTTTAATGCAGCTCCTGCTTGCCCAGTTCAATACAGTGTCTCCCCTGTCTGGTAGTGGGTATCTCCCAGCCCTGTTACTTCCTGGCAGCCTTGATATGATGAACCCAGAGATTAAACCCAGGAGTTAAATGTGCAGAGCAAAATATCCTACTACTCGCCAAGAGCCTCTCTTCTTAATAAATTAGTTCATTGATTTGAGAAGCTCTCGGGTTGCCATTTTTTCAATCAAGTTGTGATTTTTCAATCCTTCAGGTGTTTGTTGATAACTTTGTCCATGCTGACCTGCACCCTGGGAATATCCTGGTCCAGGGCGCAGAGGGCTTCCGTGATCACCCCGAGGACCGGACCACCATTGTGGACCTGTTGGACACACTCATTCTGGAAGTGCAGCCTTCTCGCCCACCACTTCGCCTGGTGCTTCTGGATGCAGGAATCATAGCAGAGCTGCAGGGTCCAGATCTCAAGAACTTCCGGGCGGTCTTCACTGCTGTGGTATTAGGGCAGGTATTGGCTCTTTTCAACCATTTCTCATAGCAGCTGGTAATGGAGATTCTGTTTGGCTTTGGGCTGGACATGGCAGCTTCTAGGGCTGGATTCAGCTACTCTGTTCTGCTAGCAGAAGCTGGAGCAGGGACTCTTGCTGATGCCGTGGGGCTTCCTCCACACCACAATTCACACTAGAGGGTTTGGAGATCTCACAAAACAGCATGATTGGGGAGAAGGAAAATGCTTCCATTGGGCAAGCAGAAATGTTTGCACTGATTGAACAATCTCCTTAGCGCTGTGTTGAATTCCACCCAGAGTATACTTCTTTCTTATTTATTTATGCCATAAAATTGGTAAACCGCTTGTTATAATCTAAGAATAATAATAATTTATTATTTATACCCCGCCCATCTGGCTGGGCTTCCGCAGCCACTCTGGGTGGCTTCCAACAAAATATTAAAATACAGTAATGCATCAAATATTAAAAGCTTCCCTAAACAGGGCTGCCTTCAGATGTGTTCTAAAAGTCTGGTAGTTGTTGTTCTCTTTGACATCTGATGGGAGGGCGTTACACAGGGAGGGTGCCACTACCGAGAAGGCCCTCTGCCTGGTTCCCTGTAACTTGGCTTCACGCAGTGAGGGAACTGCCAGAAGGCCCTCGGCGCTGGACCTCAGTGTCCGGGCTGAATGATGAGAGTGGAGACGCTCCTTCAGGTATACTGGGCTGAGGCCATTTAGGGCTTTAAAGGTCAGCACCAACACTTTGAATTGTGCTTGGAAACGTACTGGGAGCCAGTGTTAAGTTGTAAAACAAAACAAAACAAAACATCTTGTCCAATTGTAGCCTCACAGAATAGCTTCCTTTGCAATAATTTTCAAACTCAGCCCTATTTTAACTAGACTAGAAGCTCTGTCTCTGTAAATTTTGCTCAATGAGGAAGAGTACCTGAGTCTTGCTTGGCTGAATAGGCTTCCCGATTTGTTCTGCAGGGGGAGAGAGTGGCAGAGTTAATCCTTCATCACTCCAGAGCTAACCAGTGCAAGGATGTGGAGAGATTCAAAGCTGACATGGCAGAGCTGGTGACAAAGGCCAGGGACAGCACTGTAGCTTTGGGAAAGGTCAGTAGCCCACATCAAAGCTTGGTCTTCTCTCGAGTTGCTGTGCAATAATTCAAAGTAGAAAATGCTTTATTCTACAGATTGCTCAAGTGATAATCCCACCTCTAGGTGTACAATTTCTGATATACATGTGTCACACACTGATATATATATATAATTTTATTATGCATGCTACAAATTCCAAAAATTAAAACAATGAAAAACAATTACTGTTTCTTCTCTTGTTAAACTGACACTATATATAATTCTAAATGTTCCAATATGAGTAAACAGTGCAAATATATGAATGCATAAATTAATAAATGCAATATATCTAGATTTTTATATCTTTGTATCATAGACAACAAGATGTAATAATGAGAGCCTGCTGGATCAGGCCAATGGACCATCTATTGCAGTTACAGTGTCTGGATGAATGAAATGAATGACATTTTAAACCCCTTTGCATTCTAGTTCCAAGTAGCAAGCCTGCTGTCCAGTGTTTTCAAGTTACTGATGACGCATCAGGTGAGATCATCTCTGTGTTAGGTTTATTCTTCTTCACAGCTGCACCAGGCCATGTCACCTGAAGGATGTTTAACCAGAGTTTAACTTGGAATGGGGAACTTACTGGAACAGAAAAAGCTTGAATATGCAATGCAGATGTGTTTGAAAGATTGCATATTCTAATCCTAGTCCAAAATTCAAAAGTGCCAAAAAGCCTTAAAAATGAGTCAGTGTTGTGCTCAGAAGCTGCTATGTTATGCATTGAAACCCAGAAGTGTAAGTTAAATTGCATTTCCTTGCTCCTCTTTCCCTTCCACATACACACTGGAAATTCTACACAGCCAGCTGGATTGAACAGAATGTATAAGGATGCTAGGTTTAAATGTTAGACGTGTTTATCAGTGAACATATGAGAATAATCAATGAAAGCAACAGGAAAAAAAATATTTGCATTTTTAGGGCTCTCAATATGTGGTCACATATACTGTAATCTCTTTCTTGCCTTGCAGAGCAAATAAGACTTGGTATTAATTTCCAAATAGCAATGATCCACTTTTACCTTCTTGATGTCTTTTGTGCTTCCAGGTAAAGCTGGAGAGCAACTTTGCCTCTGTGGTCTTTGCCATTATGGTTTTGGAAGGCCTTGGACGCTCACTGGACCCTGAACTGGATATCCTCAAGGCAGCTAAACCTTTTCTAATCAAAGCTCCAAGTCCCCTCCTGGCACAGTGACGGACACTGGTTAGGGTGGTCTTTTGAGGCCCTTTTATTGAAGAACTGCTCATTTGCTACCCGTCGGGTGACTTTCAGCTTCTATGTTTAAAACCAGAAGACTTGGCTGAGAATTGCTGTTCAGTTTATCCATATTGAGACCAGAAGTGTTCAGGGGCTGAAACATCTCCATTTGGATTGTGATAATTGATCTCTATTCCCATTACGGCAAGAGTGGGGAAACTGTAGCCCTCCAGGCATTGCTTGACTACAACTCCCATTATCTCTGACCATTGGTTGTGATGGCCTGGGGCTAATGGGAGCTGGGGTACAGCAAGGTCTGGAGGGAGCCACAGGTGGTTTTAGGTAATGCAGTTCTCCTGTAGTTCAAAGGAAATTACGGCCCTGTGTGGGTTGGGCTCCCTATCAAGTCACCTCTAGATAGGTGAGCCTACCAGAGACCGTTCCCATCTCCCCAATATTGCAAGCTTTAAGGACATCATGCCTGTTTACAGCCTCAGCACTTGCCTTGCTCCATTGCCAAGAATCGGAAAGGTAAAGGCAGCTTATACATCAAACTGTATTTTCAGTATGAAAAGCAAACACTCTTCATTTAATATTGGTATGGTGCATGATAAGCATCTTGCCTATCTTCTGTTAAATTTGTCTAAAATGTGCTTGGAACATGACATGTTTGAAATTCCGTCTTGGTGCTCTTTGCTCTTATGCTGCTAAGCAGCTGCTTCTGTCCACATGGGGAATTAAAAAATACTTGTTTTTACAAATGGATCGACTTGGTTCTAAATGTCACCTTTGATACTGGGGAAACCGGGTTTATGAATAAACAGTTTTGAATGGGAAGAGGCCCTTTGTGTGGTTCAGCATTGCTTAGACGAAAGAGGACGGCAGCCCCTCACACTGCTTTTCCGTGACATATTGCTTGTGGCACGGCACACACAACGGACTTGCCAATGAGCCACAGAGAAAGATGCCTGAACATTGCTGCGGAACTTGAGCTTGTTGCACCATGTTGATATGATGGACTATCCACTGACAGGTCTGTAGTAGAAACAGTTCTTTGTCTGCTCCACCTGGTCTGCAGGGCTGGCCTTAGAGGCTAGTGTTCTTGGGCAGCTGCTGAGGCCTCAGAGCCCTGGGAGGGCCTGACACTGGCCTCAGTACAACAAAGCAGCCATCTTTTCTTTCCTGGATGGTGGCAGCACTGGGCACCCCATGCAGTTAGCACTCCTGGTCCTATGCCGTTGTCCGGATGAGGAGGAGCTGCTATTGCAACAGGTGGCAGCATGGCTAGTGTGCGCTACGGGGCATTTTGCCCAAGATGATGCTACTCAAAACCTGGAGCCAGCTCTGCTGGTCTCTGCTTACTTTTGGCACTGAGAAACTCCAGACTTCAATTAGAATCACAGAATCATAGAATTGTAGTGTTGGACCCCGACGGTCATCTAGTTCAATCTTCAGTGCAGGAATCTGAACGAAAGCATCAAATGCATCCAAGGGAGTCCATTCCACTGTCGAGCAGCTCTTATTGTCAGAAAGTTTTTTCGTATGTTTAGTTGGAATCTCCTGTCTTGTAACTTGAATCCACTGGTTTGAGTCCTACCCTCCAGAGCAAGAGAAAACAAGCTTGTTCCATCCTCCATGTGACAGCCCTTTAGATATTTGAAGAAGGCTATCATATCTCCTCTCAGACTCCTCCCCGCCCCCAGGCTAAACACACCCAGCGCCCTCAACCGTTCGTCATAAGGCTTGGTTTCCTCTGCACACGTTCCAGCTTGCACAGCATTGGAAATAGAAATAGCACTGGAAATTGGCTTCCTGTGCTAAGCAGAAGGTGGTGGGGGGTGGCTTTCTCTAATTTTGCATTACACCATGCCCACATGTCAGTCATTTAGTGACTGGTACCCACAGCTCTCCCCAAATTTGAAATCTGCCCACTGGTCTGAAAAGGTTGGCGATCCCTGGTGTGGGGACCAGCTGATCCTCTGTCCAGGAACAGCCTGAAGCATGACGCAGACCCACTGTGAACCACTTAGATCACAAGCGGATAGGACACCAAAAAACTGTGTCCTACAAGCAGTTATGGTTCAGAATACTACCCTCCCATTCTCAGATAAGCCACTGTCTGAAGATGGCCTCAGTGGGGCCATTTCTGCGGCACTCAACATCCCACTGCCTTGCACGTACAAACATTAGTAACAGAGCTTTGTTCCAGAAGTGGGCTTATTCAGATGACAATGTTTTTATGGCAACAGTGAGGCACGCAGCACCAGGAGACTCTGCTCTCTGAGATACTGTTGGAGGTCTTTGTGTTTCTGCTCCTCTTTCTCCACCTGCTGGGACATCCGGTCCTGATTTCGAAGCTTTTGCAATTTGGCAGCCGCCTTCTCTTTCCTCTGTGTGTCCTGCTCCTGAGCTGCGGCTTCCAAGTTGTTTTGCATGGATTTCATTCTGTTCCTGAGCAGCTCCTGCAAAAAAAGAACACAAAAAAGGACTTTAAGCTCTTTCCCCCCTTACAGCGTATTTGCAGTCGAAATACGTACACTCTGCAAATAAAGCAGTTCTGAAGACCTAATTTATCTGAGTGCAGAGTCAGGATTTCCTTGGCTCAGAAGGTGGATTTTCTTGATGTGCAGGTAAACCTGCCCTGCTTGTCATCTCGCTCCATGCGATTAGAATATTTTGAGAAACTGGAGAAGAGCCAAAGAGAACAGTCCTCACCAGTCTTTTTTTCTCATGGTCATCAATTCTTTCCTGGTGTTCTGCCAGCCGCTTTTCCCTCTGCTTGCGCTGTGCCTTTAAGAACTCCAGCCTTTGTTCCTCTTTGTTCTTTAGGTCTTCCTGGGAGCGGGATTCCCCTCTCCCTGTCTCTGCTCTTGCAACCTGCAGCTGCTTCTTTGTATGCCACTTGGTCCAGCTCCCAATGTTCTCCTGCTGCTTTTGAGAGCCTTCCAAGGTTCGCTGGAGTGACCTCTGCCTATTTTGAAGAAGTTCCAAAGAAAGTAAAGTGCCATTTAGTCTGTCATGCTCAGCCTGTTACATAAAACAGAGGATCTGCCTAAAGCAGTGGTGGACCTACATTTTGGGGGCCCTGAAGCTTGGACTGTTACAGGGCGGGGGGCTTTGTGACCAGAATGAGGTCTGGGTAACCCACTGTCATCTTCTTCAATAGGGTTGTTCCACAACAGATTACCACATTTTAAAAACAAATTTATTACTACATCTCGGATTTTGCTTAAAGTTGCTGTACTGCGGTACTTCAACACCTTTACATCAACTGTGCTACTGACTCTCAAACTTTGGGATTGTTGAAATATATACAGCAAAAAATTAATCAATTTGAGTTGTGTGGCTCAAATGGGGTCTATTAGGCCCCAAAATTTTAAGCAATGTGGACTGAAGTCACTTCTGGGGCCCCTCTAGGATGGAAGAGGTTCCCTTAACCCCTTCCGTTCATTACCTCTTGTTGTCAAGCAGCAGTTCTCTTCTGAGGTGCTCCTCCTCCCGCCTCTGCTCCTCCTTACGCCGCCTCTGCTCCATCTTCTGCCGTTTGAACTCCATCCTGGCTGTGTTGATGCCCATCTCTCTTGGACCATCTCGAGTCACTGCTTTTGTCACTATTTTCTGGAAGGGAATAAGGGATTCCTTCATAATGGGATGGGTTTCTCTGGAGTGGACTAATCTCTTATTGACTTTTGTTCCAAACTAACACCGAAATGCTCCTTCAGGTAAGTCAGGTCTGGTCATTCGCTTAGAAAGGCCGAGACAGAGGGGTGTCCTCACCTGTATGGGAGGTGCACTGTGGCTTCTTCTGATGGGCAAAACCGATTTGACAGCAGAATAGTCTTCCTTCAGTGACTGGTCCACCCAGTTAAAGATTGCCTGGAGCTGGGAAGGATCTGCAGCGTACGTCTTCCGAGAAGGACTCCTTTGGCATGGCTGGGCAGAAAGTGGGATTTTGTTGAACTGGGAAAGGGCTACCGTATGAAAAAAAAAGTCCATGTTAGAGTGAGGCAAGTCATTAAAAATAATGGCACAGATATATGAAGACTTTGATCTGATGAGACACATTCAAGAAAATGCTCAAATCTACAGAAACCTGAAAGTGACTAGTCAATCATTGTGGGAAACAAGACGCCAGGGTAGACCAGCCTTTGACTGGTCCAGGAGGGCACTTCTGGTTGTCAGCAGGAGGAAGCTGAATGCGCACTTGCTGGTTTGTGTATTAAGGAGCAGCCTGGGGGGTTGGCAGACAGGAAAGGGGAAGGAGCATGTGATGTGCCAACCATACATCTGATTATGCCAATCTGCTGGCTGATACTCTTTTATTTCAATTCCTATTGGAAAGTCACTGTGAGACCTCGGATTGCCTTCATCACAGCTGCCTACCTCTTCGTCTTTGCTGTTTATGCTGAGTTAAGCATTTGTCTGTGTTGACAGCTACATCAACCATGGTGCCAGTGCCTTCCTGTGAAGCTTCTGTCACTCCCTCTCTTGAATGGTCCTGTAAAATTAATAAAGAATAAAAAGCTAAAGAGCACAAAGGAGAGTGACAGTGATTGAAACACTAATTGACTTTGTGTGGTTGGGCTGGGAAAGCTTACTATACTGTGCTGAGTTTCTACAGCATCATCACATAGGTACATGGAATCCTTGGTCTTTTCAACAACGTTTATAACATTGTGTGACCGTACTCTGGGGGAAAACAAATCCTTACCCAAGATAAAAGGACCAAGGATTATAATACTTTTGCAGCTGTCATAAACATGATGACATACCTTGTTTGGTTTTGTAAACTTGCTTTCCATCTCCTGGGATTTTAAATCTGCAACGTCATCTGCTTCCTTCAGCTTCTTGCTCTGTTCCTTCTCATTACTTCCTGAAATAGGAAGCCTTCCCTTTGAAAGCTGCTCCTCTATCTTCCTGCTCAGTTCTTCCTTTGTCAGTTGGGTTCCGGGAATCAAGGCATCATCTTGTTGCACTGTGCAAATGGGAGACCTAAAGGACTCCCAAGCCTGGAAGCAGCAGTGGCAAAACGGGTGATGGGAAAAGCTGCAGCCAGCACCAACACAGCAGTCCTTTGGAGCATCTTGCCAGTGCATCTCACCTAAATAGCTCCGCTGGCAAGGCCCTGAAGCTCTGTATCCAGGTGGCACAACATAGGGATAATCTGGATTCTGTTCCACTAACATCTGCCTGGCTGCTAATGGCATCTGAAGCTCAAGGACGATGCGTTCACTCAAAGAAGGAGGGATCTTCAGAGCAACATCTGCAGACATGTTCTTAGTCTGCCCATTCCAGAAATTCACCAGCACTTTGCTGTTTTTAAAGGCTGTAAACAGAAATACATATGAAACCATATTTTAGAAGCAAGCACAATGTATGCCACTCTGCTAGGACAGCAGTTGTATTCCACAAACCAAACCAAGGCACGGCTTCTGATTGACTGCAGGGGCTTATGGACAATATGTTTTTAGGTAATCTTTGAATATTTTCCATTCTTTGTATACTTTCTGGTTTGACAGCCCTCTTACTTTCCCCGTCATCTTTGCCAGTTCAAGGTATTCAATCATAAGTCTGCCATTCTATTATCGTGGGTCGTGTTTCATTTTTCCAATTTTTTGCCACTAATATTCTGGCTGCTGTTGTTCCGTACATAAACAATGGTCTTATATCTTTTCTGATTTCCGCTGACATTATTCCTAGAAGGAAGGCTTTGGGTCTTTTTCTGAATGTAAATTGGAATAGCTTTTTGAATTCATTATATAATTTGTCCCCAAATTCCCGGATGACTGTGCAGTTCCACCACATGTGTAAGTATCTCTCTGTCTCTTTTTTGCACCTCCAGCAGGTTGGTGATCTACCTTTATACATTTTAGCAAGTTTTGCTGGAGTGTGGTGCCATGTATAAAGCATTTTCATTACGTTCTCCCTAAGATTATAGCACGCCGTGAATTTTATATTCTTCCTCCATAATCTTTCCCATTGTTCCATATGGATATTATATCCAAGATCTTGTGCCCATCTCACCATTACAACTTTAACTTGCTCTTCTTTCACTTCCCATTCTAATAAATAGTTGTATATTCCTGAGATATGTTTTCCTTTATTGTGCTAGCTCTTTTTCAAACTTGGATGTTTCTTTTGCCAGATGTTTCTGTTGTTGTGTTTTGTCATTAATAAAACGTTTAAATTAAAAGGAAAGGAAAAGGAAAGGGCACAAAACAAGCAGCACCTGAATGAGAAGGCCCAGCCTCTGCAACCTGAAGGATCACGCCTGGACCATATCGTTCACCTTTCTTGTCCCATGGAGCCAGGACTGCATCTCCTGGAGCTAAGGGCTGCCACCTGGCATCCTCATAATGGATGACATCGTAAAGGGGCGTTTCTTGCATCCGACACAGGATCTTGCCTTTCCGGGACTGCCGAGATCTTTGGAACTCAATCAGAATGTGTTCTCTGGAGCCCTGCAAGATTAAGCCAGCAATGTTGCCACGTATTCATTCATTTATTAAATTTCTATACCACCCTTCATCCAAGGATTACAATACACACACACACATATATATATACACATAATATATTAACACACAGTTTAAAAGGCCATAGATTGTTTAATTAGCCAAAGGCCTGGTTGAAGGAACATTTTCATCTGGCACCTAAAGGTGTATAAGGAAGGTGTCAGCCAAACCTGCCTGGGGGGAACATTCTACAAATGGGGAGCCACCACCAAAAAGGCCTTTTCTTGTGTTGCCACGCTCTGGCCCTCTCGTGGAGGAGGCACAGAAATAAGGATCTCATATGATGGCATAGATAAGAAATAGTTAAACTTCCCCTCCTTGTGGTCTTGAGGGCAACTGACATGGTACTGGCGAGCACCATCACAAAAAAACTCACTGCTTGTAATCTTACTTTATCTTTTGAGTCCCATTCCACTCCCTTCCCCCACCCCCAACAGAAAATGCAAGGCTATCACTTCACTAGTTAACATTATTATTTTATATATAGTAGGCAGCATTTAAGCATGACATCTAGATTCTAGAGAATAAAGTTAGAAGGGAGTGAGCAAAACTATCTGCTAAAACCCAGTTTGAGAAGCACTACTTTAGTTAAATGAGCTCACCTTAACCTCTTGGACAATGTGACCCAGATGGTAAAACCCATCTGTCTCTCTTCTGGCGAGGACTTGAACCCCCCTCTGCAAATTGTAAACCTCTGAAGACCAGTCAATGAAAGCCTCCTTTACTGGGCTCCAGGCATCCGAAGGAAATCTGCGGGTATAGAAAACTAACATGTGCCGGGACAAGATTGACGAAGGGTTCTGCAGAACCCAAAAGTTTACTCATTATTTTGTGACATTTTGGTTGCCTAATAAAAAGGTACATACTGCCCAACGATGGATTTTGAACTTTTTCTTGTGGACCAGCACTGGCACCTTTACTTTTTACATATAACTTTGCTTTTAGATGATTAGGATCACTCAGACTTATGTAAATCAAGGCTGAAGAAATATGGAAGCCAATACGGATTCAGTTGCCATTCTAAGTACTTATTAACCTAAAAGATCCACGGTCCTTAAACTTACCGTGCTGTAGCATGATGGCCCATCAGCAGAGAGGAACAGGGCTGCTTGCACATACAACCAGAGTGGCAAATGCTTTCACTGCAGCCAGGAATATCCTAGAAAATTGCGGAAATACAGAATCACAAAGTAGTAAGAGATCTGAAAGATCCATTACAATTACTTGCATTGTTAGGACTTCATGCCATCCTTTCCAACAATTTGACTGAATTCACACATGCATGTCAATCATTTGACCATTAAAATATCAAGCGATGACTTGCATGTCTAAAGGAGTCATCATAGATCTAAAGCCACAAAAATAATTGTAGTATTTCTGAGTGCACTTTTTTCCAATAGAGACTAGCTCACACATTTGGCTAACTGAAGACTGACACATCAAGTGATGAAAAATCAAGTGGTGCCCAGGCATGTATGAATGAGCCCTCAGAGTCAACGTTGCTTCACCCAATTTTCATTTACCTCATCAGAGCTGAGGCTGATTGCTTGAAAGGAACCACCAGACGCCTTGGCCACTTCCTCCATTATTTCTTGTGCCTCGTGTTCATTTTCCCCTCTGCTTTCTACCAAGTATACTATGTGCACTGGGTGCGCTTGCTCTGCCTCCTTAAGGTGACTACTGATTTCCTCCACAGCATGCTCAGGTAGCCCACTGGTGAACAGGTACACTGCTTGGCAAAAGGGGTCTTCCAGCGCCGCTGCCACAGCCATCACAGGACTGGCCCCACTGCTGTTCTGAAGGGCTCTAATCCAGGCAGCTGCTTCAGTGACATTGCGGAGGGGACATTCTACCAAACTTTTCTTCCATTTTAACACCTGGGGGGGAAATGAAAGGGTGAAAACAAAGTACAATTAAGAAGGTTGCACATTTTGGGGAGTCCACCCACCCACATTTCCAGGAGTCCATATGTGATGTACTGATTATTGTTGTTCTGATTCAGAGCGCCAATTGCTCACAAAGCTGCTTGTGGATAGTACCCCTAGAACAGGTATGCAGAACCTGAGACCCTCCATAGGTTGTTGGACTCCAATGGGAATGCTGGCCAGGGTGGATGGCAGTTTGGCGTTCAACATACTTGGGAAGAGTCACAGATACCTATATGGGCATGGTTTTTCTATACCACTCGATTGATACTTTTTCCATTACCTGCTGGTTGGCACAGCTGACAATGCCAAACATGGAATCGATTGGTTTGTGGGCCAGCGAAAAAAGAGTCTTTATGAGGAGTTCTTTCAAGATACATAGGCCGGCGGTCTTAGTTTCTGAGGTGCAAAGCACAAAGGCCACATTCTGCTCGTGGATGTCAGCCAACAAGGGTAATGTACTAGAACAGCGATGGGACATTCTGGACATTTCTGAATGACAAACAACAACAGCACCAGCATCATTATTACTATGTTTACTACTTTACACACTTCAAAATGTGATAGCCAGCCTAGTTGTGTTTGAGGCACTTTCTGCTCAGCAGACCCTTAATTCTTCTAACTGGGGTATATAACAGTAATAATTTTGGTAATAATCACTTCTGGCAGCACTAAAGGAGAGGGAGAGCTCTGAATTAGTGTGTGCATGCAGCTAAGTTTTACTCCGAGTAGAGCCATTGAAATTAATGGGGTGAAGTCAGCCCCGGCTAGTCATTTTAGTGAGTTGATTACACTGAGCAGAACTAGCATTGGGTTCGGATTTGGGGGCTCCTCGGGAATGAGAACACAATGCCGAAGTTAGTTATTATTGCTTATGATATTAGACGTCGTGTACCAAAGTTTACTGGCTCAGGGACAAATAAACTTTAGTTCTTTTTCAGTGTTTTGAACTTTCATGCAATAAATAACCAGGAACTAGTAAAGCAACCTCAGCGAATTACTGAGGCTGCAATTCTAAGCATTTCGGGGCATGTCCCACGTGGAAGCTGCAAGACCTCAATGGGACTGACTGTTATTTCTCCTCCCGCATAAGATACATTATCTCTCTCTCTCTCCCCCACTTCGTCTTGTTCTCTCCCGCATCTCACCTGATCCCCCCTTCTTCTCCTGTAGGATACTGAAGTCTCAGCACGTTGCCAGGCAACCAGATACCACAGACGGAACCATCTTCAACACCTGAACAGGGGGGATAAGAGGGAAGCCCTTATTTTCATTTACGAAGCCCTCAAATAATATGAAAGACCTTACATTTCCTGACAGGGGCATGTCTGTTGCGTCTCGGATGTGAGAACCAAGCCCACCGCTGTGTGGGAGAAAACAGCCACGAACCACGTACACACCCCTCCCCTAGCGAAAAGCTTTGGTACTTTCCAGGCTGGTCCATTCTACAGAGGGGGAAGCATCGCTTGGAAGGTGTAGGGCGCTCTGGAAGGACAACTCGCGCTTCTCTTCAGCTTTTCAAAATATATATAACCACGGAAAAAGAAGCGAAAAATGTATGCATGTTAGCGGGTATATTTTAACGGTAATTCCTTTTGCTTCTCCCCCTCTCCGCGACTAGAATTGGAACGCGCCAAAGAGAGCCGGAGCTACGGCAGCCAATCAGAGCGCGGTTTATTGGGAGCCGAGGCCTACCCGGTAGCGGAGAGTGACATTGTGGCGGGTTGAAGGGCTCCGCCGGCGGCAGCCAGGATGGCGGGGTCTCTGTGGCGGATGGGCGGCGGGTTGCGCTTGGCCGCCCGGGTCTTACGTGCCCAAAGCGGTTCTGGCGCGACTACGGGAGTCCGGCGGTAAGCGGGGGGGGGGGGGGAGTGCCGGGCGTGCCAGGGGGCGGGGCGAATTATGCAAAGCAGTGGAACGGAGAGATGGAATTCCTTCTGGAGCTACATGACACAACCCCGCATGGTAGGCTCGTCGCAACATAGGGTCGCCCCAATAATACGTGCAGCCCAGTTCTAAACAAACATTACATGTTGTTGTTTAGTCATGTCCGACTCTTCGTGACCCCATGGACCAGAGCACGCCAGGCACTCCTGTCTTCCACTGCCTCCTGCAGTTTGGTCAGTCTCATGCTGGTAGGTTCGAGAACACTATCCAACCATCTCGTCCTCTGTCGTCCCCTTCTCCTTGTGCCCTCCATCTTTCCCAACATCAGGGTCTTTTCCAGGGAGTCTTCTCTTCTCATGAGGTGGCCAGAGTATTGGAGCCTAAGCTTCACGATTTGTCCTTCCACTGAGCACTCAGGACTGATTTCCTTCAGAATGGATAGGTTTGATCTTCTTGCAGTCTATGGGACTCTCAAGAGTCTCCTCCAGCACCATAATTCAAAAGCATCAATTCTTCAGCGATCAGCCTTCTTTATGGTCCAGCTCTCACTTCCATACATCACTAAAACATTACATAAAGTAGAGGTATTCCTGGGGGCCACACGCCAGAAGTGGTCTGGGCCCGATCTGTAGGTGCGACTCGTACAATAGGTTATGCTACCCTCGTGCAAAAGTCGGAGGTTTCTGCAGAGGCGCGCAAACCACCGCATCTCGCCATCCTCCTTCCAGGCAAGCAAGGGGCATTATGGCAGCTCAAGTGCGCATTCCAACCAGGAAAAAGCACACAAGGAGCTTGTGCCCTGGAGAGAGTTCTGGGGGACAAATAGAGTGGCTTGGAAGGCCATATTTGGCATCCCAATACCATACAGTGGTACCTCGGGTTACAGATGCTTCAGGTTACAGACGCTTCAGGTTATAGGCTCCGCTAATCCAGAAATAGTACCTTGGGTTAAGAACTTTGTTTCAGGATGAGAACAGAAATCGTGCGGCGGCAGCGTGGTGGTGGAAGGTGGCCCCATTAGCTAAAGCGGCACCTCAGATTAAGAACAGTTTCAGGTTAAGAACGGACCTCCAGAACGAATTATGTTTTTAACCCGAGGTACATAAAGAAGGCTGATAATTGAAGAATTGATGCTTTTGAATTATGGTGCTGGAGGAGACTCTTGAGAGTCCCATGGACTGATAGAAGATCAAACCTATCCATTCTTAAGGAAATCAGCCCTGAGTGCTCACTGGAAGGACAGATCCTGAAGCTGAGGCTCCAATACTTTGGCCACCTCATGAGAAGAGAAGACTTCCTGGAAAAGACCCTGATGTTGGGAAAGATAGAGGGCACAAGGAGAAGGGGACGACAGAGGATGAGATGGTTGGATGGTGTTCTCGAAGCTACCAGCATGAGTTTGACCAAACTGCGGGAGGCAGTGGAGGACAGAAGTGCCTGGCGTGCTCTGGTCCATGGGGTCACGAAGAGTTGGACATGACTAAACGACTAAACAACCACACCACTGTATTCTGCACAATTTCTGCTCTTCTGTGGCCCTGATTGTTCATGACGCTTCCTTCTATGTATGTGTGTTTGTCCTGCAGTGCAAGTGGAGAGGCGCATGTCTTCAAGTACCGCCACTATGTAGAGCCTCCGCCGGCCCATCAGATAAAGGGGGAAGTGCTCAGTGCACTCATGTGGTTCTGGATCCTGTGGAACTTCTGGCATGATCCTGATGTTGTGCTGGTGAGAGCTTGAATGGGCTGGGAAAGACTATAGAGCAGTAGCATCAGGGTTATCTTCTCTAGTGAGGTGAAGAAGTATTGAATGTGATTGAAAAATAATGTCCCATTACCTAGCTGTGTGCACGAGATAGATAGATTTGAGATTACTGTACAGAAAAAGCCTGCTGCTGAGAAGATCATAAAGAAGGTTCCAGTCAGGCCTCTCTAGGGAAGATATTTCATAGATGGGGTGTTAGCTCCAGGAAGAGTCATTTCCTAATAGCCACCCTCTTTGCTTCCCTTGGGGACACACAGAGCAGGGCCTCTGAAGAGCATCTTGGTATATATTGGAGGGTATATTTCAGGTGACCTGGCTTCAAACCATTACGGGCTCTAAAGGTTAAGATTGGCATTTTAAATTGGGTTTGGAAACTGACTGGAAGCCACTACATTTGATATAGCACAGGTGTAATATGATTGAAAGACCAAGTCCTAGGTAACGATATTGTGGCCCTATTTTGGAACATCTGGTTTCAGAACCGTTTTTAAAGGCTACTGCTGAAGAGAGGTTACATAAAAGTCTTTTAAGTACACCTAAAGTACTCCTGGCTTAAAGCTTTACTCATTAGCTGAGACTCTTGTAGTTATATCTGTCTCTTTACATAGAAGCCAGTGTGTTCGGCAGACTTTGTCCCAAAACACATTTCTGTATCTTTGCTGGTGTAAAGTGTTCAATCATTTCTTTTCCCCCCCTCATCCGACACAGGGTCACTTTCCTTATCCAGATGCTTCTCAGTGGACAGATGAAGAGCTGGGAATCCCTCCTGATGATGAAGAATAACTTGAATAGTTTGTTCTAAGCAAGTTTAGGTATGATGGCACTTCTACATGATGTTCTACATGACTATCACTTCCTAGGCTAAACTAATGAAGTGGCTCTGGAATACTGCCACTTATCCCCTTCATACCCATTCCCAGTTACAGTATAAGCATGTTTGAGGTACATGTCATTGTACTTTCCCACTTTTATCTCTGTTTTCCCCATTATCCATTTTAGGTTCCTGGCCCCCCAGGAACTCACAAACGATTTGCTTTTCTCCAGATCCAAGATGTTATGTAAACTGATGGTGCTGTCTTAGATTAACAAATTAGTTTTCACTTATGGTAGAAATTGACTGGCAATTAATGAAGCTATGTGAAGGTTGTAGAGCAGACATTGGGTCATTTCCAATACAGCTGTTCTGCTACTGCAGATGTGCATTTGCACAACAGAATTTCCCATTCATCTCTCCAGCCCCCTGCACACCCTCAAAGTCCATCTCAGGAGCAGATTTTGAGGTGTGCAGGGAAGTCCTACTGTGTGAACAGAACTCTGCATGTGCAGCACTGAATACCACTCCCCCCCCCAACCATGCAGTTGAAATATTAATCTTTCCCATTTTCTATATTGAAAAATCAGCCAGAAACTTCAGTGTGGCAAGATGCGCTTGCCTTGTTCACGGCCTATTTTTCTTGTTTCTAGTTATTAAGATTTGTGCACTTTGAAGCAAATCAGCCCAACTAACCATCTGTCCTTACCGCTTGCAGGCTCCTGGGAGATCTACAAATGGCTTCATTTTACAGAGACTTTAATTCAGGTTGTAAATAAAATTAACTAACCAGATCACAGCTGTTTGAGGAAGTGCTGGTGTTTTCAAACCAGGGTGGGGGTGTGTGTTTACAACGTATTGTATCTTAAAACTCATGTGCATTTGGTACTAGAACTTCAATTGTGTGCAAGTCCTGACTTCCATATATACCTTCTAGCTAATAACAGTCAGAACTAAGGGTCTGCTGCGGCTTAGTGTGGCTACATGTTCTCTTTCAGAAACACTTATTTAGGGGTATACCCTTGCTAAGAGTTCAGTGCTTTAAACAGTGTTTGACTAGGAAATGGATTGTACAGAGGAAGCAGCCTTATACCAAGTTGTACTATCAGCCCATCTTGTTCAGTATTGTTTACACTGCCTGGCCATGGCTCTCCAGGGTTTCAGGCCGGAGTCCCTTCCAACCCTACCTGGCGATGCCAGGGATTGGGCCTTTCTGCACGCAAAAAAATAGGTGTTCTACCACTGGGCCATGGTCCTTCCCATGTAGAGCAAAGCCATTTGGTTACACATGAGGTGTTTGCATCTTGCTTCTCACCTGCACTCTTCAGCTGCAGCTGAGCTATATACAGTTGAGAGCAGTACTGGGTCCTGCGTGTTAAGGATACAGACAAGTTCAAACATGTTTATAAGTATGGAAAACAATTCTTGTGAAGAAAGATGGAAGAAACTGGGTACAGGTAGCTTGGAGAAGAGATTCACTATGTTCCAGCACCTACTAAAAACTCCTTTGTGCTCAGCTTTTGCTGACCATTGCATACAGATTTGCTGTTAACAGCTATCCCAAATTAATTTTTGTCCTGACTTTAGTAAACACTGCTGAATTTACATGAATGTATTTTCAGTTACTTTCGTTGTAAGACAATATGCGATGATTTTATGAAAGGTGCTATAGAATACTTAAAATAAGACAGGTAGGTAGAATATAATTGCCCTCTTCAGACTTCGGCTTTTACATGTTCTCCGCTGCCACAAATAGCAGAACTAGATCCAATGGGCTGAAGTTACAGGAGTATAAATCTCAGTTGGACATCTGAATTATCCTCTTGATGGTAACAGCAATTTGATAATGGAAGCAGGGAGCTAGAGGGGTGATGGACTTGCCCTCAATTGAAGGTCTTCAAAGCAGAGGTTGGACAGCCATCTGTTGGAGATGCTCTAGCTCTGAGTTTCCTGGAGAGTAAAGCAAATGAGGGGAACCTTTGGCTCTCTGGATGGTAGTCAAAACTACCATCATCCCTGGCCATTGGCCACACTTGATAGCACTGATAGAAGCTGTAGTTCACCAACACCTGGAAGAACAAAGCTTCTCCACTCCTGGAGTAAGAGGTTGGACTAGGTGGCTTACAAGGACCCATCCAATTCTGATTTCAACTGTGAATTAGCCCCCTTTATTAACACTCTTACACAGACTCCATGCAGTCAATCTTTATTATAGCAGTATTCACATCAAATACATAGAACTTTTTAACTTTTTATATAATACAGAGTTCTTTAAATAACTTTACACAAATAGTTCTTCAATCTCTGTTTTCAGCTATCAAACTTTAGTTTATGTCTCCATGCTTTCTAAACCAAACTGGACAATATTTCCCACTGTACAAATTTACATGAGAGAAAAAAGCTCCAAAATACAAATGAAGGGAGTTTAGGCTAAGGGGTTAAACATGGGAGGAAAACAACCGAAATTAATCTGTGTCAGCATTTACAGTGAATAACAGGGGAGAAGGAAAAAAACTGGAGGCAGGGAGGAAAAGCTGCAGTGATCCATGAGACAGAAAGCTGAAAATAAACATTTTCCTATGAGTTTAGAAATACAGGCCTTTAAACATTTAGTTACTCCATTGTCATTTTAAAAAAGTAAGCTATGGATATCAATTGTCTTCTGAAGAAAGAACAGACTTTAAAAATTGCAGACTTGTGGAGGCTCAAAACATCTTGTGGCAAATACAGCTTCAAGGAATGCTGGGTTGGGATATGAATTTCACTGCACTAATTAAAAACACTATACACATTTTTCCTTTCTAGAGTAACTGTTTAAACATTTTTTTTGTCATCTGACTTGCGCAATCACTTCCATTGGGTCTAACTGTACAGTGCTTAGGGTTGGCAAGTTCTACTCGAAAGACTCTGCCCATCACTATAAAGGTGGGGAGCACACAATGACAGCAAGTTTATACCAGTGGCAGCTCCCCCTGCCCCACAATGCATCAACAGTCTCATCTGTCTTTACACCAAGTATGATTGCAGGGGATAACTAGAGTCCTGGTTGCTATAGTAGAGAAAGATGGGTATAGGGGCCATTAAAAGCAACAACCTTACGAACTGCCTATTCCCTTGCAACAACCAAACCCTTGAAGTTGTTTGCGGGTAGGCACCTGTTAGTTCTTAGTGTTACAATGAAATAACAGATTGGAATGCTATTGTTGAAGGAATGGAGAGAATGATCAACTACAGTGCATTTTCCCAATCTCATTGGAAAGTAGTAGTGTGGTCTAGGAGAAAAAGGACAGCACATGTAACCAAATGTGGTTATAAAATCTAAAGGAAATGGGAGCAATGAAAGGAAAAGCCTGTGTGTATTTCAGAGAGAATAGAAAGCAAGGATGTTGACTACTGTTTTCAGCTGCTTAGAAACAACTGTTTTGCCCTTCACTGGTCCCTAGTAGCCAGGAGAGGTGCTGGTTACATAAACTTCCGACTCAGGCTAGAAGGGCTATTGCAGTCCAGTGGATGGGCAAGCAATGCTCAGCTTTCAATTGGCACTCCGTTCTTCGGTCACAATATACTCCCATGTGCTCCCTACTCAAAATGCAGGGTGCCGTGAGCTTGGAGCAAAATAAGCATTGGCCAACATCAGTCACATGGCAAGGGAATTATTTTGTGAGAATGAAACGGGTGAAATTGCTGTCGGGTCAATTATAACAGAATTCTAGCAAACTGCAGGTCTACGTTATGAAAAAGAAGGCTGGGGCAAGGGTGAGCTTCTGTTTGGTCATTGTGTAAACTGAACATGGGAACCTGCCCAAGCTTTGGGGGTTGGGGCTAAATCTACGGGATACATGCAAGCTGGTCACTGCCCAATTTTAGTCACAGGAAGGAGTGAGGAAGGAGGAGAATCTGGAAGGAATGAGGTGTGTTTCTTTGAACCTTTCACAGCTTTGAATTTCAAAGTACATTTATTGCACTTAGGTTTTTTTATTTTTTATTTAATCATTTAAATCAAAAGTTACTCAGACTCGGCCCTATACTCTTAACCTAAACAACAATTCCCACATTTCCCCTCCCCTCCCTGCATTGGTCCATTTTATCCTCCTACTTCAATACATGCCTAAATGAATGCTTGCCCTTCCAGCCTCCAACCCTCCCCTGCCCACAAGCCTGTAGGTCCTAACGCTCTTGTTGGAATCCCGCAAACAGCATAAAACAAGTAGAAGGGTATTAACTAGGCAGAGCACAAGTGAAGGACAATACCTTAGATGTCAAAAAGAAACAAACCCCCCAGACAAATCCATAATCCGAAAAATGGCACAGTCTCCCGCTCTGCATTTCCCTAGCTCAGAAAGGGGGAGGTAGAGTAATTCTGTTCAATTACGGTTCCAAGGTAATTGCAGAAAGAGTACATATCAGAGGCTGAATGGAACAGATGGATATTGCTTTGGCAATTGCAAAATAAATGCCTAGAAAGTTTCAGAATGCTCTCAAACCCACCCCAGCTGCCAAAAACGGGGTCTGAAATAGACAACTAAAGCAGCAACCCTGTACATGTCTACCTCTGAGTAAACAGTAGGACTCGCTTCCGTGTAATTATGCATATGATTGTGTTGCATGAGACATTTTTTTTTGGAGGGGTGGAATGGGCCACAGCTCAGTGGTGCAGTACATGCTAAGCAGGCAGGAAGTCCAGGGTTCAATTGCAGAATCCCTTGCTGCAAGTTTTGGAGAATTCTTGGACGGCTGGCTGCCAGTCAGACTGGACTATTCTTGCTAAGACAGACAAAATGTTCTGACTCACTGTCAAGCAGCTTTGTGTGTTATTATTATCATCCATGTGCTCTTTTAAGAAAGAGACCTATCTCAGGGCTATCTGGGCTTTTGCGTTTCTATCCTAATTCATACACTTAATGTCGTTTCTACATAAATCATAATAGCGGGCCAAGAACCTAAAGGGTAGGAAAGAAACTGAAAAAGTCAGTTCAAAATCCAACCCATACTTTTTTCCTAGGCAGGTGAATGGAAGACAGCATCACTATGGAAGATACAACTTCAGCACTTTAGTCCATTGACTGCTTCTCTGCTATTTATCCATGATCTTTCAACTTAAATGCCACACAAAACTGGGAAGCCTGAAGAAGATCGGACACCTCTCTCAATCAGAGAAAAGGGTCTTGGCAATCCTGGGTTGTAATCCTGTTTATGGTTACAAGCATAACCACCCCCTCCTTTTCCAGTAATATTAGCAATCAAATAGCCCCCCCCCCCAGTTACAGTAAAGTCTCAAAAAAGATACTCTTCTTCACCTTCATGCTACAATTCCTTTTATAAAAATGGTTGGGCTCTCAGAAGAAGCAATGGTGTCTCCATTTTTTACCTCCTTTACAAATGCCATCGGTTCTTTTTATATAATTAGTTTAAGGTGTGTTTTTTTCCAACTCAACAACATATGGGGGTGTTGGGGAGAGAACACTTGCACTTGGAAACACAAGATACGTGTTCTTCTTACCAGAAAAAGCTCAACTGAGATAAAATGACGTTTATGCTGCAGGTCTGCTAGCGCCATTTGTTTCAGTGGTCAGGAGACCCTGTTCCACCCACATTTGAAAATGGAAGAAATGCAAAGCCACTGCTCTAGTTAGATAAAGCACCTACACAGGTATCTCTAGAATTTCTCTCAAAGTCACAAAAGGCACAGATCATTTGGCAAATTGCAATTTCGTATCTCAAAGCTAACCTAGCCAAAGTTGGTTCAGAGTGAATCCAGAACAGAGTCCCGCAAGGCTCAATGGGTTCATTCCCTTCAGGCAAGATTTTTCCTTTTCCAATGGACGGAAAGTTACTTAGCTACAGTACTATGAACTGTCTGTGCTACACATGCTGCACTCGTGGTCCAAAAAGCAATTCAGTGTAACACGCCTGCAAACACATACCCAATGCCAGAACGCTTTCACTGAGCCTTCTGCTACAAAACCCCCCAAACCAAACCAGAAGCAACTGCTCCCTCACAGAAGATCAAAATGTAACAATGTTTCACAGTGGAAATTACAGTATAAGAATGCTCTTCACAAAGAGTAGCAGACACTTATAGCAGGTATGAGCAGGGTGTAGGTTAAGGTGGATCTTAAACTAGGTTTCGGTCAACTGCTGCCCATACTGTCTCCCAGCATCGAAAAAATCCCCCAAACAAGCCTGGCGGCGAAGCAACAAACTGCACTGAAAACAACTTTTGCATAAATATTCCCAGTGCCAATGCAAGGATGGTGCCAATGTACGTGCCATGCCAGTACGAAGATGGCATCAAGTCTCATGTGTGCATTTTTGCCTTCTTTGTTGAGGAATATAGCAGTTAGACCATGGGGCAACAGTGTAAGAAAAAACAAACCCACTGTTGGAGCCTACCTACCTATCTTTTCAGGAGAGCTCAAGGCGGCTTCTTCATTTTCAAATTTAAGGGCAATTTCAAGCAAGTGAGAGCACAGAATTAAAGTGACCTGCACTATGTTTTATCAGATTATGGTGACTCAGGAAGGAGAAAAAGGAAGCTTCAGCATAAATGTCCTACTGAAACAGCAGCCAAATGACTTACAGTATGTTCAGATGCAAGTGGAGAAAAGTCAAAGCGTATGTAGCTCATTCTAAAGTGCTTTGTGGGAACAAGACCCTTTTCCTACCGCTTTATCTATATATTTTTATTATTAAAAATAAAAAAGCTTGCTGCACATGAATGAATAACGAAGTTGTAATACAATCAAGCCAGGATACACACACACATTCCACATTCTATAAGCCCAAAGAGAATTGTGTATTTTCAGCTAGTTTTTCCAATGGTAAGGATAGAACTTAGCAGAATTTGGTCTCCCATAAATGATTCAAAATTTGGCAGAGAAGCAGGGCTGGCCTTAGCACTAGCAGACCTTAGAAGGGCAGCATATTTGGAGAGCAGCAAAGGGGCTGTTGCTTCCCCATGTTGCTTCAGGGCACTTCTTATTAGTGTTCAGGGACAATGAAAGCTGGGATAGGCCTTGTTTGCACGTCACCTTGAAACATAGTTTAAACAAAACAATGATTTTAAGTTAAGGAGCAATATGCTGGAATACAGCAGCTCACAAGATCCCCACAGGCTCTTGCTGTTCCTTCCTTCAGTGCTCTGGGAAGGAAACAGAACAGACACTGGCTTGCCACTATGTGTGAACTGGAACTTACTGTTTAATTTACTCCTAACAAAGTATGATGGTAAGTCAAGAAGAAAACTTGGCTTACCATCATGGCCTGTTAGCCACGATGTCAAGGAGATAAAGATGTCAAGGAGATTTAAAAAACTGCACAACTTTTAGAAGACATCTGAAGGCAGCCCTCTAATGGGAGGTTTTTAATGTTTGACGTTTTATTGTATTTTTATAATTTGCTGGAATCCACTCAGAGTGGCTGGGGAAACCCAGCTAGATGGGCAGGGTATGTTGTTGTGGGTATGTTGTTGTTTGGTATGTTTCTTCCCCAGTATGCTGAAAAAGGCAGGGGAGGAGAGAAGCATGGTCTTTTGAGCATAAGGGAAGGGCCATACCTCAGTGGCAGAGCACCTATTTTGCAGGCAAGTCTTGGTTAGGAACATCCTGCATCTGAAATCCCGGAGAGCCCTTGCCAGTCAGTGCATCAAAAATACTGAGCAAAGGGACCAACAGTCTGGCTCGGTTTGAGGCAGACTTGGTATACAAGTATGGTTTCATGTGATATGCAAAACGTGCCAATGGCTGCAAACATCAGGAGGAAGAGGAAAGGGTGGGCCAACTGTGAAGTGCAATGGATTGGCCAGCAGTCAACATTCGAGCTGTAATTTGGGGGGGGGGGGGGAGGGAAGAGGCATCAGAGTGACTGGTTGCTCTGAAGAAAACTACAGTGGTACCTCTGGATGCGAACAGGATCCATTTCAGAGCCCCGTTCGCATCATGAGCAGAACGCAACCCGCGTCTATGCATGCGCGTGACGTCATTCTGAGCGTCTGCGCATGCGGTGAAACCTGGAAGTAACCCGTTCCGTTACTTACGGGTCGCCGCAGGATGCAACCTGAAAAGATTTAACCCCAAGTGACTTTAACCCGAGGTATGACTGTAGGGGCATGAAAGATGTCACATGCTCAACAAGTATCAGGCTAGGTAGAAGGGGCAACAGAACTACAAGACTGTGGAGAACAAGTGGAAATGCCAGAGGATTCTAAGGTTTCGCCTAGGCTAGTGCTGGAATATCCCCACCTCCTAAACAGCAGCAACAGACCTCTAAAAGCCCTAACAACCTGGATGCTTAGGCATTTTCTAAATCTGATCTAGAACACTTGCACATCAGAAAGTTAAGCACTATAACCTGCATGTGGGAAACCCACATTCTCTTTCTTTCAACTACCAAACATCTCTAAATGGCCCATTCTTCCATGGTGATGTTTGCCAGCACTCAGGTCCCGAGAAACAAAAATGAGGTTTACTAATGTAGGAAAATTCTACAGCCAAAAAGTATGGGAAGCAGATGGTGCCTTCACTCCCCACCAATTAGGAGGTGGGCGGACTAAATGTTCCCTGGCAGAAATTTGCACTGATTTGTGTTGGATTTATGGGTGTGCTTGCATATTCACTGCCCCATTACCCCAATGCGATTTGGAATGTACAGGTCTCAAAGAGCTACTGCTTGGTTTTTATTTGTCTTGCATGGTTTTAAGATGATAGGAGATGTCTTGCTATTTTCCTCTTTTAATGCCAGTAGTAGCATACTCCAAGTGTCTCTGTGCATTGTAGTGCGCACACACACGAGCAATTGCAAGGATCTCCTATGTTCATCTCTGTAACAGACCTCTCGCCGCTGCAGGTTCAGCGGTTGGGTGGTGGCAGTAGTGGTAAGAAGAGGCAAGGTAAGTCTGGAAGAATGGTCCATATTCAGAAAGTTTGAGAAACACTGCTCTCAAACCAAATCTGCACACCAACACACACAAAGACAGCTGAGAAAAGCACAGCAAACCAAAATTGTGCTTTTCTGGTTTAGAGTTATCGTAGGTCTGGCACACTCTTTGTATGCCCACACAAGCTGCTTTATTCTCATTACACTGCCCACATCCACTGGAATTCTCTCTAGCACAACCAGCCGCAGAAGTGAAAAGGAACTGCCCAAGAACTTCCATAGCTTCAGTAGCACTTGTGCAGAGAAAGCATGAAATGTGACTCAGTGACTTCTAACCACTTGCTATTGCTACCTGGATTATACCCCATATTTCAGTTGTTTCTTGGTCTAATTTCTGTTAAGCACCCTGGTGCTCAACAAGATTTAACAATCCAATGAAATGACACTTGTGTGGTTTTGAAGAACAAGGGCCACAACAGGGTATGCTTGCTTTCCATGAACATACCTTCTTTCCGAGAAAGACAGTTCCCTTTCTCTTAGCTTTCCTAAAAACAGAGCTGAGGTATTTATCAATCACTGCTTAAACTCTCTCATCAGATGACCAGCTTCCACTAGAAATGTTTAGTGAAGGAGAGGTTGTCTCCAGCCTCCTATCTTCTGGAACTGGGCAAAAATGCACTAAATGTCAAGGCTTCGGTGGACGCTGAGCTTTCTAGTGGCATCTAAGTTGCCTCTTTAACAAAAATAAATAAAATAAAAATAAATCTATGTTATATTAATCAACACAGCAAAGAATTCTGCTAACTGATTCTGATTCCAAACTAGAGGTAACTTTGACCCCCCCCTCCTTTTCTGGATAAAAATAAGAATTAGGACCCATTTTGCAAATGAGGTTAAGAGGAAGACAAAAAGAGAAAACAAAATGCAATCGCCACCATTTTTAAGCCACAAGACATAGGGCAAGAAAAGGAGTGACATAGAAAAAGTTGGGGATAGGCAAACAGTGAGCGAAGATGTCAATGTTGATCCAGCAAGTACCATTTCTTAACAAAACCTTCCTAGCAGACTGCCATTTAAGACAACTTACTGCATATTAAAACATACACACACTTGCTGAGTTTGCAGATTTAACACGTTTTAAAGTTCTTTTTCAAAAAGTACCAAAGCACAATTTTTGGAATGTGTAATTCTTTCAGAGAGGGGCTGCGGATGGGTTTTCCTTTTTAAAACATATTCAGTTCAACCTGAGAACTCCCGTTTATGAAACATTAGGTACCTGACATTATCTTGCACCTTTTAAAATAGGTACATTTGTTTTTCATAGTCTGCATTAGACTTTTTGGACACCCCCCCAAAAAGGCAACACACAAACATACAGAGTGAAATGATATCAGCAAAAAATGAAAAGAAGCTACGTGTTTTAACACTTTGATGTAATTTTGTGAAAACGTTTGTTGCTGGACTGACGAGAGGGGGGGAAAAAGCCTCCCAACCCTTTCTGAAAGTGTACAAAAAGGAAAGATAGGGGAAAGGGTGGCTCTGAACAAGAGATAAAAGCAATTCTGGAAAGAGAAGGCGCAGCATCCCCTTTTCCTTCAAATTAATCCTTTCTCAGACTCCCCCTTCCACATATCTGCCAATTTGGCCATGTTCCTGTTGTCGCGTTTTTTACCCGAAAGAGCAGGTGCTCCTTCAGCTGAAAAGGATATACTGCATTTATCCCACTGATTGGTAAGCACACCAGGAAAAGAAAAGACCACACATAACCCTAGGAAAAAAATAAATCAGACCCGAGGATGATTGTTTGGATTAGCTCTGTCTCGTCAGATGTTCAGCCTTTGATAACTCGTTGTTAGAGGGAGAAAGCCGACCAGCAGACCATCCCAAGCCAATGATGCAGTAGGAGTTCCAATCTCATCATGCCAGAGCACCAGAAAGTCAAAGCACGAGCCCTCCTCTCTCCTGGGAATGATGCCAATGGAACAGGCAGCCACAGGGTGGGGGAAGGGGGTCTCCAAATGCACATGGCGTTTAGACTGGAGGTGAACATACAGGCAGCATAGATTCTGGTTCCTAACAAGGGATTTTCCCTTCCCACCCAAAGTTGGATTGGTAATTCCATTCTGCTCTCCTCTAAGCGTACAGATCTCTTTCCTCTAAATTTCCTTTTCCTTTCCTTTTTTTTTTTTTTTTTTTGAGGGGCAGAAGAGAGTCTGGATGTTATAAAAAGAAACCGTAGGAACACAAGACTTTTTTTTTAAAAAAAATGAGAGAGTGGATTTGCTGCCAATGTTGCCGTGGCTACTTGAACGCTGCAAATTCGCCTGTAGAGGGAGGACAAGAGCTGAGTTTAAAAAGTTGGGTTTCATTCATCAGCAAGACAGAAATGTTATCCAGCATAAATTTGACACTATATACCGGGTGCAGCAGGTTAGGAGAAATGCAATTGTTAATAATTAAATGTACAGAAGGATATCATTGGCAGAGACAGAAGACAAAGTTACTTTCCCCAAATTTCTTAACTATGGGTTTCCAAAAAGCAAACTTGGACCATATGGCAGGGTATTAAGAGCCCGCATACTCTCATGAAGAATGTGCAAATGTAAAGTTTTATCATCATTCACATTTCTAAGATTATTCTCAACATGTTTTACACAATGGCAGCTGCTCTCTTGGGGTCAAAAAAGCAAGGATTTATCGGCATGGCTCTCTGCTCTCCAAACCCCCATAGTGATTTAGGAATATCTAGAAAAATAAAAAAAAAGTCCAGTAGCACCTTAGAGACCAACTAAGTTTGTTCTTGGTATAAGCTTTTGTGGTCTCTAAGGTGCTACTGGACAATTTTATAATTTTTTAATATATTTTGACTGCGTCAGACCAACACGGCTACCTAACTGATTTAGGAAACAGGGAATGGATGGAGCTTCCATTTCCTGTCGCATGGTGGAGTTAAAAGAGTTTATCTGAAGAAGCTACACTCTGGAAAACTTTAAAAGGTAGACTTTCTAGTAGTTCTACTTCAGAGAAGCAGGCTAACCAAATACCATACTATTACCATATATGTACACCCTATTAACCCTACCGAAATGAGAAATTTTGTGCTCTGATGTCAAAAGCAGGTACGGCTGGGTTCTACTTTCTCCAGCTTATTACATAGGTCTCTGGTCTCTTATCTTAGCAAGGCCCTGGCCGAACTAACAGCTTCACCATTTGTTGCAGCAGAAAAAGCAAAACCTTGTGCTTTGGGGCTAATTTTAAGAGCATTCATGCTCTTTCACCCATTCCAAACTACAGGCTTTGGTTACCACCTTCAGTGCATTTAACACTGATTGCTGGCTAGTCTGTAAATAAGAAATTACACCCCCACCGATCCTCTGGTCTTCCTGATTCAGCTTATCATTTGGAGTGTTAATTGGTGCCACAGGATTGTGAAGATAAAAATGTGTTAATTTGGAAAGGCAGGGCTCCGCTAGACATTCCATCTAGCCATAGACTAAGAGCATTCGCTCAGAGTCTTCCTCACCCCCAAGCTATGCAAAACATAAGAGGGGAAAAATCCTAAGCCCATTTTAAGACTTGTTAGAATTCACAGTCATCAGTATTAGGTTCAAAACATCTGAAAGTTTAAATTTAAGGCGGTGGTGGTGATAAATAATCAGGACAGTAGTATCCTGAAATTCTGTGAGCTAGCAGAAAAACAAATGCTTAGAATTATTTAGTTCACTGATTCTCTCAACGGAGAACCTCCACGGAACCACTATGCAGAAGCAACATAACCTAGTAAGGTGCCCATCAAAACTTTCTGCCCTGTCCTGGATGCAAAACCTGCAACTGCTCACAAGGCAGCTTACTGGAGGTATAAAGGCAGCCACTGCTGGGCAATGATCAAGGGCAAGGGACGCCTGCACAAACCAGAAAAAGTCACAAGGAGGAGACAGGCAAGCTGCCGCCTTCACGTTGTGCAGGCGTGTGACCGATGATGGACTAGCAGGCACAAGCCTTGGCTTCATCAGTTCACACTGGACACTGCAAGTTGCTTCAGATAAGCCATGGGCAATCATAGTGCTGAGGCAGCAGCCCCCGCACTTCTGCTACCTACAGGCATTTCAGGAAATTTAAATGGCGACCACTCAACTCAATCAGCTGCATACTAGCTTGTAGGGGAATTTCCCTACTTCCATATGTCTGACAATGAAGAATAGCAAGAACATTCCTTGTCTGAGACATGAACCATGCTGAGCAGTTTACAATTGATCAGGAATAACAAAGCAAGCAAGATCATTGTCACCTAGACAAAAAAGCTTGACACATACATACGGATGAAGGTTATTATTTAAATACTTGTCACCAGAGGTGAATGTAGCACGAAGCAATGAAGAGCAGGTTTACCTGCTCAAGGTAGATACTCCCAATGTGGAAAAAAGGGTCCTTGACTTCAGGGTCCTTGACTTCCACATTACTTTAGGTAAAGGGACCCCTGACCATTAGGTCCAGTCGCGGACGACTCTGGGGTTGCAGCACTCATCTCTTTATTGGCCGAGGGAGCCGGTGTACAGCTTCCAGGTCACGTGGCCAGCATGACTTAGCTGCTTCTGGCGAACCAGAGCAGCGCACGGAAACGCCATTTACCTTCCCGCCGGAGCGGTACCTATTTATCTACTTGCATTCTGACATGCTTTCGAACTGCTAGGTTGGCATCCACATTACCTTACTGGAGATCTAATCAGACAAATTCTATACACGAGCATAAAACGTTTTCTCCACATAAAGGAGAACTGAGTAGAAATATCGACTCATATAAAGCTGAGCATTAGCAGCAAGCCATTGACTTTGTAAGAGAGCCGGTGGCGAAATTTTCTTTTCCCACCTTTAAACAACTTTTAAAGTTTACTACTCTTGCTTTTACAAGGCCATTTCCTCCTATTATGAGCATCACTGCTTTCAAGCATGGCCACACAGACAAAAAGCAATATTCACTTTAAAAAAGTGTCCCTTCTAACCTGTTAAAAGTTGAGCAATGCTTATTAACATGCCTGAAGCAGACCGGCGCAAAGGCATGGGTCCAGCACTGATTTTAAACAGCCGAAAAGGGGTGTTAAGCAAGAGCAGTGCCAGAACAGAGGCAGTAAGAAAGGACAAAAACAAACAAACAAACCCAAGAATAAAATGAAACAAAAACACAAAGAGACTTCCAATTCCAAGTAAGCAACAGGCTTCAACGAGCAGGAAGTTCAGAAACAAGGCACTCCCTGCCAAAGTCTTTTATGTTCTGTTCACCTTTGCTCACTGAAACGAGGGTGGACGCAGCTGGCCTTTTAAATCCAAGTTCATCTTGCCTTACTTTTGCCCACTGTCAGCAACGCTGCCGACTTGAGAAGCTAACATGATTGCTACCACATGACACTGACTGAAGGGACAAAACAGGCAGCTTAAAACACAAAAATAAAACTCTACCAGCTACCTGTGCAGCAGAGATGGCAAAAGAAGAGAAGGAAATTTGACCTACAATCCAAACATAAATGGAGATGCATTTGTGTGTGTGTGTGTGTGTGTGAGAGAGAGAGAGAGAGAGAGAGAGAGCGCTAGCTACTTTCAACGACCTCTTCCCTTTTCTACTGAGCAGCTTTTCATGGTTGGCAATTGCCAGGCCATCCATCGCCAGCAACAGATGCCATGCTGGGAATATATACAAGACTGAGTTTAAAAGGTAAGTTCTTTTTCAGTCAGTACACCTTCCCCAAAAACAAAGCGAACCAGCTCATTGGAATGTGAAACATATGCACACATGAAGGGAGGCAGGGGGAGGCACACTAAAAACACAGGCACATGCTTTCAGCTTTTCAGATTACAGAAAACCCACCGTATCCCCCTGCCTGGATGGGTGTTTTTGGAGAAGCGCAAGCATACAGACTAAAATCCTCTGTCTGGAAACCAGCTCGGTTCAAGGAGGGCTCAGATGCACTGCGGTGAATTTTTGGCAACGACCGGGCCAGGAGCTCAATAGAGGCGAGGATCTGAAAACAAAGAGGGAAAAGAGAGAGTGGGTGTTGCGGAGCGAAGACAACAGAGCAGTTCCAAACTGGAACAAATTAATTCTCGACGAATTATAATTCTGTCAATTCTGAGAAGGGCTGTCGCTGTGTAGTAGAATGCCTGTTTTGCATGCAGGTTCCATCCCTTGTGTCTCCAGGTGGTGCTGAGAAAGAATTCTGTCTGGAACCACCGAGAGCTGCTGCCAGGGTTGGCGATATTGGGTTAGATGAAACAATGGTCTGACTTCGTAGAGATTGCGTCCCATGTACCTATGCAATGTTCACTTGGAAACCTAGTAAAAGCGAGAAGAAACTGCCCTTCAGGACTTAAAGCTGCCCCTCCTACAAAGATGGCACTGCAGCTGCTTGATTTGGCACTCTCTGTTTAAGAGGCAGTGCTGGAATTAAAGGTTTTAGAAATGTCTTGCCGCTTTAAGCACTACTAGAAAGCAAAACAGGAACACTGCCATTTAAGCACTGAAATGATGGTGCTGAAGTAAATTCTTAAGAGCACTGATGCTGCAATTGCTCATCATGTTTTGTACCAGCCCCTGTCCAATCTTCTCAGAAAGGTTGACAGCATGGTAGACGGGCCGTGCTCTCTATTGGGATTGTACAATCTCCCTGTTTACTAGTCTTCGGCCAGCAGGTTGTGATCCACCTGACTCATGTCTAGATTTCATGCGAGTTGTACCAGTAACACCATTAGCTCCACCGTTTTGTTTTCCTTTGGAAAGGGATTGGGGAGAGGAGAGGGGGGAAAGAAGTGCAGACACAATAGGCTAAAAAAGGTAGAAGTTGGTCCCACAATGCAGATTAGGCTTAACAGCGAATCCCAGATTGAAAAAGGGCTTTAGACTCTCATCCTAGCTAACTGCTGGACTAAACGGACCCAGTGGGCCTTTATGCTGAAGCTCTACTGATTTCTTGTCTCTGGAAAGAGTTGGGCATCATTCAGTATTGATGATATGCACAATAGGGACGTCCCCTAACTGTTGTTGTGTATTGATAAAATCATCTGAAGCTGCCCTGTGGAATGAAAAACCAAAACCAACAAAGGAGGTGATGGTGAAGTGTTTTGCAGCAGGAAAACGGAACTTGCAGCTATTTCACAGACTATGTTTAAAAGACCCATGGTGCTAATACTTCCATGGAGACCGTCACGTAGACAAAGAGAGGCAGAAACCGTGCGTCTCTAGCAACAATTCTATTATTCCACATGCAGAGCAGGCTATTATTACCATTATGCGATTCCCAAGGCAGGTACATGCCAAAGGGCAAGCCATTCATTTTCTGCTCTAAAAGAAGATGCATTTCTGATAAGAAACTCATTTAGACTCCCTTAGAGCCAGTCTAAATGAAATATGAATTCTCTTCTCCCCATTTTATTGGAAAGGTAAAGCTACCACGGTGAGGGCTGAGGATGGATGAAGAAGGACCTTTAATAAAGCAATGTAGTGCTGCCTTTTAAAAATTACTTTTTGCAGCAGGAAAACATGCCACTTGCTGCAGCAGTACCAGTGGGTTTTCCATTTATTTTGGCAGCCAGAGCTCTCTGCTTCGGCTGCCACTTCACTTCCCCGAACAATGACCCTGAACGATGCTTGCAACCTTAGCATCACCCAGTGCCATTGCACTGCTAACATCTTCCAAGCTGTTCAGGACAGAGATGGGACGACCAGAGCAGAGAAGGCCTCCTTCCAATGTCACCCCTAAGAATGTTTGGAAGCAATTACCCTGTGAGGAAGAACAACAGGATCGTCTGCTATGGGGTTTTTGGCACTGTGACCCATAACTGCTGCAGAAGGAATGACAAGAAGCCAGCAGACTCCAGTTATGCCTACAAGGCCTCACACTGTGAGGTCAACAACTTCTGGCTGCATTGCAGACACTTCTGGGAAGGCCAGGTCACCAGGCCTCAGGGCCCTACCAAGGCCTGTCTTTGAATGGCGAAGAACCTACTTCCATGCAGCTGGTTATTATAGCTACTTGTAACACTAAGTTTGCTTGTTTTCCTCTTTCCTTCCCATCCCTTTTTTCCTTTTGTGTCGTGCCTTGTAAGCCCAAGGGCAGGGACTTTGCTGTCTTTACTGATGTGAAAGCTGGTCCCAGAGTGAGGAATAAATATTTTAAATAAATAAGGCTTCTGTTAGAACAGCCAGCTCTTCTTTCTTTACAGTGAGAAGAGAAAAGCAACAGCACTGTAGCCACAGGAAGCATCCCATCCTGGGCCATGAAACTACCCAAACAATTTCATCCTCCACCCTCTGAAAGCCTAAGAATTGGCCTTGTGCCCTTGGATGCTGTGAATTGCACTGGGGAGGTCATTTCGGCATAGTCCTTTCAGCTGGTGCTTGCTGACCCTAGCAAGGCAATTTGTCCAATTTGAATGTAGTCAAATATTAGGAATATTTCTTACCTGTGGGAAGAGGGGTCGTTCATCCCTTTTCTTTTTCAAGCATTCTGCCATTAGCCTCTTCATTGCTTTGGGACAGTTACTTCGCACTTTGCTGAGATCTGGAGAGAGGTATCCTCGCCCCACCATAAAAATGATCTTTGTTTGCAGCAGGGAGGAAAAGAAGAGTGGGAATGAGGAGGTTCCAGCAAACATCTACTTTCTACATTAAACTGGGCAAGGGGGAAGTGTTAATGTAAAATAATAATAATAATAACCCTGAACTCCAGGCTTGCACAGAGCTTGTGATCTTTCAGTCCATCCTATATTTCAAAGATTTTCTAAACCCAAATTTAAAATTCTTTTCACACTGGAGGGTTACAGTAATTTCACAATAAGGTGTGCAACATACTCATCAGTGGTAGCTTGGTACCCAGTTATATTCTGATTGGAATAAATTAATATGAATACATACACTCAGATATACATACATATCTGCAATGTGGCATCAGTATTGAATAAATTATGCTGCCTGCTAGACAACTCAAAGGTAGACACTAAATTAACCTATGTGCAACTCAATTTTAATATTCATTCTGTACAAGCTGTCTGCCAGCCCACTGGATATTGTCAAAACTCAAGAAATAGCCAGTCACCCTGTTCTGCAGGGATAGCCAGGATCCAAAGATCTACTTTAGGTATGTCCATGTGGTTGAGCACACCCAGTGGGATTTCTTAATCTCACTTAAAGAGAAGACCATGTGCCACAACACAAGCTGAGTCTGAAAGCCCTCTCAAGTTTCAAAAACCATGGAGGTTGTTAGTTGGGAAAAAAAAAACAAGCCCAAAGACCCTCAGCCCTAAATTATTTGTGTTATTCTTTGAATCTTGACCATAATGTTGCTCACTTGCCAGTTGTTCAGTGTAATGTGATACCCAGTTGTGCAGAACCAGATCTCATCAAAAAGGGCAAAAATATCCCAAATATTGAAGTACTCAAGGATGTGGTATGGATCAAAGAAAAACAAATTAGGGACTTGGCATTTCATCCTCTGGGTTTCTTACTAGAGCACTTCACTCATTTTACCTGATGCCAAAGTTTATTTTTTCTTGCAGTCATCTCCCACCTTAACTCTGAGGAATTCAGTCAATGTACATGGGTGTGTGCGATCCCACTGTATCCCCAAAAACTTGGGAGGCTGGCTAGGCTGACAATGCATGACTTGTCCAAGGTGACATGGCCCATGCCTCTCTGGTCCAAGCTCAATACTATCAAATGTAAAACACTGGCTCTTAAGTGAGGGCCTAGTGGAAGACACCACAAGTCTATGTCCTTAAAACTTCCTGTATTTTTCTACTTCCTGATATATGACCTTTAAAAATTAGGGTCTACTTGAAGCAGGAAAAAAGGCACTTATGCCAAAAGCCATTTTAAAAATTTAAACCACTCATTAATTATTTCAGACAATGACAAATGATGAGAATGTGAAAGCACCAACAAAATTCAAGCCTCCCCAAAAGCCATGAATGCCTTACCTGGTCCCTGTTGTTGATGTTAGAATATGGTAACTGCCCAGTCATCAGCTCATAAAGAACAATCCCAAATGCATACACATCTGACTGAAAGCTATATGGGTTTTTATCTTGCATCCTAATTACCTCTGGAGCCTGTGATGTAGAAGAGAAGAAAACTGCTTTATTCTGTTGCATTGAAAAGCTATTTTCTTATGTCTTACGCCACCAACCCTGGAGACTCCATTTCTTGAAAGGGAGACATAAAAGCCTTTAATGGATGTAAGATGTCTATAATAGCCACATATTTAGCCTACTCATTTGGCACTCATTAATACAAATTAATCCATCATTTCCCCAGGTATGCAGGTAATAAACTGGTTTAAGGAGAGTTATTATCACTTTTCAGTGATTATAACAGGGAAATCTACCGGGCTAACATTTTGTATGAACACAGAGTTGACTGCAAAATAGAGCCTCCTATTGGATAAAATACGGCAAGGGATCTGTGCACTGGGATTTCACCTCCAGAAAGAGGAGAAAGGAGAACTCCTTTGCAATACCATACAAAAAGCAGAAGGCTCCATGTGCAGCGGAGTGCAGTCCTCTATTACGATGCCTTATAAGTGTTGCTATCCCTATCCTAGAGGCACAATGAATATACATCTACACAGGAGATAGTGTCAGCTATCGGGTGGATCAAAAAATAGTTCAGAGAATACCCCCTTTATTTACCATCCATAGAATTGATCCAGACAACTGTTCAAACTGATGGGACCCGCTCCATCGTGATTTCACTGTTGCTAGACCAAAGTCACCTATTTTTACTGTGAGGTCTTCATGAAGAAATATATCTGAACAGAGGATGTAAAGAAAAAAAGGGGGGAAAGAGGCAATCCTAATTTCCCATCAGAGTACATATTGTGCCCATTCAACTACTACAAAAGCCCAGATCATCATCCTGCATTATTATCTAGTCGCTACTTATAGATTCTAAGCTGAAATTTGAACAGTGCTCCTATTATCTAATAGTAAGCACAATAAACAAACTAAGGAAGAGTCTCTATAACTGGGTTGACTGTATGGGGTCTTCAAAATCTGAAAAGGCTAGTGGGAGTTTCCGGCATGTCAAATGTTGGTTTGAGAGGAAGCCAGCACAGTGCTTCCATGGTGTCTCATAATAATATACATCACTTGTGTGCATGATACTTCTTCAATCAACACTTGATTTGTTTTTGGCTTGATGTCATCATGCAACAAAGAACAAATCACCCTGATTTAGCAAAGGAGAACCATGTGCATATTGCCTGCTGGACTAGTAATTACAAGGATAAACTAAATATGAATCAGAATGCAGATACGGATTTATTCACACTTCACATTTTCAGTAAGATACAAATTTGGATGTACATCCTCACTTCTGCTCCACTGCTGCTAGTTAGGCATAAACCCTTCAAAAAGCCTTGAGTGGGACAACTACCTTGCCCACAGATCATCAGCTGATTTCACCTAACCATACTTTTTCCTCTCATGTTTTCAGAACAGATACTCACTTTAGGGATGTGGGAAGGGGAGGAAGAACAATAAAGGTCAGGTCTCTTAGGAAAAGGATACTATTACTCTTGAGGTCTCTGTGGATGATTGACTTGGCATGCAAGTAACTGGAAAGCAAGAAAATATTAGATAGAAAGTTGACTATATATTTCTGCTTATCAAGAGCCTGCGTGAAGCTGAATGATCTCAAAGATGACACAAACATATGGCAAAAGGTAGTCTCTAAGTTGTACAGTGTCTAAGCCATTTGTTTATTTACTGCATCTGTCTCTCATTCTTCCTTCAAGGAGTCAGCTTGCTATGTCAGCTTGCACCTATCATTGGCTCCCAGTACGTTTCTGAGCACAATTCAAAGTGCTGGTGTTGACCTTTAAAGCCCTAAACGGCCTCGGCCCAGTATATCTGAAGGAGCGTCTCCACCCCCATCGTTCTGCCCGGACGCTGAGGTCCAGCGCCAAGGGCCTTCTGGCGGTTCCCTCATTGCGAGAAGCAAAGCTACAGGCAACCAGGCAGAGGGCCTTCTCGGTAGTGGAGCCCGCCCTGTGGAACGCCCTCCCATCAGATGTCAAAGCGATAAACAACTACCTGACATTCAGAAGACATCTTAAGGCAGCCCTGTTCAGGGAAGTTTTTAATGTGTGATATTTTAGTGTATTTTTGGTTTCTATGGAAGCCGCCCAGAGTGGCTGGAGAAACCCAGCCAGATGGGCGGGGTACAAATAATAATAATAATAATAATAATAAATAATAATAATAATAATAATAATAATTATCATCAGCACCTGCAACGCCCCAGCTTTTTAAGACAACTGAATTGCAAACCTACACACCATGCACAAATCTGCAGCTCTTTCTGCCCACTCCCCTTTGGGAGGAACAGCCTGGAGCTTAGACTTTGCCAGGGCCCAAACATCTCCTAATCTCTCTAATACACTGGTTGCCAATCAAGGGTTTGGGGACTGCTGGGGGTCCACGGAACGCACCCAGGGGGTCCGTGGCCCCATCCCTTGCGTCCCCCCCAACTAAATATTTGTCATTTTTGCATGATAATAATCTGTTTTCAGTAGACCTAAAATCCTTTGTTCAAAAAATTGCTTTGCTGAGGTAACTATCGTAGAGTTATCAAAATTTTCAGAAGTAGGGGGTCTGTGGCTTGGCTTTTGAAAAACAGGGGGTCCTCAGTAGTTAGCTAATTGGGAACCACTGCTCTAATATATTGTAAATTTCATTTTAATAGTGGGTTTTCAGTGCAATCTGTTTTTGGGTGCCAATCCCGGCTGAAAAGCAGGTAAAAATACAAAAACGAATTACTTGGCAGTAAGTTGCCTGGAAATTAATACAATTCAAACCAAGTAGACAAGCTTAGGATTGGGCAGCCAGAAGATATCAGCTATAAGACAGCTTCATATTTATTAGCCTAAGTGACATTTATGGTTCCATCATATTCCACCCCTCTAGTATCATGAGGCACTGCTGCCAATTTCTTCACACCCACTTGAAATGTTTTAGGAGAAAAGGGAAGATGAGAAATCATTCTCCTTTATATCAGAACACTGTAGAGCAACACAAATCACACACTCATTGTTCCTGTTACTGGGAAGACTGTTAAAACACGCTGGTATTACATGAATGCCAATCTGCAGCAAGGCTTGACTTGGGGAAGAGGGCATATCACAGCAGGCCATATGCATGCTGGAGGAAGCCTGAAGGCAATGCAGCTCACTTGCTTGTTTCTATGCAGATATGCCAGGAAGCAGCACTAGAAAAAAATGTGAGCTTCCATTCTAAGCCCTTCCAGCTTAGCCCTTCTGTGTTATCAGGAATGGGAATTAAAATACTAAACCTATTCATTTTCCCCCCTCATGGAAAAGCAGTGCTTTGGGTATAAACTCCTTTAGCACCATACGTTAAAAACAAATACAGTTATATTTAAAATGTCTTGGTAAGAGCTTCTCTCCTGTGATAGTCACCCAAATAAGGCTACTGATCAGTCTTTACAGCTGTTAGTGTTTTATGACAAGACTTGGTGTCAGCCCTTGTAAAACATCATGCTCTGATGTTAGCTGGAGGAAAAATGTAAGAGATTTTATTCTAGCTGTCTTCAGTAAAAAGTAAAAATGATGAAAATCTTTAAACAATGTGCTAAGTTTGAACAAAAGACTAGTAAGGAAAAAACTGCTTGCCATAGGGAAAAAAAATGCCCACTTCGAAATAGTATTGGAGTTGTATAAAACACTTCAAAGTGAGACCTCAATTTTAAGCAAACACTCGACATAATATCGGAGGGCTTTTAAACACTACCAAACAATAATCACTGTCAAGTCATATTAAAAAGAAGGGACTTCATGTCAATTTCCAAGTGTCTATGCCACCAGACAAAGTATCTGGAAGAATTTACGAGAATGCATCCCCACTGATTCTATGACGCTGCCAAATTAACCTCATGTGTTAGGGATGTGGAACCTGCGACTCTCCAGATGCTGATAGTTACAACTCCCATCATCACTGACCATTCTGGCTGAGGCTATTGGGAGCTGTAGTCCAACAACATCTGGAGGGCCACAGGTTGTCTATCCCTGCCACATGCACTGGCAAGAACTCTCTTTTCCCTCCTTCTCTCCTAATGAGTATATGATACTATACTTACTCCATTCCTTGTGCTGTCTGCCGTGCAATATCTATCAGCTTGATCATCTCAAATTTGGTCTCAATGATGTGTAGATGGTGGTAAAGACTGGAGCCTTCACACCACTGCGTAACTATAGCCAACTGCGGCTTTGTTGAATAACCCATGAAAAGCAATATATTCACGTGTCTTGTTTTCCTGTGGAAAGAAAGGAGTGCTTAAAATCACTGAAAACACTTTTGATGGATTGAAGGGCTCAAACAATGAATGCCCTGATATATGATGAATCTTGTTGGCTCCACCAAAGTCCATCTAGTGCAGATTCCATATGGACATCATGGCTGAAATTGTCAAATCCCCTTTAAAGCCATCTAAAGCAAGTGACCACTGCCACATCCTGTAGCAGCTATTTCATTAAATGTATTATATATTCTGCACGCCACCCAGAGTGGCTGGAGAAACCCAGCCAGATGGGCAGGGTATAAATAATAAAATTGTTGTTGTTGCTGTTTTGCATCATGGGTTGCATTCAACAGTGGTTAAGCCTTAGTGCCCTGCAGATGTTGTTACACTCCAACTCCCATCTGCCCTCAGCTGTACAGCTAAATGACCAAGGATGATGGCCATCCTCTTTAGAGGACCTCAGCTTACCTATCCCTGCCACTACGTACTCAGGTTGGGGTACACAACTGTTACCTACCCACCTACCGCAGCCCTCTGCCCAATATCCTGTTCTGATATGAAAGGTCTTCTAAACCTTGAGAACAGGTTTTCAGGGAGCAAGGGAGATGCTCCACCCCGACTTGGGCAAGCAGAAGTGCTTTCCGCAAAGGCAAAGGCAAAACTGGATACAACCCCATATGAAATAATTGCTGTCTGTACAGATTCTCCTGCCAATCAATTTAATTGAATGACCTGAAGTCTGAAAGATGGAGTAAAACTTCTATCTACTGTGACAGACACTTTGAAGAATTAGCACAGACTGTGCCTAGAAGGCTCACAGTTGGCATTTGACAAGACACTGGGAACCTGCAATGTTACAGGGGATTCTTGCCTCACAACAGGAATGCTTCGGCTCAGAGTTCCAGTTAGCCACAACCTCTTCTGGGACCCATCGTGTCACCTTTTCTCTCCCTGCCCTGGGATTTGCTGCTGTTCTTTTCTACTGACACCTAGCATTCTTCGGGCTTCTGAGCAGACTCAGTGCTCATCCGGATATTTTTTATTTGTTTTGGGGGGGGGGGGAGTGCCCCTATAGATTTTTTTAAAAAAATATTTTTGTACTCAGGCTTCTCCCAAGCATGTCGATACCTCCCTCTTGTTTCTCAATGATTCCATTTTGGGTATGTAGCTCTTGGCATTCAGCACATGAATTTACTATGAGAGGGAGCGATGGGGGAAAGGTCATCAAGCAGAGCAGAGCCAGGGAAAACAAGGATCCATGAAGGCTGAGAAGGAAGTGCAGGAAAGATTTGCTTTCTCTCTCATGGTAACATGGATTGACAATGCAGAAGCATCCAGTATTCCCTCACTGTGTGGGCATGAAGACATGCTTATAAGGGATAACACAGGACCAGAAAATATCAGGAAAACACAAACTGCTTTCAGCAGAAGGACTGGGAGGAGCACAGTGTTCTGAACAAATGGCTCAAGCTCACTGGCTTCTCAAGGGAAGTCAAGCCATCAAAATGCAACTAACACAACCTTACCTGAGCACTCCTACTTCATTTTTAAAGGCTTGTAACTGCTGAGGGGTGGGGGCTGTAACATTCAACATTTTCACTGCGACATCACCTGAAAAAGCAATTTTAAAGAATATCAGCTGTATAATACTGCTGCTCAACTTTTCTTTTTAAAAAGCAGAATACAAAACTCAGATATTGTTATGTGGTGTTCTAGGTGCAAAATGTGGCTTTTCTTCCTTTTGATTACTATTGTCGTGCCGTATCACAAACTGCTTTTGGATGCCTGAGCCCTCCTTTCCGAAAGAGATCTGCTATGCAGCGTAGAACACTGCTGTTCAAAAAAACCGCAAGACTAAAGCTCCACTGGGTGCATAGAAACGGCTGCACAGGATTTGGACTCCAACTACTGCGTTTTCCTTCAAAAGACACTCTTCTCACTCTAGCACACAAACTTGGGAGAGCTTTTACAGAGACAACAAAGAATAAGAGGCCTCAAAGGCATTAACAAAACGGAGATCGGCTTAATCTGCTAAGGTTTTGGTGTCACAAGCTTTAAAATAGGGGGAAAAAAATCAACTCATAAATAAAAAATGGTTTGGTGCAGGAATTACCTACCATGCCACTTTCCCTTATAGACTGTTCCAAATGACCCAGACCCTATCCTTTGTCCAACTGTGATCTGGCCATCTGGTATTTCCCAATCATCACTTGAGTCTCGCCGACCAAGAGTTTTCTGCAAGAAAAGCAACCTTAGTAATACATCCATATGTTTTCCTAACGCAGAAAGCCTTACAACTACACTGGTGTTTCGTATTTTGTTTTTGCTAACCATAAGTAGTTACAACCCGTAGTTTGCAGCCATAGTGCATAATGCTACACTAAGTTTACCTCTGCAAATGAAGGGGAGGGGGAATTGGCATATAGGAGGAGGGGGAAGAATAAGTGCCCAAGTGTTTGGGGCACTCCTGATTTTCTAACCACAGTTAGAAGTTTGGGCAGCACAACATCTACACTGAGTCTCTAACATGGTAAAGCCTGGTTGCCAATTCAATAAACCAACTTTGGACTTACCATTCTGCTCCGGTCTTCTGAAGAGGAGGAAGACTTCCTCTCTCGCTGAGGCCCCGGGGATTTCTGCAACGCTTTCACATTGGTGAGGGACCCGGGTAAGGATGCAGGTGGTGTGGCAGACAAACCCGTGGTTGAGCCTGTATTTGAGATTAAAAGTCAAAAGTACTTCTGGATTTCTAAAGACATAAACATTCCCTGCTAGGCTTGTTTCACACAATAGTTAAGTGCAGAAACTGCAGTTAAGATGCAATATTTCCAAACATAAAAGGCATTTAAAAGTAAGAGGTAAGACTTAAGAAACAAGTGCACTTAACATACATTTTCAGGTTGCAGTCCTAGCACACTAAATTCAGTTTTTAAAAATCTGCTGATTTCTGTGGGATTGTGCCTTTAATTCACAAAAGAGGAAAGATCAAGCTTGTTCAACAGCAATCACTGCAAACTGCCCAGTTGCAATTAGTTGCTTAATTATTGGACCAGCTCACATGTTACATTAAGCCATAGTTTAAAACAGACTTTGGTGCGCTACGAGTGAGCAACATGCTGCTCAATGCTCATAAGTTCCCCCAGAGCACCTTCCCTGCTCCTGCCACTCCAAAGATGAAACAATCCAGAGTCTGACCGGTTATCTTGTCTGAACGCTGATTTGTGACTGGTTTTCTGCAAACAAACCACAAGTCGTAAGTGAAGAGCAAGCCTCAATTACAGCTTGTGGTTTGTCTGGAGGACCTTGAGCCCAGGTTTTGACAACTGGACAAGCCAGACTTTGGCTTATTTGGTCCATGGAGCAGAATCAGGAGTGGGAAAGGAGCACCATGGGAACTTTTGAGCAATGTGGACCTGCGTGTTGCTCATTCATATCAAACTACGGATTTAAACTAATGTGAAAGGGGGACTGGGCCTCTAAAATGAGTGCAAAAGGAGTTAAAAGGCTTAAAGATTTAAAGCCCACCTTAATCAAACAACCTGAAGCACATTTTAGATTTTTCTGGGCTGCACGCATCCTTTCTTTAAGCAGGCAAGATGCAAAGTGAAACCGTGTTTGTGCACTTGGTTTGCCTGTTTTTAAAAGAAACTTCAGACTATTTTATATTTTGTTTAATTCTGCTGGCTTTCCTGACTTGCTACCACTAACCCTGTAACAGCCTTCCCCAAACTGACGCCCTCCAGGTGTTTTCGGCTGTGCTGATGAAAGTTGTGATCCCAAGCACTTGGAGGACACTAGATTAGCAAAGGCTGCCCTAGGATAATCTGACTACAGTTGGACATGAAACCAACTTGGACTCAATGGAAAGAATATTAAAAGGGGAGGCCAAGATCCAGAGAACTGTAAAGTGAGTTCTGTGAACCTAACAGGGTCTATGAAATGCTTCCCCTTCTCAGTTGTTAGGCTTCCCCCACCCCACACGCTACATAGCAAACAGCTCTTGAAGCTGAAGGGAGATATTCATGTAAAGAGATGAACACAAGAGCCACAAATAGGCCTAAATCTACACAGCTTTATAATGCCACCTGAAAGGGAACTAATTCAAGCGGCTGAAGCCTATCTTATAACTGGGCAAAAGATGTTACTGGCCTGGACACAAAAGCAAGGAAGCAACACACAGATGGATTTTGTGCTGAATCCTCTACGAGGCTTCAGGGATTCTGAGCCCTGCAATAACACAGTGTGGGGGTCATGGTTTGTTCTGCTGCTGGGCTTGTGAAGAAGCTGTCACAAAAGTAGTATCCAAGCAGAAGTTGCCTTCTGCTCAACTATCTCATTTACCTTAAGCAGCACCCCACCCTAAAAGCATTCAATAGGAGTATTATTACTTACAGAGCACTACTAGTTGGCACTACAAGAATAAAAATGCAATTTGGGTATTGGAATATCAGAAGCTCAGATTTGGAAGAGTAAAATCCATGACAGTACTATTTGAGTTTACAACTGTTTTCTTTTCCCAACAGAACAATTCTGAGTGCAATCCTACGCCTATTTACTTTAGAAGTAGGTCTCACTGTGTTCAAAGGGGCTTACTCCTCACAAGTGCATTTACGACTGCTGCCTTAGCGGACTAAAGGCTTCTCATATTTCCTGCATCCTGTAATGGGTTGGGGGACCTTACAGCTTTGTTCCTAGACGAACAATTTTTCTCATTGAGGGCTCTCATTGTGCTGATGGTTTCAGCTATAACGAATGCCTGGCTTTTCCCTGGTCTTCTATCCAATTTACCTCTCTCCCGCTATCCATGACGCTTCCTTACAGATGTTCCACCTCTGGCTCAGACTGAATAATGCAGCCCAGATTTCTGCATTGAGGCCCTTAACTCCTCTTCTCTGCAGCATCTTTCGGTCTGTCCTCTCAGTCTACACATAACAGTGGTTACTTCTGCTTTTTCTGCACTTGTAGTATCCACCCTTTCCACTCCTATGATGCCGTTCACATCCCATGGTAATGCTGCCTGTTGACTCACAATTTGCTCCTCCCTTGGTATGATTGTAATGAAAAAGCCATGAAGCCTGGGCTGTCATTTCTCCCAAACCCAGGATCGTGGTTGTTTCTCTTGAACAAACCAGTGTGGCAAACCCAAGGCTTGTTTTTGGCTTTGCGTTCATAGTTTATGAGACATCATGCTAAACTAAGTTTTATGCCTTGCTGGTCCTGCTTGTGCCAGGGTAAGAGTGATTGGGCAGGATGCACTAGATTGCTATTCTTTCACAGGGAGTCATTAACCAGGATTTACCTAGCAGGGCCAGTATCTATTGGGATTTGAAAATTTGAAGAAAAAGCTCTGTGTGGGGAAATGAATGTGTAAAATTACCATTGGAAATTGCTATTTTTTTTAACAAACTGCTAACTTGGTCTGAAGTGTCATCTTGACACTTTCCAGGAGTGTTGGATTAAATTTCAAAAGACACAGGACCATCAATACAACAGCAGGAGGGGACTGCTCTTATTCACTTTTTAGAAGTGATATTATCTGTACGGTCATAATTAAAACCTGAAACTTTTGAAAAAGCTGCACTACTTATCACAAAACATAAAACCTTATTTAGACAGTGTTCAATCTGATTTATCTGGTTAAACTATTATGAAAGCTACGAGTGAGATCCAACGTGAGTCATACTCACAAGTAAACTAAATGAAATCAATCGACTCCAATAACAAGTTCATCAATTTCAACAGGTTTACTCCAAGTGTGACTTAGTTGGAGATCAATCTATACATTTTGGAAATTATTTAACAAATGGGGTGAACTGCCTATTGCTTCAAAATGGAAGCATTCAAATTTGTGTGTCGCTGTTTTTGTATGCGTTTTATGGCTGTGCACTGCCGCATCAGAATCATGCTTCAGTTTAACATCTGGGCCACAATCTAGTAGAGAGAGAAAAATATCACTAAGCATGCCCAGTTCTGTGCTAGATTGCAGCCCTGATGCTTTTGCTTAGCAGAATTTGTTTAGAGGCAGCCAAATAGCTACAGACTTAAGTCGAAATGGAACTTGCTTGAGCTTTAGTACACAAACCGAAGCTGATTTCAACTGATGTCTGCAGAGTTCTGTAATATATTCCATTAGTATCCAGATTAGTCACAGCCCCAACATATCATCAGTGAGATAAATTATACTAGAAGGTAATTAATTATATACTGAAGTGAGTTGTCAGCAGAATTGTTAGTACTTTGCAACAGTTCTCTGAAAGACAATATTAATTGAGGAGCTCTATCTCAAGCATTAAGTTGAAACTGACAGTCAAGGAAATTAGGAATATCAGTCTCCTCCAAAATCCTGCAAAGCCTTAACATCAGACAGACAACAAGAATGGTTCTGCTGGAACCCCAGCTAGGGTTGTCAACTTTTCTACCAACCTTCGCTCTTGTGACTTTAAAAGCAGGCTGATCTGTTGCCAAGAAAAGGCTTAACCTGTTAATTTTGGCAGATGCAACCTATTGTTAAAGGTACAGGAGTAGGCTAGGCTGTTTTCTTTGGGGTGGGTGAGGTCAGTTGGCAGCCTTTAATAGAAGAATCTCTTGGAGTGCAAAATAGTTTGTACAGATGTTAAGCGTTTGCAGGACCTCTCCTATCCTCATTTCCATTGCAACTAGAGACCCTTGCAACAAGCAACACTTTTTGAAAGGCAGCATGGAAAAAACATCGTCTCTACAATGCTCTATATCCAACGCAGAGTAATTTGTGAGTTTAATAAGGGTGAGTGAAAATGGGTGAAAAAGCACATTCAAAGCATTCCAGCCAGGCCAAGCCAAAAAAACACAAACAAACCCAAAAAAACAAAAACAAAAAAGACAGTGTTTTGATAAACTCACACACTTACATACACACGCTGTGAGGGTGAGGCACAAACAGCATCTGTGGTTTTTATTTAGTTGGATTTGGGTGAAAACGAGAAAGAAGAGCCCAACTACCTCTGAACACTGGGCCAGGCTCAAAATCAAACACTATCTCACTGGGGACAGAATGGAGGAGGGGACTGGGAGTCCGGGATTGGTATTTCCGAAGGCAGCGCATCAGCTGGTTCATAGGGGCTGTTAGAGAGAAAGAGACGGGCAGGCAGAGACAGGAAGACAGACACACAGAAGAAATGAAAGTCATGGGACATAACTAAGGTGCTTTGACTCCTAGGCATAGATTGTTTATGACTTTGCAGGGGAGAACCCCATATTTCTACTTTTTTGTTTTTTGTTTTAAAAAAACACACAAAAAACCCAAAAACAAAACCCTGAACAGCATACTTTCAAATGGCAGGGAATTGCTACATATTCTCAGATGCCCAGCAGAGAGCTTATTGACCAGAGTTTTAAAATGACATCATAGTACACAACATTTAAATGTTGGGACAAAATGGGCAAAACTGTTCAAAAGCCACAGCTACCTGGACATACACAATAGTCAAAATGGGCAATATAATTAAACTGGTGGGGTTTGCGGTTTTGATTCACACCTCCGAACTCAAAATTGCAAAGTAGTAGCCAGCTTGTCAAATGGAACCAACAGAAGAAGAAGAAGGAAATCCTGGCTGAAACAAGGTTTGTCTTGGAACACTGAAGTCGTAAATTGCAAATGGGATAAAAAGAAAGGGAGGTGGGGGTGGGACATAAAAGAAGCTATGGAAAGCGAAAAGGCCGGCTGATTAGGGACACATGCTCTCCTGCATTATATGGCAAAGCCCATACTGCGCACTCAAATGATGACGAGCCAAGTCAAAGCCTTAATGTGAAGCCTGGCAGCCAGTTAGCAAATGGAGCTCTAACCCAAACAGGTTTTGCAGCAGCAGCAGCTGCCATAAGCACGTTTGTTACAAGGTGGGGAAAGGATATAAACATACAGCGCTGGCTTTTACTCTCAAGAGTTGGACCCATTCATGAGAAGTCAATTCAAGGCTGCTTTACTTTTTTACTGCATGGGAGCATCTTAGCCACCATACCTGTTGTCCTGGATGCATCCAGACTGAGGAGCAGCAGCTAGATGTTTAGTTCTGTATTGGCACATCAGCTCCTATGGTGCACCAGATATACACACCACTCCCTTTTAACTAGCTGCCTAGGCAAGCTCCCTCCGCGGCCCAGTTGAGAGTGGCAGTGTGGCCCTGCCGTCCCTGCTTTCTTCCACCCTTGTCTGATGCGGTGCACTCGCGCAAGCACCCAACAGCCCCTCCTTAATGGCAGCTTTGTCACTTCAAGCCCCTCCTTGAGCATGGAGACAGCAGAAGGGATTCTGAAGGCACAACTTTCATTGGGGCTGTTGCGGGCTCTTCAGACTCCCAAGACCTCCTGCAGAATTTCCTCCGCCTCCTATTCCCCTGTTTCTCTGGCTGCCCCATATCTTCCCCCTCCCCTGGTTGCTGCCACATACATGGCCCAGAACCCCAGAAATCGCTGGCCGTTTACCCTGCATCTTCCTCCTCTGTCCGGTCCCTCAGTCTCCTGCCCATCCCTGACATCCATCTTAAATCGGTATGAATATGCAATCAGGAACAAAATCAATCAATCTATAGGAAAAAGCATACCTTGCTCTCAGACAAGGCACATGTGTCATGGCAGAAGGCTTCCTCAACTCTGACTCTCACAACATAGAAGGGAATGCTTCCTTTAGGCTGTATTTGTAAGGATTGGTTTCAAAAAAATTATATATTGGAAACATTAAAGCCAGGTGCCCTGTTTATTGGGAGCTTGTTTTAAAAATATATCAAAATATGTGTACATCTGATCTATTCTACTACCAAGAAAGTTATGGATATGCTAAGGACTGTTGCATTCTCAACAGTCACATAGATCAAGCCTTCGTGGTTCTGAATACCATGAGGATTTTTCTAGGATGCTCCCATGTTGTAAAATTAGAGAGGAACAGTGCTCAGTATTCTGCTCACAAATTGTGCTGGCTGACAGGCCCCTAGAGAGTCCTTGTTGTGTAGGTGTTCTGGTTGTATATCAAGATAGATGGGTGGCACGTTTGGCCTTTTTAAGATAAAAGGAAGGTAAAGAAGTATAACTTTACTGAAGGTCAGTTACCTCCTACTATTCCCATCTGATAACCCACTTTAGAAAAAAACACAAAAAACACTGGCTACCACTTTGCATGATGTTCTCCCCTCCTCTTCGCCCACAATGGGAGTGAACCACTAAAACTTTTCATCAAACAAACTCAAAGGTCATGGGACAAGCAAGTGCAGCTAAATTTCACTGTTCTGTTTACATTTCTCTCTGTGTCTGTATTTTGCAAAAGAAGGTGGAACAAAGGGGAGGGGGCAAAGCAATGCATTTTTTATGCAAGAGAACAAAATCACTTACCTCCCTCTCCTCGCAACCCTTGATCTCTAATCAACTCCTACAAATCAAAAACAAAGCTGTATGCATCTTATTAATGCATTAATTCAGTTGCTTGTCATAATTACGGTGATATAACACAAATATAAGAAATGTCAACTGAAAACAGTTGCATAGATAAAGAAGATCTCCTGTCCACAAAATGGTCACTTGCCTGCCAATACCTGTCCACGCATAGGGCCATTTGAACTTTGCTGGGTATGGCAAGCTAAATGAATTAGCAAATAGGGTCAAGAAGCATCGGGGGAAAGACGCCAGAGTCATGTTCTGCTCTAACAGATAGTCTTAAAATATTGTTCAAAAAGAGCAAGGGAAAATGAAGACTATTGATTGACACTACAAGGAGAATGATGATCATCAATTAGCAGTGTTAAATAGGCAAGGCGTTAAGTTTATGGACCACTTCCACTATGAACAAATAGCAAGCTTCTGAGTTAATACAGATTCATCAAGCAAAATAGAAGTGGCAACTAATTCTGTTTTGGGATGTCCTAGGAGAATAGCATGAGGTAATACCAATGGATTGCAGGCGCCTGTATGCTCAGGGCTATATTCAACGTCATGCCAGTGGATGTGATGGCCCTTCCTCTCCTCCCACTACCCCCCAAAGCAGATTTTGAGGATGTGCAAGGGGCTGCAGGTAGAAGGAGTGGAAAGGGAAGTCCATTGTGAAACTAGATCACCATGGTTGGCTGTCATCCACAGTAATTTTTAGCTGCTGCGGACCGCACACACAAGATCTCACTACCTACCTTGGACTTTGTATTAGACAAATTTAAATAATTAGGGACAAAATGTTCCAGTCAAAAATTTGTTCAGGCCATGAACATGCACACAGCATGTATTAGAACACATTAGAACACATTCACCTGTTCCATTTAGTAACAACCACCAAGCTGTAATCAAAGGGTGTGAAATAGTTGGAAATCACATAGTGTGAAATCAACATCGTAATTTTTTATTTTTACCCAGCCATGGCAGCCAAGCTGGGAAAGGATTATTTTTTCTGTATTTATCCCTCCCCATTCTGAAGGCTCTGGGTGGGTAACGAACAATAACGTCTCACCCATTTATGTAGTCATGGACACAGTCTGCCAGACTATCACAGGGTTGGCTGTCACTTAAATAGAATATGTGAACTTGCCCATAACACCAATTCCTGATATTATACATGGGGACTGAAAACTCAGGCAGCATGATGTATTAAGATCCATCACTGTGTATGTGAGTTTGATCATCAGAGATAACGCAATGCATGGCTCAGAATCTGCAGCTGATTAACAAATATCCCTTTCCTTCTCCTCCAAAGAGTTCAAGAATGGGCAGACACACACACACAGTTAAAAGACAGTCTTAATTCTCTTTCCAACCCTATACACCCACTTGTTCCTCCACCCTTGGAAGAACAGGAGGTAGCGGCAAGAAGGCTCTGCTACATAAGCTGGGAGAAAGGACTTATCCAGGTTATCAAGTCCTATGGCCCGTTGTTTGCCCACTCCTTCCTCAAGTAGCATAGCAAAGGAAAAGAAATGTTCTGCTTCTAAAGACCAAGCTTAGGTGGCAACTTACATCAATGTTGACAGGCTCTATAGTATTGATGTGCACGTTTGGGGCAGATGAGGAACGGTCTCGTTGACCAAACTGATTCCGATGGTCTTCGTCTGCTGGTCGGAAAGGCTGGGGTATTGGAATGGATTTTGAAGGAGAAGGACCAGGGAGAACTGATGGGCTGAGAAAGTCAAGGCATAAAAAAGGTTAAGGTCTGCCAGGATCCCTAGTTATTGCAGAGAAGATGCAACTGGAACCATCTCCACCCACTTGAATCTATTTGCCCGCTGAGATTTATTTTATTTAATTTATATACCACCTGGAGGTCTCAGGGTGGTTCACAGAAAAGATCACAATATATAAAATCAAAATAAGAACAATAACCCAATAACCCCCCCCCCCAAAAAAAAGAGCCACATTTTAAAAGGGTATAGGCTGTCAATCAGGTCAACCAAAGGCCTGGTTAAAAAGGAACGTTTTTGCCTGGCGCCTAAAGGTGTATAACGAAAGTGCCAGGCGAACTTCCTTAGGGAGAGCATTCCACAGATGGGGAGCCGCTGGAGAGAAGGCCTGTTCTTGTGTTGCCACCCTCTGGACCTCTTGAGGAGGCGGCACACGAAGGAGGGTCTCAGAAGATGATCTCAGGGTCTGCATAGGTTCATATGGAAAGAGGCGGTCCTTGAGGTGTTGCAGTCCTTTGCCGTTTAAAGGCTTTACAGGTCAAAACCAGCACTTTGAATTGGCCCCGGAAACTAATTGGTAGCCAGTGCAGTCGGACCAGGATTGGTGTAATATGCTCAAACCGTCTTGTTCCAGTGAGCAACCCGGCTGCTTAATTCTGCACTAGCTGAAGTTTCCAAGCAGTCTTCAGAGGCAGCCCTACGTATAATATACTGCAGTAATATATTGTGTGGCTCTTCTATGCCCCCTGCCACCTTCTGACGTAAGCCTGGCCTCAGCATCTGACACTTTGGGCAGCTGCCAAGATCTGGTGGGTGCTGATCTTGGCACAAGATGGTCCCTACCCACTTTTCTGCCCCCCCCAACATCCTAGGATCAGTTTTTATATTGCTTGGTGCAAGGCTAAGACATCCACAGTCTGGAGTGATTCTGTACCAGAGCATTGCAAATCTAAAATGGTGGGCACACCATGGCTGTCTGCGCTTCAGACAACTGCTACAAATCCTGCCCCAACCCTGGCTAATATCACAGAATACGGAACTGGCTTCCTTGGTTGGCTTCTCTTCACCTGTATTTTGTCCTCAGCTGAAGACCAAATCTGTGGCTCTCTACTACTTTAAATGCTTTGTAAGAACTTTGTTTTGTTACTTCTTTTTTTCCACAGACTTCAGCTAGTAAGACAACTGTGACTGTTCCTGGACTGGGGGGCAGCATAACCACAGCGGTTCAGGCATCGGTAGCTTAAAGATAGGACTACTACAATGCCACTCTGCTGGGGCTTCCCTTGTGCTCAGTCTGGAAACGGCAAGTTAGTGCAACATGTTGCAGTACAATCACTTATAGGAGTGAGTGTCAGCAGATTACACCTGTGCTCAAAGATCTGCACTAGTTGCCAGATCACCACTGGTCCAAGTTCAAGGGGTTACCATTGGTATATAAAGCCCTTAACAGGTTGGGACCAGTTTACTTCAGGTATAACTCTGATGCGCAGAACTTGCACTTCTAAAAGTGCATCACAATCTTCATTCTACATTTGTCAAGAGTCAGACATTTAGTGCTTGGAAACACCTTGCCAACTGATATTAGGCAAGCCCCATCACTGTATTCTTTCAGACATCTACTTAAAATGTTTCTGTTTTTATTCAAGTGCATGCTTGGTTACAGGTGCTGTTGTATTTCGTTGTTTTTAGCAGTTTTAAAACGTTTCAGATATTTTGCTGTTGTTTTTAAGCCACATTTTCATTTCAGAGATGTTTGCTGCCCTGGGCTCCAATGGGTGGAAGGGTGGGACGTAAATTTGATAAAGACAATAAATAAAAGAATTATTTTTTACTCTGGAGTGTGCTTTTTTATAAATTGTTTTACTGACTATTTAGGCGAGTCAACTTGAACACTTCTTTGGAAATGGAAAGGTAGGATAGAAATTTACCTCAAAATAAGTCTACAAACACACACACAACACCATTCATGGTGTCCAAAATGATGAACCAGAAAGATGAATGATGGCATCAGCCCTGCACCTCAAATATGGACCCTATTAGGGTACATGCAAAATGTTAAGTAAAGACACAGTTGCAAAAGGTTTGTATGAGAGGGCAGGCCTATCACATACAGAAGTACATACCTAAGCTAAACACTGTGAAGTGCTAACCAGTTTTCTGTGGTGTCCGGATCTGGAATTGAGGTTAACTAAAACCAGAAAGAAATGCTTCCAAAATTGTCCTCCTGGCTAAGGAGGAGGAGGAGACAGAGGTGAAGCATTCCTGAACTTCCCAGTGGTTCATGCGTGTCATGTTAAACTGTGATTTGTGAACACAGCCATTGTGTCAGGGGAGCAATCTACTCACAAACAAAACTTGGGAAGGAAAAGCACTCAAGCTCCACTTTGGGCCAATGTAGAATGCTACAATAGCAACCTCCCAACAACTTCTGCTTATACAAATCAGATCCCTTTGAAAGAAAAGAGAGGTTTCCCATGCCAAAGCTGACCTTTGTTGCGCAAACTGTTTAAGCCGAAGCATCTAGAGCAAGCAGTAAACAGCAGTACTGTAACCGAGGCCAGAACAAACAGATGAGTAAGGATGAATAAATGCTTCACAAAGTTTTCCTCATTATTATCATCGTTATTTTCTTAAGCCCTTGTATAAAAATCACTTAATTTCTATTCATTATATTGATATAAATGAGTGTAGACACCCAGTTCCCCTCCTCCTGAATCCCAAGCCTCCCTTTCAGAAACTACAAACCCACATTATTATTAGAAAAGCAGGATTTAAGAGCATACCCAGGCGAATCTGAGGGGGCCACTGAAGTGTATGATCCGGATACTGGGGTCGTCTCTAAGGAGGCCTCCTCTTGAGGTATTGGGTGATGTTCAAAGAACTTGGAGACAAACAGCAAACTGTGAGGCAAAAACAAAGAAAAACCTAACTTGGGCAAGACCCAGAAGTTTCACAACGTAAAACGTATGAGGAAGAAAACATCATAGGTTAAATTACATGTTTCCAAGAGAAAAGACGTTGAAAGGTGACACTACAGTTTTGTAACAGTAAAGCAGGAAAGTCAAATGTCAGAGATTTGAAACATTTTATTTAGATCAGTTCTTAGCATTGTAATATAATGGCAGGACACTTACTTCTGTGAGGTGTAAGCTGTGTCCTGCTTTTCCATGTATTGCAATGCTTCACTTCCAACAGGGATTTTGCTATAAAAAAGGGGGGGCAGCTCCCTGTCCAGTTATTCCAGTACTCCCCAAAACATTCTGGCACATTTGCCACTATAATAAACTTAAAATTGCATTTCCCCACCTCCTCTTCCTATCAGGAGAACACAATGTGACATCACCACAACCTGGCTAAGTACGCCGGATTATTTGGAGGGGGAAAAGGGGCTGGCTTCAAACAGGGCTGCCATTTTGGGCCTGTGGCCCAAAGCATAACATCTACGTTCTACACTAACATACAGTCAATTCTTTGAAATGGTATTCAAGCAATATTAAGAAGCGGCTTCTAAATGCAGACAAGCAATTCAGAAGTCGTTTCTCAAAAATATGGAGATAAGCAAGAAGCAAATCTGTTCGGAAACAATACATTTCAAAGATCTCTGCCATATGAGCATTTTTAAAATGGTTTCACCAATCTCTGATCATTAAATAAGAGAAAAGCCTCGTGTAGTAGTTTATCAATGCTTGGGCCATAGGCTGTTCACATATAAGGTGGATTGGGTACAGTACACAAACCAGTAGTATAAAATACTGCATAAAATCTCGTTACTACCTAGAATCATGTATAAAACCCACATCTTAAAAATTCTGCATAAATATATATATGTAGTATATATAACACATGTTGAAAGGGTGAAATTTAATACAGATTTTTTTAAAAAAAATAGCCATTAAGAACAATTATGGCTAAATAAGAACATCCTCAAAGTAGTCGACTGCAATCTCTTTAATAACTCATCCGGATTTTCACTGCTGCTAGGCCAAAAAGAGAGACTTTGTGGGTTACCCTACAGTCAGTATCCAACAAAAGGTAGAAAACCTTTTGTGAAATGGTATTATAGATGGGGCATAAAAACTGCTACTGAAAGTTTTGTTTTCCAACTTGACAGCAACAAAACAAGTAGTCAGTTACTTTATGAGGATAATTTGATTTCATTTTCTATAGTCAAGTACAAGAGTCTACATATGAATATGAGGCACAATCCGTCCCCTTTGGGACCAAAGTATAGTAGCTGAACTGGTTTTTAAAGCTTGTATTTTATTCTTTAAGAAATCAAAACCCTGTGAGATCTCCCACCACACTTTTACTGCCTTAGACTCCTTTCTTGAACTTTTGAATTACTTTTGCCAAAGATAATCCTAGTTCACACAGAAAGCTTCAAGGGACAACCAACGGCTTGGTCCTATTGTGCCAGCAAAGAAAAACAGTGGCTACGGTGCAAAGACTCATGGGCAGACACCCTACCGCATAACTTGGCCTACACTGCATTTAAAGCACAGGCACATTATACTGCGATAACTGTGACTGTCAGACTGTGTAGGTCATGCTTAAAGCTTTCATTTATGGGCTCTCTGGAGCACAGGGCATACTAGCCACATTTGTCTAATTCTGTGGGAGAGGCAGCCTAGGAGGAGAGACGTCCCCTTTGCATACAAAGGACACCACCGTGGCAATATCAGTACAATACACTCGTGTGCTGTTGTGACCGCTTATGTGTGCAGATTCAGAAAAAGAGCATTTAAACCGCAGAGGAGTTTTGATTACTTACTCAAGCTGATCATAATTCACGCACATCAACGGCACCTCTGTACTACAACGCTGGTGAAATTTGTATCCACAGGTCTGACAACGGAACCCCTGGAAAAGCAGCTTTCGACAGAAGTCGCAGAACGCTAAAGTGAAGAACGTCTTTCGTACCTATGCCATCAAGAAAGCAGGCATGAGAAACAAGGCCCTCTCGCGCCCGCTAAAACTGCAATTTCATCTTGTCGGAAAAGGGCCGATTCAAGCTCCTTTTAAGTTACATCGAAGGTATTACTCTAAAAGCCCTATGACCGAAAAGAGAGCTGTAATCCTGACAAACGGTTTGCTAATTTAACTGACAGAAGAACCCCCACAGTTCTGTTGTGTGTAATAATAATTTAGTGCATATTAAGTGCAATACAAATCCTTTAATACACATTTGTGTTTACAAAGCAGTAACTCAATTTTCATTGATGCCTGGAGATCTGCCCCTTCTTGTTTTGCGCCTGCCTTCATGCAACTTTACATTTCACGTTTCTATGGCAATTTTACCAAGAAACAGTTTATGAAAGAAAATGGCTCCTGAGTTTTCAAACAGAGAACCATCACACGTGCAAGGTAACCTAGTGAAAACTGTCTTCCTTCTGGAGCAGTTTGTGAAGAGTAGATAAAGGTAAAGGGACCCCTGATCATTAGGTCCAGTCGTGGCCCACTCTGGGGTTGCGGCGCTCATCTCGCTTTATTGGCCGAGGGAGCCGGTGTACAGCTTCCAGGTCATGTGGCCAGCATAACTAAGCCGCTTCTGGTGAACCAGAGCAGCGCACGGAAACACCATTTACCTTCCCGCCAGAGCGGTACCTATTTATCTACTTGCACTTTGGCGTGCTTTCAAACGGCTAGGTTGGCAAGAGCTGGGACCAAACAACGGGAGCTCACCCCATCGCGGGGACTCGAACCACCGACCTTCCAATCGGCAAGCCCAAGGCTCTGTGGTTTAACCCATAGCGCCACCCGAGTCCCTTGTGAAGAGTAAGGTCCATGTCAATGATATAATACCATACCAGGCAAAGCCTCCCCATTTCTAGCTACACAAGGGGAGCAGAGAGCTCCCTGCTCTTGCAGAGTTCCACCTACCATAGCTAGCAACTAACATTTGCACATTTGCCAAGTTCTATCTAAGCTCTGGGCACTGTTTTTGTTTTTTATCAAACAATAAAATGAGGGTGCGTTTCTTTTAAAAATCATTATAGCTGAAGTACTCAAGTAGAAAAGTTATATCAAAGGTTTAGAGATCTGCACATTTTATTTAGCAGAATCTGAAAAGATTTAAAATTGGTAGAATGCGAAAGGCAGGTTAGGCAGCAATGTCTACTTAAAGCAAATAAAATAGACAAAATACTTTAAGAGGATGCTATCCAGAGCATTTTTATGCAACTATCCTCCTTGGGTTCCAGTGAATGAAACAAAAATGAAGTACCAAAGCTGTATTTTTAAGATGGCCTCTCCATATAATAAACCTAAGACACAGAAGTCCTTTGGTGAAAAAGCCATCCAGATAATTTGCTTCCACCAGATTCCACTTAAATTGTCATTCCTTAGGTCAGGTTGTCTCTCAGCGCTGGCATCACTGATGCGACCAGCACAACTCTGTAACAGGTTTATTAGTTGCCTGCTGGTGTGCAGCAAGCAGGAGATCACCAAATACATTCTTTTCATAACACAATAATATATAACAAGCAGATTTTGCTGCTCTTTCATGCTCCGGTGTATTTAAAAATCTGGTTCACATAGGCATTTTATTAAATTCCCCATGAGAATGCTGCTATTTCTAAAGAGCCACACTTTATTTAATGACAAGTAAATTGCTCTCAATCATGGACAATTTACATAATTCTTCCTGCAATTATGGCTTCAGCCTTGAGATTACAATGATATGGAAGCAGACTGCATGATTAAAATAAGCATGCAAAACGAACTAAAGGTCATCTCGTCCAGATCCCACTTTAAAACAAGATTCTAAATACATTTGAGCCATTGATTTACCCTCATCATACAGATTACGCTTATAGTCTCACCATTATTCACCTAGAAGTACTGTAGATTCATCTGGAGGTAGAACCTCCACTCAGCAATAAGTACAACGTTGCATACAATTCACCCCAATCTGCATTTCACAATGTGGCTTAACCAGCCTTGTAAGAAGATACTTGTCTGCTTGCCTGTGGTGAGTGAGAATTGCCTCTAGGAGACTAGGAAGACAAACTTGTATATGGGGGAAAGTTGTTTTTTAATATACTGAGTTTGCTGAAATGTACAAATGGCTATCAGGTGTGTACACATGTAAGAAGGTGGCTGTAGCGAAGGGGAAATGTGTTGTATAAAACACGAATATTCTACTCAAAAGCAGCAGCTGTCTATGCCCATGGCACAGCAATTTATTCTGTGAAAACAATTTTTTAATTTATTTCATTTATATATTGCCCTCCAGCAGAGAATTCCAAGGCAGTTTACAGTAAAAAACCCCCACAAAAATACATAACTGTTTAAAAGGCCATAGACCGTTTAATTAGCCAAAGTCCTGGGAGAAGAGGAATGTTTTCCCTTGGCGCCTAAAGATACATAATGAAGGCACTAGGCGAGCTTCCCTGGGGAGGGCATTCCAGAAACAGGGAGCCACTGCAGAAAAGGCCCATTCTCGTGCTGCCAATTTTTCTTTTCAGAACATAATAAAACCAGATGCAACACCAGCAGGCGTTGTAGGAAAATACTTACAAAGTTGTGTGTCGTAAGAGGTACATTCTCCAAGACTTCCACATGCAGTTCTTCGCCTGTGAGCCAGGAAATGTCTGTATCCCAGCCAATGGGCTTTTTCTCCCTGCAGTGCAAATGAACTCCATGAGCAGATATGGGGGGCGGGTGGAGGACAGTAGTTCGGATTTGTTTTTAAGCCTTCCGTTGCTAGAAGCTTCAAATGGCAAGAAGTTAGCATGGATTTATCACAATTAACTGTGCTGCAAATTACAAGATAGAGACTTAACTCTCTCCCGCAATTCAGATCACAAGATCTAATGCAGGAATGAAGAACTTTTTGCCCTGCAGATGTTATGGCTACAGCTCCCATCCCACTTGCTGATGGTCATGTCAGATAGGGCTGCTAGAAGCTGGAGACCAACAACATCTGGAGGGCCACAAATCTCCCATCCCTGATACACAGCATTAAAGAATGGATGGCTCTTGAGTTCCAGAACCTAAAGTAAACCTCATTGTTTTGCTAGGTAAAGAATATTTCTCGGGTATTTGCCTCCACTATTTAAAAAGTCTACAAAAAGTTTAGTTAATGAGAAGGGCACAGTTTATACAGAAAAACCAAAGGGAAGCAACTGGGAAGCTGCTAACTATCTACTATATATTTTCTGAAGTTGTTTGTATGCATTAGGACACCTCTTCAGATGCCATAGCCAAATATTGAATGATAATTTGTGAGATCAAGAAGCAGGTTTTCTCCTATGTTTGGATACAAACGGGTACTGTTTTGAATCAAGATGGTGGACTGAACCTTTCAAAACTGCACATATGTTTTTGGTTTCTTAGAAACACTGTGAAACACGGGGTACAAGGCTGCTAGTATACAAGAGAGAGCACTGTGAGCAAATCTACTAGCAGGAACAAAGAAAAGGATTCTCTCCCACCTTCAACCCACAACCACTGCTAAGGGGCATAGAGTGAGATTTTGCCTATGCTTTGGAAAACAATTTGTTTAAAATATGAAGTGAATTGTTTTTATCTTGATTATTCATGCACTTAAAACACCCAGAAAGAATCACTTTAGCAATCATTCCCTCTTCAACTCCTACCCCAAACCATACTACATACAAACCATACCCATCCTGTATTCGGTAAACTGCACAGCACTCTGGGATGAGACCTCTCATCATCAAAGCTTTCTTTAAACTGTCACGGACTGTAACTCCACATCTTGCTGGAACCTGCGAAATCAAAATCAAACCATTAGCACTACTTCAGCTTAATGTATTTCTGAAGCCTTAAAAGCATGCTGCAGTTTACAAGTGGATCCATGTGAGCATCTACTTCAGAGGTCCGGCTCTGGGTGCCCCCAACATCAAATAAAGAGAGATGGCAACCAGAAAGAGAAAGAGAAAGAGAAAGAGAAAGAGAAAGAGAAAGAGAGAGGGGCTTCTCAGTTGTGAAATATCCTCCCTAGCAAGACTCACCTGTTGTTTTGGGTACCAGATAAGGTATTTTAAAAAATTCTCCTAGCAGTCTATAAACTGTGATTTTAAAGTTTTGAATTGTAACCCACTGTTTACATGCTGATGATTTTTGGCCATGCTGTGAATCTGTCTTGTCTTGAAAGGTTTTGTAAATCATGCAGAGATGGTTATTGGGCAGCCTCAATCAATGCTGTAAATAAATAAAAGCTCTACTGAACCTGACTGGCTGGTGTTCAATGGTATACTGCCTCTAAATATGGACCATCCATCTAGCTATCACAGCTGTTGATAGACCCTTCACAAATTAGTCTAAACCAGGGATGAGAACCTGCGGTCCTCTGTATGTTTTTGGTCAACAACAATGCCTGTCACCCCGAACACTGGCTCTGCTGGCTGGGGCTGACGAGAGTTGGAGGTGAGCAACATCCGGAGGGTCACAGGTTGCCCTTGTGATATGATAGCCATGTTCAAATATATAAAAGGATGTCACATAGAGGAGGGAGAAAGGTTGTTTTCTGCTGCTCCAGAGAAGCAAACACGGAGCAATGGATCCAAACTACAAGAAAGAAGATTCCACCTAAACATTAGGAAGAACTTCCTGACAGTAAGAGCTGTTCGACAGTGGAATTTGCTGCCAAGGAGTGTGGTGGAGTCTCCTTCTTTGGAGGTCTTTAAGCAGAGGCTTGACAACCATATGTCAGGAGTGCTCTGATGGTGTTTCCTGCTTGGCAGGGGGTTGGAATCGATGGCCCTTGTGGTCTCTTCCAACTCTATGATTCTATGATTCTCTGCTCTAAACCCTTTCCAAGGGGTCTAAGGTTGTAGTTATCAGCACGTTTTAGGGCAGTGGATTCATGTTTCCATTGGGTAATACATGAAGGAATGCTTCTCTAACTCCTGCTCTGCCCTTTGGTGTGGGCTGAGTTTAGCTGCTGCCTCAAAACTGCCAGGAAAAGAGGATGAGTCCTCCCCACCTGACCCCCATTATATTATTAATAAAATTTATTATTATTATTATTATTATTATTATTATTATTACTACTACTACTACTACTACTATTATTATATACCCTGCTTTTCCCCCTGATGGGACTCAAGGTGGCTTCCAGATAAAAACAAGAACTGCTAAAAACATAGAAAAGCCAATCATTATGGGTTGAGTGAGTTCTAGTTGATGCCCCACTCATTTTTGTTTCCAACAAGGAAGGACTAAGGGACTTCTAGCTACTTAATGCCTCAGAAGTTCTTAGTGGTGCTGCTGCCTCATACAGCACCAGGGAAAACCAAGTACAATGGCAGTATATGAATTCTGAACAATCCTGGCTTCATCTGGTCTCCATCTGGTCACCATTTCTGTTCCTCTACCAGATCTGAGTACAGTGGTACCTTGGTTCCCAAACGGCTTAGTTGTTGAACAAATCGGCTCCCAAACGTTGCAAACTTTGAAGTAAATGTTCCAGTTTGCAAACGTTTTTCATAAGCTGAACGTCCAATACAGCTTCTGCTTGAGTGCAGGAAGCATTTGCAGCCAACCGGAAGCCACACCTTGGTTTTCGAACAGTTTGGGAATCGAACAGACTCCCGGAACGGATTAAGTTTGAGAACCAAGGTACCACTGTATTCTATTTTCAGAATCTTTTTTAAAATGCTTAGAGCACCTTTGGGGGTTATAAAATGGGATATAAGTATTCTGCAATAAGTAAATGAATGTTATTGGTCATAAATACAATTTTTCTGAAGTTCTTTGCCTCTTCCCAATGTGCACCCATGAAGAAAAGTTGTACGGTTGACATTTAATGTGACCATTTTCAAATTCCTTTCAGGTAAGCTCACACTGCCCTCTCTTTTTCTTAAGTCATGAAGGGACAGCAGAACAGTTTATACCCAAGTACTGACAACTGTTGTTAAGAAGGAGCCTGGTCACCACTGGCAACTGGAAGCTGTCCTCAGGTAACCATGTGGTGACTCAGAGCCCCTTATTTATAGCACATTCCCAAGAAGTACAACACTTTAAAAAAAAATCATCTAAACATGGTCATTTCTGCATTGATTGGCCTCTGCAATTACCCATCTTAGTCAGCGCCCAGTCAGAAGCCTCTTGCAAAGCCTTTTGCAAGAGAGTACTGCTGCTTGTATACTTTCCGTGCCTAATAAATACTCAATAAATTAAGCTAAGTTAGCAGTTTGTTAGGCTTGACACATGTTTCTTCGGAAGGAGATCTTATCTCTTCCTGTTTATATTTTCCTTGCTCCGAGCTTGAGTCATAGAGCTAAGTGTTCATGTGCTCACTGGCTAGTTGCATCTTCTTAAGCAGCAGCATGTCTGAACTATCTTATTAAGAGAAAACAGTCTCAAAATTGCCTTTGTATGAAGTCTGAGAACTATGCAAAATTAACCATCGTCATCTTTACATTCATGTCCTGTTGGTGTACATGGGGCTCCCAGGCAGTCACTGATCCAGGCCCAGGTCTACATTGCTTTAAGAAAAGTGGTGGCGTCACCTGCCTTCAGACTATATACTGGACTATTCCATCAGAGAATGAGGAGCTTGAGTAATGCTTAGAGGCCATCTCGTCCTTCTTGGGCTTAGCCCTGGCAGTTAAAAATAAAGGCTTGGGCCTAAGTTCTAGCAAACCCTGGCTCAACATAAAGAAGGGTGGAGGCATGTATCCTTGCAAAGTGCTGCACAGCTTTCTTGTAAATAGGCGCCTGCCAGTTTAGGCAAAAAGAAATTTGCTTGGTCTTTGGTCAATCAGAATCTGAAGGAAAGTGAGGAAAGAAAAGCTCCTCTGATTCCTCCCCCCCCCCCTGTATTTTTCTTTGTGCTGCTTCAAAGAAACATCATGGGGTTTCTTTTTTAAAAAGTTCCCATCTTTTAGGCTTTTTCTAAACGCTATTTTGCAATCCCAGAAGAGGTCTTTTTTAAACATACACAGCAACAACAGTGTTTTCTTAAGCCTGAGGCCAGAATTCCCTGCATCAAAGCGATTTTAAAATTTAAACATGGCAGGATAGTAACTTGCAAGGCTACATTTACTTCATCATTCCATCAATATGCCCTTTTGGACTGATATGCTCTGATGAATTTTGACCAACTCTCACCCAGTATCTGGTGCAATCTCCTGCTGACTACAACCATCTCTAGAGGAGGAAAACTAGAGATGGAAATATGTGGTTGAGATAATATGCCCGCCTCAATTCCCTCATTCTCTGATGCCTAAACCGCACAGTAGCATGCGCTAACTGCAAACCTCATGGGGAGAGGTTCCTGGCCTGCAAATTCACCAATCTGAGAGGATCTCAAAATTAAGGCTTCGATTCTATGTATATTTACAAGGAAGTAAGCGCTCCTGAAATTTGTAGGACTCTCTTCCAAGTAAAACACGCATAGGATCCAGCTGTAAGAAGTTTATTTAGGATGCACAGGTCCAATGTAAGAGAAATTTCTCCAGTCCGGTGGGCTTTCAGAAATCTACCTCTGAGAGAGGATTGCATACATATACTTGGCAAGGCAAGTAAAGTGTGGAGCACATGCTGCAGATATCTCCCATCCTGCACCGGGCAGTTAACAAATACAAAGGATGGAGGAAGTTTCGGCTACTTGAGACAGCTTCTGTGGGACTGTCTTGAATTCCACACCCTCTGTTTACATTCATCCAAACCAGGTTGCGTATGCACCAGAAAACGCACAATACAGTGGTACCTCTGGTTACGAACTTAATTAGTTCTTAACCTGAAACCGTTCTTAACCTGAGGTACTACTTTAGCTAATGGGGCCTCCCCCCGCTGCCGCGTGATTTCTGTTCCCATCTTGAGGTAAAGTTCTTAACCCGAGGTACTACTTCCGGGTTAGCAGAGTCTGTAACCCGAAGTGTTTGTAACCCGACGTACCACTGTACCTTAGAAAGCTAGAAAATCAAAATTGGGTCCTACAAAATAGATTCCTATAGCAAAACAGGACTCTTCTTCACAGACTTTCCTCAGAGATAGGTATCCATCTTGTGTTCCATTTGCTCTGTTCTTACCACCCGCCCCTTGCAAATTCATGATTCAGCTGCTACAACAACGGCCAGCTGGTCACCCCTCGGAGGAGGGAATCCTGGCTTGGGACCAGCAGCAAGAGTAGGGATATATGCAATATTAAAGAGACAGCACGACAGGGGTTGTTGCATGTGCTTTTCCCCTTATGAACTATATTCCCCAAAGCTTTTTCTATGCTGAAGTGTTAGGTCTATTACATAGTGCAATTACACAGCAACCTCAGCTCACCCTGTGTAGCCAGCTGTAATTTCTTTGGGCACATGTGTTTTAATTAACGTAACGTAGGAGACCAACTTTCCTCATTGCCTTATTTTTTTGAAAAAAGTCTCTTTATGTTACGACGGTGTGCTGCTCAGAATCTTTTGAAGCACGTCTGTAATTAGACAGAAGTTCAGGAGATGTACAGAAGCTGTAGTGCGTGATAGTTGCCTAGTCAAATCTCAGAAGTCAGAGACAGATCTGAGCAAGATTCCCAGGGACTGGAAAACAAGGTTTTGATTCCCCAGATAACACTCTGCCACTTCCCACAACCAGCAAAATATTTCCCGCATGAGTAGCTAAGAACCATACAGGCTCTTAGATGCATAAAGTGACTTCTGCAAACAAATCTTGCTCAACTTTATTAATCTCCCTACTAGGATACTTCTCATATTTAAAAGCAATATATTCTTGAAAGCAGGTTAGGTTACTAAGGCAATCCACAAAGCATCTTTGCTATAACCTATCTATTAAAAATTGAAACCAGAAAAAGAAACCCAAGCATATTGTTTAAAAGAAGAGACACTTGATATTAAATTAGAAATATTTTGTTAAAATCTACTATGTAGGAATGAACTACTGAGAATTAAAACCAACAGGTGTCAAACCAGTAAAAATGGGGTTTCAATCCTGTAATCACATAGCTGGGAGTAACTATCACTGAACTCAGCCTTAATTTTGAGCAGACATATATTAGATTGCACCATTAAGATTGCTAAGTAACACTGGTTTCACTAAGAGCAGAAGACTGCAGCCTTCGACATACACAATATTGCAGTTAAGCACATGCTTAAATCTCTCTCACTGAAAGCAATCAGAACTAAAAGTCCTTTGTCTTCACTAAGATTTTACCCTATAACTGAAATTAAACTCTAAGTGGCCCTAAACTCAATTTCCTTTCCCCCCAGCCATGCCCCTCCTATTTTGTTCCTTCATTTTTGTCTTGTCTCCGCTCTTAAAATACCACTGTTTTCCTTGTCTGAACCATTGGTAATTACAGTTTCAGCTTGTCACCTCACATCTTTTATGTAGCCTGCCCCCCCAAAAAGGAAGCACGTCTTCACTCTTCTCTCATTCCTAGCCTTCATGGTCTCCTTGGCAACAATAAGCCTTAAATGTGCACTAGAAAATTTCTAGAAAGGGGGATGGATTAGCAATGTGCATTCTCTGTGTACCAAAAGCAGGTCCAGTGTCACAGTCTAGGATCTTTTTTTAAAAAGCCTACAGTATTTTATTTTGTGCAAATGACTCTTCCCCACCACCCATGACCCTAGAAGGATAACCCTGTTCAATCCACCTTACCACAGTGGTACCTTGGATGTCAAACGGAATCTGTTCCGGAAGCTTGTTCGACTTCCAAAGCGTTTGGAAACCAAGGTTCAGCTTCCAATTGGCTGCAGGAAGATCCTGCAGCCAATCAGAAGCCGCTGAAGCTGCATCGGGCGTTCGAGTTCCAAAGAACGTTTGCAAACCGGAACACTCGCTTCTGGGTTTGCGGCATTCGGGAGCCAAAATGTTTCAATCGCAAGGCATTCGTCAACCAAGGTACGACTGTATGCCCGTCTTTACTTGCTCTGTTAAAGTTCACCTGTGTCCAGGAACCTCTCTCCCTTCTTCCAACTCCCTCGCACTATACTGCACCCTACTGTCTAAAACAATTTCTTGTGCGCTATGCAAAAGCTCATCTCCCCACCAAACTTCAAGAATTCTCCAACACTGGTGAGCCCTTCCCTGCCCAATTCTTACTGCCTGTCTACGCATTTGTTTTCCATGTTCCTCCTCCATTTGACTTTCTTGGGCTCCTTGAGAAGAATCATGGGCTGCAAAGCTGCTCTGTTTGCAGAAAGGCCCCATGTGCTGGGAGGAGGAGTTTGCTGGGCCAGCATTCTCCTCTCGTTTGCCACTCAGCGATGACAGCTTCAGCCACAAGGCCCCCAATTCCTCATTTCTGCTCCTGGCAGGCACGGCACACATAAGTGGAACCTCGGGCGCTTCATGCGCTAAAGGGAGGAGCAGATGGCTTCAGGTTCTTCTGTGCCATCGTGTACTGCTGTGCACACAACATGGCTGCAGCCCAACTACCCAGCCCATTGCGCATGGAGAGCGCAAACACATTCCAAGTCATTTCTACATTCTGTACAGCATGTGGCACATACTTGGCATTAAAAACCACTGAACAGAAGTAATCCTCCCCACTCTCATAAAAGAGGTTGCGTCTCACAAGAACAGCAGCAGCAAAATAATCCTGTGTTGTGACTCTTCGATTGCATTTGGTAGTCAAGCTCTGCGTTCAGGATCCCTCAAATAAAACACTTTGCTTACTCCACTACTTAGTGTATCATGCTGTGGCAATGTATAAGGCAGGGGTTGTCAACCTGGTCCCTACCGCCCAGTAGTGGGCATTTCAGGATTCTAGGTGGGCGGTAGGGGGTTCTACGGCACAAGCTGAATCCTCCTTCCATCGAGCCCTGGTGGGCGGTAAGGAAATTTTACCATCAAGAAAGAAGCATTAGTGGGTGGTAGGTATAAAAAGGTTGACTACCCCGGTATAAGGATTATACTATACCTTTCTTTTTTTTCCCCTTGTTTTAAATAACACGCTTTCCTTTGACAAGGGGACAGAAAGTAAATTTCTGGCAGATGTGCTTACCACTGTCCTCTGTTTGTTGGGTAGGAAGACTCTAACAGTAGGCTTCTGTGGAGATTTAGGGTTATTCCGTGACAAATCTGTAGGGTTCTGATAAACTGAGAGGGAAGAAGGTGCTACAGAGAGACTAGAAGATGACGATGATGTGACGGTATCTGTTGAAGCTGAACTGGAGACAGAGAAATCAGTTCCATTGCCCATGGATTCCAGTAACTGCTGCTCCCTCTGTTGCAGTGCATCTAACTTGCTGGTGTACTCTTCATAGGCCTTTAGAAGGAAAAAGTTAATTTAAAACAGTGATAACCTGGATGTACACTTTTGAGATATTTATAGCCTCTTAAGCACTGTGAATACGATCACTGGGACAGTACCCAACCCAATCTTCCAAAGAACGCATTCAGGGATGATTTATGACCAGTGCTTTTTTTTTCAGGGGTGCTCAAGGGTATGCAGTACCGGCACCTCATTTTTGTTGCTGTTAAAAAGTGTGGCACTTACTGTAACAACTTCATGGTGAGTGCCAGCACTTATTTTTCTAGAAAAAAAAGCACAGTTTCTAACAAAGAAGGAAATGATGGAACCAATATTATTCATTCAACAACCGTTCTAGTACTAAGCCTCTGCCCCCACACTGTCCATACATGTGTCACAATAACCTTCAAGGGAAATTCCATGAAGGATCATAAATAAACAGCTCTACTTCTTCTTTGCAGCAGAATTACATGCTTACAAGGTATCGTAATATAACTCAAGGCTGGAGAGAGATTTGCAATGAGGAATTAATGGGAGGTCGGGGGAAGAGTACAGAGATTTAGAGACTGAGAGAAGTGACAGGAATATGAATATCTAAAAGAGAGTTATGTCCAAATAAATTTACGGCAGAATTTAACTGTGTACATATATTTTAAATGTGGTATTTTAATTCTAATACAGGATTCTCTCCCCATTCTTCTTTTCATGAAAATGTTGTCATCCTGCACCAAAGTAAGCATGCACGCACGCTCAGGTTTCTCTGAAATAACAAGCGTGCAGGAATGCTTAAGTGAGCACAGAACCGATGCAGTAATCAAGAAAGACAATTATATCAGAAGCAGAGTAGCAAGCTATTATGGCCATTTTGTCAATATTCCTTTCCCATTTTTTCCATCTGTTCTTCTTTTTGGCTTGAAATGTATTTTGCAAAATGTTTGTACAGTGTTTTAACCCAGTTTCAAGACCAAGTTTAGATACTTTCCACAACACTTCAAATCTAAAATCAGAGGGGCCATTTCAATGGGTTGGTATGTTTACCAGCAACCAGCCAGAGTCTGTCTGTACAGCTCTTTCTAGCTCATCCCTCTGGAGTGAAGGGCCTTAAACCTGGACGGTTATATCAATGGCCAGAGACCAGAAGAAACTGTCAGAAACACTAAAGGGATATTCAGAATTGTAGGTGCAGTATCTTCTGTTTCCTGGCTGTTGACCACTATCACAAACCCAGTGGCTTATGCAAAATACAGGGAGACAGGCTTAGGGAGTTATTGTAATCTTATTCTGATTTTGTTGAAGAAGAAATTGCTTTATGCTAAAGCAGGACATCAGACAACTCAAGAAAATAAAAACAGTATCTCAGACGTAATTGCAAAAAAAAAAGACTTGTGCATGCTTAAAATGGCTAACCTAAGGGTTGTTTCTAGTTTTCTAAGAGGTGGAAAGAACAGCTATGTTTTTGAGTATTGCTTGTGCAGACGGGACAACACATAGGGTTGTACTGCATATAACAAAGTTCTGCCAAATAACCTCCGCTCACAAAACAGAGGGTAGGATCCAATTAAGTACTTCTCTTACCACAAGAACTTCCACTTGCATAATGGAACTTTCCCTGCCTCTCCTCTCCACACCCCTGCCCCACACTGCCTCTGGGTGGCTGCAGGTAAAACCCAGAACAGATGATTGGTGGGCGGGGTGGAAATGAAGTTCCATTGTGCAGCCAAAATTCCTTGCACTAGTGGGACTACTTCCTTGGGTAACACTTAGAACCACCCCTCCCCAAGTCCACTTTAGAGGGTTGAGCAAACCCCCAGAGCATATTTGACTCTTTGGGCAGCCTGTGTGACAGTCCAGGAAAGTTCTCATTGGAGCATATTACTGAATAACAATCCCACCCCCACCCCCTTGCAAACAAACATTTCAATGGTTCAAGTCAGACACTCCTCGCAACCATTGTTTGAAAGACCATAAATAAGCCACCCACTCACATGCGCCATGCTCCCTCTCACAGCTTCTCTCTCCTTAAGCTGTTCAACACTAACCAGAGTTTGCAGAAATGTTTAACTCAACAAACTTGTCCTCAAAACCAAAAACAGAAACCATGGTCTGCTGATTCAAATGTCAGAACTAACTATGGCTGATGCTAAAGAGGGCATGCAGAAGAGAAAAACCTCTTGTGAAAGGGGAGGGTGGAACATGCGGAACATTTCCAATCCTTTTAGCCACTGATTTAGTGGACTCTCTCCGCCCCCCCCGTGTGTGTGTGTGTGTGTGTGTGTGTGAGAGAGAGAGAGAGAGAGAGAGAGAGATTGATTCCATTTCTTCTTTGCTGCAAACATGCTTCCACTGGAGTTTTTTCTTTCTTTAAAGACTGAAGAAAATCAAGCACTATTTGAGATTATGTTATCAATCCTAACCCTGCACAACCATCCAGAAAGTACTGCAGAGTTGTCCGCTTCTGAGACATAATATAAAATAGCCTTTTGAATGTTTAAATAGATTATGTGTACTACTTCACCCTTGTCAGCTTTCATTGTCACTTGCTTAAAGGAGATAATCAGATTTGTTAAGCATGACCTCTCCTTTACAGAACTAGGCAAAGTCCTTTTAAGCAGGCAGTACCTGTACAACGGTGCTCTTCAGCTACAATGCGGACTGTGTGACAATGGATTTAAATCCCACCGCCCAAAATGTTCTTATAACAAGGTGTGTCGATTTTTCACAGAGCAGGTGATGATATTCGTGTGTCTGTGTGTGTATAAATGTTAAGCAAAACTACATTAAGAAATACTTTAAACAACTAAAAACATTCCCTAGTCTCTTAACCAATAGATAGATTATTCCATAACCAGATATGGAACACCTGCAACTCAGCACTTACCTCCAGGTATATAGAAGGTGGATTATGCTCCCCTCCAAACTTGTCCAGCAGGGCTTCTATGTGTTCTTGTGTTAATTTAATCATTTGTTTTATATTCCACACCTAAAAATAAACAGGCATATGTTTCAAAAAAAAGCCTGAACAAGCACGGTGGAAAGTTTTAAGCCCATAGTTGATATACTTCAGAGAAATATTGAAGGTCAGTTCACCTTTGATACAGTCAGCACTCCTCTCTGCTGGCAAAGGTGCTACCTGTCCCTACTGGTACATGACACATGCAACACTCAATTCACATCCTCGACCCTGCCTTCCGCTGGCTTGCAGAAATGAATCCAGCAAAGAACTACAGGCTGTGGAGTGTGGGTCTGTGCACACCCACCACAGAGCGCACAAAATGAATGTGTGACAGGTGGCCCATGTGCAAACTTGTCAAAATAACACACAAACCTGTGAACACATCCCAGAGATTCCCAGTAAGATATCATTAAAAGTTTACACTACTCCGGTACTAAGCATGAAACTATTTATAGAAGACGCACAAGGGTAACAGTAACAGTTAGCCAAAAGTCAACACCTAAGAATTTAAATACTTCCTCCTGTAAAAAAAAAAGAAAGCTACAGTACATTTATCACCTCCAGACTTAGCCATCTGTCTGTGGAAAACAGTGCTAGTCAGCTTCACCCAGGAACCAACATGACTGCTTGAAAAGATTTTCCCCTCTTCAACCGTAACCAAAATCTAAGCGTTCTTACACTGCGAAATTCTACATCGAGTTTGTGTTGCAGAATTAAATTATGAAGGCTTGGGTTCTTTAGACAGGGCATTGGGGAGACCCCTAAGTACTCTTCCCTCACAAATAATACAGTATGAATTCAATTCTACAAAGCTGCTTTCTCCATGCAAGTTACAAGGATCTAGATATTTATACTGCAAACCCCATGAATTCATTGTTGAACTTCATAGTGAAATGTTGGCAAGACCTAAGGAAGGCTGTTATGTAATATTGTGAACGAGTCAATTTTTAAGGCAAGGCTCAATGGGCACAAATCATACTTAGAGAAGCAAGAATGCTATGAAACCAGTGGGTGATCATTTAAATCTTCAGGAACACGTTAGAGTTGCAGACCTAAGAGTTATCATTCTTAGGATGCATGGAATGTGAAACAATGGAACAGGAGTTTATAAAGAAATTTGACCGTACAGTATTTAACAAATGGCTTAAAAAAGAATATGATTTATTTTTCCACTATAAAAATTCCACATAACTTAACACTATTACCTGTCACTCTAAGAACTTTATAATGTTTACTCTTTTAACTAACTTTTCCATGTTACTTTCAGTTCCAGCTCATTATCTGTCACCATCAAAGGTTTAAGCCATTTTATAATAAAAAGCTTCTGAAAAGTTAATCTCAGATGCATCCTTCTATGTATTATAACATGTGAAAAGATTACACCTACATGCCTACACGTGAGGTGCTAACCTCAAATGTTACCTTTGGTGAGGGAACATCTGTTCCTGCTTCATAAAAATACAACTACTAACGAGGTAAGTGTGTGAAAAGGTATCAATACTAATATAGAACAAAGCTTTGATTTATAAAGCTACTTCCTATGTTTCTAAAATCAGGTGGTAAGACATGGGAGCCAAAGCAGGACCACTGAGAAACAAGAGGAAGGCATCAGCACACCCTGGTTTGGAAGGTGTGCTGAGCATCCTGGGGTTTGAAGAAGTAGAAAAACTCTTAAAACAAAAACAAAAACTAAGAGGGTGAGCTCAGTGAGGACTGAGCATGCTCAGCAGCCATGAAATGGCAAGTATCAACTGCAAAATGAAGTGGAAAACTAAGAGAGGGAAGGTAGATATCGGAGGATATGACTAGCAGAGGACACAACATATACAGCAGCACTTCTGTTAAAAGACAATGATATGTTTAAAAGTTTTGTTGCAAATCTAACTAGTACCATTTAAAAAGGTTGTGTCTTTTAACTCCCCATTCTAAAAAACAAAAACAAGAAAACTGGTCTTACAGTGGTTGATGAAGATGCTCAAACTCACTATCGACAAAGGGAGAGAGGACAGCCAGTAAGACTGAGCCTCTGCACATTCTTATTCTTTACACCTTTACACCTGGCATGAAGAGGGTTTTCTGGACTGCCCACAGCAATCATGACAGGACACCAATGCCGTAGCTCTCTACGACTTTATGGGTAGAATATGCAAGTGCTGACATAACACATGCACACCCCACAACAGAATGCAGAACACCACTATGCGTAGAAACTCAGAAGTCAGTCCCACTGAAACTCATGTATTTTGCATCCGCTGAAGTTTTCACATTCCAAAAGCAGTCCCTTGTAGAGTGTGTTACAGTAACTCAACATGACATAAATGTCTGAGAATCTCACAAGCCTGCTGCCTTTTTTGGGAAGGGGCAAAGTTGGCACACCAGCATACACTCCAGGGCATACAGCCATGCCCCTAGGTATCCAGGAACACCATATTTTTCAAGTGCGCACAACTCCTTCTCAATATAAGCTAGAACCTTTCCACTGGATCAGCACTTTTGCAGCACTAGAATACTTTTGTCATGTCTGGATTAAGTCCCAACTCCATTACAAACAACTACATCACAGAAAACTACAAAAAATTATTTTCTGTGGACCAACTATGCTTCCTTCAAACAAAGGGGTCAGAAATTCTGAATGCAAGTATTTCAATTACAGCAACTAGAAAAACACAATATAAACATCTACAATAAAAACATAATCACCACTTACAGCATTTTCTTATAGAGTTATAAGAAAGTATTCACTTTTAAGAGATCAATTAAAATCAGTGGCCACCATTCTCAGGAAGCATTCATGGAGCAGATTCACAAGTGAATACTATCAGTTGCATACCTCTAATCCTCCCTTCCAAAATTGGGTCAATTTAAAAGTGACCAAAAGTGTTAGTATTCATATATGTTCTGTTCTCCGTATTAAAATGTAGAGCCAGTGAGTGATGCAGCTCATCTATTTTTTTATTACGGTGAACTAGGTTATATTTCTAACTGACAAGATTGATTTTAAACCTGAACAAAATTGAATTGTTCAGAGTCTGCAAAGTGAGACTTTTTTTTTATTAAGCACTGTTCAACTCTTTCACTAGTAAAGAAGACTTTCCCTGTCTGCTATCGCTGCATAAACATGTACATCATAACAGTACATCTTTATTATTATTATTTACTAAACCTCTGCAATTAATTGGGAAAATATGCAGGGACTTTCCCAGCTCCCCAGCCACGTTGTTTATAGTAACCTTGCATTTCTTTCCAAAAAATCCTACATTACCTTTTCAAGCTGAGTTGGCAAACTATGTCATTTTCAATTTACAACTTTGCTAGAGTGCCCAAACATTCTTCAGGTTGCTTGCAGGCAGTTTATCAATCTTCAATACTTGCCTGTTTGCACCCATTGATCCATTTCCAGTTGCACTCTCTTTTAGGCATCGAAAGTAACCACAACACCCAGGCTGCCTGAACAATTTATAACCCACTAAATTGAATGAAGTCTACCAGCTCTGTATAGCAGCTTAGTGGGGGCAGAGGCCTTAATAAGCAAAGCCTGACTTTGCTGACAATTTGGGGGTACAGAAAAAGGAGAATATGGCAACCACTCGACAGGCCGGATTACGTGACTGAAGACTGCAGTCTGGTGGATCATTAGCCATGTGAGTCTGTCACAGATTTTTTTTTTAACCTTTATAGACCACAACCAAAGTGCCAGATTAAAACTACATTTCATGCTATCCAGCAAAGACGCCCTATTGATTAAGCACGCCAAATTCCAGACATGTAACATAAGCCTAAGCTTTCATCGAGAGAACAAAATCGGCTGGAATCATATGCATGATCAAAATCAACAACTGCATCCTTACCCGCTGTCCAAACAATCCAGCTCCAACATCAAAACAAAAGCTTAGCTGAACTTTCTTGAAAGGCAAAATAAGGAGACAGAAAATTCACAGCATTTCCATTTAATTATCCTTAACTCAGAGTTTTAAAAGAACTGCAACTAGACTGTAATAAGCATATTTTCCTGTTGATCTGCTGAACAGCAAAGTGTGCAAGACTAAGGAGGATAGCCACAAAAGATAGGTGCATTGATTGCTATCAATCTACCACTGTTTATTCTCACCTTTTTCTTTCTAAATATATTTATTTGCTGACATAATATCCTGGATTACAATAGTAATTATTGTTACTTAATGTTTACTTATAATCTTATAAAAACCTCCAAAGAAGGGGAGTACACAACATCCCAAGGCAGTCTGTTCCACTGTCGAACAGCTCTTGCTATCAGAAGGTTCTTCCTGACTAAATGGAACGGTCTCCCTCAAGAGTTTGTGAGCTTTGCTTCATTGTTTTTAAGCAGAGGTTAGATGGCCATCTGTCTTGGTTGGTTTTGTTGAGATTCCTGCATTGCACGAGTTGGACTAAGGTAAAAAAAAAAAAGGAGGAAAGAACCCCTGGACATTTAAGTGCAGTCAAAGGCGACTATGGGGTGCGGAGCTCATCTCACTTCAGGCTGAGGAAGCCAGAATTTGTCCACAGACAGCTTTCCGGGGTCATGTGGCCAGCATGACTGAACCGCTTCTGGCGCAATGGAACATTGTGACTCAATCCAGAGTGCATGGAAACGCCATTTAGCTTCCCACCACAGCAGTACCTATTTATCTACTTGCACTGGTATGCCTTTGAACTGCTAGGTTGGCAGAAGCTGGGACAGAACAACAGGAGTTCATCCCGTTGACTGGATTCGAACTGCTGACCTTCCAATCAGCAAGCCCAGGAGGCTCAGTGGTTTAAACCACAGACTAGATGACCATTGGGGGACCCTTCCAACTCTACAATTCTATGATTCTTTGAATCTGATGTATTCTTGTAAATTGTGCAATTATTGTTCAGTTGTCTGTTTCTACTTACAGAATGTAACATAGAAGGACCTCACTCATCAAGAGATATCTTGAAGTGAATAACCAGAGCCAAGGAAATGTAAACAGAAATTGAGTTGCCATCCCTGCCAAAGATGCTCATAGTTTGCCCTTCAGACAAAAAATGTGCTCTGTCCACTGTGGCTCCCCTTGCCTGTCTCATGACAAAACACAAAAGGGAAATTATAAAGTGTGAAGAGTGTGAAGACACGATTATTATCTCAAAAGACTAAAATTGAGTCATCTGGTAAAAATTATTAGAGGCAGGATCAGGTCAATGAGGAGTATAAATTCACACAACATAATTAAAGAATTCATGCAAGATGCGGTATTGACAACTAGTTTAGACAACTTTAAATTAGATAAATTAGAAGATGCCAGGTGAAATTGGAAGATGTCAGGTGAAATTACATCAGAATGTATATCACCAATAATGGGGTGGGGGTGGAACAATAATATTCAGAGGTAGAATACCTCAGATTGCTTCCAACATCTGGCAAACAAGGTCCTGTTTAAGAGATTCTCAAGCCATTGGTCATTGTCAGAGACAGAATAGCACTGGGCTATAAGGCCCTTTGATCTGACCTAGCCATATATATTCATATGCAAAGGCCCTATTTCTTAAACAGCAACAGAGCACCTATTCATCTGTATGCAAACTGCTATGGCCAAGTATTTACTTGCATTCATGCATACAATATATTAATGCATGGATTAGAGCTCTTACTTCAGAGGAGCTGTTTTCCGTGTGCAATCTAAGGCATTTCCTTATACCAAATCAGACCATTGGTCCATGTTGTGTACTACTCTTAACAATGAATGACAGACACTCATCAGTGTTCCAGAAAGAAGTCTTTCTCTGCCCTACCTGGAGATGCCAGCAACTGAAGCTGGGATTGTTTGAAGGCAAAGCATGTGCTTTACCACTGGGCTACAACCCTTCCTTTTGAAAGCTTCAGATTTCTTTCCAAAGCCTAGTAAGCTAATAGTAATGCTTAGCATTTAGATAGTATTTTAGAGTGTTTAAGGGATTTCACATACATTATCTTGTTGGAAACCTTACAACAATGATGTCGTAAGTTAGGTCAGTATTACTATTACCATTACCATGCTACAGTTTCAGGATTTGCGTGTGAAGGGAGGCCATGATATAAGACAGCTATGGCAGGGGAGAGATACAGAGTGGGTCATCCTGATTCACAGCTCAGCCTCTTACAACATAATCCTAACCATAGATATTCAGAGCTAAGTCCTATTGAATTCAATGGGGCTTACTCTCAGGTTAGCAAGGGCAGGAGTACAATCTTGGTCACTACACTACATCAGCTCTTTCTATTTACTACATTTGCAAGCAGATCTAGTGGGTTGCCCCAGTGAAGAGAAATTTGTATCTTCCTCAGAAATTCATTGCAGTTACAGAAAGAAAAAGAGAATAAAACATGGTGTGTGTTGCCCATCTGTACTATCTACAATTTATTGATATGGTGGCCAATAGGAGACATCTATGGCTGCAATCATAAACCAACTTACCAGAGGTTGGCCCACTGAACACTACAAGTCCGACAGGAGATGTCTTCTCTAAATGCCAGGTGTACAACAAATAATTATGTAAAGTATGTAAGAGAAAGCTGCAAATTGCTGCAATACCTAACAAACTGTGCCAAGTTTAAGAATATATCATCTTGCCCTACAGAACCATACCATCAGCCTGGTGTTTGTTTGTTTGTTGTGTTGGGAGGACATGAGCGTGAAACTTCAATAACTGTGGAGAAATCACACATACAGACTTGAACTTAATCCTTATGTCTTGCCAACCATAGCTGACAATGCAACACAGAATCTACACTGGTCCTCCCCAAATGGCTTCCAATCTGTAACACAACACAAAAGTGAACGATAAGCATTGAATGTGGGATTCACGCTAAACAGATACGCAGAAAGCAAGCACTACCTAGCAAACTGAATAAGCCATGTATGCATGTATCTTCTAATCATGTGTACTCCTAATATATCCCTCCCCCCCCAAAAAAATTCCTGCCAGCTATTTTAGGAGTAAATACTTATAGAAGACATGAACCATGTCTTACTTACTTACACTTGGTTTTTTTTTAAATAAAGCAGCATCACTGATTTGTGCATTTTTCTATACTGGAGTCTGAGTACTGAAAATTATCTGTCACTGCCACTAGGTAAAGGTAAAGGTACCCCTGCCCGTACGGGCCAGTCGTGTCCGACTCTAGGGTTGTGCGCCCATCTCACTTAAGAGGCCGGGGGCCAGCGCTGTCCGAAGACACTTCCGGGTCACGTGGCCAGCGTGACAAGCTGCATATGGCGAACCGGCACCAGCGCAGCCCACGGAAACGCCGTTTACTTTCCCGCTAGTAAGCGGTCCCTATTTATCTACTTGCACCCGGGGGTGCTTTCGAACTGCTAGGTTGGCAGGCGCTGGGACCGAGCAGCGGGAGCGCACCCCGCCGCGGGGATTCGAACCGCCAACCTGACGATCGGCAAGTCCTAGGCGCTGAGGTTTTACCCACAGCGCCACCCGCGTCCCATCACTGCCACTACCTCCCCCAAAAAGGATGCAAATGCCAGGAGCCTAGCAAAACCCACAGCCCTAACCCATCCGTGCCAAGGTGCTGTTCACAGAGCACATGTGACCGTGTTTGTTTTTAATAATATTGATGCAATCTGCTGGGAGCTTTTAATACTGCTTGGCTTAAAGGGTGGCAACCCAACCCTCATAACTTAGCTCTACTTAGCTCTACAAAATTGGCCCTCTCGAAGCACAGGCGCCCAACCCCCCCCCCTTCTCTCCGATACAGACAGCGAGATAAAAACAAACAAAAGGTGCCCCGTTTTCTCCCGGCACTCGCGGAATCAACTCCCTTGGCCTTCCGCGGCCACGCAACTGGGGCCCGAGGGAGCCCTATTGCACTTGTGGGGAGAAGGGGGGGTGGAGAGCTGACGAAGTGTTGCTCCAGTTCCATTAACCCTTGGCAGGCAACTGCTGTTGACGACCGTGCAGATTGGGAGAACCAGAGGCGAGGAGGGAGAGAAAGGAGCGAAGCAGAAATCCCAGGCACTGCCTCCCCTGTGCAAACCGAGGGAGCGACCAGACAAGGCCTCAGAGGGAATTTGGGACGGGATGGAGGCCCGAGGGGGACGGGGAGAGCCGCCCTGCTAGGAGTCCCGCCGTCGACCTCAACACCCCCCTTCCCTCCTGGGGCTGCCAACCTCACCGCCGGCGCTGCAGCTGGAGAGGCGAAGGGGGCCGGGTTCTCCTCCGCGACGGGGGGAAACTTCACCTGCTGCCAGAGGAGGAGGAGGAGGAGGCCGGGGCGGCTTTTGCTGGCCACCCTCGAACCTCAACCCGCCGCCCGGCCTCGCGGTTTCCCTTTGGCCCCGTCGCCTTGGCACGGGGGGAGGCGGCCCGGGGGCCCTGATCCACCTGTCTCCCGGCCACCCGACCTGCCTCCCGCTGCCCGATGCCGGGCCTAAGTCTCCAGCAGGAGCCCCTCGCCGGACCCTCCGCAGGGAAGCGGGCGAGGAGGGAAAGGGGGCGCCGTAGGATGCCAGGCCGGCCTCCCACCCCCCTCCCCACACGGCCGGGCCTCACCTCCTCCGGGATGGCGGGGTCTCCCCCTGCGCTGCCGCTGCCCCCCGCGTAGCAGGCCCCGGGCGGCGGCGGCTCGGGCTCCATGTCCCCGTTGAAGAGCGAGGCCCCCTCGGCGCTGCCGCTGCTGCTCAGCGCCGCCATCTTGGATCGAAGCGCTGAGGAGGGGGAGGGGGGCAGGAGGGGGGAGGAGGACAAGGAGGGGGGCGGAGGGGAGGGGGAGCCGTGTCGCCCCTGACGACCCGGCCGCCCCCAACCGCGACCCGTAGCGGAAGAAGGGGGGTGGGACTAGAGGGGGGAGAAAAAGGAGCGGGGGGGTGGGTGGGTCAGTGGGCAGCAAGAGCAGCAAAATTCCCCGAGAGAGTCTTCCAGGCGGCCAGCGGCGGCCGTACGTCACACCTCGGGCGTGACGTCACCCAGAATCGCCGCGTCGCCACTGCGCATGCCCGGGAGGACGTCACCGGGAAATACCCTGACGTCACGGCGCGACACCCCCCTCCTCCTCGAGCGTCACCTAGGGAACCCGGAGGGCGCGGAACTGCTTCGCCACGCCTCTCCTCAGACCTCCCTTCCACTGCCTCGCCGCCTCGGTTGTTGTTATTATTATAAAATGCGCTCTTGTTTGCCTTGCTCGGTCAGGTACGCATTTGTGCATTTAAACGCAAGCTATATTAGTATCGCTTTGCAGTGCTGTTGCCCAATATGAATAGTATTAATCTCAATAAATATTAGCATTAGTATCAGTATCTGTTGTCGTTAAAAATCATAAACAAAAAAGTTTACCCAAAGAATATAAGTGGTTTGGGAACCATATACTCAAATCTGGGTTTTGCTGTTGTACCCTGAAATCATAATTATTTCCCCGTGTAGAACGTCTCCAATGCACCTGTGAGAGAGATCGAATTCACCGATTTTTCAGAACATCCTCCACGCTAGCAGACAAATCTCTAGTGCACACATATGCATGTGTAAGAGATATATGAAAAAAAAGTAAACTACGCATTTCTGAAACTAAATATTTTGCTTTCCTGAATAAGTTGGTTGTGATTTCAAAATGTGAGCCAAGATAACACAGTTTTAAGAATACTCAAGATGGAATCATTTGGAGTGTGGCATTAATACTCTGGGATATCAGAGTGTTGAGCAGATATAGGCTATTCTAATATCCCTGATTTTGATGAGTGCTTCATGTGAAATATCTCCAAATAAAAGAGATTGTAGCCATCAGAATTAAAATATTTTGAAAGGGTTTAAAGGGGAGGGGCGCACTAGAAACTTATTAAACCTGATAGGAATGATAATGGTTATCTACATCTGACTCCACAGGGCTTCAAAATGATTAGCCTGTGTTTACAGAGCAATCAAATGGCTCCACATCATATCATTCCAATGCTCAACAGGGCATTTATTTATTAAGTGAGCTCCTGATTATGTTAAAAGTGGAGATAAAGACGTGTAATCGTATGTGGAGGTCAAAGTGTTGTTTTATAATATTAGCAACACAAAGATTGACCTGGACACTTGGATCCAAGGCTGGCACAATATATTTTGGCACTGGAAGCGCACCGCACAATCCCTACCCCAATTCAGTGAGATGAGGCAAATGGTGTGAAAGAAATTTTGTTTTATCTGGGAAAAATACAAAACCAGACTTCTAAAAACAACTGCAATACACACCACTCTGTAGTCCTTCCGCCCCCCAATAAAGCCCCCAGAATAATGTAATCTAACATGACTAAACTAGGACATTAAAAACAAGTGCTAAATCGTCTTCACCAAGCCTGTCCAAAGCACATAGTTACTCAGTAGCTCTGGCTGTGGAATACATTAAACCAGACAAGTATCTATGGTCATTTCAACAGAACTGCGCAACACACAACCCAAGGGCACACACTGCAGCCAGAACCATCAGAAGCAACACATGCATCCTTATCTTATACATGTCTATGCATGCCCTACGGCACATGGCTTCCCCCAAAGAATCCTGGGAACTGTAGTTTTATAACAGTGTTGAGAAGATCCCTCACAAAGCTACAATTCCTGGTACCCTTATCAAAGTACGGTTCCCAGGATTCTTTGGGGGAGGTCAGCTGCTTTAAATATATGGTGTGGGTGATAGGGCCAACCAGATGCCTGTGGGAAGCCCACAAAAGCACTCCACCCACTTGAGATTTCCAGCAACTGGCATGCAGAGGCATACTGTCTCAAAGCTGCTAAAAGATCGAGTATTAATACAGTCCAAATGCCCAGGAAAATGGAACCTTATTGCCTTGTGTTCAGAAGAAGACAGAGCCGATACCAGGCAGCAGGGATGGCTCATTCCATTCCACCGCCTTAGGCAAAACAGAAAAGTGTCGCCCTGCACGTGGACTGGTCATGTTGTGCGGATGCCTGATGACCATCTTCCAAAGCAACTACTCTATTCCGAACATACAAATGGAAAGCGTAATACTGGTGGTCAACAAAAGAGGTTTAAAGACTGTCTCAAGGCAAATCTAAAAAAAATGTAGTATAAACACTGACAACTGGGAAACACTGGCCTGTGAGCGCTCCAGTTGGAGAACAGCCTTTAACAAAGGTGTCATGGCCTTTGAAGACACTCGAACTCAGGACACAAGGGAGAAATGTGCTAAGAGGAAGGCATGCTTGGCAAATCCACACCGTGATAAAATCCCGCCCAGAAACCAATGTCCCCACTGTGGAAGGATGGGTGGATCCAGAATTGGCCTCCACAGTCACTTACAGACTCATTGTTCAAACTGCGTTTATGGAAGACAATCTTAACTTGGCTACGAGTGATCACTGAAGAAGAAGAAGAAGAAGAAGAAGAAGAAGAAGAAGAAGAAGAAGAAGAAGTGCCAAACACCATGCAACACACACACCCACACCCTTGCTGCCTGCACCAAAGTCTCACTTACTGGGGTTGTGTCGCTTTGGCATCCAGGTTCCGGTGAAATCATACAAAAGGCATCACACGACGTTCCCGAGACCCCAGTAAGCGAGATCCTCTCATTTTTATTTTTATTTACCTAATTACCCGATTGCTTTCTCTGTGCCTGCAACCCCACAAACTCCTATTCATTGAAGTTGTCATTTGACATCCACTGTCATCTGCACATGCACAACAGATGTCTGAAATGTTTACACTTTGGCTTAACCACAGATTATGTTTTCAGAGCTGTTGATTTGAGGGAAAGCACATCAAATGCCAGTCATTTTTCAAGAAACTGCAGGATACCTATGGATTGGGGCCAACACCATGTGTCCTCAGCTTCAAGCAGTAGTGCTGGGAGTGTACTGGAGCCAGATTAAATGGCAGTGTGTAGACAGCTGTAGTTTAGTGCCTCATATTTCTGATTTCTCCGTCTCTCTTGTAGTGTGTGAAGTGGAAATCACTCAGCCACAGATGACTTCTGGAGTTCATGCATTAACTGCTTGGGAGAGATCTATAGATCCTCTTTTTGAGTTACAGTACAGTAGAGAATGGTGCGTGAAAGCATAACCAATCTTTTCAGTGACCCTCAAAATAGTCCAGTATATGTTCCAATTCAGGTACTTGTGTGACAGCAGTTACAAATGATTGACTGACTTATAGTTGAACAGAAAGGTGAAATTGGACTTCTTGAACCAGCAATTTCTTTCTGCTACTTGGATTTCCCCCTCTCTTCCATGAAGAGACATAACCTGAAAACATCCAATGATAAAATAAAATAAAAGTAATGTTTCCTGCCAAGATACCATTTTGTGCTGGGTCCAGACTCTTTGCCAATAATTTTAGTAGGTCATAGGAGAATTTTTATTTTGTTTGTACCACAATGCACCTAACAAAACCACAGTAATATTGAAATACAACAGACTCACTCGATCCTTATAGCAAATCAACTGCTTCATTACAAATTGTTCAATGTAACATTTCTTATATTATGTGATACATCTGGACACACGACTCAGTTTCCATTCCCTATCATATCCCTATACAAATTAACATGGCAAATTGGGGGGCTGAAGTGACTGCCCTTGTCTGTTGACATCAGACAAAGAGGGCATCCAGACCTCCAAATGGTCACACCCAGGCAATCTCCTCACAACCTTATTACGCTGCGCTACCACTCCAGAGTGCCAGTTCCCAGAGGCTTTTTAGCCTGTCCTTTTACCAAAAACCTGCACTTCCCCTATGGATTGGCGGGAGAACTTTTTTTTTTGAGGGAAATCTTGTCCTACTCCTTGGAAGCAAATTCATACCCTCTCGATAGTATCCCAAGGCAAACCAACAAAGTCTGATAAATCAATTTTTTTTTATATGTTTCTGCCGTGAAATAAAGATGGCCTTGCTCTTAATTTGTGGGAAATTGCACAATCATATTCAATGGAATGGCTTCATCAAAGATTACATACCTTTAGCATTGGGTGAAAACACACACACACACATATAAACAGGGCTTACAGCAAAGTAGTCATGTACCCATTTGGTCTCTGACACAGATCAGTTTTTGGTGAGCAGCATCAAAATCTGTAATGGTGCCACCAAGCAGCTGGTGTTTCTTGAGACATTTAAAATATATGGTGAGGAGCAAAGAACCACATCTCAGCAAGCGTGCTGTTTCATTCTGATGATAAGAATAAGGAGCTGGCAGTTATTCTCCATTAAACCCTAAACAGATTGGGAGCAAACTGCTTGAAGGAACACATCCTCTTATATTAATCTGGAGATAAAGCTGTTGAGATGTTCTTGGACGTTCTGTTGCCTTCTGAGGCAAGGTTGGTGGCAACTCCTGATAGAACTTTTTCTGTGGTGACACCTTATATGTGGCACACCCAATGGCCCAAGAGGTTAGGTTATCTTCCTCTTTATTTGTGCTCCACCAGCAGTTGAAAGCTTTCCTTTTAAAAGCTGTTGGTTCTACTGCTGTTTTGTATATTGACTGTTAATGCTGCTCCTTGTGTTTTTACTTTTTGCTACTGCTTTAAGTTTCGTTAATTTGCATTTTAATGACTGCATTACTTTTTCCTTTACGTTTGCTTCTTATTGTAAGTGTTCTTGAGAGACACTTTAGTGGAAAGCAAAAGCAGAATAGCGATGCATTTTTGAAATAAATTATATCAGCAATGGATGGCAGTTAAAATCTGATTTAGGCTGTTTATATATCAGTCATGAATGATGCTGGCTGCCTTACATCATCTTCATTTCCTGACAAGATCGTGTCACCAAACCACAACGTTCTACACAAATGGGGGCAGGGGGGAGCCTGTGGCTTTCTATGTTTTCTTGGATCACAGCTCTCATCATCTCTGGCTCTTAGCTATGCTGTAGGGCAAAACATCAGGAGGGCAACAGGGTCCTCACCATTGCTCTGTACCAGCATTACCAAAGAGCACATGTTCATCAGGTATAATGCAGTGTTCTCTGGTTAGAAGATGAATGCTTTTTCTCCTGTTGACCATGGATGGTGTTTGGGAGAAAACTGACAATACAAGGATGACTACCGTCTGGTAGTATCCTGGAACAGGGGCACTCTAGAAGGAAACAAGCAAACTCTCAAGCACTGAGGTACTCCTGTCAGACTGTTGGGCTATCCTGCACAGACACCACTCATGTAAATGTGAGGAATGTGAGAACAATGCTGTAAGTAGCAATAAACATTGTAATTGAGAATTAAATGTGTCTGATGATGGTTTGTAAACTACTGCAATCCTTGTTGGACTTTTGCTTATTCTGCCACTGTTGGAAAACTATGGCAGCCTTGTTGAAAAGGGCTGTGGTTTGCAACCCCTGGCTGTGAATCTATTGCCTATGCGTGCTGCTATTTTGTCTGTGGCTTATTACAAAGTTTCTTGCTTGAAAAGCCAAATAAAAACAACAATAACCAGCTGTGGTAACATTAAAATGAACCCCATCAAATATTTACAGCTAGTTTTAAGAGCAGTGAGATGGACAAAAGTACAGTCAAGTGTACAAAGGAAACAGCCTAATGGATATAAACCCCCAGTTCTTAGTCAACTGAGAAGTTTGTTCTAATATCTTTCCTCCCGCCTCAAAGGTTGCTATGGAAAAGCTGCTATTAGTTCACCCAAGCTTACCCTCCCAAATCCCATATAGCCATCTTGATACTATATGTAATAGTGCTTTCTCTAGTATAGCTCTGAGTGCTTCAAGCAATAAGAGAACGACCTTTGGGTCTCAGGAGATCGTTCCATACAGCCTGTTAGATCAGCCCACACTTTAAATGCAGTTTCCGTCCAATTCAGCCAAATCCATCCTCCTCCTTTTTACGACTCACTAGTCAGTCAGTAGTAACGTGACTTTTTAAAAGCCAGAAAAGCAGAGTTTTGCCAACAAACATTTCACCGTGGCTTTCCCGACTTACAGTGCTAAGTGGCACATTGCATTTGATGTCACAAGCTTGTTTGCCACAGCTGCACTATAGAAAGATGGGAAGGTGGGAAGCTGTGGCTCATAATGTTCATGGGCATGTGCCAGAGAGACCCAGATTGGCTATGAATAGGAATTGGCAAATCTGCCATTTTCAGTTTCTCTCAGTTTCTCATTTTCCAGTTCAGTTCTCCACAAAAGGTGCCTTTAGTCACCATGAAGTTGTTACAGGAAGTGCCACACTTTGAACCAGTGCTTTTCTTCTAGGGAGAAAAAAAAGGTGCCGGTACTGCGTACTCTTGAGTAAAGGTAAAGGTAAAGGGACCCCTGACTGTTAAGTCCAGTCGCAGATGACTCTGGGGTTGCAGCGCCCATCTCGCTCTACTGGCCGAGGGAGCCGGTGTTTTGTCCGCAGACAGCTTCCGGATCACATGGCCAGCATGACTAAGCTGCTTCTGGCAAACCAGAGCAGCACACGGAAACACTGTTTACCTTCCCGTCAGAGCGGTACCTATTTATCTACTTGCATTTTGATGTGCTTTCGAACTGCTAGGTGGGCAGGAGCAGGGACCGAGCAATGACCTTCTGATTGGCAAGCCCTAGGCTCTGTGGTTTAAACCACAGTGACACCCATGTACCCTTGAGTACCCCAACTAAATTGTAAAGTGAAAATCAAACAAACAGGTGATTGGAAACAATGAGACCCTGAGTGCCTAACTTATGCTTTCTGCGTTGTTTTAAAAATCTGGAACCCTTTTGAAAATACTAACAACGCATTATAAGCCCTAGCACCCTTATACGGATGCTAAAACCCTTTCTGATAAAGAACTGCATTTAGACATATTTACCTATAAACAAGTATGCCTTATTGTGCTGTCCTGAACAAATGAAGTGTGTGAGGACACACCTTAAGGCAGGCATAGGCAAACTCTGGCCCTTCAGATGTTTGGGACTACAATTCCCATCATCCCTGGCCACTGGTCCTGTTAGCTAGGGATGGTGGGAATTGTAGCCCGAAACATCTGGAGGTCCGGAGTTTGCCTATGCCTGCCTTAAGGCCAGGGGCTTTGCAAACAACACATTTAAAAATTACAATACCAGCTGGCTCAAACAAAACAAAAATTCCTAGTGACCACTGAATGACCCTTTTGCTGATAATCTTGGGTCATTCATGAGTCATGGTTTCTCCATGGAACAATGAACTCTTGCACTCAGACGTAACTCTGATAATGTTATATAATATGACCACATTCCCCAGGAATAGAAGAGAATCGCCTGCTCTTGCTTTTAATATTAATAAAGAACAAAGTATTCTCTAGGTGCTGCACAAAGATTTAAAAACAACATAGTCCCTGCCCACGGCTTACATGATAATATATGAGCTCTGCTGACTTGGCGTAATTGGGTTCTGCTGGGTGTTTTTAGCAAATCTGCAAGTGTTTCTGACTCCCAATAGCTGAAACTTCCAAGTAAACTTCTAGGTTTATTTTTTAAAATCTGTAGAACGTTGTCATGGTTTGCCTTGTATTATTTATCTCAGTTACTGCATACACACCAAAGCACACATCCCTACCTGCAAAGAATCACGGGGCTTGACGTTTACCCCTCACAGAGCTACAATTCTCAGCACCCTTAACAAACTACATTTCCCAGGATCCTTTGGGGGGATGGTGTGTAGGCCTTGCACCTAAGAAATAAGAGTAATAGTATTGGACAACATCTTCCCACAGTTGTGTGAGCCAATGTTAAGAGTTTTCTGTTGAAATCTCTACACCTGTAGTCTCTCAGATATGGATCTGTATTTGCATATGCAGATCATCGCAGTGGCTCCCTCCAGCCATCAGTTTGTATCTGGTTCAACAAACAATTATTCTGCACTGGCTCTGGTTGGAGGATAGTAAACAACAGCAGAGTAGATCCCTCAAGCCTGAAGTCTGAACGCCCCAAATCTAATAAGTGTGATGTAAAAAGGAGAATGGGATTAAGGAAGGAACAGGATAACTTTCAGTAGTTCATACAAAATATGACGACTCTTTCAACCTATGACTGACTTTCTCCAGAATGCAAACCAACCAAAAACTGGATTGACTTGAGATATTTCTGTTTTTTAAAATCCCTGAACCACTTATTGGCAAAATCAGCCCAAGAAACTGCACTCTACCATTTGCTGTAAGGCTGAAAGCTGACAGCCTTTCTCCATCCCTACTTCCATCAAAGTGGTATTTCTGGGCTGTGATGCTTCAGTGTCCTTGATTCAATCCCTTCTAGACCTTAATACCGTATTTTTCGCTCTATAAGACGCACCAGACCACAAGACGCACCTAGTTTTTGGAGGAGGAAAACAAGAAAAAAACTATTCTGAATCTCAGAAGCCAGAACAGCAAGAGGGATCGCTGGGCAGTGAAAGCAGCAATCCCTCTTGCTGTTCTGGCTTCTGGGATACCTGCACAGCCTGCATTCGCTCCATAAGACGCACACACATTCCCCCTTACTTTTTAGGAGGGAAAAAGTGAGTCTTATAGAGCAAAAAATACGGTAAGTCTCTTGTGGTACCATGGGTCATTCATAGGAGTGCATTACTCGCATGCAGAAAGTCTCTGATCCAATTGTTTGGGATCTCCAGTTAAAAGGATCAGGCAACAGGCAATATAAAAAATTGCTAACCACAGATTCTGGAGAGCTGCTGTCAGCCAGACTTGACAATTTTGGGCTAGATGGATTAGTCTGAGCTACTCTGACCTCCTATAAGGCAGATTCTTATGTTCCTATTAAATTTAAATCCTTATTAAATTCAGTTATCATTCTTCTAATAATATTATCATTTTATCAGAGTCTCTTCTTGGCATGGTAAGTGTTAACTATTTAGAACATGAAGTTTTCGGAAAGGGTCTTTTATTTATTTCTAACCAGTTTTCTCCAGCATCTAGCTTATTTTAAGAGCTTCGTAAACAAAACTATCCAGTGACTGTAAACGCTCCCATACAATGGGAAAAAGCAGCCCTCTGATCTAACCTTCTAAGGAAATTCAAAACTGATATCTTGGCATAGCACTCAGAGCTTGTGTAATGTAAATTAGCACAGGCTTGCCTCCAACGGGAAGTCACAAGAGACCTATTGAAATATACATGACTATTTAACTCCATTGATTTCAGCCAGTCTGCTCTGAGTAGGACTTAAGGTTGACTATGTAGTTCAGCAACACCTGGCAGGTCAAAGATTCCCCACACTCTGGCAATGGATTAAAAAAATGAGACAAACACCCATGAAATTAAACACTGAAAGAGAAAAGCAGATGATCTGGGAGGTGAGGAATGAAGGAAGGAGCACAAGAGAAAGGTGAGGACCCATTTTTCCTGTTGCTGCCTCCCTCATATGAAAAAGGGCAAGGATCAGGCTGGTAGAGACATAGGGGAAGGCACCTTAAGTATAGAGAGCGTAATTTCCAAGTACTCCTGACAATGGGGAATGGAAGCTATAAGAAAGGTGCTCATTGTACCAGGACCTCACTGTAATTTATTGCACACTTCTAAGACAAATGCATATTTCAGTTAACCATGTAGTTCTTAGGCAAATAACATGTCTTATTTCTCACAGCATATATTATATCACTTTTCGGTATGCAACCAATTATATACATTTCAATAAAGGATGTAGAGTGACAGCCAGTGTCCTCCAGCTGAGATGCAATTAAGCCCGTGATTTTAAAGAATGGCCTTGGCAGCCACCATCATCTTAAAGGCAGGTTGGAGGAAACGGTGAGAGAAATCAGGTGTTCTGCCACTAAGCTACACGTCACTCTATAAGACGACCCTACCTTAACTCCTTACCCTAGCTTTTAACACTTGAGATTTGTGTCCCCCCCCCCAATGCCTGCCTTATTTCCCGTAATCTTAAAATTGTTTCAATCTGTTTGTAATATTGTGTTGTGTTTTAATTGTCGCAATTTGCCCTGGGAACTTGGCATAACAAATTGTAATACAGTGGTACCTCTGGTTAAGTACTTAATTCGTTCTGGAGGTCCGTTCTTAACCTGAAACTGTTCTTAACCTGAAGCACCACTTTAGCTAATGGGGCCTCCTGCTGCCGCCGCGCCACCGGAGAACAATTTCTGTTCTCATCCTGAAGCAAAGTTCTTAACCTGAAGCACTATTTCTGGGTTAGTGGAGTCTGTAACCTGAAGCGTATGTAACCCAAGGTACCACTGTACTACTTCCGCTACCACTACTGATAATACTACTAAACAGGACCGGCTAGCTAAACTATTTTTGCTCAGGGGCAACGTCAGGGTGGCAACTGGAATAAAATATTGGGAGGGCCGAGGTAAGCCCCACCCTGCATAATCGATCACAAGACGCAGGGCATGCACACCATTTGAATGGCCATGTTTGTCAACTATGGCCTGGCACCTTCAAATATTTTTCTTTGGGGTGGGGAAGGGACCTTTGTCTCTAGGGGTTGGCTCCTCTGGGCAACATTCATCCTTGGCCCACCCTCTGGAGGCCGCAAGTCCTCAGGACACCCCCTCTGCTAACCCCAGCAGAGAGTGGGTCCACCCTCTTTTTGCTATCGCCACCACCACCAAAATTGACGGGGTCATGCAGATGAATCTGTTACAGCCTTTCTCTTCCTTATGTTATAGGGGCAAGATGTTTGCAAAGGATGCCTCATCTTGAGATAAATTCCCCGGCCTACTGAAAGTCTAGTAAACAGTCACCATCTGTCCAAGATGTGTTTATTAAATACAAGGTCTACTGCAACAACAGCGTTATTTCTTCTTCAGCGCTCTCTTTCCTTCTCCTTTCACAGGGCGTCCTTTCCCGCGCAGCTTTTTCAGCCGTTTCATCTCGTCTTTGAAATCTTCGTGTTCATCTCTGAAATGAAAGAAACAAAGCTGGTTAAAAGCACCGAAGCGTTGGTATCTGCAGGGATTTTTAATTTATTTTTTTTAAGGGGGAGGAACATAATTGAAAAGTGAGAGCAGGCAAGTTTCAAACTAAATGGATGAGAACAATGCCTGCACATTTTGCCTAGTATTTAGTGTTCAAACATAGTTGCAATATTTTCTTACATGAAATGGGATAGCCATAAGGTTGGATGGGTTTGAATGAGAAACAGGAGACATGCCTCATGTTTATTTCTTTAGCGAGTGTTTTCTCAAACAGCTCATAGGCCAGCTTTGCACATAACACTATACCATGGTTTCAACAAGGTATGATTTGACTTTATTTATTGAATTTATATCCTGTTCTTTCTCCAAAAGGAGGCCTGACATGTCAGCGCTAAAATAACACTATTAAAACTTCCAGAATCCGTTAAACCAACCTTTTAAAACTAGTTAAAAACCCTCAAATCAATGATTTCAGGGTCACGAGGGGCAGAACTTTCAGCTATCAAAGGCCTGGGTAAGCTGTAGCACAGATAACAAACCATGCATGCCTTGTTTTGTGAAAAGCTTGGGTTTGTCTTCTGGATGTTTTGCTTTTGAAGCTTAATGAACATGTCCAGTGGGATGGCCCAATCAAGCCATTGCTAAAGAAGGGTGTCGCATTTGCATGCAACACCAAGTCATTGTTAAAAAATAAACCAAGGTTCTTATACCAGTAACAAACCCTGGCTTCAAATCATGGTTTGTGACAGCAAACAAGCCATAGTTAAGCTGCTGGGGAGGGTGTGGATAATCAGTCAAACCATGGTTTAACGTCATGTGTGAACCAGACCAGAACCTAAAGGGTGACCTGAAGAGGTAAGTATGTATGTGTAGAGAAGGTGACATCTCACTCATCTTCTAATAAAACCAACTTCTTAGACTTATAGAGCATAAATATTTAAGTTTGATCCTTAATGATAGCAATGCTACTGACCATAGTCCATAATTTTCAAGTCACAACCATGAGGGCTAGGTATATACTTTCATAAAATGGAAATTGAGACCAATGCCTTTCAGGAATCCAGGTTTGAGGTACAATAATGTGATGGCCTATGTAAAGACTCATAGAAATGCCTCAGCTAAGAGCAATACAAATTCCCCTTGCAGCCAAGAAAAAAGATTTCTTGCAAAGTACTCTTTATCCTTCACTAGTTATCCTTTTAGTCTTCCCGCTTAACACATTATTGAAACTTGTACCCTTCTGTCAATGTGGTATTATTAAAACTGCCAGGGATCATGCAAAAGTTTTGAAGGGGGTGGGGGAGCTTTAATGAGACCCAAGAGAGAAATCGCTTCACGTGTCTTGTTTGGCTGCAGGAAGCATTCTGCTTACACTTCATAGGATCAGAGTATGCCTTTTAATAAAGCCAACTTTGATTAAAGAGCCTTGAACTGAATTAGAGCTTTAATTTTGATTTACCTTTCCGAGTTGCTCTACTTGTCCATTAGCGAGATAATGTCGTTTGCCTAAGGCTGTCAAGCTGCTAATATTATTAGATGTTCATGAAGTACCTTTCAGGCCGTGATTTTGTTCCACCCCCATAAAATGCCTACTGACTATTTGCCTGCAGCCAAATGCATTTCTGAAAAGTGAGACTGTGAACCCATGCAGGCATCTCTGAGTAAGAGACCTGCTAAAGAAAGGTGCTTGCAAGAGCCAAGTGTGTAATTTACATCTTTCCTACACCAAAGGGATGCCCTCCTGTGAAATGGGCAGCTGTGACATTTTCTCCCCAGCAACAGAGAACACCTGGATGGCTGTAATACCGGATTTAAAAATAGCAGCATGCACTGTCTGTTATGCGAAAAGCATTATGAAGCCAGTATGATGTCAAAAAAAGCTATATTTCATGGCTTAAAATGTTGTTTGGAAGACGCTGGCCTGATAACAGAGAAAACAGGAAACCATGGCTCATATCCAGCAATAAAGCTACCTTCAGCGTTGTGGGTCCAGTTTTATGGAACTCCCTTCCAGCTGAAGTCAGACAAGTCCCCTCCCTGTTGGGCTGAAGACTTTAATTCAGTAGGCATTTTTATTGATATCTGATTTTATAGTTTTAACTGGTTTTAATTTTTTGTATTTTATCTTTGTAAAACACTTTGGCTATTGTAGTGCAGTGGTATATAAATGAATCAATAAATAAAAGCTGGTGAGCTGAAGGTTCCCCTCTCTCGATTCCACTAAAAAGACCTGAATTTGAAATCTTGTGCACACAAAACACATGGTTCCTTCCTCTCTGCCCGAAGCAAAGAAGCAGGCTCAAACCACCTTCACCAGCTGTAGATTATAAGGAGCCACCTTCTCCTCTCAGTCCCCTATTCTCCCTTCATCATCACCCCCTCGCCTGGATCACCTGTAGAGACCATAGTAGCGAAGTTTCGTCATGAGGTTGTGGTAGGTATTGTGCGGAGGATACCAGCCATAAACTTCCTTCCGTTTCGCATAGGGCTGCTCGCTTAACAGCTTCACGACTTTCATGGACGATGCATCAGTTGGGCGAGCCACTTCTCCAAATATCCGAGCGCTCAAGTGGGCCATCCGTAAAGCGTAGTAGGACAGATTGGATGACATCTCCAAGCACAAACTGGGCGGCACATGGAATTGTAGGCACCTCCTCACTAGAAGTGGGGGAAGGCTGCAGTAGTGAGACAGTCCAGTACGCCAAGAGTATGTTTCAATCAAACGTCTACTTCCATTTTCAATCTCTATTTTAAAAGAACATACAAAGTGTTCTTGCAATTTAAAAAATTTTCTTCTAAAGATTCTCATTAAGCCTTCATATTCTTAAAACATTTTGTACCTTCAAAACTTACCTTTTCCATTAAGCTATCGGCATAGCCCAGCCTCCCCAAGCCTGGTGCCCTCCAGATGCTTTGAACAACAGCTGCCATCATATTTGATCATTGGCTATGCCGGCTGGTGGGAGGAGATGCAGTCCAGAATATCTAGAGGACACCAGGTTGGAATAGCCTCCTAGTTCAAACTACCAGCAACTAAAAAGAAGTCTAAGCATTTGCATATATTTGTCCCATTACTAATGGCCCTTTTTTACATCCTCCTTGAGTTCTTTTGCCTGGCTTGAACTTTTATAGGCCCATCTGAACTATATATTTAAAGCAGTACCAGATCATTTTAAAGAGTCGTGGTGGGCACTAGAAAATCTTGGAAAGCATAGTTTGTTAAAGCTGCTGATAACTGTTAGGAGATCTTTACTCCTCTCATGGAGCTACAATTCCCAGAGTTCCATGGGTAGAACTGATTGTTAAACCAACACGAGAACTGTAGCTCTGTAGTTAGATTGTCTCCTACAACTCTCAGCACCCTTTAACTACAAATCCCAGGATTCTTTGGAGGGAGCCATAGCTGTTTAAAGTGCCATGATACTGCTTTAAACGTATAATGCAGATATGACCATAATGCTTCTTGCTTTTCTGGATGGAGGACCGAGAGGGGTGTGTGAGACAATGAGACTGTGTGAAGAAACTGGCACACTGTGGAAAGGCAAAATCTGTACTTGTTGCTCCAACTGCTTTCGCCTAGGGCGCATGCCCCCATTGCTAGCATGCAGCCCTGGAAAGTTGCTGAGAAGAGAAAGCGGCCCCTGGACTGAAAAGGGGTGAGGAACCTGCGACCTTCCAGATGCTGTTTCAATTGCACTCTCTCTCTCACCAGCCCCAGTACAAGGATTCGATATAGCAGGGACTTCTTTAAAGAGAGATATCTTAGGGAAAGAAAGGTGAAGCTTTTGGGAAGAAATGCAGTTGGAGGGAAGGTCAAGGAGGAAGAAGCTGCAGGAGGACAGCTGGGCATGTTTGCTCACAAGTACTTTACTGTGGGTTAAACCACAGAGCCTAGGACTTGCCAATCAGAAGGTCGGTGGTTCGAATCCCCGCAACGGGGTGAGCTCCCATTGCTCGGTCCCTGCTCCTGCCAACCTAGCAATTCGAAAGCACTTCAAAGTGCAAGTAGATAAATAGGTACCGCTCCGGCGGGAAGGTAAATGGCGTTTCCGTGTGCTGTTCTGGTTCGCCAGAAGCGGTTTAGTTATGCTGGCCACATGACCCAGAAGCTGTATGCCGGCTCCCTCGGCCAATAAAGCGAGATGAGCGCCGCAACCCCTGAGTCGGCCACAACTGGACCTAATGGTCAGGGGTCCCTTTACCTTTACTGTACAGTGGTACCTTGGGTTAAGTACTTAATTCGTTCCGGAGGTCCGTACTTAACCTGAAACTGTTCTTAACCTGAAGCACCACTTTAGCTAATGGGCCTCCTGCTGCTGCCGCGCCGCCGGAGCACGATTTCTGTTCTTATCCTGAAGCAAAGTGCTTAACCTGAAGCACTATTTCTGGGTTAGCAGAGTCTGTATCCTGAAGCGTATGTAACCTGAAGCGTATGTAACCACTGTACTGTATCTGTTTCCGGCAAAGGGATCCTAACCATTCTGATGCAAGGCTGGACTCTTGAGCGCGCTTCCTGGAGAGCAAGCCCCATCCAGTTCAAAGATCCTATCGCGATCTGTACAGATTTCAGCCAAGCGTAATGCAAGGAAAACGGGACGCGGGTGGCGCTGTGGGTAAAACGTCAGCGCCTAGGACTTGCCGATCGCATGGTCGGCGGTTCGAATCCCCACGGCGGGGTGAGCTCCCGTCGTTCGGTCCCAGCTCCTGCCCACCTAGCAGTTCGAAAGCACCCTTAAGTGCAAGTAGATAAATAGGGACCGCTTACTAGCGGGAAGGTAAACGGCGTTCCGTGTGCTGCGCTGGCTCGCCAGATGCAGCTTGTCACGCTGGCCACGTGACCCGGAAGTGTCTTTGGACAGCGCTGGCCCCCGGCCTCTAGAGTGAGATGAGCGCACAACCCTAGAGTCTGTCAAGACTGGCCCGTACGGGCAGGGGTACCTTTACCTTTTAATGCAAGGAAGCGCGCACGGATGTGACTCGCTCCGAGGACATGAAATTAAACGCACCCAGTTCCAAAGTTAAACGCACCCGCAAGCCCGTGCCCAGGACTCTCTCCTGGGAGTTTGCAAACGGCTTGGCTCACAACCCTCCCGGGAAAATGAAAGCAGGAGCGACCCTTTGCAAAGCGCTGCCTCCCGCACCTCACCTGCCCCAAGCGCTCCTCCGCCTGCAGGAAGCGTGCTTCCTCCTAACCGCTCCGGGTCCGAGTCCGCGCGCAAAATCTCGAAAGCGGAAGACGCCGCCGAGGGGAACCTTGGAAGGTGAGCACGCGCATGCGCCGTATTCCCAAAGGATGCCGCCATTCGGCCGGGCCCGGGAGTGACGTCAGCGTACGGAACCCAGAGGCTCGCGGGACTCTTCTTTCAGCAGCGAGGAGCTGCAGCGCGTTTGCTTCTGAAGCGGCAGATAGGCGGCTGGCAGGACTTGTGCCGTGTAGTAGCCAAGATCCTATGGCGCACACCTAAGCCTATTAAAGCCAAGGGGCTCAATCCGCTGTATGCACTTTACAGAGGACTAAAAACCTAATGGGCTTTCTGTTTACACGTGCCCGCCTCTGCACAGGATCGGGATGCTGTTCATACGAAAAGCCTGTGGGTTTAGGTGGGAATCTGGGTGCACACTTGTTACTCTCCAATCCTATGCACTTGGGAGCAAACATTGCTGAACTCAGCGGGAATTGCTTCCGATAGAAACAGGATCCAGCTGCACTTCCCGTTAATCGCAGTGGGGTTCAACCACTTCGATTTGATTTTTTTTATTAAGAGTGTTACAGCCACAACAACGCCCTCTGCACATTTTACCTGGAAGTAGGACCCCGCGATTGAACACATTTGGTGTTGCTTCTGAGCAAACATGCCTAGGCTTGCAAGTGAAGACTGCCCATTCTGTGCTCGCCTATGCCTGGATAATGCCCACAGGGTCAGGATGTTAGGATGCAATTCTATCCGAAGCTCTTACTAGGAAGGAAATGCCACAGAATATAGTTGTTGTTTAGTTGTTTAGTCGTGTCCGACTCTTCGTGACCCCATGGACCAGAGCACGCCAGGCACTTCTGTCTTCCACTGTCTCCCGCAGTTTGGTCAAACTCATGCTGGTAGCTTCGAGAACACTGTCCAACCATCTCGTCCTCTGTCGTCCCCTTCTCCTTGTGCCCTCCATCTTTCCCAACATCAGGGTCTTTTCCAGGGAGTCTTCTCTTCTCATGAGGTGGCCAAAGTATTGGAGCCTCAGCTTCAGCATCTGTCCTTCCAGTGAGCACTCAGGGCTGATTTCCTTCAGAATGGAGAGGTTTGAGCTTCTTGCAGTCCATGGGACTCTCGAGTCTCCTCCAGCACCATAATTCAAATTTTAAATTGTATTTTAACTGCATTTTAAATTGTATTTTAACCCGTATTTTAATAAACTGGTTCCCCCCATTATGTTTTATTGTAATTTTATTGGTGTTAGCTGCCCTGAGCCCAGCTTTGGCCGGGGAGAGCAGGATATAAATAAAATATTATTATTATTATTATTATTATTATTATTATTACTACTACTGATGTTCACCTCCCTACCCACAAAGTAAAACTGGCAGGCACTGAAAAGTGTGGAATAAGTGCTCCTGTTTTTTATTTTCAAAGCAGTTGCAAACAAATCTGAAAGTTTGTTTCAATAGAAGCATGGGATAAAATAAAATAAAAGAGCCTTCTCACTGAAGCGCATTATGTGTTGATAGCGTTATTTGCTGCTTTTTATTAGGTAGCACAGTGGCTCACAAAGGCGGCAGGCGGGTGGGCGCTGTGCCGGCAAAGTGTGGCCCATAAAGCCACACCAGTAAACAAAAGAGCTAACGTCATTTGGTGCCTTGTTTACTTCTCGGCAGAATGGAGGAGAGGCTTTGTATAATTCATAAAGCCATAAATGGTTTGGGGCCCCCATTTGCTCTCACTTCTGTTTTCCCACTTCCCTCAGGGAACTGCAGACTGGCTGCTTCCCAGAACAATAGTTTAAGGTTACTTTGGTATGGGGATCTGCATTTATGACCTTCTGCCATATAGTCATAGCATGGGGACCTTAAATGCCTGAGATTGTGGAGTGTTATTGCCTGTGGAATCTGTCTCTCTCTTGTCTGGGCCCCATAGTGTATAGTGTATGCATTTTAAGCAGCATTACACCACATTAAACTGTCCTGGTTTCCCCCCAAAAACCCTGGGAACTGTAGTTTATAAAAGGTGCTGGACGTTGTCAGGGCACTTCTAGTCCTCACAGAACTACAATGTCCAGTGGTTTAACAGTTAATCCCCTTTCCCAGGGATTAGATGGGGTCCTTCCCACCTTGATCTGAAAAGCTGGGAATTTAAACTGGGACCTTTTGCTTGAAAAGCATGGGCTCGACCTCTGAGCTACAGACATTCACCATCAATACTACTACTACTACTACTACTACTACTACTACTAATAATAATACTCCCTCCTACACATCTGGCTGGGTTTCCCCAGCCACTCTGGACAGCTTCCAGGGAAAAAAAGGATTCCTGGCATCATCACAAGGCTTTCTAGTGATTGTTGATGCTGCAACCAAGGCTCATGAGCTGCTTGCTCTACTGTTAATTTATTGTATGCCACTATGGACAAACAAATTAATTACTGTTCCGGCCACTACCATTGCTGATAAAGGCTGGCTTTTTTTTGGGAGAGGGGGTGTATTTGTGGGCAGCACACACTGATCTCTCTCCTATCTGTCTGGCAATCTTTGGGATTGATGAGCAGCAAAGTTTACATAAGGAAAGAACTATGTTTGCATTAGTGTTGCCATCTCCTATAATTTCATCCAGATCATGAACATGGCTCTGCAGATCCCATGATAGAATGCCTGCTTGATCAGCTTCTTCTTCTTTTTCTTCTTCTTTGGCGATCACTCGTAGCCGAGTAAGATTGTCTTCCATAAACATGGTTTTAACAATGAGTCCATGGTTTTAACAATGACTCCAAGTGACTGTGGAGGCCAGTTCTGGATCCACACGTCCTTCCACAGTGGGGACATTGGTTTCTGGGCGGGAGTTGATCATGGTGTGGATTTGCCAAGTGTGCCTTCCTCTTAGCATGTTTCTCCCTTACATCCTGAGTTCGAGTGTCTTCAAAGCCCATGACACCTTTGGTAAAGGCTGTTCTCCAACTGGAGCACTCTCAGGCCAGTGTTTCCCAGTTGTCAGTGTTTATACTACATTTTTAAAGATTTGCCTTGAGACAGTCTTTAAACCTCTTTTGTTGACCAGCAGCATTACGCTTTCCATTTTTAAGTTCGGAATAGAGTAGTTGCTTTGGAAGACGATAATCAGGCATCTGCACAACATGGCCAGTCCAAATCAGTTGATGTTGAAGAATCATTGCTTCAACACTGGTGATCTTTGCTTCTTCCAGTACACTGATATTAGTTTGCCTGTCTTCCTAAGTGATGCGTAAAATTTTTCGGAGACACCATTGATGGAATCTTTCGAGGAGCTGGAGATCGTGTTTATAAGTGGTCCATGTTTCACAAGCATATAGTACGGTTGGTAGTACAATAGCTTTGTAAACCAGCATTTTGGTTTCCCCGCGAATGTCTCGGTCCTCAAACACTCTGCGCTTCAATCGGGAGAAAGTCGCACTCGCAGAGCTCAGGCGATGCTGGATTTCGGCATCAATGTTGGCCCTTGTGGAAAGATAACTGCCTAGGTAGGAGAAGTGATCAACATTTTCCAACGTTACACCATTGAGTTGGATTTGTGACGCTGCAGAGGGGTTATTTTGTACTTGTTGGTGTAGCACTGGTTTTTTGGGCGTTGAGTGATAGGACAAGCTTTTTGTAAGCTTCTGCAAAGATATTTAGGATGGTTTGGGGGTCATCCTCTGAGCGTACGCACACTACGTTGTCATCAGCATTCTGAAGCTCTATGACGGAAGTTACGGTAACCTTACTCTTTGCTTTCAGCCTGCTCAGATTGAAGAGCTCACAAGGGTCATAGGAACATGCAAGCCCACTCACCATGACTAGGTGATGATCCAGCGAGTGGGGCTTGATGAGCATACACACAACAACAACGATGCAATATTCTTACGTGCTGTGTGATCTTCCGATGCACAATATCATAGGCACACACAACAAGATACTCGAATCATCAGTCTTCACAAACCATTTTAGAGAAGATCTGCATCTTAATTCTAGAAAGGGAATTTGGAACTCACAGAACACATTTCTCCAGGGGTTTCAAAACAGCATTAGATGGCCCACAAAACCCCATTATGCATTGTAGTGTACATAATGCAGAAGCTAAAGTGCTGCGAGTGGGAAACTGAGTTGAAAGTGCTGCAATACATGGGTGGATGTCTGGGACTTAAGGGATCCCCGGACAACAGAGATTCATTGCAGTTGATTCGCTCAGCTGCAATCCTAACGCCAGTTACCTGGGAGCAAGCCCCATTGAAATCAGTGGGACTTACTTCTGAGTAAGCAGTCATAGGCTCATGCAGTACAACTTAGTACCCAACACACATCCCTCCACCTCTCCCTTTATAAGCTGTTTTCTCTTTAAGGAGTGGGAGAAATCAGTGGCAAAAGCATATTGATTCAGTCATCATGCACTATTGCAAAACGGAATTAAATGACAGAGCATGCTGAAAAGAAAAGGCGTAATGGAAACATCTGGCACTGTGCTGATAAAACTCTTGCAGCAACTACCCTTTTAAGAGCTCCCCTGGAAACTCACCCATTCATCATGGGCTTCCAGACTGAAGAAACGCAGCTATCTATGCCTAACTGTGTTTGCCCAAGTGTAAAAAACAAAAACAGAAATCCATAGGTAACACCCTGGGAAGATAATAGTCTCTCAAAATTAGTAGCAGCCCCCTGAATCATCAGAGGTGTTAAGTGGTATGTTGTGTTCAGCTGTTAGCACTTGTGGGGGGGGGGATCTGCAAGTATGGTCAAGGCGCCTCTCTCTCATGCCAGCTAGGCTGCACCATTTTTTCAGGAGGCTTCTCTGTGGCCGGTTTTGCAAATATTGCTAAGCTAAACCATATCAAATGAGCAGGTTCCTTCCTTGAGTGAAGACCAAGCCAGTGCTCCTCACCTGGTCCTGTGGCTTGGCACAGTGTTACATCCAAACTCAGACTTGCGTCTGCCTCCCCCAGAAAAACTGCAATCAGCAAAGCCAAGAACAAATCTTAGACACAGCTCATGGATTGTATGGGGCGAGACGCAACACTGAGCCAAACCCTAGCTTAGTCCTGGTAGCATGGCAGTGGCAGGACTGCGAGAGGAGGGTTATGGCTCTGATCTTCATTG